GTATATATATATATATATATATATATATATATATATATTAATTGACACCGCTTTTCCAGTAATACTCATCCCCTCCCCTCCCCACCCAAAAAGGAAGGCTGCAACATGGCTGATCAGACAAACCGCCAAACCGCAACGGAGGCGGAGGACGTTCTAGAAAAGGAAGAGGAGGTGCCGCTGTGTCAACACGACGACTATGACGCCGACCTCTCCTTACCCGACCGCGAGGCACGATGGGGCTTTACGCTGAGTGAGTTGCAGTCAGCGGTGAAGGTGGTGCGCGTTCTCTTTTGCAATCCAGCTCTGTACGTCGGCGACCCCTACCTGTCCGACAGTCGCCTCTGCACGATGATCACACGTGATCGCAAGACGAAGCGCGAGAACCGGGAAGTTTTCAAGGCCATCATGAGCGAGGAAAAGAGCCGGCGGAAGCGCTATCAGCGTCTGCAAGACATGAAGGCGGTGTGCAGAACGGCCATGAAGCGCGAGCGCGATGATGCCTTGAACAATTTGTTGCTGACGGGGCGCGATGGCGCGACGTTGAATCTGCAGCCGCTGCTCATTCGTGACCGGCCACACGCGCCGCAGCCTTGTGCTCCAAACGCCGCCGCTGCCTCTCCTCTCTCCGCCGATGCTACCACTTCCACTCCTGACGCAACGCCGGAGACAATCGTGCTGACCGCCCAAGAGAAGGAAGTACTGCGGCTTGCCGGTGCCTTTGAAAACATGCTGCGACTGGAGGAAGCCCTGCGTGGGGTACCGGTGGAGGGCTACACGCCGGGGGTGGGGGATGACGCCGCACCGCCACCGCCGCCCTCCACCGACAACCCACCCGTAACCGGCGGCATCGGCGCTCCGGCCCCGTCCACATCGGCGTCGTCGAGGGTGAAGAAGATGAGCGGCGAGGCGACGGGAAGTAACCGACACGAAACACCGACGCCGCCCGTTGCGGGGCTGGACTGGACGGTGATTACACAGTTGACAGCGCAGGTGTACCGCTACCTCCCGCCCCTCTACGGCTCCCAGATGCCGCCGCCGCTGTTTGCCGGGGCGGTGCCGCCAAATGTGATGGAGTCGCCGATGGTCGTGCGCAGCTTTGTACGCGGCATGAAGTGTCACGTGGCGCAGCGGGCGGCTGCACTGGTGCACCTCGCCTCTTCGTTGAGCGAAGCGCCAGAAGCGGCCGCGGTTGCAGCAGCGGCGACGGCAGCGACGACACCGCACAGGCAACGCGAAACAAACGAGTCTATTTCAGAGGTGCCACTGCACGACGCTCTGCGGACCACGGGACGGGACGTTATTGTGCGCACACCGCTGGCCGAGCTACAGTCCATCGCGGGACTGCGAGCGCTGGTGGGCGGGGCTGCTGAAGTCGCTACCTCGTCCACTTCGGTTTCCGCCACCACCACCGCGTCGTCGTCGTCACCGGTGAAAGCGGTGGTCGAGGAGCCGCTGGACGACGTGCTGCGAGCCATTGAGCTGGTGTTGCTGGAAGGCAAGAGCGATGACCGATTCGACCCGGCCGGTCCTGCGACTCGTACGACGACCACAACGACTACCGACGCCGAGGCATCGACACAAGAGGACGGCACCCGAGCGTCGCAGCTGCGAATCGCCGAGCAGAGCCTGCACTGCTTCATTGCCCGCCGCCTGTACGCCTCCGCACGCCTTCGCAGCTGCGGCACGTCACCGGTACTGATTCAACGCAGCCCACCGACGTCTAACTCTGAGGAACCGGACGGGTACTGCATCTACGACGACGTGCAGCGCTACGCTGTCGAGCACCACGAGGATGATGAGCAGCTGAAGCTCAACAAGTGGATCGGCTGCCACACCTGCAGGGTGCGCTACAACCGACTCCACCCCTATTACTACAGCATGTGCCACCTCTGCGGTGAGTACAACTACAACAAGCGTCTCATGGCACGTGACTTGCGGGGCAAGACGGTGCTGCTCACGGGGTGCCGGATTAAGATCGGGTATGCCATGGCGCTGTCGCTGCTGCGATGCGGGGCGACGGTGCTGGGCACCACGCGCTTCATCCATGAGGCCGTCGCCCGCTTCCAGCAGGAGGTCGACTACGGCGTCTGGAAAAGCCGCCTGCACCTCTTCTCCCTCGACCTGCGTGACATGTGGGTCGTCACGCAGTTCAGCGCGTTTGTGCGGCAGAAGTACAAGAAGCTCTTCGCCATCATAAACAACGCCGCGCAGACCATCGCCCGCACGCCGCAGTACACGGAGCACCTGCGCCACATCGAGCTGAACCCGCCCGCCGACCTGCAAGCCGGCATCCAGCAGGACACCCTCTCGGCGGAGTGGCACAACTTCTTCTGCCACCACACGACCGTCACGGTGGGGCAGGCGATGTCGATTGAGTACCACCCCAGCACGCAGCCTTTCCTCGACTCGGACCAGCTCTCCCGCTATTCGGATGGCGATGAGGAACAAAAGGGAATGCCGCGAGCACCACCGCCACAGTCCGGCAACGCTACTTCGGGCGACGACACCGCGGTACCGCCCTCAACGCGGCGCACGGCCAGCGGAGAAGACAATGACAACAGCACCGCCGTCGCGTTGCGTGTGGCTTGCGACCGCACGCTCATTTTCGACCGCTACGACACCCAAGCCGAAGAGAGCGACCACCGCGACAAGAACTCGTGGGTGATGAACCTGGCCGAGGTGCAGGGCAGTGAGGCCGCAGAGGTGATGGCCATCAATGCCCTGTCGCCGTTCATTTTGAACGGCAAGCTGAAGGTCTGCCTTACCGACCGCGACGGCGACGCGACGCCGAACGAACCACGCTTCATCGTCAACGTGTCGGCGATGGAAGGGCAATTCTACCGGTTCAAGCAGACGACGCATCCGCACACGAACATGGCGAAGGCGGCGCTGAACATGATGACCCGCACCAGTGGTGACGACTATGCGGTGGATGGCATCTACATGAACTCCGTTGACACCGGCTGGATCACGGACGAGTCGCCCAAGCTGAAGAAGGATCGCCGGGCGGAGCAGTTTATGCTGTGCCCGCTTGACGAGGTCGACGCAGCAGCGCGCTGCTTGGATTTGATCTACACGAACAGTCGCGTGTACGGCAAGTTCTACAAGGACTTCAAAGAAATTGCCTGGTAGAGATAATGAAGATAAAGGAAAGGAAAAAAACCCAAAAGAACGAACTTTTACTCAGCTCTACAGGGACTGCAAGCGGCATTCGTGCAGTCCGCCCCCACTTTGGCCGCAAAACACCAACAGCAGCACAACTGCGAAATTTGTGGGCGCAGCATCTGGAAGTTACTTCTTTTTGTTTTTCTCATGTGTCCATGGACTCTAATGTGAAGGTGCGTTTAATCGTAAAAAAGAAAGATTGCTGAAAAGGAAATGCAAGGTGCTGTCGCGACGGAGCACAGAGAAGGGCGGTGGGAGTTTGTCCTCTGGTAATGCTGTTGGACGACATTTTGCGGTGCGCACGACTTGGGAGGTTGCAGCGCACGTGCCCCAACCCGTCAAGAGCTGCGGGAGGCAAATCACGTTTTCAAAACGTATGCCTTCATATGCGCCAAAGGCAAAACGTAGTACCCCGTAGTCGGTTTGCTGTTGCATGAAGCAGCAGCCGCCTTTTTTTTTCTCAAGAATAAAGTTTTGTGTTCTTATTGCGTGAATGCGCACCGTCTTTCTCGATTTGCTTGACCACTCCTTTCATGATCACCTTTTTCGTCTGTTGAACTGGCCGCCCGCGGAGATGTGTAGGGCAGTGATAAAGAAAGAAGATAAATTGAAAGCCTCTATTCAGGATTCGCGCAAGCGCCGTTTTTAGGGGGCATCCACGAACCGATTTTTCTTCTTCTTTTTACTCAGCATTCTCCTTATTATTCAACCTATCCCCCTCCCCCTCGACATTTAGCAGAGATAATGCCCAACGAATACATCGTAGCGCCTCGTGAGGACTTCACGATGCCGCGCCCTGAGGCGAAGTTCTCTGTCCACGCGGTCGAGAGCGTTATCCACGAGGTTTGCGAGAGTATGGTGGGTCCCGGGCGCCTCTACGTGTACGAGGAGGCCCAGCCGCTGATCAAGGACCTCTGCGCTGAAGTTCAGCAGCGCCTGGTGCGGCTCGGCTACGAGCGGTACAAGTTGGTCACCCACGCCACGGTGACAGAGGCGGCGAACCAAGGCATGCGCATCGCGTCCCGCTGCTTGTGGGATCCGGAGACTGACAACTACGCCGCCTACACGTACTCGAATGAGTACATGCACGTGAGCGTTGCTGTCTTCGGTGTTTACTGGGAGTAGACGGAACGCGCCCGCGAGATAGCCGCGTCTCCTGTTATTACTTTCACGTTCTCTGAGTTGGACAACAGATGTACAAAAGACTGTCTAAAAAAAGGAAAAGAGAATAATCAAACGTTACTCCAATGAGGCAACCGCAATGTGCCTTCATGTATTCGGTGTTGTATGAAGCCCTCCGTTTGAGTGTGTGTGGGGCCATTTCTTTTTCTTCAGCAGCTTGGACGGCCGCGCAGGGAAACGTCAAGGATGGCTTCACGCTGATTTCGATGGAGCTGCGGTGTCTCTGCTTTTTGAGGACAACGACTGTAGCAGGTCGGAGACACTTCTGGGCCCGCTTCTGGGTCTGCGTCGCTTCGTAGCGAGGCGTTTCTTTATGCACGATTACTCCTTACCCTGTCTGCCTTTGCCTTTTTTTTTCTTCTTTCACTCCTGCGCTGCACTTTCTTCCCCTGTGCAAACAACCACACGTTTCTTGCAACGTTGTTGCCGCTCCCCTGCGCTCAAACGTAGGGTGCACTCCGTGAACCACAATCGACATAAAACAGGATGTCCAAGAAGCAGGAAGTCAAGGTCTACGGCCCGAACGTGCCGAAGGACGAGCTCGTGTACGGCGTCGTGCACATCTTCGCCTCCTTCAACGACACCTTCGTCCACGTGACGGACACGTCGGGCCGCGAAACGTACGTGAAGGTCACCGGCGGCATGAAGGTGAAGGCGGACCGCGATGAGTCGTCCCCCTACGCCGCCATGATGGCAGCCCAGGACGTGGTGGCCCGCTGCAAGGAGTGCGGCATCACCGCCCTGCACGTCAAGATGCGCGCCGTCGGTGGTGTGCGCACCAAGTCCCCTGGTCCCGGCGCGCAGGCCGCCCTCCGCGCCCTCGCCCGTGCTGGCATGAAGATCGGCCGCATCGAAGATGTCACACCGATCCCGACCGACTCCACCCGCCGCAAGGGCTCCCGCCGCGGTCGCCGTCTGTAAGACACGTGCGCAGGTCGTATGCTGCCCTGCACTCTCTCCACCACTTTCAATCGCAGCTTTTCTAAGTTTTACTTCTGCGTTTGGTGCGCGTTTGCGCGCACGGGGGTGAAGCGTACGGCGTTGTGCGCACGCACCGACCGACCTGTTTCTTCTGTTTGTTTGTTCGTTTTTTTTTGTAGTTTTCATCATTTCCTAACAAAACACAAGTATTTTCCACTGCGACAAACGCCGCACTATCGTGGTCTGTCAACGAATTCGGCTGTCGTGAACGGATGAACGTCTCTTGACGATGGCTGATCTCTGCGCTTTTGGCACTCGCCGCACTTACAAAAGCTTCCCATGCCAAACGTTATGCAACGTTGAAAGCATCCGCCTCCGCCACCGCACGAGCAAAGCTTAAAAAGAAAAAGGAGAAGCATCTTTTAGCGGCCACTTCTCTCGTCTCCACTTTGGAATCTCCCCATTCAACCGCTACTAACTCTTATCTTCTCTCTTTTCCTTAAATGTACGTATTTGTATTCTAATGCGCAGAAGAAAAGTTTTCATCGAAGTTGGCGTGTGGTGTTCCCTCCCCCCACAATTTGTGTCGGTTTTTTTTTCTAGTTCGAAAAAATCTGTGCTAGATCGGCTTTTAGAACGCCTGACAGCAATGAGCGCTAATATCAACTTTGCTGCCAACTCCGCAGCGACGGCGGCGAGCGGCGCCCCTGCGCCGTCCTCTGCTGCGGCGGGCAAGGCCACCGGCGCGTCCTCGCCTCTGTCGAACTCAGACACTAAGAGCAAGAGCCACATGATTCTGCCCTACGAGGTCCTCTTTACGCTGGTCGGCCGCCGGGTCACGGTGGTGCTGACGAAGAGGAACTTCGAGCTCGAGGGCACGCTGCAGTCGGTGGACAGCGACAAGGGTGACATGCTGCTCTCCGACGTGGTGCAGTACCACTGGCTCTCCACGGCGAACACATCGGCCGACGGCGCAGAAGCGGAGGAGAAGGGAGCCGAGGCAGCTAGCAAGGCGGAGGAAGGCTATCGGGCCTGCTTCGGAGGCGGCCAGCGCAAGGAACTGAGTCGTTGCAGTCAGGCGATGGTGAACAGCGCTTACGTGGCGCTGGTGACGCCGACTCTTTTTGTTCCCGAGTAGCGGAGAGCGCCGCAGACCCAAGCCGTTTGTTCGTGTTCTTCCTTGACGGGCAGTCTGCACACACTGCAACAGGTAGCTGATTCTCGTTGGGACGCGTATCCGCCAACGACCTTTGCTACCATGATGATAAAAAGAGGAAGTAAACATAATGGATCGATTCAAGAGAATACAGCGATCTTTTTACGATGATGAACATGTGGCGAGAGCTTCGAAGGGGCTCTTGTGTATGGTGCGGCGGCAATGCGTCACGTTGCGCCGACAAAACACTTCTATTGCGTCTTCTTGTTACTCTCCTTCGTCTACTGTGAACTCGTTACTCTTCTCTGGCCATTTCTTTCCACTTTCGACAACATCCACTTCACTGCACTTGCCTTTTCTCCTTATTTTGTTTACTCACCCTAACAAGAAAATCCAGCCGGATTTCTAGCAGCTTTTTTTTCTCTTTAACCAAGCACAATCTATATTTCCATTATCTAAAAGAAAACTTTCCTCACAAGATATTCACGACCACCCCCGCTTGAAAGATGTCTCGCTGCACGTCCAAGATGTCCGGCGGTGTTGCCCGCGCCAACCTGGTCGACCACGGCGTCCTGCTGAAGCCGGTGAGCTGCAACCCCTTCCTTGGGGCCGTCCACGACGGCACTAGCACCGGCTACATGCAGGGCTACGCTGCGAAGCCGATCCACTGGCTCTACCGCTTCCGCCACAACCTTCTCCCGCAGGGCATGGCCACCGGCTTCTTCTCCCGCAACCCGTACGGCCGCTACGTGCACTGGCTCGAGGTGAGCACGATCGAGAAGATACGCCTGCAATTGCAGACGATGGAGTCGATGCCTTGCTCCGTCGTGACGTCGATCGTGGTGATGTACACCCTGTGGTTCTCCTACCGCCTCACCTTCCTGCACCCCGATATCACCCTCTACAACCTCGGCCTCTGGCCCACCAAGCCGTGGGTGCAGCAGCAGCGCTTCAACAAGAAGATCGAGCTGGATCAGCCCGTCTACCGCTGGGTGCACCGCGTGCCGGAGTTCATGGCGGTCGATCCAGCCCGCGAGCTGTACAAGCTGAACGTGCAGGCCAACGATCCGTACCTGGAGTACGTGCGTGGCATGGGCCGTGAGAAGGAGCTCACCCTGTACCCGTCGGAGCGCACAGGCGGCAAGGGTGACATCCTCCCGCTGAACCTCCGCCACGAGGACCACAGCGGCCACCACCCCGGACCGCTGACCTCCAGCCAAGGTCTGTAAGAGAACCGCCAGCGCCGCATCCACACACGTACGAACAAATGCGCCATGGCAGATCGTCTGCTATTCCTTTTGCTTTTTTTGGTTTCGTTCGTTCACAGTTGTGACAAAAAGACCCCACAAAAAAAAACTAAATTGTAGCGCAGACGCACACACGCGAGCATGACGAAGAGCACGCGTCATGGGCAAAGGCATCTCCCTTTTTTTTTCCTTTCTTCCTCTCTCCTGGTTTGCTTTAACTTTTGAACGTTACCACGCAACACATCCGCACTAAAAAAATCAAGGAGAAGAAGAAAAGCGGGGGGAGCGAGGACACATATCAAAAACAATAACAGTAATAATAATATCTTCCGCAAAGCGAGACAGAAGGCCTCTATTTCTATTCTCCTCATCTAGTGTCCCCTTCCCGTGCTCTGCTTGACCCCTCTCTTCTTCATTTTCGCCTTCTATGCACGAAGATTGTATGGAATCGGAAAGAGGTAGTTTTTTTATTCTTTGTTTTCATCGTCGTTTGAGCCTTTTGCCTGGCGCTTTACTTTCCGGTTTTTTCTTTCCCCTTTGGGGTACATCTGCATGTATAGATATGTGGATGTATTGCTGGTGCTTTGTGTTTTTCTCTTTTCAGGTTTTCAGTTTTCGTTTATAAGTTTTACTTTTTCATTTCCTCTCCTTTTGTCTCTTCTTTCTTACTATTGAATTAAGAGTATTTGTAGCAGTAGCGGACTTGCTTAGCGCAAGGTAGTATCCACCCGCACATGCAGCGCAACAACAAAAAACAGCCAAAAAAGAAGACCCGATCGTGTGTGTAGTAGAAAGGAAGGAGGCCCCCGTAGCCCGTGTCCTCAACTGGTAGCTTCCTCTCCACGTTTTTTTTTTGGGGTTTTTCACGCATGCGCGTTTTGTGTGTGTAAATTCATTTGCTTTCCTCGCATTTACGCACCCTTCATTTCCAAAAAGAGAAGAAACACAAATGAACACAAAAGAGAATACACGCGCTCTATTGCCTTCTGACCAAAGGACCACCCTTTTCCACTTTTACCTTTTTGCTTTGTCGCCGAGGCAGAGGGATGGTTCGGTGGCCCCTCCTGTGAGAGAGACCATCTGCGGTGGTTGCTTGCGGCGCTGAGGCAAGACGGCGTGCTCACGATCATCTCTTTTTCCACATCGGTGTCGGTGTCTCGGCTCTTTCATGGGAGTTACCAGAATCGGTTGTACGCACTAGCGTCGTTACGCAAGTGCAGTTCTACGTTTCCTGACTGTTCTTTTGTTAGTTCAGTCTCGATGTATGAATGCTGTCGTTTGCTTCACTGTGGCACACACACACACACATACCCTTTCTCTAACCTGCTCTTTTCTTCGTTTTCAACACCTTCATTACCGCTGAAAAAGAAAAGAAAAGAGAGACTGTAGTTCAAAACGAAAGGACGCGTCGTCTTCATGTAGCCGTTGCACAGCATTAAGGGCATCTACCGTCCGTTGTGCCTCTCTCCCGCCGCACAAACCACCCGAAAACGTTTCTATATATATATACCAAATTAAGAAAACAGAGACGCGAACAACGCGTTTGCTCTACACGATGGAGAGCAAAATTCTGTACACAAACGACAACGCGGAAATCCAGTGCGTGGCAGTGAAGTCGATCGAGACGGTCAGGGAAGCGACCACCCCCGCGCGCGGCGGTCGCCGAACATCGTCCACAGCGCCACCGCGCACGCCGCTTTCCTCCTCGGATGAGGCGGTCTTTCTTCTCCCACACGAGTGTCTCTACTCGTACCTATACATTGGTGCCGCGGACGGCACTCTTCTCGCCTTGCGCTTTCAAATTTTTCTCAGAGAGCTCGCGGTGCCGGGCGGTGGGCTGACCTACGAGCACCGTGTAGTGCTAGAGGCACAGAGCAAGTCGGTGATCACGATGTCCGCCCCCGCCCCGTCTTCAAACAACCGCGGCTCGGAGACTCGATCGCGTCACGAGGACGGAGGTGCGCGCGCTTCTGCCACAACCGTGATATCGCCTGCACCAGTTCAATCCGCAGCGACGGAGGCGGTGAAGTCGTCGATCAACGCCGCTGTGTGCGGCGTACGTGCCATCAACGCTCCTTCAAACCTGCCTTACTTGTTTCTCCTCGTCCACGGTCGTTTTGAAGTGCACGAGGACGACACGCTGCAGCTGCTGGACCGCGAGTACACCGCCCCGCTGGGTTTGGGTGATGCAACAGTGTTGTGTATGTGTGTGGGAGAAGAACAGAGCATCGTGTCTCGCCAACGACGCCCACCTGCCGCTCCTATGAGACGTGGGCTTGCAACTGCACCGAGCACCGGCGGCGAACCTGCCGCTGCGGTGGATCCGTCTCTCCCCGTCGCCTACTACGCCCTTTTGCGAGACGACTGGACGGTGGTGCTGGTGGAGTGCACGGCAGTATCATCCTCGCGACTTGCCTTCCTTGATTGGGAAGGGGACGCGATGCAGTGGAGCAACGAGGATGTGGAAGGCACACAGCACGCATCGCCGCTGTCTCCGCAGTCACCACATAAGGGTCTCGCTGCACGACAGACGCGTGCTGCCGACACGCTGCTTCCTGTGCGGCCCAACACATCGACCATGGCCTGGTGCGGCGACGTCCTCATCACAGGGTCGCCCGACTACTACTGCCTCTATGACACCTTACACGGCACGGTGCTGTCGCAGCTAGAGGTGAGCTCGTTGCTGGAAGGCTGTCCGCCTTACACCACTTACATTCGCCGCGCCGCGGTGGATCCTTCTCGCGCCGGCTTCGCGCTCGCCACGGAGGCGGCGGCAGTGTGTTCCTACTCGGGTAGCAGCAGCAGCAGCGGCAGCAGTGATAGTGACAGCAGCGCCTGTACCAGCAGTCACAGTAGCACTGTGAGCGACGAATCGAGTGATACGAGCGTGCGTGAAAGTCGTCTTTCATCCGGCACAACAAACGCCAGTTGCTGGACCTCCGCCCTCGTCTTCCGTCTTCGTGAGGGACAGTTGCACGTGTGCGCGTGTGCTGGCCGCACCGACCTCACCGCTGCTGTGCCCCTCGCAGATGTGTATGGCGCGGTGCGGGAGGCGTACAGCTGCCCACCCTTTCTGCTATGTCAGCGCGGTGAGGGCAGCAATGACGTCGATAGCGGCGGTGCGGACTCCGTCGCATCGCGGGTGTCGTCGCGCATCTGCGCCTCGCAGCAGCACCTCTCCGCGAAACCCGCTGAATCCCGTCGATCCGTGAAGCAGTGTGAAATAATCCTCTTCTCCTGCCTGGATGGGCAGCCGTGGACGTCGCCCGCGGTGGAGCCGGTGAGCTTCATGAGCGTCAACTTGCGCTGCGTTCGGGCGTTTCCGCTGGGGCTGCTGGGCGTCTCGCAGCACATGATTGAGGCCCTCCTGTGGAAACCCTTCGCGACGCAGCTCGAGGACCAAATCGAAACGGGGCACTACGCTCGAGTGCTACGATTTGTGTCGCAGTGCTTCCGCGGCGCGGAGTCGACGCGGCGGGTGGTGCTGCGACAGGTGTGCCAGGCGAGCGCCGCACGGGCCATGGCGCGCCGTCGCTATCGCGTGGCGTTTTACTTCTACACGGTTGCTGAACTCGGTGTAGATGGCCTGCTGCGGCTCTTCCCAGAATTGCGGCGCCTGCCCTCGAGTACACAAGGTGATGTGCGAGGCACAGACAGGAATGCTGTGAAGAGTGATCGCAATTATGTGACAGGGGACGGCAGGCACGTTGCGACCGGCTCCCCGGGCGCGGCAAAGAGCAACGACACAGAAGCCACTTTTGTTGCGCAACACTCGCGGCAGCTTTCGTACCCTTCACACGCTCCCTACCGCGCCCTCTATCGAATTCTGATTTCGAAGTTTTTTTCGCTCGTGGCGACTGCTGCGACGACCGCAAGCTTTCCGATAGAGGACCCAGCGGCAGTAGACTCAGCAGCAACAGCGCGAGCAGGAGCGGAGGTGGGCAGCGCAGGTGAGACGTTGGTGGGACGCAACTCCACGTTGTCCACCGCCGTTGCTTTTCCCGAGGCTGCTTCCCGTAGTGCGATGTGTTCACCACCACCGGTGGGTGCGGAGGGGCCGCGAGGTCCGTCCCAGTCTAACTTCCCATCCAACGCTTCTGCGGCCGCGTTGTCCGCGTCGCTCGAGCGCACCCGAGAGAGCGCTGAGTTTGCGCTCTTCTGTCTCTTCGCCATCGACGGCGCCGGGGCGCGGCGGCTGCACACCACGCGGGACGAGCTGCTGCAGTTTATGAGCTCCGTGCGCACGCTGAACCCCAACGACTGCGCCGCCGTTGTTGCCGCTCTCGGCCTCCCTCCGTCCTCTCTCTTGCGCGCGATGCTGCTGGCTGCCACGGGTGACGCCGATGATGCCCTCACACGATGTGCGACGGACGGCGATGTGACGGCGGCGGGTGCGACGCTCGCAATGTACGCCCGCATGCCAGGTGCGACGAGCGCCAAGCTGGAGAGGCTCTATCAGCTGCACCTGCCGTGGATGCTGGAGGTTGATCCGCCGACAACGGTGCAGCTTCTGACCAGCTCAGTGGGCTTTGCAGGGGAGAGACCCGGCCCTGCAGTGCTGCTGCCCATCCTGCTCACCGTCGGCGGCACGGTGTTGCTGGACTACCTCAGCTACCTCATCCGCATTGAGGGCAGTATGGAGGCGAGCGTGCACCAGCTCTACGCAACGCACCTTGTCCACGTGCTGCAGACCCTGCGAGGCGAATGGGGTTTGCAGGACTTTGCCAGCACCGAGCTCGGCGCGGCTGACGGCGCAGGGTCGGAGACGGGCCTGGTGGGTCGTCTTCGTCGGGCACTTCTCTCCTTTCTTCAGTGGAGCCCCTTCTACGACAAAGAGCGTGTCTTGGCGATCCTTGTGGAGGCAGACCTGTACGAGGAGCAGTGTGTCGTACTAGAGGCGTTGGAGGACCACATCGGGGTCCTTTCCGTGTTGGTGTACTCAATGAAGGACGTGCAACGCGCCGTGCAGTACTGCGAGTCGCACCACACGCGCGACTGCGCCCGCGTTCATCAATGGCCGCTGTCCGCGAACTTGCTGCCCCCCTCAGCCATGACCCCAACGTTTTCCACGCCGGCCTTCAACCCGTCGAGGGCAGCAGCGGAGGGCGGGCGTGGAAGCTCTGCGAGACAAATTGGGACGCCAGAGGGGGACCCGCCATTCCCCACCAACACCTCGCGGACGCCTTTCGTAGATGGGCGTGCACACCACGAGACGGTGTCTCCACATACTGCAGCGCAGGGGGCGTTGGGCGACGCGGCAGGGCGGCACTTTTCGGCAAGTCCGGCACCTAGCGCGCGGGTCTGCAGTGTGGCCGACGACGTGGTGGGTGTGCCGGTTTTCCCCAGCTATGACTGCCAACGTGTGGTGTTCCGTGAGGCGGCTGCCATGGCGCATTACGCCCACACGTCCACGAGCAGCACTCATGGTGTCAACGGGGAAGCAAGAGAGGGCGAGTCTTCTGTTGCCGTGGCGCCCTCTCACGTTGCCGTCTGGCACCCTATGCTGCGCTTCAACCAGTATTTGCACATGCTGCTGCATGTCTTGCTAGTCCCGCCGACCGGGAGCGAAATTGCGTTGTCCGAGGTTGTCTGGCTGTTGGGCACTCATTGCCCTTCCATGAGCCCGTGTCTGGTGCTGTCTTCGCTGCCCGGCGACGTGCCGCTCTCGGACATCGCGCCATACCTCATTCGCGCCTTTCAACGGCTAGAGCTCAACCACCAGCTCGCGCGCATGGAATCGGCTGCGGCGCAGAGCGCCCTGTCGGACGCCGTGCGCCGTCACGTGACGCTGCAGCAGCGCTGTGTTTGGATGGACGACCACCGCCGCTGTGCCGTGTGCGGGCAGCTCCTGGGGAATGGCGGCTTGGTGGTGGTGTTTCCGAATTTAAAGCCGTTGCACTTCCGGTGTCACAAGGACGGCACGTTGGACCCGGAGCGTGCAGTGCCTTTCCTCAGCAATGTCACGTAAAGACGCGGTGGGGTTGCACCGGCGAGGGTTCAAACAAAAGAAAACAGCCGGTGTCACTTCGGTAACCGGGAAACAGCTGGTCGTCCACAGAAACAGACTCCGTTTATTCCACGAGCAAGCGGTAGAGGTGTCAATGGTCATGACATCATTGAACAAACAAACAAACAACTCAACAAGCAAACACGAAGGATACCTGGCTAGTCTCCAAAGCAAGGTTTTTGTTTCCCTGTTCAACTCCGCTAGTGTGCTCGGTTAAAGCGGGGCTTCGCACACCTTTTTTTTCTGGTTGTTGCTGGCTACATTCGCTGTGTTCACCTTCACCTCGTTTCGTCACTCTTCTCCAGCGCACTTTATTTGCCCCCCCCCCCCTACCAACGTATACAACTTCACGACTTTCCCCTTCTTCCTTTTTTTCTCCGTCGGCTTCCTCGCAGGTTTACAATCCGTCTACACTTCTCTTTCCCTCTCACGTCTTCACTTACAAAAGAAGGCGCCCAGCGTCGTGTCTTTCCAGCTCCAATCTTCCTACGAAGCGTTCTTCATCCACCGTCTGTTCAAGAGCGTCGTACGCAGCAGGTTGCTACCAAAGAACTCGTGCAAAGAGCAGGAAGACAACACCGACCAATACCAATAAAACACAACAAAGCAAACTCATCAGAATGCTGTGGCAAGATCGCGCGTACCTCGCCGTGGCGGGTGTCAGCACCGTGATCAGCATTGCCCACTACTTGGCCACCGCCAAGTCCGTGAAGGGAACGGTGCCCATTCACTTCGACTTCTGCGGCGTCCCTAACCGCTCTGCGTCTGCGTGGGCGTACGTGCTCTATCCTCTCACGACGATGTTGCTTGGTGTTGCGGTGGCGGCAACCACTTTCGTTCCTTCTGCTGCGGCTGCACTCCCGCCCAAATCCGCGGAGCAGTTCGCCACGCGAATGACGCTGTTGTGCAGTTACCTTGCGATGGTTGGCAGTCAGCTGTACGCCCCGCGCATCGCAGAGGGCAGCGAGACGAAGCTACCCCCCGTCCTGCTGGGCCTTATTTACGCCGGTGTCGGTGCATCTCTGGTGGGCGCGATCGCTGCAAAGTACCTCGCGTAGTTGCTGGAGTTCTACCACGACTTCAAACGACTAAGTAGCTCCCTTTCCTGTTGCTTTCTACAAGGAATCAAACCTACAAGAGGTGAGGTGTAACTCCCACTTGCAAAACGTATAAAGGCAGCACTACATCTGCATCTTCGCAAACCACTGAAGGAGCGACAAAGAGAGAGTCTACTTATTTTTTTTTAGAGTATTTACGCCTTTGTTTTTCTGTTTCTGCCTTTTCCACTCTCTCTCTTCGGCGTGCTTTCACCTACGCTAGTGAAACGAACGTGCACAGCGCCAACTCCCTTGAGTTTTCGACTAGTGGTTTTCTTTGTTGTTCTTTTCTTCTCAGCAACCCTTTTGCTGTCTCTCCACAAAAGAAGATTAAAAAAATATGTGGAATAGGAACGCTACGACGGCGCGGAGCAGGAGTATACCACGCAGAGCGCCTCCACAACGGAACACGTCCATCCTTCCGCAACGTCAGCGGCGCAGCTGAATGCGGACACACAGATGTTGAATCTCGATGTCTGTGACACCGTTAGTGCACGTCTTCTTTTCACTCATCTGTTGCCTGACTGCGCGTTGCACGTTCCATCGCTGCTAGCGTTCTCGTGTTCCTTCGGCGTTCTCGTGTGGTCACTGCGCATCCCCGTCGCATGTGTGTCGCGGTAGAGGTCCGAAGAGCAAGTCCTGGTCCTTTTCTCACTGAAGAAGCGAGCACAAGTCTCTTGTTTTAGTCTTCTTCCTGCTAATCGCACAGGTTGTCTTTTCGCGTGCTCAATCGTTCTCACCCTGCTGGTTTTGTTCTTCTCTCTCATCTCTTCCAAATTGTTTCCGCTGCTTTATTCAGCTGGTAGCCAAAAGCAAACTAACAAACAAGCAAAAAAATTCCTTCGCAGCGGGTGAGCAACTGCTACTTCCATACACATCACAACGGCAACCCTCCAAAAAACCTACTAGTGCTCCAGAATCTCCCCGAATAAGAAAATGAGCGATGCCGGAGATGATCTGCTGCCGAGCAGGCGCTTTCGCAGTGTCAGCGATGACAACGAGCTGTCGCCCGGTCTCATTATCCGCCTCAAGTACGCTCTGTACCTCTTCGTATGTCTATTGATCTCAATGATGATTAAAAGCCTCATGAGCTCTCTCTTTGAGCACGTCAGTTTCTTGGAAAAAGGCTGTGCGATGACGGACAACGGCGTGGTGCAGGCCGCCTGCGGGGCTGAAATGCTCGTCTACCGCATCAGCTTCTCCCTCGTGCTCTTTTTCCTGGTGCACTGGATTTCCGTGTCGGACCTCACATGCTGCCTCCGCAGCAAAGACCGCGCGGACTTGCAGAAGGAGTTCTTCACCGTCAAGACTGTCTTACTCGTGCTTGTCTTTGTCGTGACGCTCTTCATCCCGAACGGGTTCTTCACTGTGTACGCCTACGTCTGTCTCATCTGTTCTGCGCTCTACCTCCTGATGAACGTGGTGTTTCTTGTGGACTTCTCCTACCAGTGGAGCGACGACTGGGGCGAGCGGGCGGACCAGAACAGCAAGTGGATGTGGTACCTGCTCGCCATCGCCGTCGGCAGCCTCGTCTTGGCGATTGCGGCCATCGTCGCGTCCTTCGTTATCTACGTCCCGCACTCCGACTGCAACTACAACGCCTGCGCCATCACCACCGTCATTGTGGGCGCGTTTGTGTACCTCATCCTGTCCATCTACGTCCCCCACGGCTCCATCGTGCCGAGCAGCATAGTCTTTCTGTATACGAGCTGCATCCTCTTCTTCACGCTACGCACGACGCAGAACGAGCACTGCAACCGCATGGCGAACCACCCCACGAGCACCACCTACGCCCTGCTGCAGGGCGTGGTGACGATGGCGCTGACCTGCTTCACGCTGCTCTACAGCGTCGTCGCGGCGGGTGGGAGCGGGTCCTCGCTCAACGTTGGCCAGAACGAGAACGGCGACGAGGAGGACGCCGATGAGTCGGGGCACCTCTCGCACTACATGTTCTTCTACGGCATCATGATCTTCGGCTCCATGTATTTGGCGATGCTCGGTAGCAACTGGCACGTCAGCGGCGGTGGCGAAAACGCGCTGGCGAAGAGCGTCAACTTGGCCTTTTGGGTGCGCCTGTCGACGGTGTGGGTGGCTATTTTCTTGTACATCTGGTCTCTGGTGGCGCCGTACACGTGCTGCAAGGGCCGCGACTTTGGCTTCGCCGTGGACGACGACTGGGTGTAAGAAGGAAGGAGAGGAGGAAACGACTAGCAACGACAAGGAGTGCTTTCAAAGTGTTGCAGTGAAGCAACAGCGCACCCGTTTTGTTTCGGGCTTTTCTCTTCTTTCTCTTTCGTTTTATGAAGGTTGTTAGCGTCACCCTTCGGTGAGCTTTCTTTTTTATTTTTCCCTTGCGCACTTCGGTGTTTATATATTTGTTTTGCTCCTCCTTGCTGTTTGTTGAACCTTCTCCGTTGTGTTTTTATGCTATATCTCACGTTTTTCTTTCTTGATTCAGCAACTATGCGACTCTCTTCTCGCGCTGTACTTCCACATGCTGGGGCCTTTCTGATTGCTAGGCGAAAAGAACAGTTGTAGATGTTTTTTTTTCTTGAGTTTAGTTTTTGGCTTCACACTTCCTGTCTGGGAAGGGGGGGGGGGGGGGTAGGGGTTCCTCGACAAACACGCTTCTTTCCAGCTTGCTTCGCGCTGATGAGTTTCGGAGCAGCAGACCGCTGAATTGTTGTGTTCACGTGAGTGTTTCATGAAAGAGGGGAGAGGTGGTTGATGGACGTCTTCTACGTTTTCTTCTTCTGGTTCTCTTCCTTTCATCGATCAGTGGTGAAAAGCAAAAGGCTGGTGCCCCATAACGATCACAGCAGCGACCGAAGTTGTGGACATTGAAAAGATATATTTCCCTCTCTTCTCCGATCACCTTCCTCTATTTTGATTATCATATTTCGTATCTTGTGTCGGCTGCACCAACGTCGACAAACACCACAATTCGATCTTCCTTGTACGCATCGCTTTACACCGCACTAAACAGAGAACGAAGGCTACCAAGAGAGAATCAAAAGCGGAGGTGAGTTCTCCTGAGAGTGGGGAACAGGGTTGTTATTATTATCTTTTTTTCCCCACGGTCACGTACGGATCAAAGTAATAATAATACTGATTTATCAGGCATCTCGTACCAAACACTTCGCCACGTTTATTGCGCTCTCTGTCTGCATGCCTCCAGCATGACTGTAGGATAATCCACGTCGACGTTTTCTCTGATAAAAATAGTAATTCTCCGTCTAATTGCAAGGATCTTTTCATCTTGATTTTGTGCTTGCGTAGCACAAGCAAGATTTCATTAGTAGTCGACTACAAAGGAAAAAAAAAACGAGAGGAGGGAAGCATGGCGCTCAACTTTTCAAAAGCCTCGACCCAATTTGTGCGCAACTTAGTCGAGCTCGGTGTGTGCGAGAACACCGACTGCCTCAATGCGTATCATCCGCCGGCGGGAGCACAAAACAGGAGCGTAGGCACGGCGCAGCGCCTTCAGTCGCTTTCCGCCGCTGCTGCCGCTCCCTCGACACGGCCGGTGATTCCGATCGACGTTCCTCGTTGGGTTCACGCCCTCGACAGCGACGACTTCCCCATGACGGAAGTGTGCCATCAGCTGAGCAGCTCGGACTTTCAGGTACGCCAGCCCCTCGAGCGTTTCATCGACGAGCTCTTCACAAACGTCTCGCGGCGCTACTCCGTGCAGCTTGAGACACTGGTGCGTGCGCTGCGTCTGCTGGAGCGGGTGCAAATGACGAACATCCGCCTGCACCAGCAGGTTCTTCTTTCCCAGTCTAGCCTCCTCAGCAGTCACAGCAGCAACGTTGGCAGCTTCGGCAGCGGAGGCAACTCCCTCAGCGGAGCGGGCGTTGGCTCGACGACGGCGACGCTGCAGCTGCGTAATGAAGGGACAACGCAAGGGAACACTCTGGTGCTCTCTGCAGGGTTGCCCTCGGCTTCCGCCGGCATCGCCTCTTCTGCGATCCCCTGCTCGCCTTCCTGTCGTCCCCGCAGCGGTAATGTCGGCGGCTTCTGTGGCACTCATCTGCATTCCTTCGCGCACGGGTCGCTCTTTGACGGCAGCTCGGTCTCCTCCGGAACCGTCGGCCCACTAACAGACATGGAGCAGCTCAGCTACGGCAGATGCAGCGGCGGTGATGCCACGCAGGCGTTCGTGCTCGCGAGTTGGTGCCTGCCGACAACGCCGCCGTGCGAGTCACCTGTGCCGAACGCAGTAGACCTCCCTTTTCTGATGAGCCGCCTGCACCTCTGCGCGGCGTGCGCCGGCTCGCGAGTGTTTACGCTTCAGTACTACAACGTGCACCTCCTTCTCGCGGCGTGCCTCGCACTGAGCATCAGCATCAACGAGATCGGAGTGATGGAGGGCATGACGGAGGATGCGCTGATGCACCACGTGGCGGAGATGAGCCACTGCACCGACCTGCCCCTCCAAGTCGCTGCGCGGGTGGTGTGTGAGACACTGGAGGGGGAGCTGTGCGTGTTTAACAGCGAAGTGGACGCACTCATTCATCGCCTCAACGTCGTCGAAACGTGTGTTTTCGCCACGGACAGCGCCTGAGTGAAAACAAGCCTGCAAAACGCGGACACGGAGGTCAGCATGTAAGCAAGCAGAAGCGTTTTGGTCTCCGGCGTGTTCTGCTTCAGCACAGCTGACACACCCAAACACACACACACAGATATATACATATATACATTGACATGTTCGTACGCTTTCCAACACTCGATCTACGGAAATTCCTGCTTTTACCTGTTTTTAAGTTTTCTCCCTCCTGTGAGTGATGCTGTTCAACCCTTTTTTCTTTAAGGATAATCTTCGTTTATCTGCTACGTGGAGATGACTCTTTCACGGTGTCTTTTCCTCTCTTTTTCCCCTCCGTTTGCGTCTCTTTTTAAAAGCTCCCGACTAAGCAGTTGAAGCAAACTGGTCATTCAGCTTGTGAAGACGCCGTCACGCGCTCGATTTGTGCGCTTCTCTTCTACGCAGGTCTCTTTCTTTCTTCTTTTTTTTCCCGATTTCTTTCCTTTACGTGAACGGCAAGAATCACTTCACAGCGCATGTGTTGTATCAACTTTTTTTCTCTCTCTCCCTTGGACTCGTTTATTTTTGCCTGCGTAGGTGCAGGTTTCATGCAGAAACACACAGTACACTAACGAAAAGAAAAAGGTAGAAGACCGACGATGCGGTGTGTGTGTGTGTGCGGAGTCGTTTGAGTAGAGGATAAGACGGCGGCGCCAGATTCATGACGATGATGCATCGAGGATCAACTAAGAAGAAACTTCGTGCTAGTTTTAAGGAACGAGGACTGATAAAGTAAAAGCGACACCTCTCTCTTTTTGTTTCCCCGAACATGAAGATGTTTACTTTTTGAATTTCCCCTTTGCTCGTTGATGATGTGCGTCTCAGCACAATTCTACCCTTCTCTTTCTTGTTCTTTACCCTCCTTGTTTACGGTATTGATGCACTGAGCAGCTTTTCAACTTACCCCGCCAAGTTATGCAACATCCGAGTGGAAATAAGACCTGTTTCATTACGTAGACTTAAATAGGGAAAAATATGAACTCAAACATGATCCACGTGCGTGTGGTGCGAGCCACGACGTCTTTCCTCGCGCTCCGACCAGGTGCTTTTCGCCGGTGGTGGTGGCCCCAGGTGGAGCCTTACACTTCTCGTCCTACCCTCGGGAGTGCGTACCGCACGCTTCACAGCCGTACCGCTTCGTCATCACCGTCTGCTGCACCTCCGCGCTTTAACGATCCCATCAGCATCGATGCGTCACAGCACTCTGCCGCCGCTGCTGCCGGCGAGCCACCAGGCGCCTCCGCTTCCACCTCATTTACCGCTGTCAGCAACGCACCACCGCCTCCTCGGCGGCTTCTCTTCCTGCCGGCTGCCGACTCCTTCGCTCAGTCGCGCGTAAAAAACTATCTACAACGCATCCTCGCCACTCCCGCTCCGGAGGGCACAATGGCGGCTTCTTCAACAGGTAAGAGCAGCAAGACCGGCGCAACCACAAACAGCTTCAGCTTTGCCGACGTCGTTCCCCGTAAGCTTTCCGCAGAAGAAAAAGAGTTGTACACGACGATTGCGGAGCCAAGCCACGCGTGGACCTCATCGTTTGAGTTACCGGTGGACGTCTTTGTCAGCGACCGTCTCACGCGCCGATACATTACGGCAACTGGTGTGGCCGTAGAGCCGAAGACGTCCATCATCGCGGCCTGCATGCACGCAGAGCGCTGCCTTGACGCCCTGCGCATCCCTCTCTTCACCTCGCAACAGCGACAGCACCAGCGTGTGCTGCAGGCGCAGGCGGAAGGCCGCACCTCCGCGGAGGTGTCCGACGTGCCACACGAGTTGTCGCGGGTGGTGCTGCCGCCGCCAGTGTGCCTGCCATCCGGCGCGAGTGCGCAAACGACACAGCGACTCGCCTCTTACCAGCCGAGGCGTGAGCGGAACGCGCACCCCACCGCAAGGGGGTCCTCTTCTGCTGGCTCGGGATTCGACACATCCGCGGAGAGCAAAGGCGCGGACAACGGGACGAGTGGCGGTCACAGTCGTCCTCCACATCAACGGAGGAATACGAAGAAACCACGAAGGCGCTTCGATAGCTACGTGACTCGCTACGGCGGCGACCCTTTTGTGCGTACCGCACTCAACGAGCTCGCCGCCTTGCAGTCGACACTGTTCGCGCACAACCGCCCTAACGACGGAGATGACGATGTCGTGGATGACGAGCAAGAGTTGGACTCGATTCGCATCACCGCCGAGGAGGTGGCCATCCTCCAGCCGGAGTTGCTCCCACGTGAGCGCACGCCAGGTGCGGTCCCGGGGCACGATGAGCGTACCAAGCCAATGCAAACGACGGTTACGACACAAGCGCACCCTGTCACGCGGGAGACGGAGTTGTACCAATACTCACACAAAAGTCGCATTGCGAAGATCGATGAGACTGAGGACGGCCTGTACGATTTGGTGGACGGCTTTGACGGGGAATGGGCTATGGAGCCGGATGTGCCGGGGCCGTGGTGTCTACGCGACGCGGGCGCTGTTGCGCGCGTCGACAAGTACGTGCAGCGGGTCAGCGGCCACTCCTTCAAGGATTCGGTGCAAGTGCACTTCACCGAGGAAGACACATTCCAGTTCCTTCAGGACAAGTCCCGCTACGGGGTGGAGCAGAAGCGGTGGTACACGGCCTCGCTGGACCTAAGCGAGATTGGCGTCCGCGCCGTCGGCAAGGGTACGACGCAGGCGGTGGCCTTCGACCTGTGTGCGATGCACGCGGAGCGGCTGTTGCAGTGGTTCGGGCGGCCCCTTTACACCAACCCACACGCGCAGGCGTTGTACTACGACGCGTGTCTCAAGTGGGGCCGTCACATGGCTGCCGCGCCTATCGACCCGTCGACCGTGAACGTGCTGAGCGCGAAGCTGCCAAAAGCGATGAAGGAGTGGTTCCGCAGCAGGAAGATGCGCGTTCGTGGCTCGGAAATGAACGTGATGGAGAAGCTGCTGTTACTCAACCGGACCGTTGTGCACGCCTACCGCAAGCACTTGTTAGAGGCGGATATCTTCGCTACGGACAAGTACACGGAGCTCTTCTCCCTGGTCGAGCCATGCGTCCGCTCCTTCATGGTTGCCATGCAACACCCTTTTGAGAGTGCGTACTTCAGCCTCGTCTACCAGAAGGACTCGCAGTACCGCACAACGATTTACCTACCGCTTCCCGACCGCTACGGCGCACGCGGCGGCTACGCGATCGCCTCCACGCCCCAAAACGGCATCAAACTCGCTGCGTTGAGCGCAGTGGACGTGCTGTGCGCGCTAGATGTGATCCCGCCGGTGTGCATGGCGCAGCCACGGTGGCAGCGTCTGATGGAGCTGCGAGAGTCGTTTGGGTTGTTGCTGCCGCCGTCCTACGTGCACCAGCGACTCATGGAAAACGCAGCGACGGACGCGGCGCGGGCCGCCGTCGGTCCGCCGCCACCGCCGCCGCACCCCCTCCTTCGTTCGCCTCCGGGATACCGGGAAACGCTGGGGCTGACGACCGTCATTGCGCGACATGAAGATGTGTGGCGGATTATGCTATTGGATGCTGACATCTTCGATGTTGTTCCGGGCACCGCAGAACTTAAGAAATCCTCCAGGAACCACGGGGGTTTCGATTACGCGGTATTGCCCCTTGATTTTTTTCGAGAAGCGGTTTCCTACCTGTTTCATTGGAACGTAAGGGTGGGCGAGGAGCACCGTCACATGTTTAATTACACCGGTGCCCAGCGCTACCTACATTTCCGCAAGACCAGTGCAAACAACTTTTGGATGGAGTTGCCGTTGGATGAGGCCATTTATGGGAAGCGTATCGCGATGGGGCGGTGCCTCACTCGGAGAGGGGCGGAGCGTATGATGTGCATCCACGCCTTGCGCATTCTCCGCACACTGAAGTTAGCGCCGTGGGACCTGCTCGGCACTGCGAAGCTGGCATGCGTCATGTACGACGCTAACCTGCAAAAAGCTGATAAGCGAGTTCGACAGTGGAAGTGGCTGTGCGCTGCGGTGCTCGACGGACGCGCTGATGAGGAAGGTGAGCAGTTAAACCTCTCCATCCCCGAAGCAGAGATTACGATGGATGTGGTGACAAACAACGGCGGGCAGCTTTCCAGCGATGCGACAGTAAACGAAACCACTATGTTGATTGACATGAAGCACGTTCTTTCTCCCCACCCGGTGATGTCTCGTGAGCTTGCCGTGGGCACCTTTGGTTAGCATCCGTCTCTTTCCTTTCTCGTTTCTTGTGTGTGCGTATTGTTTTCCTTTATGAAAAGACAGCGCTGCCGACGGTGTCTTATTCGCTGCAGATGCGTGGCAAACGGATAGCGTTGATTCATGCGTAGTAAACTGAACCTTGCGCACTTACTTCATCGGAAGCTAATTGGTGAATGCCACGCATACATTTACTCATTTCATTTGTTTCTCGTAAGGCCTTCTGCCGCAGCGAAGTCATGTAACATGGGGCGCGTATTCAATATCAAGCAATACCTTCTTCTTATGACGCTCCGCTCCTTATGTCGTTTTGTGGCTCACTATTTCTCTGGCCCCTCTAACCTCGCCCTTCTGTTGCTCTTGTGACATCTGCTATCAACTCCCAACGCGTGCGCATCTCCTCTGCCCCCGACCTCCTCCCCCATTAACCGCCTGCAGACTTACTTGGCACTTTGATTACGTTTCAAATGGACTACCCCAAGAAGACCCAGGCGGCGCCCGCGGAGGGCCAGACGGTGCGTCTGACGATCACGTCGCGCAACGCCAAGGCCGTGGAGTCTGTGACGTCGCAGCTGCTGACCCGCGCCCGTGACGAGAAGGTGACGATCCACGGCCCCGTGCGTCTGCCGACGCGCACGCTGAAGATCACGACGCGTAAGACGCCTTGCGGTAACGGTACGAACACGTGGGACACCTTCGAGATGAAGATCTACAAGCGCATCATCGACCTGCACGCGCCGACGGAGCAGGTGAAGCGCATCACGAGCTTCACGATGGAGCCCGGAGTTGATGTGTCCATCACGATCCTCGACCGCTAAGCCTGTGTGCGCGTGGACTCGAACACGCCTGTGCGCGTGTGCGGAGGCCTCTCGCTCCACTTTGTTTCGACTTCTCTTTTGACTACACCATTCCTCCACTAGGACGCTGCGTGCTCGTGCGTGTCCGTGCCCGGACATGCGGCGCTCCTAGCGTTGTCACTCTGCCAAGACTGATTTGTGATTTTCCTCATTTTCTACCCAAATAGCCCCCTCCCCGAGAAAGACGAGAGAGTCGTGCGCTGCTCGTTGGACGTGCGTGCAGACTCCCAGAACTCCACCCTCCGTTCTCCGACGAAGGTTCGGTGAACCCGACAGTATGGTTTACGAGGTGTCGCTTTAGGCGTTGAGAAGCTCTTCTTCGCAGCTTTCCATTGACTCTGTCGTGAAGGAAGGAGGCGAGGAAGAAAGGAGCTGGAGCACGATGGGAAGGGGCGGCTTTAGCGAATACGCTTGTAATTACCCCCCCCCTCTTTTCCTTCTGTTCTTTATCTGTTGTACGTCTCCTTGCTCCTCCGCTCCAGGCCGACAGACGGACACCCGCACCCGCGTGCGCCGCACCTGCGACTACACCGTGGCAGCGAAGTTCTTGTGAACGGCGAGCCCCTTTTTTTTTCTCTCTCGCCGACAGACGCGCACTTCCTGCTCTTTCCTCCGCCTCTTTTCCTCCGCCTTTGTTTCTCTGTTTGTGTTGTTCTACAACGCGCACGTGTGCGCCGTACCGCGCCATACACGTCGTCTCATTCGCACACGAAACAGTTTTTTTGTGTCTTATTTTTCGAAAGCGAAAACGTGCCCTTCGATAGGTGCCCGCCGTCGCACGGTCTCTTTCGTTGTGCGTGTGTGTGTTGTCACGCATCTGCACCGGGCTGCGGCGCTCGTCTCTGCGGAACGCAGTGCGGCAGCGTCGTGTCGGAGGCACATCGAGAAAAGAAGCAGGAAGAAGCTGGAGGGGATCGTCAAGCTTTAGAAAAGAAAAAAAGAAACGTATTTCCTGTTTCGTCCGGCGAGGCGTTCACCAGGTCCATCAACAAGACCCGGACGGAAGGTTCCGCAGCGGACGCACACGCCCCGATTCCACCTCGCCAAGAAGAAACGGAACCAACGGCAACAAGAATGGACAAAAAGCTCGCGTTGTCTCAACTGCGACAGTCCCGCTTCGTGTACGAGCGTGGGCTCGTCCGCCAAGACGCGGAGCGACGCACAAAGCTGCACAGGTTTCTAGATCAGCACAAACACGCCAGTCAATGGTCCGCGTCGGTGGCGGCGCTGGAGGACGCGGTGCGCCACGGTGTCTCCCCGAATGACGCCGCTGTGTGCCGGGCGATGCAGCAGTGCGGCCAAGCGGGTCAGCTGAAGGCGGCGAAGCGCCTATACACAGACCTGTATCGGCGCATCGGTCGCCCACGCCCTTTGGCAGCGCACGTCGCGTTCATGTCCGCCTGTGCAGATGCCGGGGACTTCGATGAGGCTCACCGGCAACTCTGCGCGCTGCGCAGCCGTGACGTGGCGCTGCACGCTAAAAGCGCGAGCCACAAGCCCGTCGTGAACGATGACGTGACAACGGAATACCTGCGGGCGGCGCTGTGTGCGTCGCTCGTTCGCGGAGGCGAGAACAGCGGTGGCGCCTCGAGGGGTGACAGCGCGAGTGTGCGTATTCCTGTCGGAGAGGCAGCGGTGGGTGCGTCCGCGGCGTCCGCGGCGGGTGAGCGTTTCACTCCGAAGGAATCGGACCGTGGGCCTGCGGAGGAGCACACGACCGGTGCAGATGGCGGCGGTAGGAGGAGTGACGCTAGCCGGCGCGACAGCGCCTGGAGCGGCGACCATACCGTAGCGTCGGCTGCACCGTGGCAAGTCGCGTTGGAGAGCTTCCTCGCTCTCCGGAAAGATACGCAGGTTTTCCGGCCCAGCAACGAACTTACCCCCCTTCTGCTCGAGCACGCAACCCAGCTGGCCTGCGTCGGGCGGCAATGGAAGCTGTGCCTTGCGATCCTTCGCGGGGCAGAGGCGGAGCAGGCGCTGATCCCGCCAGAGGCCTACGATGCCGCCATCCGCGCCTGCTTTCAAGCGCAAAGACACAGCGATGTGGTGCAGCTCATGGAGCAGCTCATGGCCACCCGAGTCGCACCGGATGAACGCAGCGTGCGCCTTGCCCTTATCTCGTCCGAGGAGATCTCCGCGGTAGAGCGTCAAAGCCAGCCGATAGCGTCCTCCCCGTCTCCAAATTCTTCCTCTTCACCCGCAGTGGGGGGCTCGTCGGGCGGATGGTCGATGGCCCTCACGCTCTTTCACGCTCTTGAACGAAATGGGCTTCCGCTGTACCAGCAGAGCTACGAGGCGCCGCTTCGGGCCTGCGCGAACGCGGGCAAGTGGAAGGAGGCGTTTCAAATGCTGGACGCGATGCGGCGGGATCGCCGGCCGGTGTCGCCGCCCGTCTACGCCCAAGCACTCGCTGCGCGTGTGGAGGCGACCACCTCGTGGACGGAGCTGCGACGTCTGCTTCGCGTGTCGGCGTTGACGGATGAAGCGAGCACGAGTGTCGTGCTCTACCTGGCTGCGCTGCGTGCCTGCATGCGCCAGGGCGATTGGAAGCACTTCGCGGAGCTGAACCGCGAGATGCGCGACCGCGACATACCCGAGACGTTCGACAAGATGCGCTTGCTAATCGAGGCGGCGTATCTGCAGGAGAAGTACCACAGCGTGCTGATGCGCTTCGCACGTTTTGAAAACATCACGCAGTACGAGCGACGTCGTGTCGTGAAGGACCAGCTGGTGCGGCTGTACACCGAGGACTTCGAGCTGCCGCCGCCTCTGCTGGAGATGGTGCTGGATTCTTATGCGAAAGTCAAAGACTACAAGGACCCGATGGTGGAGGCGGCCTACCAGGCCGCGCTGCGGCATAAGGAGCGCCTGAGTGGTGCTCAAAGTCTGCCCGGGGATCACACAGCTCCTGAGGAATGGATGTTCTCGCAGGCTGCACGAGAGACTCGTACGCCACCTCAGTTCCATTAGTTCGTCTTCCCGCCTTCTGTCGCCCCCCAAAAAGAAAGCTGCGTAGTTGCTCGCGAATGCTCGTGATGATATGCTCTCGGGCAGTACCATTTTTTCACAGTTTCCTTTTAAAAAGAAGAACATGGCCCCTAAGCCTCGATGGCTAGTTTCTATTAACCGCTTTTACCCGAAGATACGCTTCATCACATACTTAATAAACCTGCCAGTTTCCCACAAAGAAGTTCGTTCCTTCTTAATTCAAAGGAGTCGCTGAGACTCTCAAAGCTGACGCAGCCCCTCCAAGATAAGTAGGAATCGAACAGTGCACCCGCACGCAAGACAACTCACCTCAAGCTCGCAGACACGTCGACTCTTTTTGTGTTTATCGCGACGAAGCTTCACAGCTCCTCAAACGCTTCTCCTTGCGGAGGAAGTGCTGTGTTTCTTTATCTAGAACAGGCCTGTGCGCATCAACGGTATCCATAAGAGAAGAAGAAACTGCCGTATGTCGTGTATGACTTCGCTTTCCTCCTCGATGCATTTTTCAATCACTATTTCTCTGGCCCCTCTAACCTCGCCCTTCTGTTGCTCTTGTGACATCTGCTATCAACTCCCAACGCGTGCGCATCTCCTCTGCCCCCGACCTCCTCCCCCATTAACCGCCTGCAGACTTACTTGGCACTTTGATTACGTTTCAAATGGACTACCCCAAGAAGACCCAGGCGGCGCCCGCGGAGGGCCAGACGGTGCGTCTGACGATCACGTCGCGCAACGCCAAGGCCGTGGAGTCTGTGACGTCGCAGCTGCTGACCCGCGCCCGTGACGAGAAGGTGACGATCCACGGCCCCGTGCGTCTGCCGACGCGCACGCTGAAGATCACGACGCGTAAGACGCCTTGCGGTAACGGTACGAACACGTGGGACACCTTCGAGATGAAGATCTACAAGCGCATCATCGACCTGCACGCGCCGACGGAGCAGGTGAAGCGCATCACGAGCTTCACGATGGAGCCCGGAGTTGATGTGTCCATCACGATCCTCGACCGCTAAGCCTGTGTGCGCGTGGACTCGAACACGCCTGTGCGCGTGTGCGGAGGCCTCTCGCTCCACTTTGTTTCGACTTCTCTTTTGACTACACCATTCCTCCACTAGGACGCTGCGTGCTCGTGCGTGTCCGTGCCCGGACATGCGGCGCTCCTAGCGTTGTCACTCTGCCAAGACTGATTTGTGATTTTCCTCATTTTCTACCCAAATAGCCCCCTCCCCGAGAAAGACGAGAGAGTCGTGCGCTGCTCGTTGGACGTGCGTGCAGACTCCCAGAACTCCACCCACTAGCTTTGATCATACGGAATACCTTTTTGTAGGAAGGACGTCTACCCTCTTTGGCTAGCGCCGCTGTGAGCTCCTACGTCATTGCACGTTGCTGAACGTCAACAGTAAGTTCATGCATTTAATACGCGAGTTCTTTCGCGCTGCGATGCCCTTCAACTGTGCCAAACTCGTAATCGATGTGCTGTGTTTTTACCCTTCCTTGTTTCTCTTGTCTTTCTGCTATTCGTGTTGTCCGCCGCCGCCGAAGGAAACCTTTTCGCTGAGTTTGCGTTTAGAAGCTTCTACTACACATATATTTCATATCCCATTCCAGTTGGAAGTGCAGAAAACGGAGGCCCTCCACACAGCACGTTTTCCTCTTGAATTTGGTTTCTAAGAGCGCAGAGATTTGCGCTTTGCGTGTGCGCAATGCGTCAACCATCACCACCCCGACTGGAGGTGCTGGGGAAGCACTTCACCGGAAGTGTGGAGCACAAGGGATCCAAAGAGGCACACACAACCAGAGCAGCAGATGCAGCAGCCTTCGCTCGTGACCCCAAGAAATCGGTTCGCGCGGTAGGCACCAGCGTACCCACCAACAAGAAAGCTACAACGAGTTCAACGGAGGCAACCACGTCAACGGTGCAGCCGTCACCGACACAACAAACAGCGCCTCAGTCGCCGTCACGACATCAGCAAGCGCATGGAAGTACGACGGAGAAAGCAAAGCGGCCAGCCACCGCAGTGGCACGAAGCAGTAACAGCAACAACGCTATCGAACTGTCGCTTGTGCGCAATCTAAAACAACAAATTGCGTGTTTGGATGCGCAGCTGCGTGTGGTTAAGCAGCAGCAAGACGCCGCAACTCGCTCGCATGCGCGCAAGGCACATCCAGCGGAGGGAGAAGTGGTTGGCACACACACCGAGGACGCCTTGTTTGCGGAGAGTGTTGAGCGACGCCTCAAAGGCGTGGCGTTGCCGCTGCCGCATAGAGAGCGGGTGCACCACGTTGATGTGGCCGCAGAGGGACACGCAAACAACGCCTGCTACTTTGAGATCAACCGCTTGCGAAGCATTCCCGAACCGTACCAGCTGGAGCGCAGTGCGCTACAGCACAACGTCGAGTCGCTGACCAAAGACATCGAGGGCCTGCAGAGCCTTGTCTTTGACGTTGGTCGGCAGCGTGACGCTATGGCCGCCGAGATCGTGCAATTTCGCTCGGCGCTGCGGGAAGAGCAGGCGGAACACGAGGCAATGGCCGCGGAGTGTGCGACGATGCTGCGGCTCGTAGAGTCGGAGCGGGCACTGCGCTGCGCTGCCGAGAACGACGCCGGCGCTCATGCACAAGGGCGCGCGTTGAATGGCAGACCGGGCGGCGCTGACCTGGCTGTGGTGGACGCGGTCAGCCAACGCGACTACTACAAGCTGCAAAGCGATCGCATGAAAGCTTCTGCGGCGCGCGAAAAGGCGCGTGCGGACTCGCTCGCCGCGGCGCTGCTGCAGGAACGCGGACGCTCCTCTGCCCAGGAGAAGCAGCTGTGCGGCGCACTGGACCGCATTGCGCTGATGGAGACGCGAGAGCACCAACTCGCCGTGTACTACGCGAGTCTCAGCTCTCGCTTTGTGACGGTGTCGGCGATGCTGCGGCACGTGCTGGACGTTGTACCGGAGGACCTTCTGCACGAACGGCGTGTGCCGTCGCCGGATCGCGCCGTCCTCACCGGGGAGGCAGCAGGTGCGGGAGAGGAGGTGACGCTGGGCGAGGTGCGGGAGACATTGGCGGCCTGGCAGGAGGAGGCGTTGTCGAACGCTGCTCAGCTGACGGAGTCGGCAACGGCGGCGAAAACAACACCAAACGTGGACTGGAGTGAAGCAGAGAAAGCGACGGCGCATGCACTTGCACTCAAGCCGGAGAACGAGGGTGACCACCGACCTGAAACCGCTGCTGCAACGCTTCGCCCAACGTCCGCCATAGAGGACGAAACAGCACCTGCTGCAGCTATTAAGGAAGAGGATTCCAAACTCCTTTCGATGACATCAGCGCCGGATGTGGTTGCCGTTCCCACCGTGTCGCCCATTACTCGAGCGGGTGAAGAAGCAGCGGATGTTTCAAAGTCGGCGCAGGCGATTGCCAAGGAGCCGTTCGGCTTCCCTCAACACGAGGCGGATCCCGTTACACCATCCCCGGTGGACGGTGCCCTCGGGGTTTCTGCGCAGCAAAACGATTCCGCACAGCCATCAGGGCCCTTTGCTTTGCCACCACCACCACAATCGTCGCTGGACGGCAAAGACGAGATGGCGAGCGCGGGAGCCGGAGAACTTGCCACAGCCGTCACGGAGGCAGGCTCTACGGTGGCTCCACGGATGCCTGCCGTGGCGGATCCGCATGCGGCAGCGAAGCCGAGTGCGGCCGATCCAAATCCACCGGCTGAGGAAGCGGAAGGGACTAGAGAGAAGGAAGAGGCCCAGCAAGAGGAAACGGCGGCGCTGCCACCACCACTGCAGCCTTCTTTGCTATTGGAGGAGAAGGAGGCAGCTGCAACAGAGACTCCTCCGCCGAAGGAAGACGGGGCAGCAGCAGCAGCACCATCGTCGTCACTCGCCGGTATTGACGAAACGAGTAATTCATCCACGCTCGGGGATGAGGTGGAAGTCAGCGAGTCGTTTTCCGCTGCACCACCGAATGACGCACCCACTGGCGGTGAGAGGACCGTAACTCCGTCCAAGCCGCCGGCTTTCTCTCTTCGCGTCGATGACAAAGAGGCGGAGAGCGCAGAGGAGCATCAGGCGAAATCAGAGGCGAATACAGCTCCTGTACCAACTGACGATGCAGCGCCGCAACCACCGCCACCACCGCCGCCTGCTGCTACTGCTGTTCCGCCTCCCCCGCTCGTGGCGGTCGTACCATCCCTTCCCACCTTCACGGTTTCATCACCGCCGCCCCCTGCTCATTCGGTGGCCGTCTCCGTCCCTCCCCCTCCCCCTCCTGGCAGTGCAGCTGTGCCGCTGCCACCAGGTGCGGTGTCGCTGCCGGAGATGCCGTCGTCCACCCTTCCGGCCCCCCCACCACCACCAAGTGCGGTGGTTCCGACGTGTGCTCCTCCTGCTGCTCCTGCTCCGCCGACGCTGGAGCAGCAGCTCTCCCAACTGGATGCCCGCATTGAGGCGCAGAACGCGGCGCTTACCGAGCTGGTTCAGCGACACACAGAGTCAGCTTAGCGACGTTGGACATCGGCAGAGAAAAAGAAGAGGCGTACCTCACTCTCCAGCAACGTATTTTTCATGTGCACTGCCCCCTCCCCCCCTTTTTGTTTCACTCTACACGTAGAACTGCATAGACCTCTCGAGCTTATTAAAGCGACCGTAATGCCAATGCGACAGTAGAAGAAAAAAACCCCTCTAGTGTGGCAAGAAGAACGGTTACTAAACGAGTGATTAAGGCCTCCCTCTTTTTTGTTGGTGTTGCGCTTGCGTCGAGCAAGCTGTCTTAAAGAAAAAAGAAGATCCAAGAGCACACACGACGAACCATTTCTTTTGCATGTGGTGGCTACACCGCCATGCTTTCCAACTCTACTGTCACTCCAGCTCCAACAAGTATCCATCTTGGTGACTCTTCCTCCCCCTCTCTGCGCCTCTCTCTCTTTCTCTCTTTCTAGGAGAACGTGACTTGGACAAATACGCACTCTCTTCTCGTTTCTCCTTTTTCTCGTTTCCTGTTTTCAAATAAAAAAGGTTCTTTATGCTGCGATCGCGCGCATCTTTCGTCGTCCACGTTCAGCGCCCGTTGTTTGCTTCTGTAAAACGTTTTTTGTTGTCTCTTCTGCAGCTGCTCGACTTCACGTTGCTTGCCCATTTATCGAAGAAGCTGCTTTCATTTTCGCTAGTGCCGTTTCTGTGTGTGTACTTGGCGCATGTTTTACAATGGACCGCCGCCCACTGCTGTCCAGCAATCGAGAGTCGGCACGGCAACCACCACCGCCCCAGCCGCTCCTCCCGCCCTCGCAGGTCGACAACTCCCTCGTAGTCTTCGAGGATGATGTAGGCGACGCGGGCAACGGCGCCGGCGCCAGCAGCGAAGCACGTACGTCCATTTTTGACAGTCTATCTTTTGCCGCGTGGAGCGACAGCACGGTGCCGGCGACACGCGGAGGTAGCTCCACTTCCCACCTCGTGGCCGCGATCCTGCGACCCTTCCAGCGACTACACTTTTGGTGCTGCAGAGGCGGGCGCTGTTGCTGCAACTGTCTTCGTCGCTCCGACTCCCTTTCTGCGTCGGAGTTTTATGAAAACGGCAACGATGTATTCACTGGCGGCGCCAACGATCTCGTGGCGGCAGACGCACTGCGGGGGTCGGGGGTGTCGCAGGGGTCCCACCGCAGCAAAGGAGGAACACCGACGACGATGCCACACCGAGGTGGCGGCGACGACGACGGGAGGAGTGCCAGTGGGAGTCGCCAACACCGGCAATACGCACCGCCCCGTTCCCGTTCGTACGAGGCCGCGCTCGGGTCGGCTGCAGCGCCGGCATCCACGTCACCTCCGGAGCAGACCAATCTGGCGCAGGATGCTGCGGACGCACAAATCGCGGACTCCATCACGGAGAGCTCCCTTGCCGGCTCCAGCACACCACCGTCGTCGGTTGCGTTTGGCCGTGTGGCGACCACACCGGGGGAGCAGCTCGTGATGCAGCGAGGCGTACTGATGCGCATGACACAAGATGGCACGTGCATCCGTGTGGAGGACCCGGCTGGTTTCTACGGAAGTCAGCAGGGCGGCCGTGCCCAGCGGCACTCCCCGCGAACGTTGAATCCAGAGGGGGAACGGGCGGGTTTGCCAACGACACCTGCTGTGGCAGGGCAGACGTTGCGACTAGAGCAGTCCGGTGTGTCGGCCGTTGACAACAGGCACGATCCAGAAAGCAGCAATGCCGTAGAAGGCGCTCTCAGCGCGTACGCCGTAGCTATGGCCATGGACGCACTGGAAACTTCACGCCAGCCTCTCCGTACGCTGGAACAACTCTCGTCGATGTTAAGCGGCCTCGCGCCGTACCTCCCGCTTCGCGTGGAAACGGAGTTAGACCTTAACAGTTCTTCAGCGCTCCCTGCGGAAAGAGCTTCATCGTCGTTGGGTACTGGCTCTCCGACCACATCAGCAGCCCCTGTTGTGCCTCTATGTGTGCACGTACTCGGCCCCGTGCAGTCGTGTCCCACCGCCGCCGCCCTGCGTATTCTGGAAGATGTCCTGCTGGAGGATTGCGACCACAACAAGATGTGCATCACTGCGCTGCACTGCGCCGATCTGGACATGCGCGGCATCACCCTCGGCATGGAGGAAAGGCCCAACCTGGCTGGACGGCAAGATAACATCGTGGAGGCGGAGGAGGGCCGGCTGCGAGTTCAGAGCAACGCCTTTTTGGACTTGCTCGTGTCGCCGACAGCAGCAGACACGCGGACGTTCACACAGCGGACCATGCTCGGCGATCACGCGAACAATTCTGCCGTCACCGATCTCACTGCGGCAGTGGCATCCACGCACATCCTCACCTTTCTCAAGAACTTTGTCACGGGACGTGGATCGCCGCTGGCGACGTTTCATTTCACACGCTGTTTTGTGGTTCCGCATGACATGGGCAGATTCGTCCCCCTTCCCCTCCGCGCCGTCCGCCGTCTACGCTACGAGCAATGCTCCCTGACGCCGGCGCACATCGATGCATTGCTGACGCTCGCCCGCCACCAGGATGGTGAGAAACACGACGGCGCACGCGGATCAGCGAGGCGAAGTGTTGCCTTTGGCGTGCTGGAGGAGTTGCAGCTGAGCGGGCCTCTCACCTCCGAGTGTATTTCCGAATTGCTGGACTACATCGAAGAGCAGCAACTCTCCGTCACGGAAGGCAGTAGCACTCCGGTAGCCCTGCATCAACTTATTTTGCCGAACGCGCTGGTGCGGGCGGCGAAGGAGCACCCATTTGTTCAGGCGAACTACCAGCGCATCAGTGTGGTGAGCGCGTACTAGACGAGGGCTAACCACGCAACTAGCACATCTTTTAGCCGTTTTTTTTCCTTCATGCCGATGCCACACTTTTTCAATTTAGATCAGCATCCATGTTGGCTGTTCGTTTGTCTCTGTCTCCGTTACACTACCAGTTGTAATGGAGAAATGATCACCAAAAGGGTGCACCGGGGTTTTTTTTTTCATGTCTGGCGCTCTAATCGTTATATGTATCTTTCCCGGCTGGAGCGTTCCCCTGCACGCCAAAACGCCGCCTCTTTGCTTGGCTGCTCTACTCACCATCCGCGCCATCTTCCAAAGCTAACTATACAACTGCTTTTCCTTTCTTTGGTTGCTGTTTCGATGAAACCGATTTGCGCCAACTAGCACGTTATTTTTTTCTATTCGCCTTTCGTTGCACTCCTTCGAAATTGTAGGCATTCCTCCACCGTTGCTTGGAAATGCTCCTCGCGTACGTGCGTTTGTGTTCTGTTGTATTGACCTCTTTATTTCTCCGCTCCTTTATTGCTGGTTTTTTTTTTCCACAACTCCCCAATAATAAGTAATTAAAAGAAAAACAAGCTAGCTTTGTCAGTAGCTGTGTGTGTGTGTGTGCGGGTGTCCTGCAAACGCTATTGCTGCAGTTTGTATGCGCTTCTTCTTTTAAAAAAAGATCTTTCTCCCTTCCCGTTTCTCTTGCCATATAGTCTCCTTTCCTCCATCTACGATCTCCCCCCACCTAAACAACAACAACAAAAAACCGGCAGTGCTGTTTTTTGGAAACACATCGCTTCCTCGAGTCGTTCTTCCTCTCTCTTTTTCCTTCTTCTGCTTTCATAGTTCCGCGTTCTTACTTGCCGAACGGCATCGAGCTGAACCCCAAATACATACCCTACGACGAAACGGTTGACCTCTTCCTTTCCTTTTGTAGAAGATCGAAAAGCACCTCTTAGTAAAGAACGGGAAAAATACCCTTCTTATTCCATCCAACAGAGTCCACACCCACGCTATACAACCACACCGCTAGAATCATGTTCTTCGCCGGAGGCACCTTTGGTCATGAGAGTGAAGCGCGGGAGGCCAACAAGCGCCAAACTGGCCGTCGACATCAACCACAAGACATGGCACTGTCGCCCACCGGAAACGTCCCCGCCGGTCCCGTAGCGAGTGAAGATACGAGCCGTCACATGAACGACCAAAAGCAGATGTCTGCGGGTCCGTCCTTTATGGACCGGATGTACGCCCACGACGCCTCGGCCGGCCAGCAGCCGCACGCGGCCCGCCGACAAAAAGCGGGTCCGAGGGACAACTTGAACATCTTCTCCTGGCAGGAGGCTGACAAAGCTCAGGTGTCCCCGCAGCAGGCGGGTCGTGGCCCTCGGGAGGCTCGCAGTACCGACGCTACAATGGCGGTGCCGACGGCTGAGGATCGCCGGGCGCAGGAGTCGAAGAAGTTCGAGACGCACAGCGCGAGCACCTTCCTGAAGTTTAGTGATACGCCGGTGAAAGGCCAGCAGGCACCAACCCCCAATGCGACCCGTCGTGCATCAGGGTCGGCGCAGCAGGGAGGTGGCATGATGGGGGAGCTCATGCGCGACCAGCCGCAGCGGCCGCACGGCAAGCGCATCCAGGCGGAGCAGCAAAGAACGGCGAAGCAGACGGGGGCGGGCGGCGAGGTGTCGGGTGTGGCTGGATTCCCTGGCATGGGCCAAAACAGTGCCCCGCGTCCGGGGCCGCAGTCGAACCGGAAGCAGGCCCCGTCGAACGTCTTTCCCCCGTCGTTGCCGCCGTGGGCTCAGCACGACGATGCGGAGGCGGATCGCAAAGGGGCTCCGCCGCCGGCGTCTGCGCAGCGGCAACCGGCCTACCGACTGGACGGCGACGACTACGAGTCCCGCCACTACGACGAGGGCGATGTGGCCGGCGCCAATCAGGTGCCGCCGCGCCGCATGCAGGAGATCGAGATGTACGACGACGATGAGGACAACTACGCCCCGGTGCCTCAGCAACAGCAGCGGCAGCAGCCAGGGGGTGGTCGCCCGCAGCCGAAGTGGTTGGACGTGCCGGAGGAGGGCGCTGGCCGTCAGGGAGGCGCTCCAGCTGTTTCGCAGCACCGGTACGGCTTCAACCCGGAGCATCAGGAATTTTACGACGACGGCGAGGAGGAGCCCGGTCGTCACGTGCACTAGTAGAGGCGGGAAGCGCGCGGTATCTCGCGCACTCGCATGGGAGACTTTCGTTATCCTTTTTCTTTTGAGTTGGAGGGCGGAAAGAACAGAAAGCCAAAAAGCGGCCTTCAAAAAGGCGATTAGACTGAACATAAACGACGTGGGTGGCGGCAATAGAGAAAACACATCGACCACATGCGTACACTTCCATTTGTTCGTTGCTGCCCCTACCACCCTCATGGATTGTTTTTTTTCCTATTTTTTATTTACTTGTATTCTTCGAAAGTTACTACACTACAAGGAGCACTTACAAGAATTTAATCTTCTTCTCCACGTAAGGGTTACTATAGCGAGAAAGGGTTGGAGCTTATCTGCTATCCGGATTTAGACTATACAGAAATACATATATTTTTCTTTTCTTTTTAGAAGGACGAGTGAAAGATACTGTGTCCTCTTTTTGTTTTCCCACGCGCTAATTTCCTTCGTCGATGTATATGTATTTTATTACTATTAAGTGAAAGGTAAAGCAACAGCGCCAAGTACACGTGCTCGTCGAACAAGGATGAAGCTAGGTATGTCGGGTTTGACTTCAAAAGAAGTACGTGCGGTGAAGCTACGTGCACGCGAGGGAGCCAGGATTTTCTTTTCTGTGAATTCTCTCAGGTGACTTAAGATGCATGCAAGGCTCCGCCCTCCTTTTATTTATTTGTTTACAGCTGCTGCATCGGCATGTATACCCGCATGCACTGATTGCAACCGCGACGTGTTCTTTTGATTTTTTTTTTTTTTGTAGGCTGCATAGAAACAGCACTTTTTGTTTTGCTCGCGCTTTAAAGGAGCTGTCTTGTCCTTCCTCTACGATCTCGAATCACATGCCTTCTTCCTTTTCATCGTCGCTCTCCCGCTTATCACAATGATCTATCTATCTATCTATATATATATATATATATCGGTACGGTGTCGCCTCTGCCAATCACAGGCCAGTACACAATTGCACCCCCAAGTACATCAGCACTGCTTTTCTTGTTGGTCTGCTTGGGGTTTTTTTTTTCGAAGGTCGAAGCACGGATTTGTTCACATACTATCGGAACGCACCGGATACGCACAGTTAATAACCACGCCGGCGATTCTACCCTTAGGTCGAGCCCTTTTACCTCTGCTTTCACCACAGACATTCACCAAAGAATTCGATTTGTTTCTCAAATAATAACGATCTGCAACTTCTTTGTCCTTGGATCTCACCTGCGTCGAAGTTCGTGTTCCTGCAAAGCGCGCATCTCACAACGCTTCATACAATATCTTCCATAGAATTATACCACGTATTTGCTTTCGCCGCTCTGCGTGGTCCTTCACAGGCACATATGAGATGAAGAGAGCAAAATGCGCCTCGGCATTGCTTTCCCCTTCGGCGTGGTGGCGCCATCGGTCGCCGTTACCACTGCTCGCACCCACGGCCTCGCGCTCTGATGCGGGGGCACGAGTCGTGCGGTGCGCATACGTCCCTGTTCATTCCTTCACGAAGAAGAATCAGCTGCGACGCCCGCGCGGCGTCACTGCGGTAGGAAACGACTTTTTTGGGCGGTGTTTGGCTCCACGTAGTGAACCGGTGCGTGGCGTATCGACCCCGGCGTTGGCATCGACAGGCACAGACGCCTCGGCAGCTGATCACACTGCGGCTGAAGCTGCCTTCGAGGCCGCCATGTTCGGCACCTTTTCTCGCCATTCTGTAGAGCAGCACGTCAGCGAGGGGGCGGATGGCGTCGCGAGTTCGACGGGCGAGACAAGCGATCGTTCCCCTGCGACTTCGCCGACGTCACGTAAATTGCCGGAAGCCTCGGCGTCTTTCGGTGCTGCAAAGCCGATGGAGGCAGCGCCTGCTGCCGACGAGCACAACGGGAGAGGTACTTCGACTTCTTCTGCTGTAAGTGCTTTTCGCGAGGAGACGCCGGTAGGCGGTGGAGCGGATAAACGAGGGGCTTTGCCGCCGTTATCCACAACGCACCTATTGCAGCCGCCTGCGCCGCAGAAACACTCCGCTTCGACATCTTCTGAGGAGGCGTTTGAGCGGGCACTGTACGGTGACCTTTTCAAGGTCGGCGACTCCCCAGACAAAAGCGCGAAAAACACAGCTGCGGTGGCAACAGGGGTGAGAGCACTGAAACCCCAACAGGAGCCCTCGGAAGCGGAAGAGGGGGTTAAACAGGCTGAAGACGACAAAGAGGTACGGGGAGGGAGTGAGAAATCACCGCAGTCACCGCCAAATGACGCCGCTGCAGCGGAGGCAGCATTCGAAAAGGCTCTCTACGGGCTTGATGGGCCGACGGCAATCTCCACGCTCGAAAACGGATCGAGGCCATCTGCTGCTTCTCCGCTTGACGATTGCGCGGAAGGTGATGTGGCATCGTTTGACCCAGCAGCTACGCACGTTTCTGGGACGCTAAAGACGGTGCACGCATCGATCTCACTCCCTGCGCGGGATACGCATCGTGGCAAACATACCGAGGCAGCAACAGCGGACAACAGCGGCGTCTCGGACGCGGAGCTGGACACAGAGGATCTGTTGGACGGTGAGGAGGACGAGCAGCTTTTTGAGGCGGATGCACCCGAGCCAGCGTCGGCGTTTCACCCGCCAGAGAACACGGCAATGCGCACCGTCGTGGGGCAAGACGATGCGCGTGCAGCTGAAGATGCAACACCAGCAGACAAAAAGGCTGTGATGAACGAAGAAAGTGCGATGGAGCCGCTTCTTCCGCCGCCCCTTCCGACAGTGTCCATGATCTGCCCGTTAAACCTTAACGGCGACGACGACGCGGTTGCAGAGGACGGGAACGCCATGCAGGATGCCCTCTTTGGTGTGGCAGATCATCACACCAGCGTGGTGACTCACCTGGACCCTGCGGACCGAGTGGAGTCCTGCATGCCGCTACTGGACCGTGCGAGCAAACTGGAGCTATTCTACGAGAGTGGCTGGCTGATGCCCCTCCAAGAGCAGGAAAACGAGTGGATTAAACGGGTGAGTGGTGACCGTGGTGCACCGACTTCGGCGGCAGATAGGAGGGAAAGTTCCTCTTCAGATTCTGCGGAAACGCTCGCAGCGGAGACACCGCCGCTTCCTCGATATTTTTCGCAATCCTTACCTGGTTCGACTCCTCTTCTTCCTCCTCCCACGCACCGCGAGGTTGTTGGTCGCAGCAAAGTTCTGCGGTGCCTTGTCTATCGACTGCTGCGAGCACCGCATCTCTGGTGGGACCAAGTGCAAGAGCTGGTGTGGATGGCGGTCAAGGAGGCAATGGCGAGACAAGAAGAGAGAAAATCGAATCCACACGATGTAACCCTCGTCAATGCATCGTCGATGGACGTCTTGCCTTCTCACAAGTCTGGCCTCGCTGAGGAAACGTATCACAGCGGCGTACCGCTGTGCCAGGTGATGTCGGAGCAGCTGATGCGGTCGTCCATGACCAACATTTTCGGCACTAGACCGCTAAACGTGCACTTCTTCAGCGCTGCCCTCTGCCACGAAATTGTGGAGATGTACCGCGGCACGCTGCGTGCCACCGCCGTTGCCTCCTCTTTTTCCGCTGCACCGTCGGCCTCGTCGTCGTCGACCTTCACGGGTCCCGCGGCGGCGTGGAGGGCCTTTGTGCTCACGCACCGACGAGACCAGTCGCGGGTGTGCGGACCGCATGTGCGGCCCTTCAGCTATGGCGAGGTCCGTCCCACCATCACCGCGGCGGAGTTGGCGCCGCTTCGTTACTGCGGTGCAGCTGCGTCGCTGGCGGCATCGCTCGGTGGCGATGCAGGTCAGGACGCGACATACTCCGGCGTTAGAGGCAGCCGCAACGCTCTCTGGCCTTCTTTGGAAACGCAGATCAACGAGGACGAAGGCGCTGCCGCGGCGAAGGAGGGTCACTCGTGGCTGGAGATGAACGAAAAGGAACAGAATGCGTTCTTGTTTGGGGAAGGGAGTGCGCAGCTGTCGTCGCTGGTGCGATCTTCGGACGGCATCTTTGTCGTCTACGGCCAGGATGGTGTTACCTTCGAAGAGGAGGACAAGCTCATTGCGGCAGAGGAGGCGTTGCGGAAAGCTGCAGAGCAAGAAGAAGAACGTCTCCAACAATTGCAGCAAGACGGCGTTGTCGCGGCTTCTGTGCCGCGCCTCTCTCCGCTGGAGCGAGCGCGCGCGGAGGAAATGGCGCGTGTGCGACTCTATGATGTGGACCGAGTGGTGCTGGAGCTGACCAGTACCGAGGGTCGCTGCGATGCGCCGGGTGCAGCAAGCAGTCGCGATGACCATGATGAGCGCGGCTCAGGGGTGTTCTCCGCGTCTACCGTCGCGTCTTATCTGTCCAGTGTGGCGTTTCCCTCCATTGAGTCGTCTTCACTGCCGACGTGTGGCCGAGGCCGCGGTCGGGGCGGACGATCGCCTCGGCGGTCCAAGGTATCCTCGCCTTTTCAGCTGCAATTGCAGAACAAAGAGGATGTGCAGCTGGCAGCGCTGTGGCAGCGCTTCTTGAGTGCGTCGACGGGGGACCTCGTTGAGAATCTCCTGCACGTGCAGCGCCACGCAACGGAGCTGGTCCGCGCTGCAACGACGGAGGTGGCGCTGCAGAAAGCGTTTTGGTTGCTCTTTCACTCTCGCGATGAGGTGCGGGCGGTAACGCATCCGCGGCGCACATACGAGACGGTGTGGAACCTGCACGAGCAGCTCGTCGAATTGCTGGCGTTCACGCCAGACGGCGACCACACCGGCAATGTTGTACCGAATATGAAGCAGAAAGCGGAGATGGCGCCGCGCCCCGCTTTTGATCGTCTTGCCCTCTCCAGCCAGGTCAGTTACACTTGCTTTGGATGCGCTCACGTGCCGTTACACCGCAGTTGCCAAGCTCCTGCTACCACGCCTGCCCTTCCCCGTCCACTTCACCAACCCTTCGAGCTGTACGAGGCGCTAGTGGAGAGCACGTGCGCTTCAGCAGGAGCGAGGGCACAGGTGAAAGAAACGGGCTCTCAATGTGACAGCGCTGCTCTGCCGCTGTCGGACGCGTATACGTCACTGCTCCCGCTGCAACAGTTTGCTGTTGGTTGGTGCTTTCCTCAAAATGCATCGGAAGAAGCAGAGATGGCGCGCCGAACGGCGGCGAATTTGGCTGAGCACGACCCAGCAACGCAGGATGCGTTCGAAGCCGCGACGTCAGCGTCGGTGGCAGCGCTGCGCTCCCACAGCAGGCGCAGTGCATCGATAGCGCGGTGGGTAGGTGACGCGCAAGAGCACATGCGTGTGACGCTGATGGCGCAGGCGGCGGCGATGCAGCGCTTGATGGCCGCACAGCAACGACGGCGTGGACGACCTCCCGCAACGGAGAAGGACGCGCATGAGGAAGCGGTGGAAGGCGAAGAAGTAAACGAGGACAACATCAGTGAAGCTTTACTCGACGTACCAGATGCAGGAGCCTCCGTAATGGGATCGACGGCGGCGGCAGCGCCGCTGGAACCCACCCGTATTAGAATGGAGGAGAAGGAGGAGGCGAAATGCACCCAATCCATGCAGCAGCAGATCCGTGATGCCTTGGGGGCGAGCATCTATAGCTGTTGCTGCTCTCTCCGTGCGACTGGAATGCTGCCGCCGCTGTCTACGCCTGGTGACATCATGCCGCTCTTCACACCAGCTCAGGAGGCAACAATCCAGCAAGCCGTCAACACGATCGTGGCGAGTCTGCACTGCCGGCTAGAAGAGACTCTTGGAGAAACTGCCGTGACGCACGCGGCGAACACCACAGATGAAGAGCCCACCGATGCGGTACTGGAAGGAGGACAGAGTGCGGGGGTGAGTGTCGGAGCAGAGGAGGCGACTCCGGCGCCTCTCCGAAAACGAGGCCGCGGAGGTAAGCGTCACGCAGCCGAAGACGGCAAGGCGATGGAAGTAGCGATGACTCCCCTCACACCCGTTGAGTCTTCAACAACAACAAAGAAACGACCTCGCACGAAGCAACGGCAGACGAGTTATGTTGCTGCGGAGCCGTCTCTGAAGCCCAGGCGTGGCCGTCCGCCCCGCGTGATGAACTCCGATGGCACCTACACGAAGGCCTCGTATGTTCACTCCGCTGCCTACCTGGAACGGAAACAGAGGAAAGCGCACGAAAAATCCTTCTTCTCGCAGTAGGGTGGCGGCGGTTTTCAGGGCCGCAAGAAGAATGTCTACTCACGTGCGAAAGGGAGAACACGAAGCTACAAGGAATATATATATATATATATATATATATATTGCCGAAACAACACTCTTCAAAAATGAGTTCAACATGCATTGATCTTCACTTCGCAGACCCGCGTTGTCACTGCTTTCTTGCATGAGTGCATGCTGTCAAGGAGTGCCAAATGCCGGCCACGGAGTCCGTATTTGTATCTCGATAACGAGCAGGAATAATCTCCCTCTATTGCTTGGGAGCTAGTGTGTGTGTGCAGCGGTGTGTTGTAGCAAACGTTTGCTCCAAACGACTCCCCCCCCCCCAGTAAACTCCTCCTGTATTCTTCGCTTTCTCTCTTCTTGACACTTCGCTCTTTACTTTCTCATTTCACATACACAACTCCCCCCCCCCCGAAAAAAAAAAACGCTTTATCTCCCTTTTTTTCTACTTGTGTTCTGTCATCAAACCAGCGACGTCAAGCCATTAGCTTTGCGGTTATTTTCTTCTTCTGATTGTTCGGCGAACTCAAGTTGTGTGCGGCATTTTTCGAGCTTTCCGCGCGAATCACTCCGCGTTTACGCTTACCGCGGACGTCACAGATTTCGTTTTGTTTTTTGCGATTTGGGTTGTCTAGCTGTTTTTCAACAGCCGTCAACTCATCTAATTCAGTTGCTTTTGTTGTTTTGGCTGTTTTTGCTAGCGGTGTTTTTTTCTGTTTCCTTCACATCTTCATTGTTGGGACCATTTGAGACGAGCAGAGGGAATACCCTGCGATAACTATTTGTTGCTGTTGTTTAGTTGAAGAATCGTGCTTGTGAGGAAAGTGAAGCCGCTTAGAAAAGTTTAACCCTTCCCTTTTTCCTTTTTGTCTGCAGCGCCTGAGAGCCTTATTTCATTAAGTCTCTTTTGGTGGACCTCACGCGTCATTCCGTGGCGCTTCGTATTCAGTTTTGGATTTGCTGCACCCCCTTTTTTTTCACATCTCTTTCTGCTCTAATTAATCATTAATTGAATCCCTTCTCTAGAGATTTTGTGTGTGTGTGTGCGTTTTGGTTGCTATCCATTCCAGTGGTGGCAACGCCCGGCTGCACTTCTCAACTTCACCGGCTCTCAGCAACAACTTTGCGTGTGCCCCTTCTTTCCGTGGATCTTTCAATATTACATTGTCTTCCATCGGTTGTACTTTTTTTTGTTTTCTGCCGGTATAGAGCTGTGCGAGTGCGTGTGTGTGTGTGCGACGTCCTGCTGATTACCGATCGCAGGCACTTCCTCAATCGTCTTTTGTTTAGTTCTGCTTCCCACTGTGTGAGCCCCACGCTCTAGCGGCGTTTCGGGTTTCATATTGATTTACTTCACTCTCTCTCATGGAGTGAGAAAGAGCCGATCTGTAACGCTCTTTTTCTTTTATTTACTACACGCGGCTCGCATTAAAGTTGTTGAGTCCGCTGAGCAGCACAATCAGCGTGAAAAGGTCCGCGAGGCCCTGCGCCCGCGATAGCTTTTATCGTTGCTGTCACAGTTCTACTCTTGATACATAGAGGAGAAATTTGCGCTTCACATACACGCCGACGTGTTGTTTTCATCATTGAGAGATGCAGCAGCAGCTGTCGAAGCTTGCTGTTTGCGGCCGAGGCCCGCTTCCCCGGCAACGCTTTATGTTCGCTTCTATTTGTTCTCTTCTGCGTCGTCCCTCTGCAACGAAGCTGGCCGCACCCCTTGTGTCGTCGCAGACTCTCCGTGCCTTCCGCAGCGGGGTGGCAGGAGCCCTCGCCACTGGTGCGACTTCCACTGCACAGCGTCACAAAGGCACGTATGGCGCACCCTTGGGGTCACCAGGTTTGCTAACAACGCGAAAGCCGCGGAAGCAGTACAACTACCTCAACACATCACGCCTGATCGAGACACCGAAGAAAATCCCCGTGCATGTGCAACGTGTGCGAGATGACAAAACGCTGGAGCGGCGGCAACACTTCAAAGAAAATCTGCTACGCGACGTGGAGCAGAAGATTCGCTTTTTCCCTCCTCTCGTTAAGAAGCGCGTTTTCTTCCCAATGAGCACGATAAACAACCGCGTTCTTATCTTTCGCGGTCACCGTGATCTTGGCACCCTCCTCGGGACACGCCTTACGTGTCTCGTGATTGAGCAGCTCAAGAAGGCGGAGAATCGTTCATTCCTGCTCGAGAAAATGAAGGAGCTCGAGGTCGAGCCTCCCACCGCGGCAGAGTGGGCGAAGTTCACTGACCCGAAGACGGGAGACATTAACATCGACGTCTTGTACTCCCCCTGGATCGAAAGCCTCTTGTGCTCCTTTGCAAGAATGGAGCGGAAAGCGCATAAGCAGCCACAGAACTTGCGATCCATGGCGGCCTTGCGAGATTACGTGGTGCAGAACTTCGCGAATCCCTCGCTCGTGCCGTCCTTAGAATCGTGGTCGCGTGCGCAGGGCCCAGTGCGCGAGACCGACTTTGTTGGTCGACCCGGCAGCAACGTGGCGAGGCAGGTCCAGTATAAGACGAATGTGCAGCGCATGAGCCAGTGGGGCAAGCAGCAGGCGTTCGACGCCGTCTCCGCCCTTTCACTGGAGGAGCAGTTGACACTAGTGAAGGACGTGGCGCAGAGACGCACGCAGCTCCTGCAGGAGCTCGAGGAGCGGCACCTTTTTGCGACTAAATTCAAACACGTCCTGTTTTCGCTGGATGAGTTGAAGTCCATCATGGGGCCGTGCGAGTTGTTTCACAACGCCTGCGCGCGCAAGTTTGTGATGGAGCACAAGGGCGCCTACTACCCAAAGCACACCCGCGACACGAAGGCCTTTACGCAGCTGCCCAAGGAAGAGAGGGTGCGCCTGTGTGCGTTTGGCTACCGCTTCGAGGCGCAGCCGACAACGGGGCAGAAGCTGTACGTGCGCTGTTGCGTCCGGGACTACGGTCTCCCCTCTTCCGAGGCGTCGCGCCGCTACGGGCGGCTCAGCGACCTTCAACGGGCAGCATTGTGTTTTCCGTTTTACCTCCCCATCGCACCAACGCGCGCCACCGTCGCGTCTTTCAAGCGTTTTTACCGTGATATGTGTGCGCGGTACGGTCTCGCCAACCCCAACGGCCCAGTGCTGGGCAACCGCCTTTTTGAGGCCGCGATGCGCAAGCGCTGGAATGGCCTCTCGATGGAAGAGCGGGCACAGTACGAGGACAGCGACCGCGTTGCGGATGTGTTCCCGCTGATTAAGCCGGCCACAAAGGAGTCGTCGACGTCCAGCACGGAGGCCATGGCGGAGTACTTCACAGAGGATCACCCGCGGACGTCATGCAGCCTGGACGAACTTCTCGCGAGCACCGCCACGAAGAAAGAAGAAGCAGCGGAGGAAGAAGGCGAGGGAAAAGGCTGTGACGAGGAGCCGCTGGTGATGTCTGCGCGCGGGGTATCTGGGTCGTTTGCAGCGTCGCCACGCGGTGCTGCTGCTGTGGCGCGTGCAACGGTGCGTAGAGTCAACGGGCGAGAGGCGGGCTCACGTGCGCATCATGAGCGACTTCGCGTTATTGTGATGTAATGTAGGAGTGCATGAGGTACGCGGTGCCAGCAGAAGGAGAAGCAGAGGGTGCCGCCAGCGACTTGCTACAGGTGGCGTTCATTTTTGTATTGTTCATTTATTCATGGGAGGACCTCTCCTCTTGCCCTTCTCTCGTTTACAGAATCCCCTCCTCACTCCTGAGCGTCTTTTAAGGATTATGGTTAATTATTATTATTGTGTGTTAGTTATTATTATTATATTTGTACAACTACCCGTCTTTCAGTACCCCGTATGCCTTACTTCTCACAAATGAAGAAAAGAAGACCAAACAATAAAAAGCAACACAAAGAATCAAGAAGAGCATCGCACCCCAACCCCCTAAAGAAAGAGAGGAGGGAGAGAAGGAAAAGGCATACACGTATATACGCCGTGACTGTTTCGCTGAAGGTCCAGCGGCGCACGAGCTACCTCGAAAGAGCTACAAGAATGTGTGTGCTTCGACTTGTTCGTGACTCTATCGACTGGGCGTTTGTTCCCCCCCCCCCTTTTCGTCTCTACGCGTCGAGAGGAACTAAGATGTACGAACTACCTAAGCGCTGCTTCTCAAGCTCATTCCATCACACGATTGAATGCGAATTCATTGTGATACTGTCTGCCACTTCAATCTCCTCTTTCTCCCTTTGCTTCTGGCTCGACTAGGAGCGCGTTTCACCCACTCAAATCATCCAGTGAATCTTTGCATGTCATCAGAAAACGTGAAGGGAAGGGATACGAGAAATATCCACCACTTGCATTGCAGTGAATTTTTTATTTTGTGAGCTAGCTGTGCCTTTCATCTAGCTCTACCAAATCTCTACTACACGTTTGTCTGGAAATGAAAACAAGAACAGGAAATCTTTCGTTCGCGTTTCTTCGCCATCAAAAGGGCACTTTTATTTTTTATTTCTGTAAGTACCATTTCGGCTCCTAGCTTCTCTATCGATTTCGCCGCAGTGACGACGAATATCTTCGCGCTACATTCGTGTGCACAGTGACGTGGAGTTTGACGGTGTGTCGGTACTCGTCTTCGCATTTGTCTGCGGGCTGTTTTCTCATCCGCAAAGACACACGTCTTTTGTGACCTCTCAAGGCAAAAAGAATACATATATATATATAGGGAGAGAGGGAGGAGGAAACGCCGACTTTTACTGAAACTGCTCTATAAAGACCTTTTTGTTTCTTGTACTCTATCTCGTCCCAACAGAGGCCCTCTTGTTACTGCCGCGGAGGATTTACTTCACTTCCGCACACCCTCCCATTTTTATTTTTATTTTTGCTTTGCCTCATTCACAAGAACCGCAACAGCAGCGACAACGACGACTCCTTCGACGACGTGGCGTTTTTGTTTTCCTTCCTTTTGTGGTTCGTGTCGTCGTCGTACGTCTTTGCTGACTTTCGTCACATTTTCCCCTCTTTTTTTTGTTTTTGAAGGTTTTGTTGTTATGCACGGCGCGATTATTACTGTTATCATTGTTGACGTTTGCCTACGCATTTCCTACCAAACACAGGTTTACTCGCGCGCGAGAAGGTAAAGGGAAAGGAAGAAGAACACCGCTGCCTTTGGTGAGCAACAACGTACACTAATACTACGGTGGCGTCGCCGTCGACAAACACAGGAGGTTTGCTGTCTTGTCTTGACTTCTCCAGAGTACGTTGGCAGCTATTAGTATTGTTAATATTTTACGCAGCGGTCACATATATTTGCTGTTCGTGTCTTGTGTACCAGTACGAATTGTGGGTGCTGTGTGAACCTGTCATTGCTTCTTCGTAGTTGTTTTCCATTTGAATCCCTGCTTCTTCCCTCGCTATTATTGTTATTATTATCATCATCATTTGTTGTTGGCATTCTTGTCTTCTCACATTGGTGTGCATTTTTGTTTTTCTTTTGACCGCTTCGAAGGAGCCGTCAATGAGTGTGTCGATGAATATGGGTAACTACTCGTCACAGATGCGTACCAATGCAGCGTCTTCGGCAGCAGCAGCGCCGTCCCCGTCTGCCCACAAAGCGGAACGGGGAGAAGTGAAGTCCCACAACGGCACTTCACATGCCTCTACTGCGCCCACGACCATCGCGAGAGCGCCTCCTCCTCGGCTCCCACCCCCTGCGGGGGCGGATCTAACGGAACAGCTGCCCGTATCTGCGGAGTACTTGAAAATGGTGCTCACGGAGTCACTAGAGGCACAGTACCACTGCACCCACGACTGCGCTGCGTCGACGGTGGAGAGCTTTTATCCGGACGAGGCAAAGTGTCGTGCGATGGTTCAGGCCAAGATGAACTTCTCCGTGGTGGAAGTGGTGGGCCTGGTGACCAAACAGCGGGAGTGCTTGGATCAGCTGTGCGCCGACCTCCCTCGCGCTTTTGCGCGCTTCCCTCTCCTGAACGGCTCGATGAAAGATGACGATGATGATGGCGCTGCTGCTGCTACTGCTGCCGTCGATGCGGCGGCCCATCGTCCCCCAATTGACTGGGCAGCGGTGCGCGATGGCCTCTTCGCGGAAGATAAGGCACCGCTGCTGCACCAGCATGCCGAGCTCGCCAATGTTGGCGTGCCGGACGCCCTGCCCGTTCTCGAAAACGCTTACAGAACTTTGGTGACCACGAAAGGCTTCTCCCACCTGCTCGGCTGCTACTCTTCGGGAGATGGCGTGGTGGTGGCGGCCGATTACGTGAACGAGCGTCTGCGCGGCACCCCAGTGCAGGAGCTGGCACGGCGGATGCATTTCGCGCCGGAAGTGGTGGCCGAGCTGAGAGGCGCAGAGGTCAGCTTGCCGACGCCGCTGCACACGCGCGTTAACGCGTTTGGCAACGATCCCGCCACGTCGCACTCGAAGCGGCAGGACAAAGGGAGCTCACAGGCGGCATTGCGCGACGCCGGTCTGGCGTACATCCACAGCTTCGTGACGACCAGCGCGGCGGAGGCGCTCCAGCAGATTTGCGCGGGGAAACTGCGGCTGCCGGTTGTAGTGAAGCCCTCGACCGGCGCCGGGTCGGAGTTCGTCACGCTGTGCTACACGGAACACGACGTCGTCGTGGCGTTTCAGATGGTGGACGGGTTGCGCACCTCACAAGGCACCGATGCCGCAGTGCTCGTTGTGGAGGAGTACATCGAAGGCCCCGAGTACGTGGTGAACACGGTGAGCTACGACGGTGTGGCGGTGGTGACGGATGTGTGGCAGAGCTGGAAGTTCCCGAAGGCGGTCTACACCTCCGGCTTGACCCTCGCGGCGGAGCAAAGCGTGCGTACCGTCGGCCGCGAGGAACGGAAGCGCAATAAGACTGCAATTCTGTACGACAAGCAAACCCTGGTTGCCGATCTCGCGAGTTTGCCACCGGACCATGAAGCACGACGGGTGGCCGCGTACACGTTGAAGTGCCTCGACGCGCTGGAGCTGCGCAACGGCTGCGCGCACTGCGAGCTGCGCGTCGACATGCGAGGCACCGCCGCCCACCATAATCGCCAGGCGCAGCGAACGAACGCTGAATCCGCCGACTCCACTCTCAGCGGCGCTGCCAAGTCTGCCGTCGCAGAGGTGCGAGGGGAGCCGGTGCTGATTGAGCTGAACCCACGCATGCAGGGCGATGCGCCGCGCAGCACCGAGGTGGTCGGCTACGATCAGTTCTCGCTCATGGTGTACATCGCTGAGGCGGTGAACACGTTCGGTGGGGCGACGGCCGTGTCGACGCAGCTGCCCTTTCGTGGTCCGTCGTATTCTTCCGTGTGCGGTGACATTCCGTGGCCACCGGTGCCGCGTCTCTACCACGCCCTCGACTCTTCTCCACCTTGCACGACGGTGCTATTCCTCGTGGCGAACAACGACTGCATCTTGAACGGCCTGGCGCTCCCGCGCTTAACGGCGTTGCCGTCGTTTGTGCGATTTACGCGGATTGTCTTCAAGCCGAATTTGCCCGGCTACGTTACGCCGCTGCGGCAAACGGTGGACCTCTTCTCAAGCCCGTCCGCGTGTGTCATGCGGGGATCGCCGGAGCAGGTGGAAGCGGACTGCAGCGTCATCCGCGCGATGGAGGAGGCGGCCGTCGCACCGCTCACACGGAGTATGCTGCAAGACGCCGTGTCAAAGACGCATATGATGCGCGTCGTGCGCTCCGCGCTGCAGCAGGCGGAGCGTAACTTGGAGTTCCTTTTCGAGGCAGACGCAAATCAAACACTATCGCGCTCGTCCTTCTCAGACGCTGCAGAGATAGCGCAGGTGCCGGACCCACACGTGAGCATCCCAGAGGTGCAGCGGTGTCGTGACAAGCTGATGGCTGATGTCGCGGAGCTGAAGGAGCATGTCGATCACCTGCGCACCGCCATCAAGACCGAGTTGCACAATCAGTCACCGCCGCCGCTCTACATTCCTTACGACATTTTTGATGTGATGAAGAATGCGGATGTGGCCTCCCTGCTGTCGCTGCATTAGGGCACATACGGCCCGCTCTTTTTGATTCTTCTTCCTCTGTTCCTCCCATGTATTGCGTCTGTTGGAAGTTTTGGTCGCGCTGCTTTGTGGGCGAGTGACTACTTACAAGCTGAAAAGCAAGAATGGAGGGGCGTCGGCGGCATAGTGCGTCCTCCGACCCTGCAAATGCGCTTCATGAAAACAATCTTATTGTTATTATTTTTGTTTTACCGCGACTGCTTGACTGATGTGGTTTGTTTCTTCCTCCTCTGATTGCTGTGTTCTCGCCACGTTATTCGGTTGCCTCTGTGTCGATCATTACAAAAGAATGGCAGCAACAAAATTCAGGATTTCTGCCGCTGAATTGCCTTGGGAGAAATTTACCGTAGCTTTTCTTTTTTCTTTTCTTCTACTTTCAAGAGTTCCACTTTATTGAAGTCATGGTTTCTTCCGTAGTGCCACGCCACGCCACTCAAGGCGACAGGCACTGAATTCACTTCTCATGCGAAAACGAAACGACAACAGCAGGTTTTCCAATTACTGTAACACGTAGAAGTCGTGGGGAAAAAACATCAACAGCGTAAGTGACGCGAAACGGTGTGTTGCATTTGGTGAGGCCAGATGGTGATCTTCACCCTGCACACTCGTCTCGAATCGCGTTTTGGGGCTGTCGCAGCGTCACGCAGCCGCACTGTGTAGTCCACCTCCGAAAAAGGAGTTGAAAGAAGAGACTCTTTCGTTTTGCCCCTTTTTTTCCTTCCTCCATCTTGCTTTTTTTTTTTGCAGTCCGACACGCATCAACCTTGCTGCGAACAATTACAGGCGTACTTTTCTCCTTCACCTACGCCACAAGGTTGGCGTCCATGATAAGGTGAAGGATACGATAGCATCTTTATGGGTTTGTTTGTTTTTTTACTTCTTTTCCTGTTCACTACGCACGAGTACGTTAATCTCCAGTTAAGAAGCCTTTTTCATCGCGCTTCTCCCGTCGCTGAAAGATCCATCGCATTGTGAACTCCCCTTGTGTAGCTCACACGTCTGAAGACAGAAAAGAAACTCAACTTGGTGTGTGTGTGTTCTGACATCAGCTACTCATCCATCTTACGATCGCGCATGGTCTTTTTTTTTGTCTTTTTAAAGCCGAACATTTATCGAAGAAGATCGAAGCGTGTAGATGCCGCGTCGTGTTACTACTGTCGTCGTCTGCGGCCCATCCGGTGTGGGAAAGACAACGATTGGTCAGCTTCTCGCGGCCGAATTCCACTGCCCGTTCGCGGAAGGCGACGACTATCACAGCGCTGAAAATGTGGAAAAGATGCGGGCGGGTCTCCCGCTGACAGACGAGGACCGTGCGCCGTGGCTGCACCGACTGTTTAATGAAGTCGTGGCGCCAAACAACGGCAAAGACGGGGTGGCCGTCGTACTGGCGTGCTCGGCCCTGCGACGCTGCTACCGCGACCTCCTGCGCGGCGCTGACCGCTGCCACTCTGCTGCGGAGAGTGCAAAGCAACTGGCGGAGACGGAGGTGTTTTTCCTGCTCTTAAGCGGGGACGCGAGCGTCGTGGCGGCGCGGCTGGCGGCCCGCAAAGGGCACTACATGCCCCCCTCCTTGCTGGGCTCACAGCTGGCTACGTTGGAGGCGTTGGCGCCAGACGAGCTCGGTGCCACGGCTAACTTTTCCGACCCGCCGTCGGTCATTGCGATGAAGGCGGCGGAACTGGTGCGTGTGGCGATTGCGCCGTCATACTTGTAAGGCTCGTCTTCTTCCCACGAAAGACGCGAAGGCGCACACACGCACACGTGGTGGCATGCGATCAGTTGTGTTCCACTGCGTATAGTCTGTGTTGTACCGCCTCACCGGCCGCGCTTTTGCATAAGTGAAGCGTTGCACTCCTGTGAACATCACTGCACATCAAAAGAAAATGTGTACCAAACCGGTAGACGTAAAAGCAAAGGGAAATGACAAAGTAGTACTGTTGTCTTTTCATGTTGGGGTAGCGTTCAAGCTGCTATGTGACATGATTTTTCACGATACGTTAAAAAGATTTATTTGCGAGTCAGCGGTTGTGGTTTTCTTCTTCGTAAAGAGCCACAGCTACAGAAAGTAGGAGGCTACGGTACGTACTGGAATAAATGTATCTATGCAGGCCAGAAGCTATTTGAGATCTCCATTGCCATTTTTCCTGATCGCTCGTTTGCATCTCTTTAGTTTTATATATTTTTTCTGTCTTCTCTCGTATCTGATCGAACTCTGCTTGCGGAACGTATTTTTTTTCTTTCGTTTCTTGTTGATGACTGCTTTGCTGCGGCACTGCGCCCAATGAGAGAAAACATACCTGCACACTAAGGCGGTGTTTGCTGGGTTGACTTCGGGAGCTCAAATCACGTTGTTGCATACAATCGGGTTACCTCACCCCTTTTCTCCGCTCTCCATCATAGAAGCTAGCAAAAATAAATTTGTTCGAATTTGTTCAAATTTCGCGTTTTGGCATCACTCGACGCTACTTTTGCCTTTAATCTGTTTTCGCTTTTTTCTCTTTCCTCAGACATTCGTATTCCTGTAATCTGTGTTGGGTGGTGGAGTCGGTGTTCAACGTTCGCTTAGCGCAATGGCCACAAAGAAGGAGTTCTACGTCGACTTCGAGGTGAAGTTCGGCAAAACGATCATCTCGGTTGAGATGCCCGCCTCAGCCAGTGTGCACGACCTCAAAAAAAAACTGGAAGAGCAGACGCACGTCAGCGCCGAGAAGCAGCGACTGCTGCTGAACCTCCCGGTCATGAAGGAGAAGCACCGCGACCCGCCGCACGACACGTTGCTGCGTCACCTCTTCCCTGCCGCCCTCGTGGAGCGCTGCGAGCAGCATGAGGGCCACATCGCGCAGCACCTCAAGGTGAGTTCGATGTTGCTGGGTAGCGCGGAGGGGGCCCCGACGGTGAACGTGGCGGCAACGACGGAGATCTCGCGACTGGTGGCGACAACAGTGGAGCACGACGGCAAGTGGTACCGCTGCTCCTACTCGAGGGGCTACTTGCGCCAGACCGCCTACGTGTGCCGCACGTGCATCAACGCGGGACGCGCCGATCCGCAGCACGCCCTGTGTCTCGCGTGCGCGGAGTTCTGCCACGGCGACCACGAGGTGGAGGAATGGGGGGTGCGTCACTACATGCGGTGCGACTGTTGCACCGAGAAGTGCTGGCGATCCCCGACGGCACTGGCAGGCGGCGGTGGCCACAGCACCAGCAGTCCCGAAAAGGCGGCGGAGAATGGAGTCACAACCACAGCCGATAGCGCCGACGCGGCTGCAACGAACGCAGCGGAGGTGCACGCCGTGCACACGCGCGACATCGAGCAGCGCACGATGCGGAAACGCCCTCGCTCCACCAGCCCGCTGACGCCGAAGCGCTCTCGCGGAAATTCGCCGATGAGTGGGATTCGCATGACCACGATTCCTCCGGCGGAGATGCCTGAGTTAGACCTTCAGCCGACCTCCACTGCCTCCACCGCGAGGTCGTCACACGGACCTGCGGGGGAGGCCAGCTGCACTGTCGTTGGGCTTTCAGTTCAGTCTGCAGCACCGACGGATGCGTTTCCCTCTGCCCCGCAGCGGGCACTCACCGATGCCGTGAACACCACACCAGACAAGAAGAGCGCCACAGAGGGTATCAGCGACGTCAGCGGTGCGATCGCCGACTCTCCGCCACCGTTGCCGCCATTGAGCCGCTGCGCCTTCGTCATCGACAGCAAGACGAATCGCGCCCCCGTCGAGTCGATCTTGCCGACCAACCATCACAACCGCTACCCACGTGACCCGCTGAACTGGTGCTACTGCAAGATGCTGCACCCCAGCGACGATCCGGAGTGCGGCGGCATCGCGTGTTTGCTGTGCGCGAGCTGTTTCTGGAGCACGCACATTACGAAGCTCTTCACCGGGCAGTACCGGCGGATGCCGTGCTACGGCGATGTGCTGGTGGGTGATACCGTGGCCTTTAAGTGCAACACATGCAGAACATACGTGTGTACGCCGTGCCGGTATCGCTGTCACAAGGACCACGACATCGCCCCCTGCAGCGTCATTCCCTCGGCGGAGGATGGCACCGACAACGGCGCCATCGCCGGGGCTAATTTCAGCTGCGGGTGCCGCGGGCTCTGCGCGATTGCCGAGACGGTGCCGGAGGAGCTTATCGACGACCCGTCCACCTACACGCTCATCTCCGACGCGGACGCGATGGAGCTGATCAACAACGATGTTTTCACCGGTTTCCTCTGCGCGCACTGCATGCAGGAGCACCCCTGGCTCGTCACGGAGGACCCGCTGAAGTGCTATCACGGCGATCTGCCCGCACCGGTGCAGACGAGAAAGCCAGTGCTGGGCTGCGGCACGAAGGCGTCGTCGCCAACCCGGACGATAGACAACGACGACACCGACACATTCCCATATCACGGGATGCTGATGCCGGTGAACTCTTTCACACCGGACATGACCTGCGGCTGTGCGCCGTGCCGCGCCGCCTACGAGAAATTCGCCCCCCGCGCGCTGGAGGACGCGGCAGAGATGATTATGGAGCTGCACGACCGCTGCGACAACTGCGGCGCGTCCGTGAAGGACCAGCAGGCGTTTATGTGCCGAACCTGCGAGATGAACATGGACGACACATTTTTCCTCTGCAAAGACTGCAACGCTCTGCGGCAGATGCTGGTGGCGAACTGCAATCGGGTGCAGTCGGCGCCGGGTCCGTCGGCTGCGGTCGGCGATGTGCTGCGCGACACTGCGGAGGCGGAAAATGCGACCTCACGCCCGCAAGCGACTGCCGCGTCGCAGGAGGTCGTCTCTGCGGAGGTGGAGGCCACACAAGACGGTCACGAAGCGGCCTCCAACGCAGACGGATACACACACGATCTATCACACGAGTTTATCGAGGACACCTTCGAGGACCTCTACGCACTGTGCGAGATGCAGATGCTGCGGACCATGGACCCGGAGATGCGTGAGTACGTAACGTCTAACTGGACCCAAGAGGCGACCCAGGCTGAGGTGGCCAACACGCTTTCAAAGACGTTGGGTCAAATACCCCTCCAGTTCAACGACGAGGAGTTGCGGGAGATGGCGAGCCTCAACCAACGCAGGAAGCAATCACAAAACAAGCAGCAGTAATTCCCCAAGAAGATAGAGACTTTTCGCTGTTCTCCCAGAGTTCCTTAAAGTTCAAGCTTTGATGCGCGGAGATCTGCAGCACATCGCGAAGAAGGGCGGGGCTTTTCTTTTTGTTGTTGTTTGCAACACTGGATTATAATAATCGTCGGAGACTGCGGTCTTTGACAGTATAAGTTTGGATGTTCTAGTATTCGAAGTGATCACGTCACGTACGGGAAAGAAGCGCAACTCTACGATATCCACTGTGGGCCACGTTGTGAGTCGCGTTGCACGGCTTCTGATCAGAAGAGAGGTGGAAAGCAGAGAAAAAGAAGGAAAGATGCAGAATTGGGCTGCCGCCGTACCTTCCGTTTGTCTCGTGCTGATGTTGAGGATTCCTTCGCTGGCGGTTGTGTTGTACACGCACGTGGTTGTCCGTGTCTCCATTGTACCAACTGCCGATCTTCGAACCGGAAAACGAGATCCAACCGTGACGTACCCTCCAACATATCTGAAGTGTGGAGTTTTCTGAAAGAAAAAAAAACCACACAACAACAAAGAAAACACAATGCAAATGCTGTAGTGTCATATCGGTGCTCCGTCTGTGCAACCGCGATGTCTTGTTGTCACGCCTCTCACGAACCTCATCGCGCTCCTCCTTCCTGGTGCTTGGTTTTCCTCTGGTATTTTCTGCTGATGTCATTTCGTTGTTTTTCGCGTAAAACGTAGTCTTCACAGCCGCTTTGATTTCTACACGTCCTCACATTTTCAACGAACATTTTTTTCTGCTCTGATGACGGAGCACGACGACACACCCCGGCTGGAGCTGGAGACGGTTTTGGGCTACAGCGGCAACATTCCTGGTAGCTTGATCGCCCATCCAGACCAGCGCCACCTGCTGTACGCCCTCGGCGCGTGCATCGTGATTCGCGACGTGGACGACGCGCACGGCTCTGAGTTTTTCTACGGACACAACGACAAGATCAGCTGCCTCGCCGTAAGCCGTTCCGGCCGCTACGTCGCCTCGGGACAGGTCACCCACCCCGGATTCCAGGCAGATGTCTGTATCTTCGATTTTGCGGAGCGACGCTTAATTCACCGCATGCTGCTGCACAAGGTGAAGGTCCAGGCACTCGCCTTCTCGACGGATGAGAAGTTTCTCGCCTCCGTCGGCGGACCGGATGACAACACCGTTGTCCTATGGGACGTGGAGACGGGCCGGCCACTTTGCGGAGCCCCGGCGCACCACACCGAAACGAAAGCCGTCGCGTTCTTCAACAACAACTCGGAGAAGCTGATCACCGGCGGCGTCGGTTCGCTGCGTGTGTGGACGGTAGACCTCGAGAGCCACAAGATGAGCGCGGTGGACATTAACATGGGCAACATGCGGCGCAGCGTAGAGACGATCGCGGTGGAGAAAACAGACAAGTACGCCTACTGCGGCACTACCTCCGGTGACGTGATCTGCGTGCAGCTGCAGGAGTCGAACGTTTTCAAGATGCAGGGCCCACAGAAGAAGCTGTCCGGCGGCATCCTCTCGACTATCTTGACACCGTCTGGTGATGTGCTGGTGGGCAGCGGCGCCGGTGAACTGCAGCTGCTGTCGAAGATTAATCTCACGGTGCAGAACCGCGCCACAGTAAACGGCGGCGTGACGGGGCTGGCGGTGGTGGGGGACGACTACTACATCGGCACGCAGACGAGCAACATGTACTTCGTGAATGGCGGCAACTTCATGACGCGGCTGCGTCTGACGTGCCACAACGAGGCTGTCCAGGACGTTGTCTTCCCGACCGGGTTTAGCGCGGTCTTCGCCACTTGCTGCGGGACGGACATCCGTGTCTGGAACGCGAACTCGTGCACGGAGCTGATACGGATTGAGATCCCCGACCGCACGTGCAACTGCCTGCAGTTCAGCCGCGACGGCTCCCTCATCATTTCCGGCTGGAACGACGGCCGGCTCCGCGCCTTCGGTCCGCAGTCCGGCAAACTCGTCTTCTCCGTGGCGGACGCGCACAAGGTGGAGCAGGGCAGCCGCAGCCACAAAGTCGGTGGCCGCGTCGGTGTCACGGCGGTGTGCGCTGACAACGGTGGGGAGCGCCTCGTCACTGGCGGCTCCGACGGCCTCGTGCGGGTGTGGGCGGTTGTCGGGACGATGTGCTCGCTGGTCGCCTCCATGAAGGAGCATAAGGCGGCGGTGAACGCGATCGCCATATCGCACGACGACACCGAGTGTGTGACGGCGAGCGATGACGGCAGTTGCATTGTCTGGGACCTCATCCGCCACCTCCGGCGCAATATCGTGTACCGCCAGACCTACTTCCGCGCGGTGGAGTACTACGTGGATGAGAGTCAGCTACTGGCCTGTGGCAGTGACAAGTGCATCACCTACTGGGATTCGGTGGACTGCCACGCCATTCGCGAGGTGCCGGGCAGTCGCACTGCCGAGCTGAACTCGCTGTCCCTCTCACCGGACGGCCGCTTCTTCGTGACGGGCGGTAACGACCGCATTGTGAAGGTGTGGGACTACGACCGTGGAGAGTGCATCGCAGTTGGTGTGGCGCACAGCTGCAGCATCACGAAGGTGCGCGTCTCGCCGGACGGCAAGAAGATTGTGTCGGTTGGCGATGAGGGTGCCGTGATGGTGTGGAACGTAGGGGAACTGAACGTTGAGGCTTTGTAGTTTTTTTCCCCCTTCTTTTACATTATTACTGCCGACGCAGCGCTGCTGCTTCTCTTTAAAAAAAGGAAGAACTTCTTTGTTTAACACCAATACTTCTTTGTGTCTATTGTCGGGTTTTACTCTTGTGATGTGGATTTAACAGGCACTGCAGGATACGACGTCGATTAGAAACAAAAAAAACATACCCTTTTTGATCTCTTGTTTTTCCATTTGAGGACGTTACGGAGGGAAAGCAACGAAGTGTTTGCCGTTTGACGTGTTGCGGTGCGGAACGTGATGACCAACGTCAAGTTATTTTCCCTTTTCTTGCTGTGTGTCTTTCCCCCTGTTTTCGTTGGGTTTGTTGTAGTGTGTGCTGGTGAACTGTACCTTTTTGTTTTGTTCCCTTCGCTCCCCACCTGTCACTCCTGACAGATAGAAGACTTACAGAAGACTTTGTTCTTTTCCTTCAGTTTTCTTTTATGTATGCTTCCGTTAAAAAACAAACGTTCTGACGTACAAGCGGAGAAGCAAAGCAGGTGAGAGGCTCGAAGAGCAGGAGTGAGGTGGGTGAGGGATGAAGGTTGCGTAACACTTTTCGTTCTTTCCCCTTCCTCTCTCTCGTTCTCTCTTCCATGCCTCCATTTGTGATCTTCTTCGGACTGTGCACTCGCAAAAGTAACAGCGTCGCCTTTCTTTGGATTGCGTTGCCAACAACGACAACAGCGTAAGTAGAACGGATTACTAGCTACGATGTATGATACCGTTACCTATGTAAATGTTGCCTTTTTTCCCCCTCTCTTAGCGTCTACGTGATGGTAGTAGTCTGTTCTTGAGCTTCATCGACGTTGAAAAAAGCCAAATGAATGCAAGAGTAATGAAAGGTGCGCGTGGGCCCGAGAAGTACTGATTCCAGCTGAAGGGGCAAAAACCTTTGCTTTCAGGTTTAAGCGGCCTGCTTCTCTCTCCCCCTTCGCAAAGACGCTTCCGTGTGCCAGAGGTGCTGCGGTCGTTGCTGCTTTATCTGGCGATGGAAGTAGCGAAGTGGTGGGCGTGCGTTCCGCAAGTCCGCATAAAGAAAAGTTGCAACACTGATGCGCTTGAGTTTTCTGCGCTCTTCTCTTTCGGCTTCTAGGATGGACTTGACCGCAACTGCCGGTCGCTTGCATGTTGTGCAGACCTGTGTCCTCTTCTCCATTTATCCTCCCACGATCTTTTTTTTCTTCTTCTACGCTTTCTCAACGCAAAGCCATTTTCTCCTTTTCTTTCGTCTTCACCACGTCTTCCCTCTTTCTCTCTCTCACCTGTCATCGCTCGCTGACAACACCGAAGTAGCACGTTAGCAGTGTGCTTACCGCGTTGTTCTGCAACCAAGGAAGCGATTGAAAAAAGAAACGAAAACGGCCCCCCAAAGGGAAAATGATGCAAGGTGCCCCTCAGCCCCAGTCACAAGACTGGAAGAGCGACTCGAATGTCAACAACTTTCGTAGCACAGGTGACGACAGCGTTCACACCGTCCCACCCGTGAAACCGGGGGAGCCGTCGCACAACGAGGACGTGGCCAACAGCGTTGAAAACCCAATCGCGTACGAATACGTGCCTACGCCCTTCAACCCCCCTCGCATTGACCGCTGCCGTGTGGATAACTTTCTGATGCTGTTCATTATGGCGCTGATGTTCATCTTCGGCGTAGCGGCCCTCGCGACGCCCATCGTGTCTTACTCCTCGCCTACCATTTCCATCTCGGTGGACTGCATTTACGTCTGGGGCGTCTCCAGCGTCGGCACGCACCAGCGCAATAGCAACCACGACGTCTTCTGCTACGACTTCACCCTCAAATCCGATGGCTTTGCGGCTCTCTTCATCATCTCTGTTCTTTTCAGCGTGGTGGGCTTTATTCTGGCCTTAGTGCCCCTCATCTGCGGTCGGGTGATCTGCTGCCGCTTCTTGGTGCAGACGTTGATTTTGCTGTGCTGGTTCTTTGTGATGGTTGGGATGATCCTTGGCGCGCAGATGCGCAACGATGCGCTCTGCCGGTCCACGTCGCTCAAGAGCATCGGCTTCAAGTACGGCCCCGCCTTCGGCCTCGCCGTGACGCTCTTCGTGCTCTTCACAATAGTGATTGGTGTTCTGATTTTTTGGATGATTCGCTACCCGGCGAAGCTCCGCTACTAAGCGTACGCCGAGGAATACTTCTCTTTTACGTTTGCCTGAGAAACGCACTCTTTTTGTTTTCTTCTCTGACATCGTAGCGACCTCTTTTTCTTTTCTGTTTCGTGCATATATATGTGGAGCTCTTTTCTTTCCCTCTCGATTTGCGAACTCAGCAATTTAGTGTTTGCGTGTTCGACCGTGAGCAGAACATGGAAGTTCTTCAAGATAAATGTCATCGATGAATTTGTTGCTCTTGTACCGCCCTCTTATTTTTTTTTTTCTCATCTACGTATATTTCGCATGAAGTGGAAAGCAGATGGCTCTTACCGTCCGTCTGCGGTAGTGCTTATATCACGTTGACCAAACTGACTGATTTCTGTGTGGTTTTTTGTTTGTTGCGTACGTCGGCGTACACGGAGAAGCTTTGCTCCTCCTTCGTCAGATTTTTTTTTCTTCTGGCGTTTGTTGTTCCTCTTCTTTACCCTTTGCTCTTTATTCCATATCCATCATTATCGATTTCAGACGGTGAATCAAAAGGAAATGCGTGTAGCGAAGAAAAGAAATAAAGAGGCTCTGTTATCGAGTGCGTCCATTATGGTGAAACAAGACGATTTATTGAAGTGGTCTTGAATGAATGCTGCAATAGGTTCAAAATATCGGAACGTACTGGGTCGTGTGAGGTTTTTCTCGCCTCAATGCTGGAGCACACGTTTGGGGTTGCCTTCGTTTCCTGTGAATGTGGGAGGTGTGTGTGTGTGTGTGTGTGTGTGTCGATTTCCACATCCACGTACTAGCGCAGCAGTACGCACAGTATCACCGATACCTAGTCCTCTTTGATGTCTTTTCATGCGAGGCGCACAAGAGCGACAACGTCTCCTCTGCGTATCTCTGCTACAATTAAAGCGTCTTTTTTTTTGTAAACAAAGAGAATGCGTCTCACTCACCCTTCTTCTTTCGGGCGCTTGCCTCTACCTCGCTCCGTCAATTTACCCTCCCTCTCTCCCTGCATTCCTTTTCCAACGCCCCGGCGGAGCAAACGAGCAGCTTTTACGATACATCGTTTTCTTATTCCCAACCTGTAATACTCATCGTGTCCAGCAGACGCGTCGTCCAACCGGTGTTGTGTACGCGATCTTTCCACGACGCGCCTTATTGACCATTGCCCATTGATTGTGTTTGTTATTATCTTTTTTTTTTTGGCTACTGTTTGATGCCACGCGCCTGACCCCTTTGCCTTGCTCAACATTCGCTTAAGCGCACCGTAGAAACAAAGCTCCCGAAACAGCCACGATCGCTTCATCTTCGTGTTACGGTTATCTATTGCCGTCCTTTCGAGTGCTTTTTTGCGACCCAATTTCTTTGCCTTCTCAGTTCATATTTGCTTTCTATTATTCGCTGTATTATTATTATAACACAAACGTTTGTGCTTGCTTCTCGTGCTGCGCGCTCCATACACGGGTGAGCTTTTTGTTGTTAAATATCTGTCTATCTTTTAGTTTCATCGTCTTCTTGTTCTCTCTCTCATCATTTCGCACCTTTGCACCGAACTCGTCGCTGTTCGCCTTTTCAGTTCTTCAGTTTGCAGACGACGAAGGTAAATACCTTCCGCCTCCACTTCCCTCCCCCCCCCCCTGCCCCTCCCACCCACACACCCACGTACCAGCGAGAAGGGAGAAAAAGAAGGAGCAGAAAGAATGGCGTCGCGCGATCCGTTTGACTTACATGGCGAAGGGGTTGACCGCCCCGTCAATGCAGAGCCGCACGACGAACATCATGAGTCCGGTGCCGTGCAGGACGAAGATCATCCTAGCCAACCCCGCGACGTTGGCGTCGATGATGAGCGCCACTCGAGCCAGCCGAACGAGAATGGCAACGACCGTGAAATTGAACAAAACGACGACAACGAGCACGACGAGGAGACGCACTCTGCCAGCCCCACCGAGAAGTACAACCAGCGTGTTGCGCGGGCCTCGACGGTGTGGCTGACGGGTCTGTTTTGCGGGCGCAGCTACGTGCCGCGTCCCAAGAAGATTGATGAGGCGGAGCTAAGCGAGAGCGCAAAGGAGGAGCTGCTGATGGAGACGACGTACACGGTGCCGCGCGGGTACAAGTACTACAAGGAGGATCTGCCGAGCATCATCAGCCCCAAGCCGGAGGGCAGTCTCTCGAGTGCCCTTGTTATCCACCTGATTCTCAACTTCGTAGCCTTCGTCTTCACGTTGGCAGCGAGCTGCCCGGTAGCGTGGTACCGCGGCCGTGACGTGGTTGTGGGGGTCGAGACCTACAAAGGGCGCAAGTTCACGCTGTGGAAGCAGCAGGGTGGGTCGCTGCCTACCTTCTCCGTCCACTCGATGAAAAACTGCCCGATTGAGAAACAGTTCTTCCAGACCATCGCCGCCTCCACCATCATGGGCTGCTTCTTCACGGTGGTCTCGCTGATCTTCGCTGGTGTCCGTTTCTTCGGCCGCGGTGGCTACGGCTGGATTCTGCTGTTTAGCTTCTTGGCCTTTGGCTGGACGCTGTGCGGCAATGCGATGTCCATCAGCCTCTACTACCTTTCCCGATGCGAGTCCCCGCGCTTCTCGAACGTGGCCCACCTCAACGCTGGCTTTGCCCTCACCCTCATCGCGTGGATCTTCCAGCTGGCCGGCCTCCTCGCGGTGGTCTTCACGACGCGGCTGAACGTGGGGCCGGTGCTGCGGTCCCTGCGGGTGATGGACACGTACTACATGGTGCTGCTGCTCGTTGCCCTGGCGTTTGTCGTCATCGCGAACGCCACGACCGTGTGGAAGCGGAAGTTCAACACGGGCGATGTGAAGGTGGTGCGCATCACCTACTGGCACACGGAGCTCGTCGCGCAGAACGGCACGAGTCTCTACTACGGCCGCGCCCACTACCGCTGCGGTGCCTACGGCAAGCGCATGAAGGCGAGCATCTCATTTCTGATCTTGGGGTCCATCATGCTCTTCATGGCACTCATGTTCGCCATCCCGGCCTTCCTCGCCCGTGGCTGCCGCATCGCGTCGATGGTATTTACCTGCCTCGCGGCGATCTTCCTCATCATCTCGTGGGTTATTGCAGTCGTGGTGCGGTACCGCAAGTCGTGCACGCTGCCGGTGCCCAAGAGCACTTTCGCGAACTACCCCGGCGTCCCGACCGGCGTGTTCCATGGCAAGACGGACTTCCCCGGCTACGGCGTGCAAGAGGGCGTGATCCTCTCCATCATTGCGTGGATTCTAACGGTGGCCGCGTTCGTGCTGAACATTGTCGTTCCGTGGCCCGAAATCAAAAACTGAGCTGTGCCACAAAGAGGGAATGATTGCGACCGGGGAGGGATCTCCCAGGCCATGAGAGGCAAAAGCCAAGCGCGGTGTCGGGCGTTCGTTCTCGCTCTCTACACCCGCGTTGCGCACGACTCCTTTCCCCGTCTTCACCTCCGCCACTTTTCCACGGCATTTTCGTTGTTCTGCGTCCTTCCGCGATGACTCACTCCCACGGAAAGCGTCAAATTTTCTTCTTGTCTCTTTCTTTTTGTTTTCTGATGATTTTTTTTTTTTGGAGGGGTGCCTTTATTTCATTGATCATGTTCCTTCGTTTGCTGCTCCAGAAATAAAGAAAAAGCGTGTGTGTCTGTTATGAGTTTAATTTACTTTTTATTTGGCTTGTTTGAATCTGTTTGCGGTGTTTTGCTTTGTTGCTGTCGTAGGCGTTTCTCCGCTCCATGTGATGTGTTTGCGTAGCTCTTTTTCTTTTTCTTTCTTTCTCCCGCTGTCCTTTCATATCTGTTGTTGTGTAACAGTCACGCTAGTTGTGACATTGTTCGCTTGGCTCCCTTGCATCACACTCGACGAATATTTTCTGACGCTGCGTTTACGACCTCTCAAGGACTAGACTATCGCCCTGTAGCGCATGTATGCTGGCAGCATCAACAACGCCTTACCCAAACAGTAAAAAAAGATCTTGATGTGAGCAGTTTGGTGAGAGGTGTTGACGATGCGTTGGGGAGTCCTCTGTGCATTTGTGCTCAAGCCGCACACAGAAAGAAGCGCAGATGTTTCTTTTGTTTGTTTTCCCCCACGGGTCTTCTTTTCGAATTTTGCATGTGAGCTTATTATTTCTGTTATATATTTTTTATTCTCACGCCCGCGTCCTTCCTTCTTGTTGAAAAGGAAGAAGAGGGTGATAGTGTGGAGAGTCCCGCGTATAGGACTGTTTGAGTTATTTTTATTATTTTTCTCTCCTTCTTATTGTAGGCTGTCGTGTTTTCCCTACCAACTGACCGGTGAACGTATTCCGCGAACAAATAGACATTGAGCTGTTTTTGTTGTCCTTAGTTCCTCATTGAAATGGTCACTACGTCAACGCTTCACGTCGGGCACCGCTGAGCCCCGGACTCAGCAAGCACACAGAGGAAGAAACACATCGCGCCTTTGTGGTGTCGTATTGCCTGCTTATTTGATACTACGATCTCTCTATACATTACCTTCACTATGTGGGATGATGGACCTGTTTGTTCACAATGAACTGTTGATTTTTGCTCGAACACGTGTGGAATGCGAGCATGAGGGTGAGCTGCAGCTCTCACACATGGACATGCCAAATTGCAGTAAGCGAATCGGACCATCAAGGGACTCGGCGGGCTGCGCGTGGCATGCTGTATCACTGCTCATCTTGGATGTCTTTTTGAGTTCTATAAGTGAAGCTGGCCCTTGCATTTTGTTTTTTGTTCCGACAGCGAAAATTGTCAGTGAACGCATATGGAAGTGTGCAACAACATGGAAAGTTTTTTTCCTTTCTGCAAACAAAGTGGCGCAGCGTTGGATGCTGCGACGCAGAGCGCGAAAAGTAAAGCGAATCAGGTGAGGCTAGAGAAAAGAGGAGGAGAGCGTTGCGCCGTACGCACGCATTTGCTCACGTCATGAAGGAAGACGGAAGCAACGAAAGCGGAAGTGAACACGAAGCACTTCACATATTATTCGTGCAGTTGAGGCAGTTCACCCAACATCACGTATGAAAGCCGAAGCAGTTTTTTCTCTCTTTTTTAACAAAGGTAAAACACAATACATCAGCTGGCGTCACTAAACTGATACCATCGTCGGAACGGTGCTAACAGAGCCGCTAGAGACCCTTGACCTGCTTTAAAGAAGGAGGAGTTATTTGGGGTCCAGAAGATACTCTTTTTTTTCCGTGTTGTGCGTGAGGGTTTTGTTAGCATCATACAGAGCGGGAAAAAAAAACCGGAGTGCAAGCTGATTTTTGCAAAAGAGGTAAACGCACATTTTCTCTTCTTGTCCTTCTCCGTTCCTTATTATTGTTTTTTTTTTCTTTTTCTGGCCATCTACTGCTGCTATATTTGCTGGTTGCTTCACACGCACACACGCACACACAGACGTAGCTTTTGCTTGTTGTGCTTGTGCTGCTGTGCCTCGTGTACTGCGTCTTGTTTTTGTGCTTCCGTTTTTAGGCTTTTTTGCTCTCAATTCTTCTTTTAAAAGCTGTTTCCTCTCCTCTTTCTTTGCAGTGCGATTGTCTGGCAGAGCTGTTTGATACACAAAACACGAGTGCTTCTTCTATATTTCTCTTTCCCCTCTCTCACTTAGCTTAGTTTTCACAAACGGGAGTTTGCCGCTCTTAACGGAAGCTTTTTCGCCTCTGTGGCTGACGCGCTGCAGATACTAACTGTACTTCAGGATTCTTCTGAGGGGGCCTTTTTTTCTGTTGCTGCGTCTATTCCTTCCTTCGATGGACTCACCTTTTTCTGTTTTCTTTTTCTGGTTTTTTTTTTTTTTGCTACTGCGAATGTACGGGAACCACGCAGCTGCACGTTCGCGTCTGTGTTGAAGAGTATGATGTTTGAGGAGCCGACTGTACAGGTGCCACAACAAACCGTAGCGCGAAAATGCGTCCCTAATGGGCATTGCACGCCGTTGATGACGCTCGATCCACAGCTTTTCTTTCTGGTATAGTATCGATTATCGCCATTAGATAGTTAACTGATCCCACGATTCCCAGTTATTTTGTTTGGTTTATTTCTTTTCTTTTGATTATTGAAACCGATCTACTGATGAACGCCGTTGTCTGATTATTCCTTTTTTCCCCGTTGTCATGTGAGAAGGAAAACAGAAGTACGTTTTTTGATTTCTCAACTGCTAACTTCCTCCATTCAGGAAGGAGCTGAGATATGCCTCGCACTGTTCGTTCTTTGTGATATTGAGAATTTCTACGGAGTCCTATTTTTTCCCCCCGGAACTCAACGGCACTCGTGGGACTGCTTGTTTTGGTGCAAGACGGCGTGCTGCAATGGCCAAGCTGTTTGCAGTTTTTCAGCTTGAGAAAGCGTTGGACTACACACTCCTCCCCTCTCTGATCTTCAACGCAGTTGGGCGTTTTCTTTTTCTCGCAATTTCTGAAGCGAGTCGTGCTTGCATTGAGTTTTGCGATGCTAAATGCCCCCGTTTTCGGCTGTTTGTCGCTTTCGAGCTCCATTCGTCCGATTTCGTGCTCGTGTGCCGAAAAGGTCTTGTACGATTTCCTTCTTCTCCGGCTTCGTGTCTTCTCCCTTCTTTTGTGTTTTCCGGTCCCGCAAGGTTACATACTGGCGCAGTTTTCTTTTGTCTTAGCAAACTCATATACACTTTTTGGTTTTATTTTCTCCAACCACGAGAAACAATTCGTAGCCGTTGCGGTGCGCTCTAAAAGCGCTAGTTATCGCTGTCCGTTATCGCAAGCCAAACACTACACTCAAGGTATACACGGTGGTCTGACGATGCCGAAGTGCGTAGGTTAGATAGTAGTTCAAAGAACATAATTCCTCCCTACGTAAAGCGGAAACGAAGCGCACAGCAATGTTCCGCTTTAGCAGTCTGATGCTTGGAAAGGCGCTGGTGGTGGCGGAGATGGTGAACGGCAAGGTGTCGCCTGCCACGCTGTCTGCCATCACGGCGGCCAGCAAAGTCGGCCCCGTCACGGCACTCGTGGCCGGCTCGAACGCCAAAGACGCGGCGGCGGTGGTGGCGACGGTGCAGTCGGTGGCGGAGGTGCTGGCGACCGTCGGCGAGCACTATGACCACGGGCTGCCGGAGGAGTACGCGCCGCTGATCGAGGCGGCGGTGCAAGCGCACAAGTACACCCACGTCTTCGCGGGCACCTCCGCTTTTGGCAAGAACGTGGTGCCGCGGGCGGCGGCTCTGGCGGGCTGCATGCCGATCGCCGAAATCACGGCTGTCAAGTCGGAGGACACCTTCGTTCGACAGGCCTTCGCCGGAAATGCCATCACCACGGTGAAGTCGAAGGACAAGGTGAAGTACTGCACCGTGCGCGGCACCGCCTTCGAGCGAGTGGCGGCAGAAGGCGGCAGCGCAACGGTGAGTGACCTCCCCGCCGTTTCTCCCGTTAAGTCGGCGAAGTTTGTCGAGGACAAGTTGACGAAGAGCGACAAGCCGGACCTCGCGACGGCGGCGACGGTCATCGCCGGCGGGCGCGGCATGAAGAGCGGCGAGAACTTCAAGATCTTGGAAGAGCTGGCGGCACCGCTGCACGCAGCCGTCGGTGCGACGCGCGCCGTGGTGGACGCCGGCTACGTCCCGAACGAGATGCAGGTCGGCCAAACCGGCAAGACGGTGGCGCCCAACTTTTATCTCGCGTGCGGCATCTCCGGTGCGATTCAGCACGTGGCAGGTATGAAGGACTCGAAGGTGATCGCCGTCATCAACACCGACGAGGAGGCACCATTTTTCCAGATCGCGGACTACGGCATCGTCGACGACCTCTTCAAGGTGGTTCCTGCCCTGACGGAGAAGGTCAAGGCAAATGCCAAGTAACGCACCCGAATTTCGTGGAGAACTGTTAAAGTCCGAATGTGCATCGACGCACACCTCCGGTGAGCGACGTACAAACACGAGAAACAGTTTGTTTTTATCGACACAGTTCCGAATGCTTCACAGGGTCCCAAATCGGTAGCGAATGTGCGACGGCTTATTTGATCTTTTCATTATTTTTGTGGGGTTATCTCTCGTCTCGCCTCGCCTCGTCTTTTCTTTCCTTTATGGGGTTCAACACACATGTGCGGTGCCCCCTCTTTCTGTGGTGTGAACACGATACGACCTGTGTGGAAGTTTCTTCTCTTTAAAACACACCGTCGGCAACAGGAGTCTTTACAATCCGTGAGCAAGTAATCCCCCATTGCTTTTTTTTTGTCTTGTTATAGCCACATGTTTGATCCCAAACACCACTGCCCTTGTGCAGTACCACCACGCAAGCGAGTTCAACAAACGATCTACTTTGGCCCTCTTTTTTTCCCTTCTTCTGCATTTCTCTTCCCGTGACTTGAAGAAAGCAACTTCAATAGTTGTAAAGTGGCCGACTCGCCCAATGGATCTTTTCGAAGCGCTACGGGCACGTTGTTCGATGCGACAGACAACCGAGGAGCGGAAAAAAGATGTGAATCTCTTTCTTTCCTGCCATGATTGACTGCAACAGCACTGATGAAAAAGGAGTGGTTTTTTCGTCAACTTGACATTCGCATCTCGGTATCACAGTGTGCTGCTCTGCATCCTCTTTGTTGGTAACTCCAAGCGCTGACACACGATGTCGTGGATAGAGTTCAGTGCCAACTAGAGGAAGGCAAAAAAAAAGGTCTGCTTCATGCAGGCACTCAACGCCTCACTTTCTGTGCAAAATAGAAATTTGCCATGACTTCAATGCACCTCTTCTTTCTTCTCTGTTTTTCCTCCATTGCCATTCGTGCGTAATCCTCGTCGAGCCCACACACGCCTCGAAAAGAAACCCAGCAATAACGTTTGTGGATGCCGTCTGTGCAGATCCTTTACCGAACTCACAATTGCCTTCACAATATTCAAAATCTGTACTCCCTTTCTGTTTTCGTTTCCCGTTTATCCTTCTATTAAAATACTCCCAGTTCTCTTCGAGCCGTCTTTTTACGTCCTAACCCACTTTATCGAGCAACAACAAAGTACTTCTTCACTTCTGTGCACTTCCAATTCCTTCCCGTTACTTTCTTCCTCTTGTTCTTTTTTTCTTGTTCTCTGGCGAATAATGTCACAGTCGAACAAGGTGCCGTTCTCCTCGCTGTTCGAGCACAACTACGTGCTGCGCCGCGTGTTCGAGGCGCCGCCGGGCAAGGTGGCGCTGGCGGAGGAGTTCGCGGGCCGTGCGACGGCGCAGTTCACGTACGGGGAGCTGCAGCGCGACGTGGTTGCGATGGCGGACGTGCTGGTGCGGCGCAGGGAGGCCGTTGCGCAGGCGCGCGGCGGGGCGTCGCTGGAGTGGGTGCAGCCGAGCAGGCCTGCCCACGTGCGGAGCGTGTTTGCGCAGGGTGAGCGGACCCCGAGCTGCGACGTGATGAAGGATGTTGGGTTCTACACGACGTCGGTGCTCGGCGGCCCCGGGTACACGTACGTTGTGTCGCTGCTTGCGAGCTGGTCGCTGAACCAGCTGGCGACGCCGATGTCTGTGTCGCAGCGCTACAACGACGAGCTGATGTACGTGCTGGAGCACAGTGGGAGCAGCAGCGTGGTGGGCGAGACGCATCTGCTCAAGGAGAAGCTGCCGGCGGCGTACGAGAAGCTGTACGTGCGTGGCGAGGCGGACGTTGACATAATTGCTAGCAAACTGCCCTCGTATGATGACGAGGGAAAGACGTCGAGAGTGATGTCGAACACTTACCTCGTAGACACCGTCTTTGACGCAACGAAGCTGCTCCAAGAGTTCCGTGCTCGACGAGAGATGCGAGGCACGTCAGCGTTGGAGGTGGAGTTGCTCCATCCAGCCGACAGTGCGTGTGAGCCCTTCAAAACAGCCGAAGACGTCGTACGACGCTTAAATGACGAGAGGACCGCTGCGAAGGCACGGGAGCTGGACCGACAAGCGGAAATTATTCAGCAGGAGCACTCGGCCCGCAACAAGACTCCCACAAATCTGGAGCCGACTACGGATGAGACATTTTGCTTTGATACTAAGGACCTGGACAAACTGAACCCACTGTTTCGTCGCTGGTACGAGGACCCCGCGAGCCAGCCAACCAAGTACGACGACTGCCTGATGGTCTACACCTCCGGCACCACTGCCCGCCCTAAGGGCACGGTGCACACGCACGCGAGTGTGGCGAACATGGTGAAGGTGTTGCAGGACGCGTGGGAGTGGAAGGACAGCGACAGCATTCTGCACGTGCTGCCCGTGCACCACATCCACGGTCTGGTGAACATTCTGTTCTGCTCTTTAGCCTCCAACGCGCGGTGTGTGTTCACCAAGTTCGACGATGCGAGCCGTGTCGCACACCGTATGGAGCGGGGCGACATCACGCTGTTCATGGCGGTGCCGACCATCTACACGAAGCTGATCGACGCGGTGACGCGCAAGTTCAGTCCCATTGAGAAGACGGGGTTCCGCAAGGCGTGCGTGGAGCACGTGCGCCTGATGGTCTCTGGCAGCGCGGCGCTGCCGGTTCCCACGCTGAACCAGTTCCGCGAGCTGTCTGGGCACACGCTGCTGGAGCGCTACGGCATGACGGAGATCGGCATGGCGCTGAGCCAGCCGCTGCGACCGGTGGAGGAGCGGCATCCCGGCACCGTTGGCTCGCCGCTGCCGACGGTGGAGGCGTACGTGCACAAGCCGGAGACGGAGGAGGCTGCGGAGCAGGCGGAGGCGAAGGAGTCGCAGTACGACGAGGTGGGCAGCCTCGCCATCGCGTCCGAGTCGCTGTTCGACCGCTACTGGCGCAACCCTGCTGCGACGAAGAAGGAGCTGCGGACGGACGCTGCGGGGACGCGCTTCTTCGACACGGGCGACACGGTGGGTGTGCGGCGCGCCGCTGGCAAGCCTGCTGTGTACACGATCCTTGGGCGGTCGAGTGTGGACATCCTGAAGACGCGCGGGTACAAGCTGTCTGCGCTGGAGATCGAGGCGGCGCTGCTGGCGCACAAGGACCTGTTCTACGAAATGGCTGTTGTGGGCACCGCGGACGATGTGCTTGGGGAAAAGGTCGTTGCGGTGGTTGCGATGCAGCCGGAGGCCGCGAAGGCGCGCGGGATCGCGTTCAGCGAGAGCGTGCGGTGGTACGAGTCGGAGGGGCTGACTGCTGAGCTGAAGAAGGTTGCACTGGAGACGCTCGCGCCGTACAAGTGCCCGTCGCGGTACATCATTGTGCCTGAGATCCCTCGCAACCCGACCGGCAAGGTGAACAAGAAGGATCTGAAGAAGATGCTGAATTTACCTTGAGAGGCGATGTATGAAATGTTGATGTTGCAACGCAGCCTTGGCGCAATCGCTGCTACACTGCTCACGGTACGAATTTGTTAGCCGCTTGATTCTCTGTTTGTCCCGCAGGAGTATATATATATATATATATATATATATGGTTTGTTTTTTAATGTAAGTGACGCCTTCGTTGGTGACATCTGTTTTACCTTTCTATTACGGTGTTGGTTCGTAATCAAGCTTCCATGATAACACGCTCGCCCAAAGGCTGGAAGGAAGTAAAAATAATTCCAAACGCTAATTATCGTAGTCTTTCAGCGAAGTCATTAATACTCGGATATTTTTTTATGTTGCTTTGTATTGCGTGTGTGTGTGTGTGTGCGATCCAATTCCGCTATCATGAGAATTGAGAATTCTGTCACACACACACACACACACACACATATATTTCACTGTTTCTGTTTTGTTGACGTATGAGAGCAGTTGTATCGTCTGCGATGTTTGCACTGCGTCTAGCTCTCATCTTTTCCTCGCTATAGGGAGCGCGCAGGCACAGTCTGACGATGCTCTCTCGCTCTCTGTAGAATTGGCTTCCGGTGCTCAAACGTGCTCGTTTGCCCCTTCTTTAAAATATGTTCTCTCACACTGTGGTGAGGACGGTGTTACGGGAATGGCCTTTGTATTCCTACGGATCCTTGGCGTTACTATAGACTGTCGGTGTTGCCGTCTTAATAAAAACAAGGAGAATTAACTCACCATTTGCTATGTTGAACACATCAGTTGATTTTCATTATACTTGTGTTCGTTACTTTCGCATGCAGCTCAAACAGCTCCACGGTGCACGACGTTCATCTCTCTGACGATTTCTTCTGCGAAGCTGCTGGGCTACTGAGCCTCTCTTTGCGTTGTGTACGTAGTGGTGAAGAAGTGATGTGAAGACAAATAATACCTTGCCGAGCTTCTCGACTTGTGTCGACAACTTTACCTCTCTTTGTTTAGACGGTTTTCTCTCCTTTTCCTGCTTCAACTCAGGGCGATAAAAACAGCCGTTCAAGTGGTTCACTCCTTGGGTGCTTACTCAACGTACTGTTAACGCTCTCCGAGCGAACGCTGCCTTTTTTCTCCTTCGCCAACGAGTCACCCTCCGTCTGTCACGTTGAACCTCTATGCATAACTGCAACGGCAATTCCTACTGTGGTGACAGAGCTCTACCGTTTCGCTTTTACTGACTAGCAAAAACATTAAAGGGAGCAGATATCGAAGCACCGTTCGTTTCTGTTCCGTTGATCTCTTTCCTGCCTCGGGCAGAGCTACAGCTTCACCAACCCGCACGTGTTACACATATACATTTCTCATTTTCACCTTTTCCCAGGTTACTACCGTCGAAGCCGTTGGAGCGTTTTCACGCACCCATTTTTTTCATCTTCTAGGCATCACTGTTTCTCTTTTCTGCTCCCTTTTTTAGAGACACAATTGAAAAACCTTCTAGCATTACCGTTTGCACTACTCGTGTTGTTATATTGACAAACTTGGTGTGCGTGCCGTTGCGCAGCAGCCGCCTTTGATTATCTTTTTGTAATTCGTGCTCTGCTCCTTGAGCTCCCTCGTAGCGAAGATGTTCCGCGGTTACTCTCGCCGCTTGCTGGTGAAGGTGCCATTCTCCTCGCTGTTCGAGCACAACTACGTGCTGCGCCGCGTGTTCGAGGCGCCGCCGGGCAAGGTGGCGCTGGCGGAGGAGTTCGCGGGCCGTGCGACGGCGCAGTTCACGTACGGGGAGCTGCAGCGCGACGTGGTTGCGATGGCGGACGTGCTGGTGCGGCGCAGGGAGGCCGTTGCGCAGGCGCGCGGCGGGGCGTCGCTGGAGTGGGTGCAGCCGAGCAGGCCTGCCCACGTGCGGAGCGTGTTTGCGCAGGGTGAGCGGACCCCGAGCTGCGACGTGATGAAGGATGTTGGGTTCTACACGACGTCGGTGCTCGGCGGCCCCGGGTACACGTACGTTGTGTCGCTGCTTGCGAGCTGGTCGCTGAACCAGCTGGCGACGCCGATGTCTGTGTCGCAGCGCTACAACGACGAGCTGATGTACGTGCTGGAGCACAGTGGGAGCAGCAGCGTGGTGGGCGAGACGCATCTGCTCAAGGAGAAGCTGCCGGCGGCGTACGAGAAGCTGTACGTGCGTGGCGAGGCGGACGTTGACATAATTGCTAGCAAACTGCCCTCGTATGATGACGAGGGAAAGACGTCGAGAGTGATGTCGAACACTTACCTCGTAGACACCGTCTTTGACGCAACGAAGCTGCTCCAAGAGTTCCGTGCTCGACGAGAGATGCGAGGCACGTCAGCGTTGGAGGTGGAGTTGCTCCATCCAGCCGACAGTGCGTGTGAGCCCTTCAAAACAGCCGAAGACGTCGTACGACGCTTAAATGACGAGAGGACCGCTGCGAAGGCACGGGAGCTGGACCGACAAGCGGAAATTATTCAGCAGGAGCACTCGGCCCGCAACAAGACTCCCACAAATCTGGAGCCGACTACGGATGAGACATTTTGCTTTGATACTAAGGACCTGGACAAACTGAACCCACTGTTTCGTCGCTGGTACGAGGACCCCGCGAGCCAGCCAACCAAGTACGACGACTGCCTGATGGTCTACACCTCCGGCACCACTGCCCGCCCTAAGGGCACGGTGCACACGCACGCGAGTGTGGCGAACATGGTGAAGGTGTTGCAGGACGCGTGGGAGTGGAAGGACAGCGACAGCATTCTGCACGTGCTGCCCGTGCACCACATCCACGGTCTGGTGAACATTCTGTTCTGCTCTTTAGCCTCCAACGCGCGGTGTGTGTTCACCAAGTTCGACGATGCGAGCCGTGTCGCACACCGTATGGAGCGGGGCGACATCACGCTGTTCATGGCGGTGCCGACCATCTACACGAAGCTGATCGACGCGGTGACGCGCAAGTTCAGTCCCATTGAGAAGACGGGGTTCCGCAAGGCGTGCGTGGAGCACGTGCGCCTGATGGTCTCTGGCAGCGCGGCGCTGCCGGTTCCCACGCTGAACCAGTTCCGCGAGCTGTCTGGGCACACGCTGCTGGAGCGCTACGGCATGACGGAGATCGGCATGGCGCTGAGCCAGCCGCTGCGACCGGTGGAGGAGCGGCATCCCGGCACCGTTGGCTCGCCGCTGCCGACGGTGGAGGCGTACGTGCACAAGCCGGAGACGGAGGAGGCTGCGGAGCAGGCGGAGGCGAAGGAGTCGCAGTACGACGAGGTGGGCAGCCTCGCCATCGCGTCCGAGTCGCTGTTCGACCGCTACTGGCGCAACCCTGCTGCGACGAAGAAGGAGCTGCGGACGGACGCTGCGGGGACGCGCTTCTTCGACACGGGCGACACGGTGGGTGTGCGGCGCGCCGCTGGCAAGCCTGCTGTGTACACGATCCTTGGGCGGTCGAGTGTGGACATCCTGAAGACGCGCGGGTACAAGCTGTCTGCGCTGGAGATCGAGGCGGCGCTGCTGGCGCACAAGGACCTGTTCTACGAAATGGCTGTTGTGGGCACCGCGGACGATGTGCTTGGGGAAAAGGTCGTTGCGGTGGTTGCGATGCAGCCGGAGGCCGCGAAGGCGCGCGGGATCGCGTTCAGCGAGAGCGTGCGGTGGTACGAGTCGGAGGGGCTGACTGCTGAGCTGAAGAAGGTTGCGCTGGAGACGCTCGCGCCGTACAAGTGCCCGTCGCGGTACATCATTGTGCCTGAGATCCCTCGCAACCCGACCGGCAAGGTGAACAAGAAGGATCTGAAAAAAGTACTTCACTTGAAGTAGTGCGTTTCTTGCTCGTACCTTTTGATGCCTCAATCGCGTCGCTGCGTAGCCGTGTTCGGTGTGGGCTTCATGAAATCGTGCTGCTGGTGGTGCTGAATGCCGCGTTTTTTTCCAAGATGGGGGGTGCGGGCACCACTGAAAGGGACCAAATGTATAGTTCTCTCTCTTTCACATGTACCGTTCTGAGGTTGTCGGCGGAAGGTCGTAAATTCTATTCCGAAAGGGGTCTGCCCCGATCTCCGCATACTTCTGAGCGTCGTGAGCGTTGCAGCAATGGCGGTTTACTGCTCTATTATAGTTTTGTTTGTGCATGGCTTGTGTGTTTGTCTGAGCCGTTACTCGTGAGAGTACTATTTAGTGACAGAGCCGCCGTTGCTTGATGCCGTGCGCTTTTGTTCCACTCTCTCTTGTCTTTCGAAGTTCTTTCAGCAACAGAAACAGTTGTAAGAGGGGGCTGAGGAAACGACTCTAACAGAAAGGTGGGGGCTGAGGGGCGTATCTGTTTGTTCTCCCGCGTACGACTCCAGTCCTATTCACTTGTGTTGATGAACTCATGTCGTTTTATTCGCCTTGCTTGCGGTTGAGGAACATGCCAAGCCGGGGGAACCGCAGGTTTTGTGAGCTCACCTTTTTTTTCTTTTTCTGATAGCGTTCTTTTTTGTTTGCTTCACAAAACGATAGTTTTTATTTACGACCTCTTCCTCGAAACACATTCTGTTGTTGCTGTCCCTTATCATTATTTTTATCTTCTTGTGTTACGCACGGTTTTCACCAGGTATTCTTCCTCGTCACGGTATCAGTTGGTAGGATCCCAACGATCCTCCCCCCCAAACTTCGTTGACTGAAACCTCGCTGTCAACAGAGACCTGCAACGGCTCAAAAAGAAGGAAAACAGCAAACGACACAGCAAGTACGCCGCACCGTGCCAATCGATCGCATGCTGGGCTGTATCAGTCGCTCTGCTTAGCGAACAGCAGATGTGGCCGGAAAGAAAAGTACATCTGCACATGTTTAGAGACGAAAGCGATGCCTAACGCCCTTCTTTTTGCATTCTCGTACAGTGCTTCCATCTTTACTGTCTTCCTTTATTGTTACACTTCTCTTTCAAATTGTGGTGATCACTCACTTCATTCAGCAATGAAAGCAGTGGGAGGCGTGTTGCGCCGGTTTCCGTTATCTTCAAGCTCGACGTATTTTTTGTCTTCTTCACGGTCTTGCGATTTGATTAAATAAGTTCGACGCATGCCAGCTCGCTTACCGCTTACTGCTTTATCCTTTTTAAAATTAGTTTCCTGATCTATGAACCGGCACGGTTTTGCGATCACCAGATACGCTGTGTAGGAATAGATACTATTTTCCTTTTTCAACTTTCTATCGAATACAAATCATCGTTAACTATTTCTTTTCTTTAAATTCGTGCTCTGCTCCTTGAGCTCCCTCGTAGCGAAGATGTTCCGCGGTTACTCTCGCCGCTTGCTGGTGAAGGTGCCATTCTCCTCGCTGTTCGAGCACAACTACGTGCTGCGCCGCGTGTTCGAGGCGCCGCCGGGCAAGGTGGCGCTGGCGGAGGAGTTCGCGGGCCGTGCGACGGCGCAGTTCACGTACGGGGAGCTGCAGCGCGACGTGGTTGCGATGGCGGACGTGCTGGTGCGGCGCAGGGAGGCCGTTGCGCAGGCGCGCGGCGGGGCGTCGCTGGAGTGGGTGCAGCCGAGCAGGCCTGCCCACGTGCGGAGCGTGTTTGCGCAGGGTGAGCGGACCCCGAGCTGCGACGTGATGAAGGATGTTGGGTTCTACACGACGTCGGTGCTCGGCGGCCCCGGGTACACGTACGTTGTGTCGCTGCTTGCGAGCTGGTCGCTGAACCAGCTGGCGACGCCGATGTCTGTGTCGCAGCGCTACAACGACGAGCTGATGTACGTGCTGGAGCACAGTGGGAGCAGCAGCGTGGTGGGCGAGACGCATCTGCTCAAGGAGAAGCTGCCGGCGGCGTACGAGAAGCTGTACGTGCGTGGCGAGGCGGACGTTGACATAATTGCTAGCAAACTGCCCTCGTATGATGACGAGGGAAAGACGTCGAGAGTGATGTCGAACACTTACCTCGTAGACACCGTCTTTGACGCAACGAAGCTGCTCCAAGAGTTCCGTGCTCGACGAGAGATGCGAGGCACGTCAGCGTTGGAGGTGGAGTTGCTCCATCCAGCCGACAGTGCGTGTGAGCCCTTCAAAACAGCCGAAGACGTCGTACGACGCTTAAATGACGAGAGGACCGCTGCGAAGGCACGGGAGCTGGACCGACAAGCGGAAATTATTCAGCAGGAGCACTCGGCCCGCAACAAGACTCCCACAAATCTGGAGCCGACTACGGATGAGACATTTTGCTTTGATACTAAGGACCTGGACAAACTGAACCCACTGTTTCGTCGCTGGTACGAGGACCCCGCGAGCCAGCCAACCAAGTACGACGACTGCCTGATGGTCTACACCTCCGGCACCACTGCCCGCCCTAAGGGCACGGTGCACACGCACGCGAGTGTGGCGAACATGGTGAAGGTGTTGCAGGACGCGTGGGAGTGGAAGGACAGCGACAGCATTCTGCACGTGCTGCCCGTGCACCACATCCACGGTCTGGTGAACATTCTGTTCTGCTCTTTAGCCTCCAACGCGCGGTGTGTGTTCACCAAGTTCGACGATGCGAGCCGTGTCGCACACCGTATGGAGCGGGGCGACATCACGCTGTTCATGGCGGTGCCGACCATCTACACGAAGCTGATCGACGCGGTGACGCGCAAGTTCAGTCCCATTGAGAAGACGGGGTTCCGCAAGGCGTGCGTGGAGCACGTGCGCCTGATGGTCTCTGGCAGCGCGGCGCTGCCGGTTCCCACGCTGAACCAGTTCCGCGAGCTGTCTGGGCACACGCTGCTGGAGCGCTACGGCATGACGGAGATCGGCATGGCGCTGAGCCAGCCGCTGCGACCGGTGGAGGAGCGGCATCCCGGCACCGTTGGCTCGCCGCTGCCGACGGTGGAGGCGTACGTGCACAAGCCGGAGACGGAGGAGGCTGCGGAGCAGGCGGAGGCGAAGGAGTCGCAGTACGACGAGGTGGGCAGCCTCGCCATCGCGTCCGAGTCGCTGTTCGACCGCTACTGGCGCAACCCTGCTGCGACGAAGAAGGAGCTGCGGACGGACGCTGCGGGGACGCGCTTCTTCGACACGGGCGACACGGTGGGTGTGCGGCGCGCCGCTGGCAAGCCTGCTGTGTACACGATCCTTGGGCGGTCGAGTGTGGACATCCTGAAGACGCGCGGGTACAAGCTGTCTGCGCTGGAGATCGAGGCGGCGCTGCTGGCGCACAAGGACCTGTTCTACGAAATGGCTGTTGTGGGCACCGCGGACGATGTGCTTGGGGAAAAGGTCGTTGCGGTGGTTGCGATGCAGCCGGAGGCCGCGAAGGCGCGCGGGATCGCGTTCAGCGAGAGCGTGCGGTGGTACGAGTCGGAGGGGCTGACTGCTGAGCTGAAGAAGGTTGCGCTGGAGACGCTCGCGCCGTACAAGTGCCCGTCGCGGTACATCATTGTGCCTGAGATCCCTCGCAACCCGACCGGCAAGGTGAACAAGAAGGATCTGAAAAAAGTACTTCACTTGAAGTAGTGCGTTTCTTGCTCGTACCTCTTGATGCCTCAATCGCGTCGCTGCGTAGCGTACTGGGGGACAGTTTTGCTGTTGCTGTCCTCTTGGTGATCTTCACATCGTTATGTGGTTGCTATCGCATCCGCCAGGTGGAATGAGTTGTTTTTGCACTTGAAAGTCACTAGTGATGATCTGTTAGGTATGCCCGTGAAGGTGCTATCCCATTTGTTGATAGCACCGAACTTGAATTCGGATTTCCCGTGGTTTGCTTCTAGACCACGGTGCCGTGGATGGTTTCTTGGGGCGTCGGCCCCCCCCCCTCCCCCAGCGTTCGATAATAATATGATTATTCCCGAAGGGCGGCGGAGTAGATGTCCTCCTCATTCTCTTTCCAAATGCCGTTCTTTTCATGTTTCTCCGTTGTCTCCCGTCCATCGTTTCGCCCCTCTCTTTTTTCTGTCGGTTTCCGATGGCTGCTCTTCTACGGGGCTTCTGCACCGTTCCGACGCTCTTCTTTGCGTCCGCACGTGGACTCAGGACGGTGTTACGCGATAGCAACCTTCTCTTGTTCACCTGCGTTTTGTTTTGCCTCCACTTATTCTATACATCCAGAGGAGATAGAAAAAAAAAAGAACACAGCAACGGCAGCAAGGCAGAAGGAATTCACGTTGTGCATCGAGTCGACAGCAGTTCGCCACTTGAACCTCTTGAACATATCATTTCAAATAAGCAGCTTTTTGAGGCTTTAACTATCCTGTCCTCAGAGACCGGTTGGCTTCCATTCTTTCTGGAGCTCCCTGCATCATTGATCATCGTTATTTTCCAGTTTTTTTTTAAGATTGCTTTTGTGCTATCGAGAACGTGTGTTTGTCGTCCTGCCTCAACGCAGCAGCTTCATAGTCACAGCGGAGGCTGTTTTATACGGCGTTCCATCTTACTTCTTTCTTTTTTTTTCCGTGGTCAACAGACTTCCGCCTCCGAGGCTCCATTCGCGCTTAACGAAGTTTGTAGCTGCTGCCTGCGCTCTGCTTTTCCCCAATGAGTACGTTTTTGCCTAGTCCGACACACCCGTCGCGTGGCAAGCGCGAGAATGGCCAGTCCGCATCGTCAGACGTGAACCATCGACGTCGATCAGACGCGATGTATGACTCCGAAACGAAGGAAATGTTGCTGGTGATAGAGACGCAGAACGACTTGAAGCAGAACGCGTGGCGTGGCGAGGCGCGGCGCTGCTCTATTGGTGTTTCATATGACAACGATGCCACCCGTCACTCCGTGAATGACAGCCCCAAGCACCATCACGGGTCTCATGACGGGCGCAGGCGTGACGAAGACCCGGAGCAGACTGCCCGCAAGTTTGAAGGCTGGTTGGCTGAAGTGGAACAGCGTCAGGGCCAAATCAGCACCGTGAATCAGACAGATCTCTGCCTGTGGTTTCACGAGGAGCGCCTGGCTGCCAAGACGCCGTTTGCGGCGGTGGTGCCGTGCCCGGCGTCGCTGCGGACGGACAAGGCTCGCCAGCGCGTGGTGCAGGCGATTAACGCCTTCGCCTTTCCAACCTTCTACGTGCAGACGTTGCCGATGGGTGCGAAGCTGTCGGAGGTGTCGCAGGCCTTTGTGCGCACCCCGGCGCACCTGCCCGAAGCCACGCGGTACAGCAGCAGCGATGAAAAGGGCAAATACGCCTATGCGACAGTGCCGTGCCACAACGGCGCAGACGCGATGGACTTGATGGGCCGGTACGTGCCGCTGCAGGATGCCGTGCGAGATGTGCCGTGTTTGTTGTTGAACGACTTCTGTCCGCTGACGCCGCTGTGTCTGCGCTGTCTCGTGGTGGCGGGTCGCTGCGTGGCAGCCGAGGTGGTGTGCGACGAGGCGTTCACGCCTCTCTTTGGCATTCGGCCGAACAACACAGAGGAAGGCCACAACGGCGACGGCGACGGCGAGGGATACACCACCGCAGGGGAGCGTCGCCGCGCTTCCGCGGCAGCCCGGCGCCGTGAAGCCTCCGCCTCGGAGCTGGGCGATGATGCTGATGGAGACTACCGCACCGCCAGCGATGTGATCGCATTTGGCCTCAAGCGTTTTGTGGAGGAGACTCTTGGCGCCTCGCTTGCGGCGCGCTCCTACACGGCGCTGATCGCGGCGGAGGTGAAGGGGTTTGATCCCCGTGTGCTGGGACCGCGGGAGTCGGACCCGCCGTTCTGGCCTGTCATGACGAACGAGCCACTGCAGCAAAAGCCGTCGCCCTTCAACGAGGCCGGCCTGCGTTTCTACGTGCTCTCCTTCGATTACGCTGACCCCTGCGCTTTCGAGACGTTTAGTGCACAGGAACTGCACGCCGTCGGCGACTACGTCGTGGGGCGCGAGGGGGAGGGCATCTACCTGCCACCCATTCTTCGTTTTGTGGACGGCCACGAGGACGAGCGTGCGGCCGCGCAACCGCTTCCGACGTGGTCCGAGTCGTCCTCCGTGAAGTCCTCGCTCGCCGCCTCTGACGCGTCCAGTCGTGTGTTGCGGGATGATGACAGGAAAGGCACGAGGCCTATTGCTTTGTCGGCCTCAACGCTCAGCGCATCGAAGGACAAGAGCAGTTTCGTCTCTTCGCTTCAGAGTCACAAGCCCGCTGCGTCTACGAAGGATAGACTGAACAGGCCACCAACCTCGCACCCCGATCGCGATGGCGCGTCGTCGAGGCCGGACAAGCCGTCTTCATCCTTGAAGGCGACCCCGATCGTGCCGAAGTCGCGCCGCGCCGACACGAGTTCGAAGAACGGCAGCACCATCGGTGGGAGCGTCGTCATCCCGGCTGTAGACGATGACACGTCCAGCAACAACTCGCACGATACTCGTTCCAGTAACCGGCTTCCCTCCCGCACGTCTTCGTTCAACCGCCCCGCCAGCGTGGTGAGCAACGGCCACAAACGCAATAACACAAATAACGGTGCGACGGCGCCGCACGTCGACCCCGCTGTGAAGTCCCACACGACGACCACCTCCTCCTCCCACAAACACGAACCCTCTCATACCACGGACGCCGACGGGACGGAGAGGGCACCGTCGGAGGCGTCGTCGCGGCCAGGTCGGGGCGATAACGCTTCGATGGACCACAGCGAGACGGCGAGTACCGTGTCGACGCACTCGTCGCGGCGGTTGCCGGAGCGGCGCTTGTCTGCGTTCGCCACGAGCAGCGTCACGGGCAGTCGGCGCAGCAGCGTCGGTCACGATCAGGACTTTCTCACGGAGACGGAAAGCGTCCGCTCTTCTTTGCCGCCCCGCCGTCGGTCGTCTGTCGTGGCGAGTGCGGCTGTGCCGCGTCCTTCTCCAACTGCTGCGGGGGCTGCTCAAGCATCTGTGGTGAAGTCTGCCGCTGCCCCGTCGATTGCCTCTGATGCTGCTTCGCCGTATCCCCGGTCGTCTCAGCAGGGGCAGAGCCAACTCGGCTCTACCGGCCGATCTGCGGATGACAAGGGACGACCGATGCCGCGGCTGCCGTCGCCGATGCGTCCAGAGGACATCCCAGTGGTGGAATCGCCCAATTTTGGCCCCTCGCACTTCTCCGCCGCTGCGAGCACCGCTTCCTCTGCGGCGCCGTCGACGCGTTCGTCTCGCACGCGTGCGAGCGGCGCAGAGCTCGACGCTGACGTGGTGGCTGGCAGTCGCATTGGTCACCCGAGCAGCACCCGCCCGACGGAGAAGGAGTCCCCAACTCCGACGTCGAAACCACAATCTCCCTCGGCGTCCGCGGCGCCAAGCGTGGAGATGCCCTCAACCCGCTCTCGCCACTCTGGCCACCCTGACGACCCTACGGACAACGCACGCATTGCAGAGCCGGAGAAGGCAGCGAAGTCAACGACGGCGAGCATGGCGGAGTCCGCGTTGACGCGCAGCAGTAAGTCGGCGTCTATTCGCACGAAATCTTCCGCTGCCCCGTCACCACAGGCGCCGCCGCAGGAGCCAGAAGCGTTGCAGTACGATGCCAGAGAAGAAGCGGAAGAGGGGAGTCAGATGCCGCGCAGGAGCAGCGCATGCAACGAGGACAACGCCTCCACACGATCTGACGCTAGAGGGTCCAAAAGGCGCGACGCCCCAGCCACACAGAAGGAGGACAATCCGCTCATTAACTCACCGCCTGCGACACCCGCGTTCAACGAGTCCAAGTCGCCGGCGCCTTCCGCCACCGCCTCTTCCGCGCAGGCGCCGCCAGAGGATGAAGAGAGGCAGTCGGAGGGGCCGAGTGTGGCGGACTCACCGTCGAATCAACCTCGAGTGGGTGCTGCTCGTGGGTCGGATAGGGCTTCGTCTGCGAGGCCGGTGGCGGACAGCGAACGCTCTGGTCCCTCCGCGCCGCCGTCCAACACACCGCAAGCGCCGTCGCAGCAGTCATCTGTGAGGTCAAAGACAAGCAGCGCCTCTTCAGCGGTGGATGACGCGGGGGTCGAAACCTCTGACTCGGCATTCGATCGTAGCTTGTCCTCCGCCGCACCTGCGCAGGGCAGCGAGGAGGGCTCGGTGGTGCCGGATGCGATGGAGTTCCTCAACGGCAGTGGAGAGGAGCCGCCCGCGGTGGACACGACGGCCCTGGCATCGACCCCTTTGCAGTCGGAGCACGACGCGGAGCAGCAGCAGCAGCCGTCACCCCCACCGTCGTCCGAGGAGGGCGAGTCTCCCACTTCGGCTTTTGAGGGGTCCGAGACATCGAGCAGCAGTGAACAACGCAGCGCACCCACGAAGGCAGCCACGCCTGCTTCCGCGGGGGAGGAAGTCAGCGCACCGTCGCCTACGGCGGCAAACGCTTCTCCCACCACTGACGTATCCACAGAAGATCGCGATGCCGCGCTTCGTAAGGCACGTCTTCACGCGATTGCGGCGTTGATCACCGCAAGGGCAGCTTATGAGGAAGTGCAGCGAGTGACTGCGATGTATAAGCAAGAGTAGAGTGTTCTCAAGCGTTGTGTGCAGCCACGCCCTTTTACTATTTTTCTACTGCTGCTGTTATTTAACTACGTTTCTCCTCTCCGTTTCTAGCGGTTCCTCTCATCGTTTATTTCTGTTCCTCAGACGCTTTCTTTTTTACGGTGTTGTACGCGTGCGGTGCAACGAAGCTTTTCTTTTGACTCTTTCACTGCTTTTTGTGTTTTTATCTCTTTGCATTTATTTGCGCAGCTATTTTCGTTGGTAAGCCTTTTTTTTTTTCCTGCTGTGTGTCGAAGTTCTCATGACGTCACTACCACACTCCTTGCAGCCACTTCGTCGCCTCTGGTGGCGCCCGCGTATGTGGAGTGATAGAGGGTGACTGTACCAGGTTAACAGGGGCAGTGCTCTCCATCGCTGTTCAACAGTCGACAACAGATATTGTCGTACGTTCTATTATACCTTGCGGAGACGTTATATTTTCACTCTATTTTTTTCTCTATCTGTTCCGTTTACTTGGGACTATCATAGTTTATTTTCTCCTACCCTTTTTTTTTATTCAGGCTGCGTCTTCTTTTTTATTGTTATTGCGGTTTTCTTGTTAGTGTGATTTTAACGCGATGCTGTCGCTGCGGGGGTGTCGTATCTTGTGGAACGGCGCACGTACGTACTGGTGCACACCCACCCACTCGTTTTCTGAGGCAGCCGGCGCTTTGTCGTGCTGCCATCAGGAGGCGGTGAACAAAGTAGAGTTTTGTTTTATCCTCCTCATTTTCAATCGTTCGTTTTATTATTATTATTATTGTAACTGCTGTTGTTCCTTGCTTTGGCGAATACGCTTACTCGCCAGCTTTCTATATATATGGAAACACAAGATAACGGTAGTTCAAGAGACTGATGGGTATCGTGTGTTCTGCAACTTTTTAATCCTGTTCGAAATAATAATCATCTCTATATATCCATATTTGGTCAGTACCCACTATTTGGCAGCTTCGCTTATTCGTACGGGACGGAAAGCGCACGATGCGTAAATTCATGCTTTTCCTTTCTATCTCTCTCTATAGAGAATCAGCAGCTCAACTTATTCGCCTTTGTTTTTTTAACGTTCTCCTTTCCCTCGTCCATGGTCGCATCTCCCCCCAAAAAACCTAAATAGAAAGATTCACCAACGGCAACGTTGTAGGTTGAGACTGTGAGGATGGAAGCGCTGAAGTACTCCATGTGGTGACTCGCTGCGGTGCCATCGCCTCAAATGAGCTCAGGCGTGTGGGCACCGCGGCAACGAACCAGCAGCAACACAATTCGACTTCGGTGAGAAAGCAGGTGTTTTCATGACGTGAGAAAAAGCAAGCAAACACGCATTTAGTGGCAGCGGGATGACAGGAGCTCCTACTATGCGAAACCGCCGCTACGCGAACAAACTTGTAGACAGGAATTCCCTTTTCGCTATACATGCTGCTTACAGCTGCTCGCGTTCTCCTTGTGGTCTTCAGCACATCTTTTGAAGCTGCCTTCTCTTCTCCACTGCTTTATCTTAACTTGTTTTTCGCGCTTTGTTTTCGGTTGTTTCGCTCTATCCGTTAACCCCACCGACGGCGTGTTCGACTCTTTCTTCTCCGAAAACGAAAAGAAAGAAGATTTCCATTTTACTCCTTGTTTTTTGTTTACTCCTGTTGTATTTTTTTTTCCTATTCATCTCGTGAATTACTCGTTTTGTTTTATCCCACACCCTTCCTCCTTACAATCACCTTAGTGATTCCCTTTTCCAGTGCTGAAGTAACTCTTAGCGTTGTGACCTGAAACTGTTGTTGCTGACTTCTCTACCCATTCGCGCCCCCGTACCGTCTCTCTCTCTCTCTCACACACACAAAAACACACGTGAGAAGACTCGCTGAAGGCGCATCGTTGTTTCATTGCAGTGCACACCTTTGTCTCTTTTTTTCTTGTTTGCTTGCTTGCCTGTGTCTGTGTTTATGCGAAGCTTCTCCGCTAAGGCTTTCTCGTACGCTCGCCTCATCGCCTCCTCGGTCACCTGCCTTGCCGCCGTCACACCCACGACGACCGCAACAAGCGAGACGACGGCGCCGACCTCCACCTCAGCGGCCGGCACGCAGCACAGCAGCACGACAGGCACCATGTCCTACAACCTGCACGGCCCCAACCCCCCGCCGATGCTCTCTGCGGCGGCGAAGACGAAGGAGAAGAAGACACTGCGACTGACCTACCCGAGCTGGCAGGGCGGCACGCTGCCGCTGTACCACTTTGGCTCGCAGCTGCTCACCGCCCTCGCCCCCCCAACGAACGGCCCGGTGGCGCAGGTGACGGTGACGCCGCCGGAGCTCACCCCGTTGCCACTGAAGAAGACCAAGGGCATCAACGCACTTCCCGAGAACGTCGCCACCATGGAAAGCGCCATCGCCGTGTGCAAGCAGCACAACCCCGACAACATCGTCGTGCTCGGCGGCGACTGCTTCGCCGAGCTCGGCCCCTTTTCTTACTTGGCCGACAAGTACAAGAAGGAGAAGTTCGGCCTGCTGTGGCTCGACGCGCACCCCGACGTCTTGAACTCGAAGGACTGGTGCAACGCACACACCTACCCGGTGGGCGCACTGATGGGCAAGGGCGACAAGGAGTTTGTGGAGCTTGTGAAGTCCCCTATTCCTGGGTCGCGGGTGATGGTGGCTGGCATGCACCACCCGTCCAAAAGAGATCAGCGGCACATCGACGACTACGGTGTTCGCGTGTGCGGTCCAGACTCTATCGTTAACAACGGTGCTGCGGAGGTACTCAAGTGGATCAAGGACGAGGGCATCACGCACCTCGCCATTCATCTGGACCTGGACGTGCTGTCGGATAAGTACTTCCGAATGCTGTACTTCAGCGACCCTGATGCCCCGGAGGGTGCGCACAAGGGCGTTCCGAGAGGCCAACTGCGCTTCAAGCACGTCACCTCGCTTCTGAAGGCGGTGTCGGCGAAGACCCAGGTGGTTGGCTTCGGCATTACAGAACTGCTGCCGTGGGACGTCTACAACTTCCGCGAGTTCTTGAAGGAGTTGCCATTGGTGAACCCGAACTACGCTGCCAAGCTGTAGGCCCGACGTGCGAAGTCGTTGCATGTCGACGGCGCTGCGTCAAAGAAGAGCAGAGCAGCAGCCACCACCACCACCACCACCTCAACATCAAAAACGAACTTTTTTGTGAAGAGTAAATAAGTAAGAGCTTTGCATCAAAAAACTTTGTAAACTCCATTGTTTTCCGAACTTTTACGGTTATTATACATAACATACGTCTTCTTGTTTTTCTTTCTTCTTACTCATGGCTTTGTCGTTTCTGATGTTGGTGCTCAGACGCTGTATGCCTTTTCGTGGAGCTTTCACCTCCCTCTGTGCTTCCGCTAGCAATCAAAAGAAAAAAAGTGGTTTGGGGGTGAGGGCATGCTTGTGGTGCCTGCGACCTCGTAGCTACGCAGCAAGCGAGTTGCACGGAGAGTACGAACCTTTTTTTTTACTCCCTCTCAGAGTTGCCCGAAAAGCGACGCGACACACGCGCACACACATACAAAATGATGCCATTACTATTATTACAATTATTATTATTATTATTTGGTTTCTTTGTTTCCTCCTATTAGCAACGCTCTTACGCGGTGCACATCTAAACTCTGTCTCTCCCTTTCTATTGACCCCGTCGCTTTTGTTGTTCTTTGTCGCTCACTCAGTACTGTTGAAGGTGTCAGCAAAATGGCTTGTGGGGACAAAAAGAAATATTTCGCGGATCACTTTTAGGGTGGCCCGTACAAAGTGGGACTCACGGAGCGGCAGCTCACGTAGTAGCTCGGTATGTTTCACGATCTTCGAATGACTCGAGTATCTGTTTTTGTCTCACGAAAGCGATTTGCACCTCAGCGAAGCAGCACGTAGCCAAAGGCACGGAAAAGCAAACAAACACAGCAAATCGCATTATTCTGAATGTTAGGCGCAAAGAACTGCACAGCTGCATAAAGGTTCGCCTCGTGCACGAAGGATGCGATGCACCACGTTGCGAGCGTTGAAAGCGGCTTCACTTTGCTAAGCCATAATAATCATAATTGCTGTACACTTTCTTCAGCATATGTGTTGGATTATTGCGTTGTGCCGTCTTGTGGTGCTGTGTGTGTGAGAGAGAGAATAGCGTTCATAACACACACACGCACACACACACACACACAGGTATCGTCCTGTTCCTTAATCTATGTCGCGGCAATCAATTTCCACCTTTCGTGTTCTTCTTTCGCTGTTGTTCTCAGTTTTAAGGGGGCTGGTATAAACGGTCTTCTTCGTCACCCTCCGGCTTGCCCTTTCGCACCTCACAACGTGTTCATTTCCCTTCAATAGGAGGTTATTTTCTCAATAATTGGTCCCGGACTTGCCAGCAGTTGAAGGCTGGCCGGGGCGGTTGCTAACAATAGAGTTCATTTCGTGTTGTTGCTGACCTGGTAAGCTGAAAGGAAGTAGCAAATATACAGCATTCACTTAAAATGAATGAGAATTTTTCATATGCATGAGTTACTTTCATAGACTTGTACTAACACGTTCTCCTAATGGAAATTGCGAGTACACACGTAATCAGAAAGGAAGACCAGGGAGTAATGAGTGGCCGTGAAAACCCAGTGACGCGGCCGTCCGTGTTTCGCACCCAGGATGCACACAACAGTGACTACGCCGGCGCCGCCCCGTTCACCTCTCCCTACGCGGAGTCGTTCTCTCTGTCTCCGTACGCTGCGACGGCCCCTGGCGTCGAACGGGTGGCCTCGCCCACCACGACTGCCACGCGGGTTTTACCCACCTCAGCAGGCGGCGGTGGTGTGTTAGGCCGTCCTGCGTTTGTGGACGCCTACGCGTCTTCCAAGAACTGGCCTCGCTCACTCACGGGTGCCAACACGGCGAACGTTGTGAGCGAAGTTCGCGGAAGTGCGAACCCACATTCACCTGTCTTCGGTGCGTCGGGGCTGCAGCGTCAGCCGGCGGTGCGCACCTTCTCGCAGCTGAGTGCCGCTCCGATCCACTCGCCCACGTCTGTGTTTTACTCCGCTGATGCTCCCGTCTCTGGCTGGGCGGAGTACAGCCGACCCCCACCGACGAGTCCCGCGGATCCGTTCCCCAACGCGCCGTTCGGCGGGGAAGCGGTGCTGCAGCGTCCGCTCGGTCCGGACACGATCCGTGAGGCCGTCTACGCGTATCTCGAGGCGACGGACAAGCATGATGTGGTGATGGCCATGATGGCGGATGAGCGGCGGCACACGCAGCGCAACGTGACGGCCGCCACCGCGTCAATCGCTCCGTTGTCGGTGAGCCTTTCCTACCCGACCGAGTTGTCGGTATCCGGCGGCGACGACTTCCTTGGCACGCGTCGCTTTGACCTCCGCGTGGGACACGATGGTGGCGCAGCAGCGATGAACTCGGTGCCAAACTCTAGTTCACAAGGCAACAGCGGCATCAACTCCTTCTCGGGCATTTCGAATAGTCCGAGCCACCCACTCGGCCTTCCACCACGCGAAGCAGCGTCGCCCAACTTCACTACCGGCGGCAGCGTAACACCCGGTGGGTTGGAGGCTAAGCGGAGCCGGCAGCGCCGTTCGCATGATCTTCTCCGCCGAGGCCTTTTGGACCGACACCGCAGCGACGGGCGGACAGACATGACGGCGACCGGCAGGCCCTCGCCGCACAGTTCCCCCCGGCGTGGCCGCACCTTTAACACCACATCGCGGCCGTCGTCGCCCTCCATGCAGCACAACACGGGTTGTGGCGAAGCTGTGGCTGCTGGTGCTGGAGCGCCTCGCCCGGGTAAGGAACCACCGACCCAGCGCCAGCACCTCCCCAAACTCCTCCCCACGCTTTGCGGATTGGAGGAGGCGGTTCGGCCGGACCTCGTCCTTCTCTTTACCAATTCGGAGAAGAAGATTTTGAAGCAGTATCGGCAGCTGAGCATTCCGCCCCCATCGCACGAGGTGCTGCAGTACATTCTCACCCAGGCTTACGAGCCGATGTGGTCTGTTGGCGAGGACGCCAATGTCTACCATCTTTTCCAACCCGCAAACCCTGTCACTGGCATGGTGCTTTACGGCACGGTGAATCAAATGGTGGAGCAGCTGACCCAGGTGCACGTCATGCCTCTCTCCACGCCGCCGGACGTCATTCTGAGGAGCGAGCGGTCCTTTAGCCAAGCCTTTCTGCGTCGCCATCGGCTCCTGATGCCCTCGCATGTGCTGCTGGAAAAGCTCATGGAACGCTACTTGGTGCCGCTGTCTCTTCAACTCGGGTTTGAGCGTTTTAAGGTGCACGGGATTACGGTGCACATCCCCGGTCTCGGTGCGTCGCTGCCGGTGCGGCGCTCGCAGAGTGAGACGGTGTTGCACGGACGGCGACACCCTGGCGCGACGAACTTGGTGTCCGCTACCACCGCCGTCGCTGGTAGCCCATCCGGTTATGTGGGGAGTGGTGATGGGGGAGGTGGGGAGTCGGGTGCGTGGGGCTCGCGTTCCGCACGTCCGGTTCAGCCCGGGCCTGCCGGAGAGGCGGGCGGGTTGAGCGTCGGTACGACGGCGATGGTGGAGGAGTATGTGCGCGCTGCCGCCGCCGCCACCGCGCCCGACGCAGCGTTGACAGCGATAGTGCGCTCCGGGTTGCTGCCCAGTGTCACCAGCGATTCCATCGCGGCGCTGACCAACGCAGCGATCGGCACGGCTCCGGCGGCTGCGGCGACGCTCGCGGGGTGGGCGAGCAACCCGGCCTCCCCCACGCTGCCGCATCGAAATGCGCTGGAAGGCTCTCCGGGCGCTCCCGGTCTCAGTGACCTTCTTCCGGGAGGTGGCGGTGGTGGTGTCGGTACTGCCGCGAGTCGTGCCGCAGCGGAGCTCGTCACGACCTACTCCTCGAGTGCGGCCCTGTGGCTGACGGTGTGCGAGCGGGTGCAGCTGAAGGTCCTGTCGGTGCTCCTGTACTGGCTGCAGCACCACCCACACCACTTCGATGGCGAAATGCTGCGCAGTGTGCTGCACTTCGTGGAGAGTTGCTGCTACGCCACCAGCGACTGGGCGGACTGCCCGTCGCGGCAGCCGCAGATGGCAGAGTTTATCCGTCAGGCCTGTCATGCTGCGCTGCCGTTGTCACAGCGACGCTGCAGTGGGAGCACCTTCGCCGCGGCTCACTTCGCCGCCCTCCCACCCATCTCGAAGGAATGGGGGGAGGGCGTGCTGAGTGGAACGTGGGAGCTTCGACGGTATCAAATGCTATCCGAGGCCATCCCGCCGTCGCTGCGACACTCGGTGAGGGCGGAGCTGCTGCCCTGGACGTGGATCACTCCGATGGGCTCGCTGACGCCTAGGCAGTACCTCCCCTGCTTTGCGTTTCGCACGCTCCCCGCGGCGGATGTGATGTCGTACCCCAGGGAGAGACGGCCTACGCAGCACTACGAACAAGAACACCATCGCGTCGCCGGAGCCACCACGCAAGCACCGGCGGACATGAAAAGCGGCGGGTCCGACGTCACAAAGCTGCTCGCCGATGCGCAGGAGGCGTTTCGCCTCTTTGGCAGCTGCACCTTCGAGACCTACGTGCGTGGCCTCACCGCGGCGCACTACCGCATGTTCACTGCCTTTCCCTCGCAGGATATCTTCATCGCGGCGCAGCACACCAGCTCGTCGTACCTGGCCTCGCCCGCCTTCCAGTCCTCCTTTCTCGGTCGCTTCTTGAACTCCTCCGCGATTCTTACCTCATGGTGCGTGTCGCTGCTGCTGCACGCCGCGTGCATGGACGGTGCGCGGGCGGCCGCGGTGGCGGCGGTCACGAACCTTTCCATTTTGAACTCCTTCGTCGGCGATATGACCGACTACCGTGCCCAGCCCGCGAGTGAAGGAGAGGGCGAGGACGAGAAGGCCGTTGGTGGCAGCGCTGCCCACTCTCGCTCCTCGTCCACGTCAGCTTCCAAGTCGTCCATCTCCACCGCGTCGGCGGCCACGGTGTCCGTCGCGGGTGTCTCGCAGAACGGCACCGCTGGAGGAGGAGGAGGAGGTGGTGGCGGTGGTGGCGGCAACAATGCGCCGGGCGGGAACGATGGTGCCGGTGCCGCCGCCGCCGCCGTGGCCGCAGCTCGCCACAACGCCTTCCTGCACAACCCCGCCCGCCGCTTTCTCCACGTGCTCGACCGCCTTGTGGACCTCGTCGTCGGCTTCCTGCGGGTGAACAATTTACACGCCTCCTACAGCGTCTTCCGCGGCTTCAATCACCCTTTTGTGAAGAAGCTGCTGCAGCATCGTCGCATCAGCACGCACGTCCACGCGCAGACCGCGCACCGGCTTCGCAAACTGGAGGGCTTTTTCACCTCGATTCCACCCACGTCAGGGGCCACAGCGACGGCGTCCGGTTCGGCAGACACCTCGCCGGGGCGTGCTGCGAGTGGTGGTGGAGGGACAGCCAGCGGCACAAAGCAAGCTTCCAGCTCCGCTGCAACGGCAGCGGGCGTTGGAGACCCGACGGTCGACGATGACCTCGATGCCCCGGGTGACGAAGGCAACACGGAGGCCGGAGCCGCCTCGCCAGCCGGCGATGGCGCGCCGCATCGCAACCGCAAGACGCACCACTCGTTCTTCGAGTATCTGAACACCGTGCCGGACAGCGAGGAGTACCCGACGGTGCCAGTGGTGCAGTACTATTTGCGTGAGCTGCAGATGATGTTTGCACTGGAGCCTACGTTTTTCACCGTGCCGAGTCATCAGATGCAAAGCCGTTTTGCGTCCGATGAGGTGCGGCTGACGGGTGTGTTCACCATGCCAGATGCCGGCGTGGAGGACGAGCAGACGCCGCCTGTAGCGTCTCCGATTGCCGTAGTGAACTGGCGCAAGATGCACCTGGTGGATGACTGGATTCAACGCGTGAGCCGCAACCAGATCTCCTGTCTGCATTACATATCTTCTCGATCGACGGTGATGCGGAACATAATGCCGGACTTGGAATTTGAGAAAGCCTTCGACGCGCAGCTGAGTCACGTGGTTGTGACTGACACGACCCTTCTCCAAGAGATGGCAAACCATCTGTACTGCGCCTTGTGACCGAGGAAAGAAGATATCTGCGAGGCTGTTCTGAGGGAAAGGAGACGGCAGGTGCTTTGTTATCCCCTGATCTTGGCGACACAAGTGTATTCTTCCCCGTTTTTCTTTCCCTTTATCGTCTGCGAATGTCGATGCTTCACACCAATACTTAAAAAAAAAACCTGTACAAGTATTAACAATGACGTTGGTAGATGAACTCGTATAAGACTCCAATGGAAGCGAACGCATCTTCATTCTTCGTTGTAGCTGTGCATTATCATTCGATCGTTTCCCCGCCAAAAGCAGGAGATATGACGACAGTCAATAAATCGAATTAATGCGCACTCTTATTGCGTTGTACTTCTCTCCCTTCCTCCTCCCCTTCCGCCCATTCTTTTTGATTGTTTGTTTTATTGCTGTGCGTGTTTCAGTTTCTGTGGGTTTTTGTTTCGTTCGTTGCGAGTTCTTTGTGCCTTGACGGTGAAGTAGAAGCCCTGCTTCTTCTTCTTTCCTTCTCCTTCGGTGCCGGTCGTAAACCCGTTTGCTGTAACGCAGTGGGAGAAAAAGAAGAAAAAACTTGATTGCTGTGAGCGCGTTTTGAGACGAAATTGGCCCTTCTCTTTCAAACGACTTTTACCGAATACGCAGCTCATAGCCGCTACGCCTTCTTCTTTACCTTCGTATCGTCACATCTAAATCAATCAGCGCGCTGCGATTTCTCTCCCTCTCTTCGTGGTTGTCTACAGGCTTTCCCTTTCCTCGCGTCCTTTGCAACACTTCTAGTGCAGGACCATGCTTGTTTCTCCCGTCAAGGTTGTCAGCACCGTGTGCGTGTTGGTAGCTGCCGGTGCGGCGGTGGCCCACGGCGTCGCGAGCGACGAGGCGTGTCTCGCCGTCATGTACCCGCAGAGTGCCAGCTTCTTTGGTGCCATGGGTGCGACCATCGCCCTCGTCTTCGCCAACTTGGGCTCCGCGTACGGGGCGGCCAAGTCCGGCGTTGGCGTCGCCTACCTCGGCCTCACGGCTCCTGAAAAGATCATGCGTGGTATTGTACCGGTGGTCATGGCGGGTATTCTCGGCATCTACGGCCTGATTATCGCCGTCATCATCAACAACAACATTCACAGCGACGACAACTCCTACTCTGCCTACGCCGGTTACCTGCACCTTGGCGCTGGCTTGGCGGCGGGGCTGGCGGCTCTCGGCGCGGGCCTGTCCATCGGTGTCGTTGGCGACACAGCCGCCCGTGCCTACGGTAAGCAGGATCAGATCTTCGTGGTCATGGTGCTGATGCTGATTTTCTCGGAGGCGCTGGGTCTGTACGGGCTCATTATTGCGCTGCTGATGAACAACCAGGCCAACCGTTACACGGACCTGTGCCGTTAACGGAGCAGTATAGGCCCTATAAAAATATGTTGAAATCCTGGTTGTTCTCTCTAGGATTATGTTCTTCCAGTGTGGATACGCGCGTGCGGTTTATGGTTGCGTTTGTTTTCCGTTCCTTTTTTTCTGTGTTTATTTACACGCGCGTGTGCGTGTGTGTGAACGTGGTGTGCTGATCAACGCTCTGTTAGTGATGGCGGGTGCCTTTATTGTGTCGTTCCTCTTTTGATAGTGGTGATGGCAGCGTTTCTAGCGGTTTAGGCGCATATGCATGTGCTGTAGTGCATTGTTGTTTGAAGCTTTTTGCGTTTCGGTATTCCATCTCTTCCCTTCTGTTTGTCAATGAAAGTCGAAGGAATGACTTTGTTCTTGGTGCTCTTGTGCAGATAAACAATGAAAAACAGAGATTGAGAAGTACAATGCAGGAGAGAAAGCACAGTGACTACGCACGTTTGCTCTCTCTTGTTTTTCTCCTCTCATTGCGACGTACGGGATAGCGCTGGAAGGCAGCGTTGCCCTCGTCATGTCGACGCGTCAAGGTGCTTAGCCTTCTTCTTTGCGCGCATGTTGCACACATACTTCATGCGTTGTGTGTAGCTGCTGAACGCCTTTGCGGAGGACGAAGTGGTATTGCGCTCTGCAATTCGATTCCATCGTCGGATGTCTTCTGCACTGCTCGCTGCTTTTTATCGTGCGCATTGCAAGTTATTCCGCAAACATTCCTTTTTTTTATTCTGGATTTTCTGTCGTTCTCTTCTCTGAAACGTGCCTTTCGGCGACCTTACGAAACGCTCTTTCGTTAGGGGTGCTTTTCACGCTACTTATGATGATTGAAGACGTTGACTAATACATTCACGCAAGGAGAGCAACGTTGCTGCTGCTTTTTGTTTTGTTTTGTGTGTATCTACACCGACTCTCATCCTTTATACACCTGGATCTCTTCGTATACAACTTTGTTTTCGTGCTTTTCACAGCACCATACACACTAGTTTCTTTTTCTTTTACTGGCGCCATGTACGACACCGGCACGCAAACGCTCGCATCCTCTGTACCTCTCTGCTTTGTTTACTAAAAGCGAGCTCTTTTTCTACTGGACTCTTGACGCACTCTCAACTAGTTGCCGGTTCCAGTAAGTCAAAACAATACAATGCACTGACAAGTAATCGTTTGTGATTATTATTATTATTTCTTTGTAGTCGCGGTTTCAACAGCTTTTCTGATTTCGTCTGCTTTCACCGCCACCACCTTAGACCAGCACCATCAAAAGAAAGGTGACATAGGGTCACATCCCCCCCCCCCCGGCTTTGGTATTTTCAATTTGCACTATCCCATCTCTCCATCACCCAATGGGAGGCGTACTCGGTGGAATGGTGGAGACGTGTTCCCTACACCCCCAATGGGAGGCAACAGACTTCGCCCCGCTGCCAGCAATACGAGACACTTCTTATCCTGCGGGTGTGATGGGAGTGGAAAGGAAGAAAACTGTCGCAACGTACCTGCGTGACTGCCTTCAGCTACTGAACGAGAAGCTCCTGGCAGATAAACTTCTGCAGTGGAGGGTACCAACGTCCGTTTTGCTCTGCGCGACTTTCGCTGCGGCGGAATCCGACGCTGCCTGGACCTCCTTTGCGAGCTGCCGCTCTGCCCTTGGAGGCCGTCTGCACTCACTTTCACTTTGCGGTCACGGCGAGATAGATGCCGAGGCAGTTCAGGCGTTGCGACCAACGCGGAAGCGTGCCTCTCTGTTGTGGTCTCCCGAGCTTGCATCGGTGCGGGCAAGTCTTTGCGTGCTCGACCTGAGCGGGTCCACCTTGGGCGATGGCGGCGTGCTTGTGTTGATGGAGCTACTTTTTCCCACTGCAGCTGATCGAAGACGAAGTGTGGCGGCACCCTCGACGAGTCGTGCGTCTTCCAAGGCCGCAGCACCGGCACAACAGCAGAGTGACGCGAAGAGCAGCCCCGAACCCGCCCGAGGTGTTGCGGCGGGACACAATAGCGATTCGCTCCTACCGAGCCTGCAGGTGCTGGTGCTCGACGCCGTCGGACTTTCCGATGCTGGAGTCGAAGGCCTTTGTGCGCATCTGGAGTCCTTGCTTCACCTTCACATGTGCGACAGCAACTGCGCCGCTTCCTCGGCCGACGCCGGTGCCGTGTTGGCGCAGCTTTCTCTTCGGCGCAACGATCTTTCCTGTCGAGGTGTGATGCGTGTTCTTTCCGCGACGCTTCCGCTGCCCCAGAACAGCAAAACGCCTTCCTTCGTCTCTCATCAACGTGCGCTGACGGCCATTGGCAACGTGGACGTGTCGTGGAACTCGTGTGTGCCACGCTCGCTCCACAACGACGCCGAGACAAAACGCGGCTGCTTTACTGCATTTGGAGCTGCGCTGGTAGCGTCGCGTTTTCCACCTCCGTCATCATCAGAGAGCTGTAATGGATCATCTCTGCTGCTGCGTGGCTGCAGCGTCGACGACGCTGGCATGCACGCACTGTGGGTAGAAGGGACGCTGTCCGCGTATTTGGATCGCTTTCGCGATGCGGGAAAAGCCGAGCTGCTGCGCACCGCCGACTTCACTTTTCAAGCCCAGCCCAAATCAAGGGTTGGGGTGACGCCCTGCACTCTGTGGACGAGCGTCACGCGCATCGACCTGAGTCACAACGCAGCCATGGGGAGCGGCGGTATCCTTCACTTTCTCCACACTCTGCTTTCCCTCGAAGCAGCACGAACAGCGACAACGTCCGCGCATCATCCGGAGGGTCTGGTGCCGCATCCCTTGTCGTCCTTGGAGGAACTCGCTCTGCGTAATGTGGGCTGCAACGATGCCGCCTTGCAAGATGTGGTGCGTCTCCTGCTGGGCGATGATCGCATCGCTTCTGCCGTCATCGCTCGAGTACACGAGAGCTCTCCACCGGTTTTGGGTGCGGGGAAAGGTGCTCAGTCCAGTGAAGATGGCCTTTCCGTAGCCTTGCGTAAGGAGGCGCACGCACTGGCGGGCCTTCGAGCGCAGGAGAGTGGCCGTACCGAAGGATCCGGCCTTCCCCACTCGCAGGAACCGCCAAACTCAACAGAGGACGCAGAGCGGAAGTGGGAGCCTTTCGTTTTTCTTCCGCACCTTCAGCTGTTGGATCTTTCGCAGAATTGTTTTACATCCCACGCCCTGGTGGCCACCGTCATGACAAGCGCCATGATACGCTCCCGACACTACCGTGCGGCGCCAGAGACAGCTGTGAAGAAATCCGCAGTGCCGACCTCTGCCACTCCCGACGGCGATCACGGGTTTAGCTTCACGCTGGTCTTGGAACACTGCGGGGTGTCCGATGCGGTTCTCGACGCTGTCCCGCTAGCGCTCGAAAGCACCAGAGATGCCTTTGCACGCACGCATCGGACGTTGGCGGAGGCGGAGGCTTTCACAGCGCAAAAGACCACATCACGGCAGGACTCCGCGGTATGCGCACTCTTCCTCGGCGACAACACGTTCACGCACCACGCCGCTACTCGTCTGCGTCTTTGGGCCCATCAAGAACACGCACGAGGTACGACCTCGTCGCAGAAGACGGCGATACGGATCGGCATCGTGGTCGCCTACGTGGAGGGCAACGCGGTGGTGCACACCAGCGTCTTCGATGGTGCTGATAGTGCAGCTACTGGAGCTAAGGGGAGCACCTCTGAAGAAGCATTCGAGAATGGCCTGTCTGTTGTGATACCGACCGAGGGCGCGTCTCTGTTTCCTGTTAGCCTGCGTCTCTTCCTCCGGGAAGCGGCGTCGCATGTGAGTTGGAGCAATCTCCCCTTTCTGCCTCACTTCTCGAATTCCTCCTCACTGCATGAGCGTCACGCGCCGCGGGGGCAGCAGCGGCAGTCACCACGTCATGATCGCGAACGAACGCATTTTACGGTACAGACAACCCGCCGTTCTGAATCACCGCAACCCGTCTCCCCGCCGCCTCCGCCGCTCTCCAACGCAAATACCACTCCACCTGACCGCTGGTCTGCTGCGGCTGTGAAGGCGGCGAGTCCTGCGAAGACCGTGGTCACAGATAGTTCGATTGATGAGTTCATCGCAGAAGCGGAGCAGATCATGTCTGAACGGGCGCATCTGGTGAGACACACACACAACGGAAGTGTTGTCGCTGATGTGCTTTCTCAGCTCCCTTCGGCGACTCCGGAAAATGAAGCGTAAAGCGGGGGAAGGCAAGCGAACGATTACAGGGGTGAGGGTGTAATGTGTACCACAGCACACTTTGCGGAGCGCTGCTGGCGAGGCATGGTATTTGCTTTTTGTTGTTCGGTTCAAGGCGGCGACGTCGTGGGTTTCACCGCCGCCATCATCGACAACGCTCTATCAAAAGGGAAAAGAAAACGTCTACGACACGAACCACTGGCGAGTCTCACAGCGCATACGATAAAAGCGGTGATGTTACTCACGATGCGAACTCGCTGATCTCGTTCGTCTGCTGCTGGATACGCAAAGCACCAATTACGGCGAGGGTCGCGACGTTTGCGTCCACGAGCTTTCCGTGACGCTGCTGATGGCCGCCGCGCTTTACCGCATTGCTCATGACAGCGGTAAGTAATGAGTTGTGTTTGTCTTTCTTATTGGAGCCTTTCTTCCCCTCCCCCCCCCTTTTGCGTTCACCCTCCATTCCCCTCAAGCGTTGTGCAGCATCATTCAAAGTTTGTCTTGCGCCATTACAAAACCGCTGGCATGAGGTCAGCCTCCGAGCCCACAACTCGCAGTAACCAAAAAAAGAACGAGTAGAATCGAATGAGTGAGCCGTGCGCGTGCAAGGGGTGCGCAAACAGGGCACTCGTGGCGCTGCCCAAGTGCGACTTCTGCAGTCACCGCTTCTGCGCCGCGCACCTGCTGCCGGAGCGGCACGGGTGCGGGGATGCGTGCAAAAACGCCTCGCAACGACAAGCGACGGCGGACGCGGCGGCGCAGCGGCAGTCGCGCAAGCACATCGGCAACGACGACGCGAAGAAGCGACTGGACAAAAAGTTAGAGGCCGGCGAGGCGGCGCGCCGCAAGAAAACGAAAGGTGGGCCACACAAAAAGTGACAACGGAAGAACTCTTTGGTGCTGTGGTGGTGGCCGGGGTGGGTCTGCGGTCTGTGACGCTCATCTCCCCCCTTTCACGCCCTTGTCTACCGCTTAGGACGACGCGTTGTACACTTGCCAGTACACTCATCTTTTGCTCTAGGTGAGAGGTTGCGGCAACAAGAAATATACACGCAAAAATGGTTAATCACCGAAATCACTCTTTAAAAAGAAGAGAAGAAAGTTTCAAGGCTACTGAGCGCGGAACGCATGCGTTCGCTTTGAACACAGAGTAATCGTCTCCTGCAAGTTTTACCGGCCCATTCAAGTGCCGATAGCGTATCATGTCGCCCTCATAGGATCCTCCTCATCGTGGCGTCTGCTCTTGCTTCTCCCTGCTCTTCACCTCTTCACTTCAACGCCTCTTTTTTTATATATATGCAAGTTTCTCTGTTTTTCTTATTTTACGCGACTCCTCCTCCTGAACGGCCGCGCCACCAAACATAACAGCTGTCAAGAGCAGAGAAGAAGGAAAGCGAAAACTAGGCCTCTTCAACACGGTGACGTTCCTACTTCTTATTCGTACTCAAACAAACAGCTGCACCGCCATCATCATCGAACCATGACCTCCTCAACGACTTCCAGGACAACCCTCTATTATTCAAATGACGGCACTGGCCGTGACACCTACGTGAACTATGCCAATGCGTACTGGATGAATCCCCTGCCGGCCGGCACCTTCTTCAAGAGCACGCCGGATGTAGCAGGGAATGACGCGCCAAACGGCAGCACGTTGGTCATGGGTGACGGCTCCGCCTACCCAGGCCGCACACTCTTTGGGAAGTCCCGCTACGGAACGACCGTGCTGGCGGCCGGCCAGCCAGGTTTAACCCAAGGCGGTGGTGCGGACGCTGCGGGGAGCGCCGACGCCGATGCCGCGATGCGCGCAACAGGGAGAGGTGGGTCCGGTGAAGGCGACTTCGATGGGCACGCCACGACAGACCTGGAAGGCACCAACGGCGGCTCTGCCAACAAAGACGCTGCGGGGAGCGCCGACGCCGACGCCACGATGCGCACAACGGGGACGGGTGGGTCCGGTGATGGCGACTTCGATGGGGAGGCTACAGCGCTGGCACACGTGCCCTACGACGTTTCGCAGCCGGAGCAGCGCCTGTGGCAGCCTGGGCACTCCACGGTAGGCCTCGAAGGCACCAACGGCGGCTCTACCTACAACGGCGTGAAGCCGGAGTGGACGGCGCCGCGGGCGGTGGACAACACTCTGCTGCGCCTCGCACCGACCTACGAGTCGACGTGTCACTATCAGCTACGAACGGGCCGATTTTACACAGACGACGTGGCGCCCCCTCATGAGTGCACGCTACCGGACAAGGGTGTGTCGTGGGGAAAGTCTCGCTATTATTAAGTCGACTGGTTGAGCGTACTGCGAGTAACGCGCGTGCACTTTGTGCGAAGGCAACAAAGCACTATTAATGGAGCTCTTTTTTTTCTGTTCTTTTTCTTCTTTCTATGTATTCTTATCGCGCCCAACGCGTGCGTTCTTCTTTGTTTTGTTCGTTGTTTTTTTGTTGGCTTTCCGCTCCTTAATACGCCGTGTTGTGTGTGTCTCGCTACGACGCGTTTTAATCGTCAACATCGCGGCCTCGTTGTGGTCCATCTTCTTCCCCCCTTTTTTCCCGCTTTCCTGCATCCTTCCGCATGTACGTACCTTTGGCAAAAGAGCGGCAGCAACCAAAAAAAACACATTGCTAATAGCATGGCCTCTCTTTCACTTTATTTTTGTATAGTGAGATAAGACTTCACTTCCATTCCCGGTCAAACGAAGAACAACGAGAAAGAGTCCTCTTTTTCGTTCTCTTGAGCCGCAGCGCCCGCCGATAGGCAGGAAGGACGTTTGGCTGCGTACCGCTGAAAAACGCAATGCGTTGGTCCCGGCAGTGTGCCTAGCGAAGTAGCGCGTAGGGCGGACACGTCATTTTTTTTTTTACGGACGCCCCCCTCCCCTCTCTGCCCATCATTTAAGAATGTGCACCGCAAAGCTCGTGCCTTGACTTCTGCGGAAACCATAGGGCGTGCACTACTCTTGCGTGGTTGTGAGTGCTCTCTGTCTGCGTTGCCACCGTTCTGAGGCGCTTCCGTCTTTCTTTTACCGTTACCGTTGCGCTCTGTCTCTCCTACTGTTCTCCCTTTTCCCCTCGCTCCCGATCTCGACTGCGGTCAGTTGATAGATTAACGCTGGCGAATCCGCTAATCGTACGGTGCGGCAGTTGGAGGTCTTCTCTTCGGCTGTTCTCCCTCTTTCATTCCTATTCTTTTTTCCCTCACTGCTTCCCGCAGCATCGAGTCTTCTTCTTTTCAAGTCTGTACTTCTCCCTCGCCGCGCCTTCGCTTCTCTGCTGCATTAGTGTTGCAGTCAGAAGAGACCCGTTGCAAGGGCAACAGAAGAACTGTTTTCTCATTCGAGTTGATTCTCTTTCTTTTTAGGGCGCATTGCAGAGATGGCCAGCACGCACACCCAAGTACAGCTGTTCTTCAAGTGCCATAAGCTCATCGATGCCGACACCTTTTCAAAGAGCGATCCGTACATCGTGGTGTACGACCTCACGATGAACGGACCCAAGAACGCCGTCGGACGTACCGAAACGATTCGCGACAACTTGAATCCCGTCTTTAAAACGCCGGTATCGGTGAACTACTTCTTCGAGATGCGGCAGGACATCAAACTGGATGTGTGGGACGAGGACAAGGGCAAGGCGGACGACTTCCTCGGCAAGGCAACTTTCACGATGGGTCACCTCATGTCGAGCCCCCAGTCCTCGCTGACGCTCAAACTGGATACAAAGGGCACCGTGACAGTCACGGCGTCGCTGATCGGGACGACAAAGGGAACGGCCGCCCTGCAGCTGCGCGGACGCGAACTGAAGAAGATGAACGTCTTCGGTAAGACAGACGCGTTCATCGTAATCAGCCGTCTGCTGCCGACAGGTCAGAAGCGTCAGGTGCACAAGACAGAGGTCCAGAAGAAGACGCTGAACCCGCAGTGGAAGACAACGCCGCCACTCGACTTGGTGGACTTGTGCGGCGGTGAGACGGCGGCGCCGTGTATTGCGCTGGACTGCTACAACGCGGATTCCGGAAGCGGAGAGCCGATGGGTGGGTGTGTCCTCTCCGCAGAGAAACTGATAACGGGAGCAGTAATTGAAATGGAGCTCGTGTTGAAGAAGAAGGACAAGACAAAGTCGTACGGCTACCTTTCAATTGACCGGTGCGACTACGTGAAGGGCTACGACTTCCTCGAATACCTGCAGGCGGGAATGGAAATTAACATCGCCTTCTCCATCGACTTCACCGGGTCGAACGGACCGCCGAACGACCCGCGCTCGCTGCACTTCTACAACCCGCAACGGCCGAACAACTACATCCGCGCGATGCTGGCGGTGAGCGACGTGGTGCAGGAGTACGACAGCGACCGCATGTTCCCCGCGTACGGCTTCGGCGCGATTGCACCCTTCACCAACGGCACGAGCCACTTCTTTCCGCTGAGCGGCAACCCCGCGAACGCGTACCTGAGCGGGATGCAGGCGGTGGTGGACACGTACGCGTCGCTGCTGCCGGTGCTGCGCTTCAGCGGGCCGACGAACTTCGCGCCGACGATCCGCACGATCACGGATGGTGCGCGGCAGGCGCGTGGCGTGTACACGATCCTGCTGATACTGACGGACGGTGCGATCACGGACATGCAGGACACGATCGACGCCATCGTGGAGGCCGATGACGCTCCTCTGTCCATCGTGATCATCGGCATCGGGCGAGCGGACTTCAGCTCGATGGAAAGGTTGGATGGCGACACATTTCCGCTGCAGCATCGTCGCGGCAATACAACCCGTCGTGACCTGGTGCAGTTTGTCCCGTTTAACGAGTTCGAGAACAAGCCACCGAGTGCGCTCTCTGCGGCGGTGTTAGAGGAAATTCCTCGCCAGGTGGAAGTCTGGGGCCGCATTGCGCAACTCTCCCCAGCAGCGTTTCACAAGGGATAGTGACGGGGAGTTCCTGTGGTGCCCTCACGAGGCAGAGGCATAAAAAAGGGCACATGGATAGCTACATGACCTCCTCTGAGGAAGGTCGCTAGATTCGCTTCCAGTGTCTCCCTCCTCTAGAATGAAAGTCTCCTTGAGAGGCTGTCAACTATATGAAGGGCTATCGGTAATGTATTGGTTTTGTTGTTTTATTTCCGGTCTCATATTTCTGTAGCGGTGTTCTTATTTTTTTCGTGGAGATGCAGGGGTGCTGCTGGTGTTAGGATCGTTCAACCCCCTTTGGACGCGTCGCTCCGGGACTGGGCACCTCTGACCTCATACAAGAAGATCGTTTCCAAGCCGCAGCGTTTTTGTTTTCGTACTCGGTTTTTTCTTTATCGCAGCTCCTAGAGGGCAAAGCACAACTCGTTTTATTTTGCGAATTCACGCAAACGCCTTTGAAAGGTAGGTGTTCTTCCTATACACGCACCAACTTCCTCACGACACCGAAGCACACACCTCTTTTTTTTGTTTGTGCTGTTGAGTTCTTGTCGTTGCATCTCTTTATACAACCCGTGCTTCTTGAGAACTGTTCTTGTGAAAGCGGCTGGGGTCTTTTACCTGCTCCGGTACTCATCGTCGTCCTCTTCACTATCCTCACCGCTTGCGTTTCTCTATTCGCTTTTGGGTGGGTCCGTCCTGCAGGGCCTTTGCTGCCGTTTCGGAGCGCTGTCCATCAAGTAGTTCCACGTTGATTTACCTGCACCTGTTGCGGTGTTATCGCATCGTTTTTTTCTCTCTTTTTCTCCCCATCGCCCTCAACGTTGGGGTGGTCATAACCGTATTCGCGCACGGGAAACAACGAGCATCTCCGCTGCGTCTTTCGCCTACCCTTCGTTTGTCGGTAGAAGCTGTGAGTCACGGCGAAGAGAGCGCGCGGGAAAGAGAAATACAAGAAGCAAAGCGTGTTCTTTTTCCTTGGTATTCGCCCCCGTTCCGATGACGTCAACCAACACCGTGGTGCAGGTGTACGTCAAGTGTAACAAGCTGAAGGACACCGATGTGACCTCAAAAAGCGACCCCTACGCCGTGTTGTACGACACCACCAACGGAGGCCGTATACGCGTCGGCCAGACGGAAGTCCTGAAGAACAACCTGAACCCGCAGTTTCAAACGTGCATCCCCGTGGATTACTTCTTCGAAATTCGCCAAACAATGCGCGTGGAGGTATGGGACAAGGATGTCCACAGCAAGGATGACCCCCTCGGCAACGCGGATTTCACCATGGGCCAGCTGATGTCCTCGCGTGGGTCCACGGTAACGTTAACCCTCGGTGGCAAGAGCACGGTGACGCTCACGGCCTCATACGTTGGGACGCAGCGTGGCACCGTAGCTCTGACGTTCCGCGGCCGCGACTTGAAGAAGATGGACCTGTTCAGCAAGTCGGATCCGTACTTTATACTGAGCCGGCAGCTGCCTGGTGGCCAGCGCGCACAGGTGTACAAGAGCGAGGTGATTGACAAGACGCTGAATCCGCAGTGGAAGACAACGCCGCCGCTGGATCTCGCGAAGCTGTGCGGTGGTGACATGGCGTCCCTGTCTATTGTATTTGAATGTTTCGATAAGGATACGTTTAACGATGATATGATGGGCTCGTTTGCGGTTTCGGGCGAGCAGCTACTGGTGGCAGGCGGAAAAGAGTTCGAGCTGACCCTCAACAAGAAGGGGAAGACAAAGTCGTACGGCTTCATCGCGATTGACCGGTGCGACTACGTGAAGGGCTACAGCTTCCCAGAGTACCTGCAAGGCGGGTTACAGCTGAACATCGCCTTCTCCATCGACTTCACCGGGTCGAACGGACCGCCGAACGACCCGCGCTCGCTGCACTTCTACAACCCGCAACGGCCGAACAACTACATCCGCGCGATGCTGGCGGTGAGCGACGTGGTGCAGGAGTACGACAGCGACCGCATGTTCCCCGCGTACGGCTTCGGCGCGATTGCACCCTTCACCAACGGCACGAGCCACTTCTTTCCGCTGAGCGGCAACCCCGCGAACGCGTACCTGAGCGGGATGCAGGCGGTGGTGGACACGTACGCGTCGCTGCTGCCGGTGCTGCGCTTCAGCGGGCCGACGAACTTCGCGCCGACGATCCGCACGATCACGGATGGTGCGCGGCAGGCGCGTGGCGTGTACACGATCCTGCTGATACTGACGGACGGTGCGATCACGGACATGCAGGACACGATCGACGCCATCGTGGAGGCCGATGACGCTCCTCTGTCCATCGTGATCATCGGCATCGGGCGAGCGGACTTCAGCTCGATGGAGCAACTAGACAGCGACGGCGGTATGCTCAGCGATCGTCGTGGCCGTGTTGCCCGTCGTGACCTGGTGCAGTTTGTGCACTTCAACCAATTCGAGGGGAAGGATCCTTCTATGCTTGCGGCGGCGGTGCTGAAGGAAGTTCCGCTGCAGGTGGAGATGTGGGGCCGCATTTGTGGCGTCAGTCCGTCTCACTGAGGCGCAAACTTCACCTGTGTCGTGCATAGTTTTTTGTAGCTTTCCGTTTCTGTGGTGCACACAACAATTCTCGTTGCTTACAGTGTTGGTTGTGATTGGTCCTCATTTTCTACTCCACCGTTGTGGTTTCCCCAGTGCATGCGCTGCGCAGCGATCGGACCCTCGTTTCAGCTGCATTTTGTAGTTTTACGTGTTTTTCTTCTTCACTGTATTTGTTGCCGCTTCATTTTTTTTGTTTTCTCCTCTCCTGTGAAGCAGCTGCTTTCTTTGTGCTTCTGTTGCAGCAGACGCTGAGCCCATATTTGCTTTAAAGCCATCAATATGCGCAGTGGCTGCAGAACTACAGCTGACCTTTTTGTCTGCTCGATGGCAACGGTATCGATATCACGCCTCGCAGGCCTTTGCTAGTCTACGTGAACGCTGTCACATCCCTCATTTTCTGCGTCCAGCTAAGTGTCTCCTGTATTATTGCCTCGAATCATTCTGACACAGTTGTGCATCTTTTCTGCTGATGTTCTACGCTGATGCGAGCCGTGAGAAGGCTCTGTTTCAGAGAGCGCGTTAGGAGGAGGAGGGGGAGGGGGTAATCAACGTATATGGAGGAGGCAGAAGCGCAGAACTCGTCGTCGTACGAGCAGTGCGTGTTTGGGCGTTTTCATGTACTGTACGCGTGACAAAAGATAGCTGTACTGGGAATGAAAAGGGGGCCGCGTTGGAAAGCTGCCTTTTCTCTTGGGTGTCGAAGAATAAAAGCACCTCTTGCCGTACGCCGGCAACTGCTCCTGTTGCACCTCAACCTACCTATATTTCTGCTCCAATCGATCTTGCCGCCTCCCGACCTCCTCTACATCGAATCACGACGACGAAGGTTGCTCTCCCATTCACGTAGAGGCAAGTGACACTCTTTTGAGTAGCTGTTAGCAAGGGGCAAGGTAGGAGCTGCTCTTTTTCTTTTGCGATCCTTCTGCTAATTTGATTCCTTTTTTTTTGTCGAGGTGAGCGTCGGTTAGTTTCTATCATTTTCACACTCATGACGTCAACCAACACCGTGGTGCAGGTGTACGTCAAGTGTAACAAGCTGAAGGACACCGATGTGACCTCAAAAAGCGACCCCTACGCCGTGTTGTACGACACCACCAACGGAGGCCGTATACGCGTCGGCCAGACGGAAGTCCTGAAGAACAACCTGAACCCGCAGTTTCAAACGTGCATCCCCGTGGATTACTTCTTCGAAATTCGCCAAACAATGCGCGTGGAGGTATGGGACAAGGATGTCCACAGCAAGGATGACCCCCTCGGCAACGCGGATTTCACCATGGGCCAGCTGATGTCCTCGCGTGGGTCCACGGTAACGTTAACCCTCGGTGGCAAGAGCACGGTGACGCTCACGGCCTCATACGTTGGGACGCAGCGTGGCACCGTAGCTCTGACGTTCCGCGGCCGCGACTTGAAGAAGATGGACCTGTTCAGCAAGTCGGATCCGTACTTTATACTGAGCCGGCAGCTGCCTGGTGGCCAGCGCGCACAGGTGTACAAGAGCGAGGTGATTGACAAGACGCTGAATCCGCAGTGGAAGACAACGCCGCCGCTGGATCTCGCGAAGCTGTGCGGTGGTGACATGGCGTCCCTGTCTATTGTATTTGAATGTTTCGATAAGGATACGTTTAACGATGATATGATGGGCTCGTTTGCGGTTTCGGGCGAGCAGCTACTGGTGGCAGGCGGAAAAGAGTTCGAGCTGACCCTCAACAAGAAGGGGAAGACAAAGTCGTACGGCTTCATCGCGATTGACCGGTGCGACTACGTGAAGGGCTACAGCTTCCCAGAGTACCTGCAAGGCGGGTTACAGCTGAACATCGCCTTCTCCATCGACTTCACCGGGTCGAACGGACCGCCGAACGACCCGCGCTCGCTGCACTTCTACAACCCGCAACGGCCGAACAACTACATCCGCGCGATGCTGGCGGTGAGCGACGTGGTGCAGGAGTACGACAGCGACCGCATGTTCCCCGCGTACGGCTTCGGCGCGATTGCACCCTTCACCAACGGCACGAGCCACTTCTTTCCGCTGAGCGGCAACCCCGCGAACGCGTACCTGAGCGGGATGCAGGCGGTGGTGGACACGTACGCGTCGCTGCTGCCGGTGCTGCGCTTCAGCGGGCCGACGAACTTCGCGCCGACGATCCGCACGATCACGGATGGTGCGCGGCAGGCGCGTGGCGTGTACACGATCCTGCTGATACTGACGGACGGTGCGATCACGGACATGCAGGACACGATCGACGCCATCGTGGAGGCCGATGACGCTCCTCTGTCCATCGTGATCATCGGCATCGGGCGAGCGGACTTCAGCTCGATGGAGCAACTAGACAGCGACGGCGGTATGCTCAGCGATCGTCGTGGCCGTGTTGCCCGTCGTGACCTGGTGCAGTTTGTGCACTTCAACCAATTCGAGGGGAAGGATCCTTCTATGCTTGCGGCGGCGGTGCTGAAGGAAGTTCCGCTGCAGGTGGAGATGTGGGGCCGCATTTGTGGCGTCAGTCCGTCTCACTGAGGCGCAAACTTCACCTGTGTCGTGCATAGTTTTTTGTAGCTTTCCGTTTCTGTGGTGCACACAACAATTCTCGTTGCTTACAGTGTTGGTTGTGATTGGTCCTCATTTTCTACTCCACCGTTGTGGTTTCCCCAGTGCATGCGCTGCGCAGCGATCGGACCCTCGTTTCAGCTGCATTTTGTAGTTTTACGTGTTTTTCTTCTTCACTGTATTTGTTGCCGCTTCATTTTTTTTGTTTTCTCCTCTCCTGTGAAGCAGCTGCTTTCTTTGTGCTTCTGTTGCAGCAGACGCTGAGCCCATATTTGCTTTAAAGCCATCAATATGCGCAGTGGCTGCAGAACTACAGCTGACCTTTTTGTCTGCTCGATGGCAACGGTATCGATATCACGCCTCGCAGGCCTTTGCTAGTCTACGTGAACGCTGTCACATCCCTCATTTTCTGCGTCCAGCTAAGTGTCTCCTGTATTATTGCCTCGAATCATTCTGACACAGTTGTGCATCTTTTCTGCTGATGTTCTACGCTGATGCGAGCCGTGAGAAGGCTCTGTTTCAGAGAGCGCGTTAGGAGGAGGAGGGGGAGGGGGTAATCAACGTATATGGAGGAGGCAGAAGCGCAGAACTCGTCGTCGTACGAGCAGTGCGTGTTTGGGCGTTTTCATGTACTGTACGCGTGACAAAAGATAGCTGTACTGGGAATGAAAAGGGGGCCGCGTTGGAAAGCTGCCTTTTCTCTTGGGTGTCGAAGAATAAAAGCACCTCTTGCCGTACGCCGGCAACTGCTCCTGTTGCACCTCAACCTACCTATATTTCTGCTCCAATCGATCTTGCCGCCTCCCGACCTCCTCTACATCGAATCACGACGACGAAGGTTGCTCTCCCATTCACGTAGAGGCAAGTGACACTCTTTTGAGTAGCTGTTAGCAAGGGGCAAGGTAGGAGCTGCTCTTTTTCTTTTGCGATCCTTCTGCTAATTTGATTCCTTTTTTTTTGTCGAGGTGAGCGTCGGTTAGTTTCTATCATTTTCACACTCATGACGTCAACCAACACCGTGGTGCAGGTGTACGTCAAGTGTAACAAGCTGAAGGACACCGATGTGACCTCAAAAAGCGACCCCTACGCCGTGTTGTACGACACCACCAACGGAGGCCGTATACGCGTCGGCCAGACGGAAGTCCTGAAGAACAACCTGAACCCGCAGTTTCAAACGTGCATCCCCGTGGATTACTTCTTCGAAATTCGCCAAACAATGCGCGTGGAGGTATGGGACAAGGATGTCCACAGCAAGGATGACCCCCTCGGCAACGCGGATTTCACCATGGGCCAGCTGATGTCCTCGCGTGGGTCCACGGTAACGTTAACCCTCGGTGGCAAGAGCACGGTGACGCTCACGGCCTCATACGTTGGGACGCAGCGTGGCACCGTAGCTCTGACGTTCCGCGGCCGCGACTTGAAGAAGATGGACCTGTTCAGCAAGTCGGATCCGTACTTTATACTGAGCCGGCAGCTGCCTGGTGGCCAGCGCGCACAGGTGTACAAGAGCGAGGTGATTGACAAGACGCTGAATCCGCAGTGGAAGACAACGCCGCCGCTGGATCTCGCGAAGCTGTGCGGTGGTGACATGGCGTCCCTGTCTATTGTATTTGAATGTTTCGATAAGGATACGTTTAACGATGATATGATGGGCTCGTTTGCGGTTTCGGGCGAGCAGCTACTGGTGGCAGGCGGAAAAGAGTTCGAGCTGACCCTCAACAAGAAGGGGAAGACAAAGTCGTACGGCTTCATCGCGATTGACCGGTGCGACTACGTGAAGGGCTACAGCTTCCCAGAGTACCTGCAAGGCGGGTTACAGCTGAACATCGCCTTCTCCATCGACTTCACCGGGTCGAACGGACCGCCGAACGACCCGCGCTCGCTGCACTTCTACAACCCGCAACGGCCGAACAACTACATCCGCGCGATGCTGGCGGTGAGCGACGTGGTGCAGGAGTACGACAGCGACCGCATGTTCCCCGCGTACGGCTTCGGCGCGATTGCACCCTTCACCAACGGCACGAGCCACTTCTTTCCGCTGAGCGGCAACCCCGCGAACGCGTACCTGAGCGGGATGCAGGCGGTGGTGGACACGTACGCGTCGCTGCTGCCGGTGCTGCGCTTCAGCGGGCCGACGAACTTCGCGCCGACGATCCGCACGATCACGGATGGTGCGCGGCAGGCGCGTGGCGTGTACACGATCCTGCTGATACTGACGGACGGTGCGATCACGGACATGCAGGACACGATCGACGCCATCGTGGAGGCCGATGACGCTCCTCTGTCCATCGTGATCATCGGCATCGGGCGAGCGGACTTCAGCTCGATGGAGCAACTAGACAGCGACGGCGGTATGCTCAGCGATCGTCGTGGCCGTGTTGCCCGTCGTGACCTGGTGCAGTTTGTGCACTTCAACCAATTCGAGGGGAAGGATCCTTCTATGCTTGCGGCGGCGGTGCTGAAGGAAGTTCCGCTGCAGGTGGAGAGGTGGGGTCGCGTCTCGCAGGTGAGACCCACCGGGCTAGCGTGACCGTAACGTCACGTGTGGCAGTTGCAGATGGAGCTTTGCGTGCTGTGCGCGTGACGCGCTGCCGCTATCTTGACATTCAGAAGAAAAAGATAGAAAATAACGCTCATCAGAGTTTAATTACCGGTTCGTGAGTGTCCAGCTTGTTGAAATAATGAGTAGTTTCTCTCCACAAGTAGGCTGTACGTTTGCTTAGCGCCAATGCTTTTATTCGATAATGTTTGCATTTGCTGATTTGCTTTCTCTTCTCTAGCGGTGACAGTAAAGTGAAATTCGTTTTGTTCTTCTCCTTTTGCATGTGAGGTGTGCGCCGTAGAGTTGGAATCTCTGCTGGACAACTTCGTGGAAACCAGCAAACAAAGAGGGCGCGTTTGACGTGCTGAAGTGGGGCAACATGCTTTGGTCGTGTCGTGGGTGTTTTTGTCGCCGCTTCGGCAGTGTACTTGGGTGTACTGTAGGTATATATGTATATATATATTTTCTCGTAAACGAATGTGCTATTACTTCCCATCACATTTCTCTATCTCGCTGTTTTCTCTGTTGCTTTCGTTGTTCCATCGCAGGATTTATTTTTTCGCGATACGCATTACTCCGTGTCTTCCTCTCAGCCGTAAGAATCATATTAGCCTCTCCACCCTCTTGCTCCTAAACACCCTTTACGATCTTGTGTTGCGTGCAGGCCACTTTTTCTTTTCTTCGACTTTTGAACCGCTTTCACACAGGTTTTCTCTGGCTTGAATTCGTGGTCGCTCCATATTGTGCTTTCTTTGGAGGGTTGTCCCGAGTTCGTTTGCCGAGTAAAACCAATTGGACTTCGGAGCAGAAGAAGTCGTAACAAAAGAAAGAAAACACGCAGCGTTCATCGTGGGCCTCTACGCTTGCTGGTGAAAGAGTGCAAACGGCGCATTCAACTCCACGCATACACACACACGCACACACAGCGGAAGGCATAACTTGCTGTTCTCAAGCTCTGTTACCTTCTTGTGTCGTTTATTGTTAATATTATTAACCCCCACAACAGCAATGGCCGTGAGAGACCGTCTTTTGCTTCTGGCCGTGTGCCTCGTCGCGGCGCTGCTGATCGTATCGGCTGCTGCTGCGCCCGACGGCAGTGGCAAAGTCGAACCGCCGTGCATCGGCGTTGACCTCGGCACGACCTACTCCGTCGCCGGCGTGTGGCAGAAGGGCGAGGTGCACATCATCACGAACGAGATGGGCAACCGCATCACCCCTTCCGTCGTGGCCTTCACCGAGACGGAGCGTCTGGTCGGCGACGGTGCGAAGAACCAGCTGCCGCAGAACCCCGAGAACACCATCTACGCGATTAAGCGCCTCATTGGCCGCAAGTTCAGCGACGCGACGGTGCAGAACGACAAGAAGCTGCTGTCGTACAAAATCGTCAGCGACAAGGCGGGCAAGCCGCTGGTGCAGGTGACGGTGAGTGGCGCCAAGAAGGAGTTCACCCCGGAGGAGGTGAGCGCGATGGTGCTGCAGAAGATGAAGGACATCTCGGAGACCTTTCTCGGCGAGAAGGTGAAGAACGCCGTGGTCACCGTGCCGGCCTACTTCAACGACGCCCAGCGCCAGGCCACGAAGGACGCCGGCAAGATCGCCGGGCTCAACGTGGTGCGCATCATCAACGAGCCGACCGCGGCCGCCATCGCGTACGGCCTGAACAAGGCAGGTGAGAAGAATATTCTCGTCTTTGACCTCGGCGGTGGCACGTTCGATGTGTCGCTCCTGACGATCGATGAGGGCTTCTTCGAGGTGGTGGCGACGAACGGCGACACCCACCTCGGCGGCGAGGACTTCGATAACAACATGATGAAGTTCTTCGTCGACGGCCTCAAGCGCAAGCAGAGCATCGACATCTCGAACGACCAGAAGGCGCTGGCGCGTCTGCGCAAGGCGTGCGAGGCGGCCAAGCGTCAGCTCTCGTCGCATCCCGAGGCGCGCGTGGAGGTGGACAGCCTCGTGGAAGGCCACGACTTCAGCGAGAAGATCACCCGCGCCAAGTTCGAGGAACTGAACATGGCCATGTTCAAGAACACCCTGATCCCGGTGCAGAAGGTGCTGGAGGACGCGAAGCTGAAGAAGAGCGACATTGACGAGATCGTCCTCGTGGGTGGCTCGACTCGCATTCCGAAGGTGCAGCAGCTGATCAAGGACTTCTTCGGCGGCAAGGAGCCGAACAAGGGCATCAACCCGGATGAGGCCGTCGCCTACGGTGCGGCGGTGCAGGCGGCGGTTCTGATGGGCGAGAGCGAGGTGGGCGGTAAGGTTGTCCTGGTCGATGTGATTCCGCTCTCCCTCGGCATCGAGACCGTCGGCGGAGTCATGACGAAGCTGATCGAGCGCAACACCCAGATTCCGACCAAGAAGAGCCAGGTTTTCTCGACCTACCAAGACAACCAGCCCGGCGTGCTGATCCAGGTCTTCGAGGGCGAGCGCCAGATGACGAAGGACAACCGCCTGCTCGGCAAGTTCGAGCTCTCTGGCATCCCGCCGGCGCCGCGTGGCGTGCCGCAGATCGAGGTCTCCTTCGACGTCGACGAGAACAGCATCCTGCAGGTGACGGCGAGCGACAAGTCGTCCGGCAAGCGGGAGGAAATCACCATTACGAACGACAAGGGTCGTTTGAGCGAGGCAGAGATCGAGGCGATGGTGGAGGAGGCCGCCCAGTTCGCCGAGGAGGACCGCAAGTTGCGCGAGCGTGTGGAGGCGAAAAACTCGCTGGAGAGCATCGCCTACTCGCTGCGCAACCAGGTCAACGACAAGGAAAAGCTCGGCGACAAGCTGGACGCGGACGACAAGAAGGCGATCGAGGCCGCCGTGCGCGTGGCGCTGGACTTCGTCGACGAGAACCCGAACGCGGACAAGGAGGAGTTCGAGGAGGCTCGCGAGCAGCTGCAGAAGGTGACGAACCCAATTATCCAGAAGGTGTACCAGGCCGCCGGTGGTGCCGCTGGCGAGGAGGAGCCGGATGCGATGGACGACTTGTAATCACACCGGCTATGCGTCGCAACACGCAGCCCTCTCTGGTCTAATTCCATTCACACACCCACGCCTGGGAGCCCACGCAATGAGACGGAAATAAGGAAAGAATAAGCAAAGACTGAAACTGGTAGGGCAAAGCCTATACCGTTTTGAAGAAGAATGCTACAGCAGCGTAGAAGAAGGCAGCAGGAGACGTACGTCTAGGTCGAGACTTCATTCCTCGCGATCTTCTCGCGAGAGGACTCCGCTCCCCCCTTTCTCTTTGCTTTCTTCGACGAGTGGTGTGGTATCGTTGAACGACACAGGTTGCAAAGCGTAAGCGGTAGCGCCTGTTTTAAATACTGTATTTGCAATTCTTCGAAAAACAATGGGTTGTGTTTTCCTCTCTATTCGGTACGTATGACTGCGTAGTGATGCCTCGTTATTATGACTATTATTTGCTCACCTTGGTGGGTTGTCAGCAACGCACGAGCCTCCTTCTTTTAGCTTCTTTTTCATTTATATATGTATCTCTGAGGTCACTGTTCTTGTTTTTACTTGTTATGAGCTGCAACGTCTCCTCTTTCATTACTGATACCAACAACAGAGAAGAGGCCTGAATAACGCACGGTGCTCTTTCTTTTACCTGGATTGTGCTTATGGAAGTCTGTTTCTTCTCCGATGCTGCAGGTGCGGTAAAACAAGACTGGTGCGTTGTACGAACAAATCAGGCAAGACGGAGAGAGGGAGATCGAAAGCCACTGACACCGACCCATTGCAGCGGCGGCATTAAGCAAAAGAAGTTTTTTCTTCGCTTGCTTTTTTTCTCTTGAATGTTTTCTACTTGGGCTGATGCATAATTGTTATCTTTCTTCAAAGCACGGAGGACGGTCTAAATCCACTTCATCATCTGTGCATTTGTTTTTGGGCTATATATGATTATTATTATGCAAAAGGAAAAAAAGGAAATGATGAATTCTTTCTGATCAACGTGTCAACAGTGAGGAAAGGAAAGTTTTTTGTCTGTTTTTCTGTTTACTATTTTCATTATTTCTAATACAACTCTGGTAAGCGAGCTGTGATGTTGACGTGAAAAGGGCGGGAAAAGGTTAATATGACGTGTGATCGTTAACAAAGCAAGCATATGGAGAACAAAGCAACACTTCGTTAGGGTCATCTCTGAAAAGCGAAAATATCCGCTGTTGCTAGAGAAAACGTTGTGTCCATGCGGAGTTAGCTACATCTCATTCCTGTGCTTCTCCTTCCTCCAAGAAGGGGCCTGTGAATGCGGTTTTTGGTTTTCCCGCGGGTGCCCTGGCGATGAAACCGAGTGGACTTCAACTCTCTGTGTCCCATGGCGTTCTTTCTCTCAGCGTTTCTTGTCTCGTACTTCATGTTTATTATTATTGGTAGAACTCTGTATACATGGAGTGCCAACACCGTGAAACACGTTCGTAGGCGCTTGTCGTTGGTGGTATTGTGTGCACTGTCGCTATCTCTCACGTTTCTTTTTCATAAGCCTCATCTTCTCCACATATCTCTCCTTCGTTTGTTCTCTCTCTTCTCCCGTCAGCAGCACCCCCAAAAGCTCTATTATTATTTGCTAGTGCGCATGCAGTACCATGTCCCTCCTGAACTCGTGAATCCGCCTGCCGCGGCCGCTGCTTCGAACTCCAACGGCATCAGCAGCAGCTCATCTCCTCCCAATAGCGCATCCTTGTTGGCCCATGCACCTCTTTACAGCAGCAGCAATGGATCCACTAGGGTGGCTGTGGGGCATGGTTTGCTTAGCGGCCGACGTCTTGCCGTGCGTGTAGCTGCGCCGAGCACACTCACATCAAGCGCTTCATCATCTGCGGCAACGCACATTGCAGGGCCGCCGCCCTCTTCGTCCTCCGACCAGCCCTTCGCGGTGACGAGTCAGCCGTACTCGAACTTCACCGCGTCCTTTGCGCCGGCGAGTCTCTCTTCACCGCCGCCGCCGCCGCATTCTTCGCCTTCTCCCGCTACTGCGTCGTCTCCGGCATATGGTGGCGGCATAGTGCGCATCAGCGACCTGCATCGACGGGGCGTTCAGTCGGTGGAGTCGGGGCTACGCCTGAACACCTTGCAGGGTGGACGCCCAGCGCCCACCTCCGTTGTGCGCCGTTGCGCTACTACGGCGGATGCGGCGAACACCCCTTTAGCGGGTTCGTTTACCTCCGCTGCCGCACCGAGACCGCGAAGAGGTCGCTCCGCTTCGTCCTCCACAGGCGGCGGTCGAGGTCGCCGTCGAGGGAGTGGAGGAGACGGTGGAGGTGGACGCAAGTCGGACACATCGGTAACGGTGACGCTGACGGAGTCCGGAGAGCTGTGCGACTATCGCTGGTTTACTGAACGCGGCCGGCGCTGTCTTCTCTACGACGGCCGCACCTATAGAGGCGCCTCCGCCCATCGAATGTGGACAGAGATGAAAGCGGTGTCGAGTTGTCGTGCACGCCAGGAGCAGCGAAGTGTTTCCACAACCCCGCACACGACAGCGGCTTCTCCAACTGCGAGGAAGCGAACCACACGAGCGGTGTCTGCGGCAGAGACGGCCAAAGCGGCGACCACCACGGCGGGTACTGCGGCCTCCAGGGTGCGGCCACACCGAACGTCGGCACGGGCTGTGTCGGCTGCTGGTCGGAGTTTGCGTCTGGGAAACGCCGCCAACCTGGGAACTCGCCGCGGCGAAGCCGGTTCGCTGCCCTTGCCGGTGATTCTTCGAGACGAATGGCGGGTATTAATGCGTGAGCTCAGTGTGGAGGCGGAAAACGAAGCCGTGATCCCATCTCCGCCTGCTCCCTGTCCAACCTACATCGCCTCCTCTTGCATATCTGGACCGGTTCGCACCCAAGCATCTCCACAGCAAACGGCTTCGGGCGCATCCAATGCGAACACAGAAGTCGTTGAGATCACGGACAGCAGCAGCGGCAGCGATGACTCCTCTGCGTCGGACACACGCCATGATCGTCACTCTTCCTCCGCCGCACCAGCACCCACCTCGCAGGTTCTGGCGTCGCTGCAGTGGCCGGCAACTTCGTTTTTCGACGACGAAAGCAGTGGGTGGTCGTCCTCTTCGTCTCCCGCCGCGCCGCGCTCACCCGCGCACGGCGGAGAGTCACCAGCACAGAAAAGAGCTAAAACGGAATCCTCGTCGTACCATCCACCGTCCTCGCTGCGCCAAGACCATCCTTCTTCCCTCGCTCCTCCTACGTCTGCGGCTCGTGTGCACCTGTACAACGGGGTCGAGGTGGTGGAGGAGGATGGGTGGATGTATCCGGTGGACGTCTACGCCTCGCAGCAGCAGAACCAGCAGCGTTTTGCAGAAGGAGCAAAGCATGAATCAAATCCTCGTTTTCCAACCTCGTCAGATGTAGCTGCCGAGCGAACCGGTGCTGACTCTACGCCGCCGGCGCTGCAGGATGTAAGCGACGTGCCGCTTGCGGATCTTTTCACTCGGGGAGCCTCTTCAGCCACAGCGGCACAGAACACCGTCGCGAACGGCCGCGATGATCCGCTGTTGCGTTACGCGCTTCTTCCCGCAGCGTTGCACGGCGCCGCTGGCATCGCCGTTGTTGTCAGTGGTCAGCACAAGACAGTACCTTTGCGTCCGACATCGACCCTACGTGCCGATGCTGGCACGCGGTCAGCAGCGACGACGGCAGGAGCACAAGGCTCTGCGGCTGTTCTGAGAAGCGCGGACGATGCTGATTTGCTCGGTGGGTTCACCGACACCGACTTAGCGGACATGTTCGTTACAGGAGAGGAGATTGGAGGGGTGCGGTATGGCTCTTGAGGGAGTACCGAAAAACGGAGCCCGAGTACCTCGCTTGGCGTTTCTCGTGTCAGTGAGGGCCCTTTTTTCATTTGGATAGCTCTGTGTTTCTCCATCTAGTTTTCCGCGACGGTTCTTTTATTCTATCTCTGGTACTTGCTTTCAAAGCAGGCGTTGGAAGCGCGTGCATGTGGGACGCTGTTTCCCTGGTGGGTCGTAGCTCTCCTAAAGCACGCGGACGCGAGAAAAAAGACAGCTTCATTGATGCAACAAATCTGCTGGCATCAAAGGTGCTGAAAACTGGGAACTGGCAACAGAAACTAAGCGGCGTCAAAACATGACAGGACGTGGAGGCCAACAGAAGGAAAGGTGCTGTCGGAATAGCCTGTTCGCACACAGCTTGCACAGGTGTATGTCAGCCGACAAATGTTATTTTTCTTTTCCTGCCTTTTGTGCTGAATTTGCGTTGAGTCGAGATGGCCGTCTCCATGTGCACGTTGCGTCGGTTTTGACTCTCCGTGAGTCTTTTCTATGAGGAGTCTCTCCTCAACTCCCCACACCTTTCCCATTCTTCTCTCTCTCCTTCCAGCAACGAAACCAACAACTCGCGGGCAACTGATTACTCAAAACGCAGTGTTCTTTTCCTTTAGTTGTCGACCCCAGCCGTACTAGAGAGCCTTCTTTCCTTCTTCTTTGTTTCCATATTGCGCTGGTGCTTTCCTTCGCCGACAAAAATGTGCGCCGCACCGGTAGGCAAATGGGTGGTGGTGCGTTCGGATCGTTTGGTGCTGTCCATCGACAAGGCCGACCACCTCTACACCATTGGCCGTAGTCGCCAGCTGCCCTCCTCGCAGGCGCTCTCGCACCGGTATGCCTCACGAGCGCAGCTGACGGTGGTGTGGCACCCTCCGCACCTCTATGTCGCACAGACCGGCAAGAACCCGTCTTTTCTCGGTCCCGTGTGTGAGTCGGTGCCGCGTGCTTCGAAGGAAACCGATGCGGTGGTGCCAGAGGAAGATGCATCGGCGGCTGCATTGGCTCTTCCACGCCACGCCCAACTCCGTTTTTCTCCATCAACGACGGTGAAAGAGGCCGTCCTTCACAAGGCCAAAGGCGGCTCCTTGGAGGTGGAGGTCCCTCCTTCCGACCCGCTGGAGGTCACGCACGCGCCAGACCGCCACACGATAACCGCCTCTACTTTGTACTTCCCCGACGAGGTTGGCCTTCCCTCGCTCACCATTCGCTTTGAGAGCGCCGAGGTCGTGAGAGCAGATGCCACGGCGGCTGCCACGACGAAGACTGCGGCGGAGATGCTCGCCGTTCCAACGTTTCGCCACGTTGAGGGCGACGACGACGAAGTGCTCAGCGATGAGGAGGCGCAGAGCGAGAAGCCGACCATCTCTGCTGCTGCTGCTGGTAGTAATGGTGGTGGGGCGACCAACGGGACGGGGGGGGAAAGGCCCGAATGGCGTGGGCTGTTGGATGTGGCCCTGCAGGAGCAGCAGCGTCAGGACGCGACGCGGGCCTCGCAAGGACCAACGGATGAGAAGTCCACCGCAGTGCAGCGTCCACCGTCGCAACCGGTCGCGGCAGCGGCGAGGACGGCGCCTCCCGCGCCATCCGCATCGATTCCGTTTGGAAATACTTCGTCGAGCAAGTCGGCTGCCGCCCCGCCACCAACGCCGCAACAGCACAACATTGGCTTCTGGGAGTGGAAGCAGCACGCCAACGGCAAGGACGACGACCCCAAGTCGTGGCGTAAGTACAATCGCGCCGTCGCAGAGTTGCTGGAGAGGGCCTATCGCGACCCCTCCCTTGCGAAAATGAAGATACCCGACTCGGCAATGTTCGACAAACCCGGCCAGAAGGGCGCCACCTACGGCGTGTGCTTTGCGGAAAGGGCGCTGGACGGGGCGATGATTCAGTACTCCTTGGAGGATCCCGGCCACTTCCGGCTGATTCGCCGGACGGGGGGACTGCCGGTGGACCGCCAAAAAGCAAAACGGGCACACGTGATTCCTTCCTCATCCGACAGTGACAGTGAAAGTGCAAGCGAGAGCGAAGAGAGCGTCAGCGACTCGGACTCGGACTCGGGCTCGGAGGAGAGCCTGTCGTCGAGCAGCAGTTCTGACGGTGACGAGAAGCCCCGTAAGAAGAAGCGTCGCCACTGAAGCCAGTAGCTGTTGTGGACGAGGCCGTGTGCATGCACAAGATATTCTTCTTTGTCTTTTCTTCCTGTTGTTCCCCTCCCCCATCCTCCTACCGCAGAGTAGCTGAAGCCGCATCAAAACGCTACAACGACCGTTTTTCTTTTCTGTTTTCTGCGCGTGCGTGACGGGGTGGTAACGCGATATCGAGGTTCTGCATTTCCATTAAAATGCCAAACATACAAACACACCCCAAACATGAACAGATGCGAGTCGTTCTTCAACGGCTCTTAAAGAAAAAAGAAGAAGAAAGCGACAAAGAACGGATCGATCGTTTACGATTGATGAAGCATGTGTTCTTTCGGTTTATTTTTTCGTGATGGGGCGTCGCGCGAAGTCGACAATGAGAGCGAATCCGAAACGCAAAGTTGTGTGCATACTTCAGCGCAGGTATCACAGTTTTCTTCACTGTGACGTGTTGTTTTTACCGTGTCCTCGCGCTTCTCGAAATTTTCTCCTTCCTCTTTCGTGCAGTCAACCGGTGTAGCAAGGAAAACCACGAATAACTCCCAAATCATGGCCGCGCAGTTTCAGCTCACCGCACGGCGCGTCAGTACACCGCCCGGCATCACACCGGCGAAACTTGGCGAGTCACCCACGTGGGACGACGCACACGGCGTGCTGTGGTGGATTGACATTGTCGGTCAAGCCCTCTACGTCGGCCAAACCTCGGCCGGTAGCCTGTCCGAGTTTGACCGCGTGGCGATGCTGCCGTTGACGGGACACCGCGTCGGTTTCGTCATACATGCCGGCACCTCGTCAGAGAAGAAGGGTGAGAACGGCACGAAGAACTCTTTTCACGCGATCTGGGGCTCGCAGTCGGGGCTGTACTACACACCCTACTCCTCCGACCTGCCGTGGTGCTCGCTCGGCGACCCGTCAAATCCTCCGCTGCCAAACTCCGCAGCAAGCGCACCGAAGCACCGCCTTGCCGAATTCCCAATGGAGGTCTTCCCCCTGCAAGACGGCCGCATCTACCGCTTCAACGACGGCAAAGTCGCACCGGACGGTTCTCTCTGGGCCGGTGGCATGATGGAGCGCTCCGCACAGCACCCGAAGCGCGACGTGGGCTGTGGCGTGCTAATGCAGTGGACCCCGCAGGCGGAGAAAACGTTCACCGTCGGCGTGTCGGACGTGACGGTGTCGAATGGGATGGGCTGGTCCCCCGCGGGTGATGTCCTCTACCATGTAGATACCCCCACCGCGGTGATTCGCGCCTACCCCTACCACAAGGCAGCGCCGGACGCACCGACGGGCAGCCCCGGTCACATTGTGCAGAGCGAGGGCTACGTTTTCTGGACGCTGCCGGCCGACAGGAAGTCGCGCGGTGCCACGCTGGACGGCCTTTGTGTCGACAACGCCGGCGCTGTCTGGGTGGCACTCGCCGGGATTGGGGAGGTGGTCCGCCTGCAGGCCATCAAGCAGAACGACGTGTCGCTTCCATCTCCGGTGACCATCGCAGGCGTGGTGACGGTGCCCGGTGTGACACTGTGCACAAGCTGCTGCTTCGGTGGGCCAGACTTGACGACGCTGTACATTACGACCGCGCGTGGCACAGACGCGGCGGCGGTCGCGAGATGCACGCAGGAGGGGGCGGGGTTTGTCTATGCGGTGAATCTCAAGGGCGTGGCGAAGGGCCTACCGGCCTCGCGCTTGCATGCGCCCTCTTCCATGTACGCGCCCCACCTGTAAGGTTACTTTCGTAGTTCTTCTCATTAGTAGTGTATGGAATTAAGCCTCACGAGATCACTGCGGGCCGCTGACGTTTGCTTTATCGTTCTCTTAACGTAAAATATATATTATGTTCTCTCTCTCCTTTAAAAATGCGTGCTCGATCGTTCTTAATCAAAAGCTGTTGTTGCTCTTTTTCTTTCGTTTCTTCCTGTCCGCCGCCGCATACTTGTGGGCTCAAGAGACAGCCTCAAAAGGCATTTTTATTCATTTTCACCCGCCCTTGTTACCAGAGAAAGTTGTTAAAGAGTCACTAAAGAAAAAAAAAGTGGATGCAATAGGCGAAATTCCGGTTTGTTGGTCGCTTCAATCTGGTATTGTGGTCCGTCGCCTCTCCCTTGCTGTGACAAGGAAGAAGCTGGGTAGTGTAGCCATCCTATGAATCTTCTAGTTTTAAAGTGAGAAGATCGGATGTGGAAGGATACGTTATTCGTGTGAGACCGTTTCGAAACAAGGAACGGAGACTGTGGGGACTGCAGTGCGGGAGAGCTCTCGGAATTTTCTCCATCCAGCTCCATTCACGTTTGCCTCTTGTCCTCTCTTGTCACCTCTTGTTTTTCCCTCCTTGTTTGCTCTTTCATCGTCGCTTACATCACCCACATATTGCGCTGCTCGGAATCCCCATCTGTGTCTCTCCGCAGTTAATCATCTTTTACTTCAAATTCTTCTTTCATTTGTCTGAAGTCATCTTTTTGTTTTTCAGTTTTTATTAGCTACCACCGTGCTCTCTGTCGCCAGAAGAAGAGGAGCCGTAGTCGTGCGTGTTTTATTATTATTATTTTGGTTTTCCACACCTGTCCGCGCCTCCCCATTTTACGACTCCCCGTCGTTTCCGCCGCCTCGTTTTTTTTCCTGTTTTGCTTCTGCGTGTGTGTCTGTCGGTGACGGAGGCAAACAAGACGGAAAGAAGGGCTGGTACACCATCAAAACAAAGGACGAAATATTAACTTCTTATTAACATAATAGCTGCACTGCGGTTTTCCACTTGGAGTAAAAAAATCCTGTTTCTTGGTCTTTTTCTTCCTTATTTCGCTAGATTATTGAAGGCAAAAAACAGGCGTTCTGCTCTAACTTAAGGGAAAATACAAAAGACCTAAGAGAAAAGTCTTGTAAGACAGCTAACGCAAGCCAACTCAGCCGACAGCATCTACCCCTTTTTTCTTTTCTTTCGCCTTTCACGGACTCGTGTCTCGTGTATTTTCATTCACACTACAGGGTACGGCTTTTTCTCCGTGCGAGTTTGCTGTTCCGCAAATCTGGTTGTTTACGTTTTTGCTTGTACATTTTTTCTCCCCCTTTCCGATGTCAATCTTCTACATCTTCGCCAGCGCGCTCATCGCACTCGCGGGCTACTTCTACATCCAGCTGAACCGAAAGGCTGGCGGCGATTACGTGACGGTGTCCGGCGGTGCCCACGGGAAAGGCTCCGGTCATGGGTCGCCCACCACTCCCGCTGGCGGCTCGAGCCCCAACTCTTCGACAGACAACAAGGAGGTTCTCGTTCTCTTCGGCTCGCAGACCGGCACGGCGGAGTTGTTCGCCAAGACGCTGACGCGCGAGGGCGCGAAGATGGGCGTGCCGATTAAGATCTGCGACGTGGAGAGCTACGAGAGCTTCAACTTGGAGTACGAGCGACTTGTCATTCTCATCTGCGCCACCTACGGCGAGGGTGAGCCGACCGATACGATGAAGGACTTCCACGACTGGATGTTTGACGACTGCCGCGCCGTTGGGGAGGAGCTGGCGAACGTCAAGTACACCGTCTTCGGACTCGGGGACCGTCAGTACAAATACTTCTGTGAGGAAGGTATCGTGATGGACCGCCGCTTCGACGAGTTGGGGGCGAAGCGTATTTACGGCCTCTCCTGCGGCGACTCCGGCGGCGGTCAGCTGGAAGAGCAGTTCGATGAGTGGTGCAAGGACCTGTGGCCAGCCGTGGGGCGTGCGCTGAACATCAAGATCAAGGAGAACACCGAGGAGCCGGTGGAGCCGGAGTGCCGTATGAAGTACTGGGAGGAGAAGGAAGCACCGCTGCCCTTCCCCAAGACCGCCTCCGTGCTCGAGCCCACGCAGCGTCTGCCGGTATGGGTACCGATGATGAGGAACGAGGAGTTGCTGAAGTCGGTCAGCGACGGCAACAGCACCCTCGCCATCGACTTCAACACGAGCGACACGATCATCTCCTACCAGGCCGGTGACCACCTTGGCATTTTGCCTTGCAACTCCGACGAGTTGGTGGCGGAGTACCTCAAGGTGCTGAACGTGTCGGACGAGGAGGCCGGCCGCGTCTTCTCACTGCAGGACAAGAAAACGCTCAAGAACGTCTTCCCGTCGCGCGTGGCGCCGCGGACGGCGCTGAAGTGGTACATCGATCTCGCTGGCGTCCCGAAGAAGTCAACGCTGCGTGCCTTCGCGCACTGCTGCACTGACGCCGCGCAGAAGGAGGAGCTGCTGCGCATCCTGCGTGTCAACCCGGAGGCGCAGAACGAGTTTGCGAAGCTGTGCAAGAAGCTGCGCACCATGCAGGGTTTCCTGCGCCACTTCGACTCCGCCAAGGTGCCGTTGTCCTTCTTCCTGGAGCTGATGCCGCGCATCACGCCGCGTTACTACTCCATCTCGTCCGACATCCTCTCCACGCCGAACTCTGTTGGGACGACCATCGGCATCGTGAAGGGCGGCCTCTGCACGAGCATGCTGGCGAGGATGCAGATTGGCGACAAGGTGCCGGTGTTTGTGCGGAAGTCCACCTTCCATCTGCCGCTGCGCCACAAGGAGCGTCCGATCATCATGGTCGGCCCTGGCACCGGTGTCGCGCCTTTCATCGGCTTTTTGGAGCGCCGTCGTGCGTGGCAGCAGAAGGGGGCGACGCTGGGCAAGGCGATCCTCTTCTTTGGCTGCCGCCGCCACGCCGAGGACCACATCTTCGAGGAGTACTGCACGCAGGCCCTGCAGGACGGCGTGCTGTCGGTGCTGGACACCGCGTACAGCCGCGACCAGGCCTACAAGATTTACGTGCAGCACCGCGTGAAGGAGCGTGCGGCGGAGCTGTGGGAGATGCTCTCGGCCGGCGCGAATGTGTACGTCTGCGGTGACGCGAAATTCATGGCCAAGGACGTCGATGCGGAGCTCAAGCGCGTTGTGGAGGTGGAGGGAAAGATGACGCCCGAGGCGGCGGCGGAGTTCATGAAGAAGATGGAAACCGAAGAGCGCTATCTCAAGGATGTCTGGTCCTCTACCTTGTAGCTGGGCCGATGGCTTTTCTTCGCTGTTTTTCCCCCACGTTTGTTTCTTCTCTATAAAGTGTTGTCATTAATTAACTTTTCTTTTTTCTGTGGCTTGTCTATCTTCCTGCGTAATACGGATGACTTGGTCAAAGCCTAAAGAAAAAGCTTGTCTTGTGCCACTCTCTCTCTTTCTCTCTCTCTCTCTCTCGTAAGGAGCAGTGATGACCATCGCTGCAGCAGCGCGTATGGAAAGCAGTGGAGGTGTAACTCGACGAGGTGTTCTCTTTACTTATTATTATTTTTTTCCTCTCAAAAAAAGAAACAAAGGAAAAATACTTCTGGTAACTGAAATAGGTGTCAAAAAACTTTTCGGGGTCTGCTGTGGTGGTAGCCTTCGTGTTGTGTTCCGTGAAGCGTTGACGGGGTGTTGAGAAACCGCTGAAAAATAAAGGAATAGTTTTGCATTATCTTGACGATAGGCTTGTGCTCGTGGTTGTAAGAAAAATGGGTCAAGACCAACGGAGTGAGGGAGAGTGAGAAAAGCGGTGTGTGGGTGTGTGTTACTTCCGTGGTCGGGAGGTCACATCGGCTGTCAAGTGTTTCCATGTTCTGTTTTCGTGCTCCGGTGTTGGAGGGCGCGTGCATCTCGATGACATCCGACGTATCTCCCGCGTAAAACTATTTTTCTGAAGAAATCCTTCTCTTGTTTTTCCGTTGTTGAGATGCCACAGGAAAAGAAAGTCACTAAAGACGGGGATCAAGTTTCCACAAAAGCTTCAGACGCATATGAGGAAGTTTGCTGGATGGGTGGGCCTAAAACTGAATCTCCTGGTTGCGCCCCTTCGTCGGTGCAGACAATACGGACGCAAGCCTCTCCTCAACAGCGTTTCGATGCGATATCATTATTATGCTGCTCTCAGTCCGATGTTATGCGTGCGTCTTTTCATTGCATTGAAGAAGGCGAAAGATCATCGTCGAGTTGACGTTTGGCGTTCACTGGTTTCATCACACAGCTACTCCTCGTTTATTGCCTTGCGTTCCTTCTCCATCTCTTGCCAAAAAGTACCAGCAGAGTTTTTTAACTATCGTCTTTTGTTTGTGGGCTGTTGGGCACCTGCGGCCGCCTTGATTCCCCTGTTCGTGTTTCCGTTTTCGTCCTCTCTCTCTTCACTTTTCGTGGTGCAGTCGTCATGTCCTTCACGCTTGTTGCCTGCTCCGACATTCGAGCCCAAAAGGTAAACCTCGAGCTTCCTTTTGAGCGCCCGCCGCCTTCCGTTGAGGTGCTGCGCGATGTCTTGGAGAGCGTGTTCCGCCGGGAGGAGGAGGTCATCAAGCGCGACATGGGCTACACCGACGTCCGCCCATGCGAGCCCTTCACCATCAACCGTCTGCAGCGCTACGACGACGACACGCAGAGCTGGTCGGAAATCACATCCATTGACATGCTGCAGACGTACGATCAGCTCTACGTCTTCCGCAAGAACAGCACCAAGGCGGATATCTCGACGCAGCGCGAGTTGCCCGCTCCCCGGCCGTCGGCGTTCTTTGATGATCCCACCGCGACAACCTCTGCGGTGCACGCGCGTGGTGGCAGCCGTGGTGGTGTGGCCCCGTCGGAGCCGCCCACGCAGACATCCTTCCACACACCCCGCGCAGGTAACCGCCCTGGCGCGAATGGCGACTACAACGGCAGCCGCCACGACGTCTCCCCGGCCAGCCAGCCTCGCGTCAGCGCAGGTGGGAGCTCGTATGCGGTGGCACCTTCGGCGCTGCCGTCCTCGTCCGGCCGTCCCTCTGGGCGTTATGATGGCGCGAATGGCGCAGCAGTGGACGGCCCCGATGCCTATTCAGCTTCTACCGCGCTGCCCGGTGTGGGCCGTACGTCGACTGGGGCGGCCGGTGCTGATGTCGGTGCTGCGCCGTCGCCGTCGTCGTATTACTACCGGGAGCGCACCACACCGGAGCGGGTCGATTTTCTTTTCCGCCTCGGCAGCCAGCCAAACGGCGGCACCGCGTTGACAGAGAAGACGTTCGAGCGCGTCTTCCACCTGGCCAACGTGGCGTTCCCGGTGGAGGTGCATCAGGATTTGTTCCAGCACTTTGCGAACGGCGACGGCGGCCGAGGGCAGGCCAGTGGGACGATGAACTACGAGGGATTTCAAGAGTTTGCCACCTACTTCCCCGTTCTGATCAACATCACCTACCAGCGCATCACGAACCAGGATCGCGAGGAGGGCATCCGCAATGCGCAGCGCGACAACGCCAAGCAGCTCGAGCAGGCCCGGCGGCAGGTCCAGGAACTGGAGTCACGATTGGCAGCAGCGCGCAAGGCGGCACAGGAGGGGGAGCAGCGTCACGCACGTCTGCAGGAGGACCTCAGCGACATCGCTGTGCAGCGAGACCCTAATTACTGTCGTGATGAGCAGAGGCTGCTGGACAAGGAAGTCAGCGTCTTCAAGTACCGCGAGCGCCTTTCACGCGAGGAGCAAGATTACGAGCGTCTGGCTGTCGAGCGACGGAAGCGCGCCGCGGCAGCGTCTGCGCGCACGCGGTCGAACTCGCCGCAGGGCGCCTACGACCCAAACCGCTACGGTCCTCGAGATTGATGAGAACGCAGCGTTGTCTACTCTGTGAAATGCTTGTCGTTGTTTTCTTTTTTTGGTTTCACTGTTGGTGTGTGTTTCCGTTGCTTGCCTGCATGTACATCTCCTTCGTGGTTTATCTCCCATAGAGCATTGGTTTGTTAGTTCTTACGTAGCGCATCCGTGTGCGACTTTGTATAGCGGTCTTTCTCCTTAAAGAAAGAAAAATAATTTATTTACGTTCGTGTGTTTTTCGTTTGTGAATGCGTGCCTTACAGCTGACGTGTTTGTGTGTCGATCCACGAACGTTATACGACGTGGGATGTGCTGATGTCTCCCATTTTCGTCTGTTTTCCTACAGCTGCCCGACGCTGTTGTGTACTGTTGTTTTACACCAAAGCAGTTTGGATCTCCTCCTACAACACTTCTGTAAAACCTGTTTTGGCCTTGTTGTGCACGATTCGAAGAACAGAGGATTTTTTTTCTTCCTTTTTGAGGGGGAGATGTGTGTGTGTGTGTGTGTAAAGACGCTCCCTTTCTTGGAGGTGCTCCTTGTTCACGGTGACGGGTTACGACTGATAGAGTCTTACAAGACCGCCTCAAGTGTGTATGCAAAAGAATTCAACGGTGGCACGTCCTCTTACGATGGAAAGTGTCAGTTCAAACCAAACTGCCGGAGACCCCTATGCTCTGCACTCTTGTTTTTTTTTTAATGGATGTTCTGGGCGTTGTTTCAGGATGGGAAGAAAACTTACCTGCTCGCTCTCTCTTCCCGGATCACGTATCTTCTCCCTCTACCCTTTCTCTCGCACTCGCTGCTCTGTGTTGTCTGTGTTACTAAACATTCACGGTGCTCGCTGAAAAGCTACAACGACGACAATCCAATCAGGAGCTGGTGGGTGTCGTTGAAAGCAACGCCTCAATCATCTTACAAGCACATATACTGCTTCTTTATTTGGTTTCTTTCTTCCATCGAAACTGAATAGTACTCGTGTATTCCTGCGAGGCATCCGTCGCTTCTGAGTTCACACACATCCCCGTCACAACATTTTTCTTTTTCTGTTTGCTTGCTCACGGTGCTTGCACAGCGTTATCAAAAAAAACTTTTGCCCTTTGCTTCATGTAAAAGCGCGGGGAAGGAAGAAGACGAATCATCATCTGGAGCGTTGTAGTGTTTGGGAAAGGGACTCTCCCCCCCTTTCCTTCCATTCACAGTAATTTGTTTTTTTCCTGCCCTTTTCTGTTGAACGGACTCTTTCGCCAAATTTGGTTAATTCTCTTTCTGTGTGTTCTTCTCTTTCGCTTGTTTGCTTCTGCATTGGGTTGTCTCCATTTTCAGTGCTCACATTCTTTGTTTTCCTCGTTCGCAGATTAAACGTTCGCGACTGCTGCAAGTTTAATCTAGTCCTCTTCATTAGCTTTATACATTGTGTTTGATTGCCTTCGTTTTTTTATTTTCATTTGTTTTGGCTCGTCTTATCCACTTCATTTCTTAAGTTCTTGCTTGCGCTCCAATCGTCCCAACGAAAAAGGCCACACTAAACAACGCGTGTGAGGCTTCACCGTTCCTTGGCGACGATTGCAAACAGCGGAGTACGCAAACGCTTCGCAAAAGGAAGAGGACGAAACACAAGTGGGGTTACGTATAATTCATTTACTTTGTTTTGAAGGCGAACGCGGAAAATCCAAGAGAAACGAAATAAGTGCTTCAATTGCGTGGCAGAAGCATAGCTCTACGTCCGCTTTTTGTGAGTCACGTTTTGCTCGTACTCTTCTCGGCACATATTTTCATTTGAGTGAATTGAAACGACTGCCGAGAGCTAGAATAAAGAAAACTGCGCCACACTTTTTTCTTTTTTTCCCTTTTGCTGAAGCTCGAAGCTGTTGTTGGCCGCGACTGTGCGATACACGTACATGCGGCGATTTAGCAGACCTCTAGGTTGTTGTCAAGTACCACCTCGTTCGTTGTTTTTGTAAATTTATATATGTATGGAGCCTATTTTGTTCTTCTTGACATTTGCTTTTTCAAAAGAGACCTTTTCTTGCCGTTTTCGTTTTCATTCTTCATCCAATACGTGCTCAGGTAATACACTAATTCAACGTAAACGTAGGTATATTTGTTGAAACTGCCACGATTTGATTAACTTCATTTCTACCTTGACCCTTCTAAAGTTCTTTTTTTTTGTCTCCTAACATCTCTCCCTATCCTGGCCTTTTTTTTGACTTTTTGTGGCTTTCTTCCTCATTCTTAACACACGCTGCCTTGACACGAACACGGGCTTTCTTTTTCCTTTTTTTCTTTACCTTAAAATATTGCGCAAATTATTTCCTCCAGGGACGACGCCGTTTCATTTCTTCCTTTTCTTTTCCCTGCTGCTGTGTCATCGTGTTCATTGCTCACCGCCTCCTTTATCATCGTACATCGTATGCTTTTTGTCCCCCCAGCAGCTTGCTGACAGACGATGCCGTCAGGATGTGTGTTAGAAGACCGGAGCGGAGAAGACCCCACCGCGGCTGCAGGGAAGCACGTAGCCTTCAGCACAGGCCATAACTCCCGCCGATTCACAACCGTCTTGCCACCGATGCCCACGAAATCGCCTACGCCTGCGCCGTCGTACGACATCGCTGCCGCTGCAGCCGTTACCGATCCACTTTCTGAGCTGCCACTGTTACTTTTTACCAAACCAAGCCTGCAGTATTCCGGCATGGTGATACAGCCTACGGGCGACAACACCATCACCGTTGATGCCCCCGCGGTGACGGCGGCTGCATCTCCAACAGAGGGGTCGCAAACGGAGAACAACTCCAACGACGCTGTTCGCACGGCGATCCCGCCGCTCGTGGCGTTGCCGGTGCCGACACCACAACCACCATCGTCGGTTGCGGCTTTCTTGCCTCCACCCCGCGCCGTCGCCACCACCACCTTTCACGCGAGCGCTAACGTGACGACAGCCACCACCGCGACGGATTCCAGAAACAGCAGCCAACGAGCACAGCTGACCTTCAGCGTCCGCAGCCCAGACGAGGACACGGTAACCGCCGTGCCAAGCTCACAAGACCTCTGCTCGCAGCACAACCGTCGTATCAGCTCTATCCTCGCCTCTCACAATGAGAAGAACGACAGACCCTATGCCCCACTCGGGTCCAACCCTTTTGGGTACCAACGCTTCGACCTCTCTCCGCGGGTAGATTCCTCCCTGCACAGCGAATTGGGGGAGAGCCAATCCGAGCACCTGGATGAGGGCGGCAGGGTACGGCATCACCTCTCTGCCTACTACCACTACTGCGCAGATGAGCCGGCTCCCACCGACGCCATCGCGGAAAGATTGCTCGCCGACCGCCTCAGTCCACTTCTCTGCGCGCACCGTGGTGGTGTCACAGATAAAATCGGTGATGTGGTGGACACGACGATGACGTTGTATGTGAGGGATGAGCAGGTCGCACACCCACACAGCTGCACCGCCACGTCGGAAAACGGCATGGACACTGTCACGCTGAGCGCCACCGTTTGTAACGCGGTGAAGGACACTGACGCGTCGGCTCCGTCATTCGAGGCGCACGAGTCGTACGAGCCCCTGCAAAAAGACGTGTTCGAGAGCGCGCTGCGGATGGCGTGGGAGTGGAGGCAGGCGAGTCGAGCGGAGGCGTCGCAGACGACGGAAGCGGGAGCTGCCAGCGGTAATGAGCTCTTCTCCGCACACCCGCGTCGCCGACTGCCCTCCTGCTTCTTTCCTGGCTTTCCCTCGGCTATTTTGCCAGAACTGTCTCAGTCAGCATCGACGGTCGCAAAGGAAGGGGCGCGTGCCAGTCTCACGGACGTCGCAGCGGGCGTCGGGGCGCAGCGCAAGCGTTCCGGCAACAGCTTCTCGAACAGTTTCCTGCCCCCCTTCACGTCGCAAGTCAAAGCCGGGCTGCAGCTGGAGCAGAGCAACGACCCCTACGCCCCGCTGACGTCCTTACAACTGACTGCGTGTGAGCTGTGTGGGGCAGAGATGATCTCTCGCAAAACGCTGTGGACTTCATATCTGGTAGAGCGCTACGAGTTGCTGGCGACCTTTATCGACGTCGTTGACTTCAGTGCCTGCGGTGTCGATGTGACACCTTCTGCCAGCTCGTTTTCCACCATGTTGACGCACAACAATGCTACGATACAGCGTTTCTTTGACCTCGCCCTCGAGGAGTACCTTCCCTGGATGGCGGACCTCTACCTCGCCGAGTACAACCCTGTGATGGTCGCTAATCAGAAAGATGCGGCAACGGCTTCCGTCACCGCGGCACCAAGCTCGCCGCTTGGCTCTCGCAAGTTCCTCAGCATCATGAGAAAGACTGCATCGATCGATGCCAGCTGGCAAGACCATTGTCCACTTCCGCTTCCCTTCGCTACGCGACGCGCTGGGGCCAGAGCGACGTCGAGGATCCCAACGGTGGCGAGTTTTCTCGCCACCAACGATGCCTTCAAGCCCACTCCTCGTCTCTCCACCGTGCAGCCCGACATCTTCACCGCGGCGTTTCTCGTGGAGGTGAGCTTCGTGGTCCTCGAAGAGCTCGCCATCGTGGCACGCATGCACCTGCCTAACGCGGTGGCCAACGCAATGCACTTGTTCGTGCCCGGCGCGGCGAGTTTCACACGTGACTCGCTCGTTACCAGCCTGACCCACTCCGTTTCGTCGCCCGTCGCGTCTGAATCCATAACCAGCGTGCGCGGGCGCGCGACTGTTTCTACGATGCGCCTCTCAGGGGAATCAGTTGATGATGCTTCTGGCGCTGATGCGCCGGCGGAAGGCACGATCAGCCGCACCGACAAGGAGCTCTCAGATACGTCGGCGACTGCTGTGCCGGCTATCATTGCTGGCAAAGACCCTTGCCCTGGCACCTCACGGCAGTCGCGACTGCTGCGCAACTGGAACCTTGTGCGCATAGTAGCCGAACCTCAGCCGATGTCGGCGGAAGGCTCGCAGGGAGCGTCTGAGGCGCCCGCGGAGGCGCCAAGCACGACAACGACTTGCGTGTCGCGCACGGTATCGTACTCGCTGCGACGAGAGTCGAGCTACGAAAACAGCCGCGTGTGGCTCAAGATCCTTTTTAGGTTCTTCCGCCGCGAGGAGGCGTACAACTTCGTGAATGACAGCCCCATCGCGATGCGCAACTTCCTGCCGCTGCCGTTTGTTTCGTGGGGGCGGATGCTGATGCGCTCTCGCAGCATCATGGCATGGTCGGAGTTTCACAGCAGCGTCGCCGCCTCCACCGCCTCGCTGTGGGGTTACCTCGACAAGGCGCGGCCCAACCGGCAAAACACGAACTCACAGCCGCGAGACCGCGCGCTGCGGCAGTGCGAGCAGAAGGCGCTGAACATGGCGACCGCGATGCACGAGCTGTGGTACTTGGAGAGGGAGTGGTGGTTGCAGTTTGTGGTGAACGTCTTCCGTGCCACGGCGCCTGTCGCATCCTCCTCGACGTTGGGCGGCGGCGGTGGCTGCGCGGGAGCAAAGCCGCACATCTGCGTGACGGGTCCCTCCACGAGTCACACCGTAAGGTTTGCCCCGCATCCCTCGTTGCGGTCGACGGTGTCGCAGTTGCCGGCGGTGCAGGAGCTTCGTGCAGTGGACCCGACGGTGACGAGGACGGCCGCACCACCGAGTGCGCCGGGTGGACAACACAATTTGACGCCCGTGTCGAAGGACGTGAGTTTCGTCCGCAAGACGCTGTGGCAACACTGCTGCCGGTCACCGTTGGAGAACGACATACTGCCTGATTCAAGGACAAGCCGGTGCGACTCGGAGGTAGCATGGGGGAGCCTCAAGACGAATCCAGCGCGGCCCGCTAACGGCGACTCGGTCATCCAGCCGTCGCTGATGCCATTTACGCCGGAGTCGCCTGACTTACTGCCGCCGCCGCAACAAGTTGGCGGCAAAACAACATCTCACTTGCTGCCTGGGGTGTCGCTTGCGTCCGTCGATAGCAGCGTCTTCTTGTGGGCGCCCCACTCATTTCTGAATGGCGCTTCACAGGCAAGCTCATTTTGCCAAGGGCCGCGTGGGCCGGACGCGGAGCCGGCGCACGAGGAATCGCTGACCGAGTGCGCGTCAACGACGGCGTCAACGGCGCTGCCAAATCCATCGAGTAGACCGCCGACGGCGTTGCCCGGTGCCCGCCGTCCCCGCTCTGGGCTCGCCTATCTCTCGCTGCAGAGCGGGACCTACAGTGATGCGGCGACAGCCCTGGCCGCTAGCCATTCGCGTCTTATGGTGCCACCTATGGCGGCCATCGTCAGCTGTTTCTATAGAGGTAACGCATCGGACTGGGACACAGTCCTCCTCGTGCGCTGCCAATCTCTCCAGCGTGCAATGGAGGTGGAAGAGGAGTCGTTTGAGCGCGCGTTCATGAACAGCATGAAGCGCAGTGGGGCGGCCTACATCTCTCTTTGCGAGGATACGGCAGCGTATGCAAAGGCGGAAGAGGATGTTGCGTTGGCGGATCGCCGCAGCAACGCCACGCGGCTCTGCGACGAAGTGGCGATGGGAACCCTCCAGTACCTACGTGAGTGGGCACAGGAACGAGTCCAGCTGGACTACGTGATGTTTGCCGTGCTGACGCTGCAGTCCGTGGCAGAACTGCAATGTGAGGTCGTGACGCGACTTTACGAAGACTTTCAGGTGTTCATCCGTGAGGCGCGCTCGTGGGTGCCGCCGCCGCCGCCTGCTCGGGAGCAGCAGCAGCAGCAGCGGAAGCTGATCACGGCGACAATGGCACTCGGGCCGGTGAACTCGAACAGCATCACGGACGACGCGAGTGCTGCGGCGTGTACGACGTTTGCAACGGTAGCACAAGATGTTGGCGTCGACACTTTAGCAGTGAAGGGGAAATCACGCGAGTTGGAGAAGCGGTCGTTTGATTTCTGGGGCTATGGCGCCTTCCTCCCTCACGCGGACTCCCCTGTCGGCTTCAATGACGGTTTGGTGGTGATGTCGCGTGTCTGCCGCGACATGCACCTGCGCGGGCGGCGGCTGCAGACGCACTGGTTTGCAAACGACGACGATGATGATGATGACAGGGACGGTGACAACGGTGATGCGGGCACGACGGCGGCGCAGAATTTCCACGATATCCACTACGTGAACAACGACACCTACATCGGTTTTACCCGCCGGCAGGTAGCCGACACGCCTGGAGCGGCGGAGCAGACGGAGATGAAACCGGAGGAGGCCTGCACGCCCCTGGAAGGGATCGACAACATGACGAACATCCATCATGACAGTGAGGACGGTGCGGCCCAGATGCTGCGACACGGACTCGGCAACTACACGTCCAAGGTGTGGGGCTACACGTACGTTGGTGGATGGTACCGTGATCGGCCGCACGACGAAGGCGGTCTTCTCTTCAACGGTATTCTCCCGTGGGAGACGGGCAGCGCGGCACCGAGGAAGTCGCTGTTGTTGGTGTTCGGCCGCTGGGAGCATGGACGTCTTGTGCATATCGAGAAAATGTTTTCCGGCGTTCCGTTGTCCTGATCAATGTTGTGTCTGCGCATCTTCTTCTTCTTTTTCGGCATTTCCCTCGTATTCCGTGTATACCTTTGTCACGTGCAGGACGACCATCACTGTCCTTATGGCCTTTATATATACTTCGTCTGTGTGCGATTGCTGGCCTGCTCTACTTTTCCGTTTCATTCCCTTTTTGCCTCCCTGGTTGCTTGTTCTCACAGGTTTGTATTTTTTTTTAAATCTTGTTTTCCATTATTCAACTATATTTTTCCCTGTGCCACGTTTTCCTATGCATGTATATTCATTTAAAGTCTTCTTCGTGTCCTCTTCCCCCTTTTTTCCCCCCTCCAATGCCACTTAAAGCTTCTTCGTGTGTTTGTACCGATTTCTCTGCGTGTTTATTTGGTCGTGCTCACACCCGTGTGGTCGTCGTTCGTCACCCTTCCTCACTGAGCACTGACACAACATCTTCTTTTCCTCTCCTTTTTTAATGAAAAACGGTTTCTGTTGTCTACGCGTCGCACATACATCTATTATTCTTTCCCAGGGCTTTACCACGAACTGTTCCTCTGTGTGCTGATTGTTTGTTTAGCGTTGGCGCAAAGTGTGCTGTTTGGATGTCGCACCGCTGCGTTCCTGATCAAAAGTGATTTAAAAAAAAAGCCACCAACTGTGTCTGGAGCGATCAAGAGAGCCTTCTTTCCTCTATCGTGGTCGCTGTCAGCTTGTGGGGTTTTGTGCTTCCTGGGTACGTACAGTAAGGTTTGGATGAACGACGAGGTTACGGTGGCGCTGTACGGTTGTACCCAATGACCTGTGCTCGTGACTGATGCCACGTGTAGCCGCATCGTGCGCGGTTTTGGTGGATCCTTTAAAAAAAAAGTAAAAAGAGCCGTCGTTGCATTCTCGTGTGTCTTTGGTGCTGCTTTGCCAGAGAGTATTATCTTCGTCCTTCTTTTCACGCATGGCGGTGTCGACTACTCTTCGTGGGGGTCGAGCCAAACATGAAGTTGTTGCTCTTTTTCCTTTTTGCTGTGTGGCGTTCTATGCGATGGGACGTGGTTCACGCCTGATGGTTTTGCGAAGCACGTCGACAGACTTTTACTGTTCCAGCTTTGCTTTGTAGAAGGAATGGCGGTATGGCTCCTGCTGCAAGTTTTTGTTTGATCTCCTCCCTGTTTTACATCACGCGAGCGTCCAAGCGTAAATCATTTTGCCACCCTACCAACGGGGCATCGTCTTTCATCTGTCACTTCTCTTTCCCCCGCACCGGTTCCAACTCTTATCGTTCTACATCACCAACTTTTCCCGCTTTCATACACATTCGGAAAGAGCAGCTCCCAAGGTCTTTTGCTCTCCGTGAATATCGTTTGTCTACACTAACGTGGCGAAGAGGAAGCCCGCTGAGAAGAGAGAATCATCAACTGTGGTGCGGAAAAGCAAAAGTAACTCTCCTCCAACCTCCCCTCCCTCCGCCCTCACCGCAGATGCCCTACAGCTCCGTCGGTGGTTTCCCACCTCTACCAACGCAGACCGCCCGCGGCTCCGTGTACGAGCCGAAGCAGACGATTTCTTATATTACTTCACAGCATCCGCCACGGCGGGCCGTGAAAGACGCTCCTCCACGAGACAAGGACAACGTACAGTTCCACAACGATGTCCCGCATCCCGGTGGCCCTGCGACGCAGACAGACGCCTTACCCTCGATTGTGGCGGCCCTTCCTTCGCCCTCGGCTACGGGCGGCTCTTCCGACCGGGTGGCGGGGCGGAATAGCAGCAGTCAACGGCAGGGCGATTACAGTGTCTCCTGTGAGTTTTCGGGCAGGGAAGGCAATCCGTGGTCCGGTCGCACGACGATCGCAGAGCTGGAAGACAGGCGGCTGCACAACTCCGACGGGGTTGCAGCCTTCCGCCCCATTCGCTACATCACGCTGGCGGCAGCGGAAGTTCAGTCCACGAGCACCGCGGCAATGTCGGCCTTTCTCCCCATCTCTGTCGAGGTCTCCTCGTCGACGGCGGTGAAACCGTTATTAGAGCCGTTTGTGGACGCGCAGGAGCTTGCCCGGCAGGCCTCCGAAGAGACGTGGCACACACGTCGCCTGCGCTACTTGCAGTGGCTGCGCAAAGGTGCACTGACCGCCAAGAAGAAAGAAGAGGAGAAGGAGGGAAGGGAGAGGAGCGTTTCGCCAGCGCTGGGTGATGTCTCTTTGCACGTGTCCTGTCGATCCATGTCCATGGGCGCGGACAGCGTCTTTTCCGGTCCTCCGCGCAGCGCTGCACCGCTTTCGCCGCTAGAGCGGGGGTCGACCTGGAGGGGCGATGCCTCGGACCGCCTCCACGACCCTGAAAGCACCTGTACCTTTGGAAAGTCGGATCTCAACTTTCTGCAAGGAGGTCGGCTCGAGGAAAACGCATTAACCAGGTTTCTGCCCATCACCTACGCCGCAAACCCCAACGAAGTGGCGGTTCGTCAAATGTTCCGCATGGTGCGTGGCCCTACTCTTACCCCCATTTCTACGCCCACAGCTGCTTGTAAGGAGGCGGTGGCTGTCAACGGCGATGAGGAGGAACACACGACAACGGCAGCGGTGTCGCCAGTGACCTCGGGCCACAAAATTGACGTGCCTCTGATCGACGATGCGCATTCATTTGTGGACGAGGATGGCTTTTCTTTTAGTCCGACGCAACGGAATGAGTCGGAGAGCAACGAGGAATCCGACTCGACTAGCACCGCGCCCAAGCTGACGGCGGAGCCGCCGCCCGAGTACGCTGTGGCCGGTCTGCTACGACAACGAATGCACAACACCGTCGCTGTCTTCACCGCGTCCTCCACGCACACGTTGGACACGCCACCGCGAAAAACAACGCGCGCCATCTTTGGACAAGCTCGTTTACGCAGCGACGTGAATAGCGAGGGCAATGCCGAAGCAGAGCGATGGAAGATCTCCGCTGCTGCCCCCGCCTCTGCGACTTCTTCGGTTATGCCGGACAGGCTCGATGACGGGGAAACTCCGGAAAGTTGTCCCTTAATTGTGCTCTCGCAACAGCCGCGCACCCTCGCGCCACATGTGGCGCGCCGCATCGTCTACGAGGAAACCTACGAGCGTGGTTTGCTGACGCAGCTCGCTTTCCAGTCGTCGCCGACGCGGTGGTACTCCACAGATCTGCCTAGCGGCGGAGACGGCATCGCCTTCCGGGGCGTGTACGCGCCAACGATGCTGCCAGACGAGGCGCTGGAGATGCGGCTGAACAACGCCACGTCCCGCATCATGCAGTCTATCGCGCAGCCGCGTTACGAAGCGGTGCAGGCGATCGCAGCGCGGGAGAAGCAGTGGACGGACTCGCTCGCCGCCCTTCATGCCGCTCCCCGGCAGGGGGGACCTTCCTCCTCGAGCGAGCGGGCAGCTGTCACGCCGAATACCAACAACACGATCGACGCCGCACCTGTTACGGTGGAGGAGGCCGCGCGGCAGAAGGAGTTGCTCTTTAGGCAATGGACACGACTTCACCGGAATCTTTCTGCGCAGTGGCAACTTTTGCATGAGGAGCGGGCGGAGCGTCTTTGTCTTCTCGGTCGCTTCGTATCGTGCGCCTACCCCGAACCGTGCATTTGCCTGGAATGCGACCAGGAGGTGCTGAACATGTCCGCCATCCCGCTCGAGCCGGCCGTTCAACCGCTCTGCTGGTTCACGTCGGTGGTGTTGAGTGAGCACCACGACGTCTTGCAGAAGGAGATGCTGCGTCAGCATGAAGAGGGGCTGGCAGCGATGTACGAGGAGTTTCGCCTGCTTTTCATTACCACCTATACGCGCGAGAAGCTGCTGGAGGAGGAGGCGCGGCGTTTCCAGACGATGATGCGTTACCACGCGTTCTGCCTGCGCGTCGCCGCTCAGAATGCGTCTGCCGACGAGACCGGGTCTCTTCACGGTGCTACACCTGCTCCGAACCTCGTGACGGAGGCAGCGTTCAGCGGAACTGTTGAGCTGCCCACCGGTGCAGATCCGCGGATGTGGAGACTGCGGCAGCGCCGCCTGCAAGCCTTCAAGGCCTTCGACTCCCCCTTCTTTTCCTATCTCGTGTACACCGAGATGAGCACCATCAGCTCAGCCGAGGAGCAGGTACGACAGATGCTGATAGGAGAGGAGGCGACGGCGCGAAAGGAGCTCGCAACGGTCATGCGAATGGATGAGCGGTTCAGCTGCCTTTTGGCGCTAGAGCGTCTCGACCGATCGTGGATCTCGGCGGAGATGGTCGAGTCCCACTCTGCGATGATGTCGGGGCCGCTGGTGCAACTGCACGCCGCCCACCTAGCGGAGCTGCGTGAAAAGGAGGCTGCAGCGTACGCCAAAAAGTGTGCAGAGGAGCGGCAGGCGTTTGAAGACGCCGCGGTTGAGGCGACGCACGCGATGGCGGAGGCGGAGTACGCCACCTATAAGATCCTCGTGCGCGAGACACGACAGCGCTTCCTGACTCTCTTGGTGGCCGACCGTGCGCCGGCGGACTCGGTCGAAGTGTCGCGCAAGTGGTTGCATGAGCAGCGGCAGAGCGTGCTTCTGCGAGCGGAGCAGCGACTGCGCGACCAGCTGGTGTTGGACGAGGAGCCGTCTGCCTTTCAGCAACTTCTCGACTCCGCGGTGGATTCTTTCCGTCAAGTGAAGGAACGGGAGGCGCAGCGGCAAGTTGATGAGCAGGCGGAGGCGGAAGCGGCCGAAGCCGAAGCGGCGCGTGCGACAGCCCAGGCACGTGCTCGTGCCACGGCCGAAGAGTTGGCGCAACTGCAGTGGGAGAACATGCTGATGGACCCGAAACTGCTGTCCGGCGCAAAACCTCCTGCGAGTGACGCGAATGATTTCACGCCACTGACGATGTCGTTAAAGAAAGACTTTGCGTTCTTTCTTTCCGCCCTTGATTGAGGGACAGACGGATTCGCATCGTCGTCTGCATTCGAATGTAGCATTTTCCATGTAAAGTGTTGTCAAGCAATCTTTTAGGAGCTTTTTTTATCTTCTGTAAATGAATTGATACTCACTCCTTTTTTTTCTTCTGTGTTTTTTCCCCCTTCGATCTGCTGACCTTCTCTTCTCGTTCACACAACTTTGGATGTATTTTCCGGCTTTTCTGTATGCGTGTGAAACGTGGTCTTGAAATCACCCCGGATGCTTCTTGCTTTTTCTTTTTGCCGTTACCGATCATCCTCGTTCGTTTCGCATGCGGACGTTGCGCCCCCAAAAGGGAACGGAAATACTTGACAGTGCTTCGGGTAGGACTTCTTTTTTTTCTCAACTAATTGAAATATGAATGATAGTAAGAATCGTTCGAGGTTTCTCATCCGCGTAGCAACGCACGCGGTGTGTTGAACCCCCGCGAAAGTGACAGGAACGCACACACTCTATTTCATGATGTGCTGACTTTCCTTTCATCCTTTTCTCAAACGCTCGGTCGTTGACTTCACCGATGCCTGTGTTTTGTTGATGGTGCCTGCGGGTTCACTTTCATCTCCCATGCTCTTCTGCGTGCTCTCCGGACTCTTCGTTCACACATCTTTATTTTCCTTTCGCTGTTGTTCTCGCGTAGGACCGGGAAGTGCTACTCTCACCTCTGTGGGTAACGCCGTTTCGAAGAAGCGATTCATCGCTTTTATTAATATAGATTGGTTTTCGGATGCCGCCCAAGACGGTGCCACCGCATTACGAGTGCCTCGGCGTGGACCCCTCCATCAGCGACGCCGACCTGTCCCGCCACTACAAGAAGCTCTCGCTGCAACTGCACCCCGACCGCGCGGCGTACCGCAATGACGCAGTGAATGAGGTGCACGTCCAGGCGCGCTACCAGCGCATCACGGAGGCGTACGCGGTGCTGTCCGATCCAGCGAGGCGCTGCGCCTACGACACAAAGCACGCCGTCAACTTCCAGTCTCGTCTGGTTCGCTTGCAGGCGATGATAGGGCAGCACAACACCTCCGCGCTGAGGCCGTCGTCGACAACTGCAGAGGCCGCAGAAGGGGAAGGGGAAACAGGAAGAGCGGGCTCGGCATCACACGGGAACGCATCCCAGCACGGACAGGCGACACCGACTACGAAAGATCCCACCGCGAACGGCCCCGCAGAGGGAAGCGACGAGAAGCAAGGTGAATACAACGAGGACGATGACGAGGACGATTATGTTCCTGCGCCAATCGTTCCTTCCCGAACGAGAGGGAACCGTACAAGCTCGTCTACCGGACGGGGCGACGACGGCGAGACACGGCCGGGAGAAGAGGACACCGATGAGGACGAGTGGGGCAACAGGGTGCGGAATGTGTTTCATCTGCTGCCCCGCGCAGCTTCCTCGGGGGCGGGGCTTACAGAAGATGGCGTGCCGATCACGCAGTATCGTGGCGTGACGCTGATGCGGAGACGATCCGTAGGCACCTCTGATCAGCTCGCACATACTCATGACACGGACTCTCAGTGGGGGCTTGTTTTGGATGGGAATGTCTTGCTTGGTTTACAGGATGGTACACCAGAGGAAACGAGGAGTGAGACGATCGCGGGTCTTGCGGAGGTTGTTTTCCCCTCAGCGGTTCAGCAAGTCAATGACACGATGGTGCAGGCAAGAACAAACGTTACGCAACTTCTCAGCAGCCGCAGCCCTCAAGGGAGTACTATAGTACCTGCTGTCGTTGATCTCACCTCCGCCTTGACGACGACAACTGACGAGCCTGCCGCCACGGAACAAGTACAGATGGTGCTCGCCTTTTGCACAGAGTCGTTCGATCTTGTTGGTGACACGCACCTTCTCCGTGATGACACGATTCTGCGCGATCTCGTGCCGGACTGGTGTGTGGCGGCAGAGATGCCTGCTCTCATGCCTGGCGTCCGCGTTGTGTCGGTAAATCAGGCTCTGGTTGACTCTGCTGAGGATCTGCGACGGGCTCTGCGCAATGCCACCGACGCGCTGTCGTCGCCGATATTGCCGTCGTCGAAGAACACCGCAGGAGACGTGGTGGCTGCTGCAAAGCGTCCTCGCACAACTCGCTCTATTGTTGTGGAGTGTTGCGCGCTCCCTTTTATCTAAGACAAGGGGCTACGCTCATTTGATACGTTGGCTGGACTTTACAGTTACTCTATTGTTTGTGTCTTTCACTTTCAGCTTCTTTACGGTTTCGCGGTGCACCGCGCAGCCTACGGTCGCTTTTTCACTTATACCTTACTGAAGCGAATCATCGCCACCAACGACAAACACAAAGCTTGCACGGGCTGAAATAAAGCGTGGGTAAGTGGAGCCTCAATTGTTGCTCCTCTTGCCTTTCATTCATACTTGCCTCTTCCCCATCTTCCTCCGCCTTCCCTAAACCATAATCGGTTTCCCTCTTCTACCCTTTCCTTTTTTGTGGAAACAGATTCTCCGCTGTCTTTCTTGACCATCTTTTCTTGATCATTGACCTGTCCTGTGGTCTTTTCGTATCGCTCCTAGCAGCCGATAATCTTTCACCGTGTATATTCTGCTACCGTCCTCGGAGGATGCTTCTACGTTCCCGTCTTACTCGTACGGCGATGGCCGCAACGATTGAGGAGCAGTACGCCTCTCACGCCAGTAACATCAAAGGTGCAGACAAGAAGACGCGCTGCCGCACCTCGCTGCAGGTATCCCTGTCGGCTGACAAGTCTGGTGAGCTGTGCGACCTGCTCGGCATCTTCAAGCCGCATGGCATCAACATCAGCCAGGTGGCGAACCGCCCGCGCCCCTACGAGAACACGGCACCCTTCCGCACCATCTTTCTTGATGTGGACGCCTACATTGAGGATGACCGCATGAAGCAGGTGATGTCGCAGTTGCAGAAGATTTCGCCGAACGTGGCGGTGGCCGGGTCGTGGGTGATTCCATGGTACCCATCGGAGCCGAGGGACCTGGATGATCTGGATCAGAGCACGATGGCTGCCGGCGAGGAGCTGCAGGATGACCCGGAGAATCCACACCCGGGCTTCCACGATGAGGTCTACCGCGCCCGCCGTCGCGAGATTGTCGGGAAGGCGAAGAACTTCAAGACGGGTGACCCCATCCCGGTGGTGGACTACACGGAGGAGGAAAACCGCGTGTGGACGACCGTGTACGACCACCTCACGAAGCTATACCCCACCCACGCCTGCGAGCAGTACAACTACGTCTTCCCGCTGCTGCTGGAGAACGGCGTCCTTGGCCGCACCCGCATGCCGCAGCTGCGCGACGTGAGCGAGTTCTTGAATGAGGCGACCGGCTTCACCGTCCGCCCGGTCGCGGGTCTGCTGACCTCGCGAGACTTTCTCAACGCCCTTGCCTTCCGTGTCTTCTTCAGCACGCAGTACATCCGCCACTCCGCCCAGCCCTTGTACACGCCGGAGCCGGACATGGTGCACGACATAATCGGCCACCTGCCACTGCTGTCCGACCCCGACTTCGCCAAGTTCACGCAAACGATCGGCCTCGCCTCCCTCGGCGCGGACGACGTGCTGCTGGACAAGCTTGCGAAGGTGTACTGGTACACGGTGGAGTTCGGCCTGTGCAACGAGGGTGGCCGCCGCAAGGTCTACGGCGCCGGTGTCCTCTCCAGCTCCGCCGAGCTCGAGTACTCGCTGAGCGGCAAACCCGAGTACCTCCCGTGGGACCCGGCGGTGGCGTCCACCACGCCCTTTCCCATCACCAAGTTCCAGCCGCGTTACTTCGTGGCAGACAGCTTCCCTGACGCACAGCGGAAGCTGGAGGAGTGGCTGGCGGTCCAGGATAAGCCGATCTTCACTGTGTACAATTCGTACTCGCGCCGCGTGCAGTCGTACCCGAGGAACACGTGGCACATGCTGCAGGAGCAGATAAAGCTCACGAACTTCACCTTTTAAAACGCCTTCATTTGGCCCCGTTTAAAGAGTCTGCATCGTGTCGCCAAATGTTTTTTCTTTTTTGCAGCTGAATGCCATTGTCAGCTTGGAAGTGCCCGGTGGCGAAGGCCCCCCTTTTTTTTCTCCTTTGGTCAACGGCGCGTCTCGTTTATCTCAAGGGAAAGAGACAACGGTGCGAACCGCTTTCTTTTCTTTACTGTTACTTACTTTCCCTGTACAAAAGAGTGGATGGCAGCAGAAGTCCATGTTGTACACCTCACACCCTTGTGTGAGTAGCTCCTCCGTCTTACTATAAATATTTACTCGAATATGTTTCTTTTTCTTGGTCTTTTTTTTCGTTCTTTTCCTTTCCGAATTGCGCAAGTGCCGAGATAACTGTTTCCCTCTCGCTTAAACAACAACAATATATATTTCTTCCAAATGTACGTTATTCACAACTCCGTTGTACGCTAGTTTTCATTTATTTGTGTTAGTTTTACTTTAGTTTCGAATCTATCTCCAAACCATCGATTTATAGACGTATATATTGTCTGCGTGCTATGAAAGAAAAAAAAGGTCTCTCCAAAGGAGGAAGAAGAGCACTATCCCTGGTTGCGGAGACGCTGTAAGCGTGCTTTGTTCTGTTGTAGTAGAGCAGAGGCACGACGCTGCGAAGACCGTTCGTGTACCGCTCTCGTTGCCGCTGTCCCCTCTCTTTTATCTTTCGGCGCCGCTATCAAAGAGTTTTATTAGTTAGATATATAGATCACCAATTGCGGGGGAAGAGGGAAGAGCATACTCAAAGGAATGGTCGCTCTCTCTCTATATATATATTTGCTTATGACGATTTTAGTTGTTTTAGTGTCTTTTTCAATGGAATTACACCTTGCTGAACGTAATTCGCATAGGTAGTGCATTTACAGAATGAGGGGATGATTTCCACGACGACAAGATGGTCACCGGGTGTGCACCGCCATGTTTAAACACCCAGATCAAGTAAGAGTCCTCGGTGCTAATTGAAGGACGGTCCTTGTAAAAATAAAGAAAAAAATTACAATATGCATTAATGTTCCACCGTATCGGACTTTTCTTATCAGTGCGGATTGTCTCGAAAAGAACAGGGAGCCTTCTGCCGTGTAGATGCAGAGGAAGTGAGATAGGAGGCAATGTGAAGAGGGTTCCCTCGTTACAGTGTAGAAGCTGCTCCTCATCGGCGACCTGAGACGCTTCCCCATCCGCTGGTGTGTCTCTCCCCTCGTGTTAGCGGAGACGGAAAGGTAGAGACGGAGCGAACGCAGAGGACAGGATGGCGTCCCCCTCTCCGATTGGGCGGTGGACTCTTGAAGAGCGCGGAAGCCGTCCGCGACGGAGGAAGAAGAAGAGATAAAAACTAGCATTTTTTTCGGGAAAAAAAGATTATGTGCAACTCGACGTCGTGTTCTCTTGGTATCAACTGTGAAAAGTGTCAGAGGACCGTCAAGGCGTGAGCGCAGAACTCTCACCTTTTGAATGAAGAAAGCGTAAGGTTTCGCCGTCCTATCTGACGGTTTACTGCGTGTCCCACAGGTGGTTGGCAGTCAGGTCGCCTTTTCTTGTCATTCCTTCTTCTTCCCATCGAGACTCTCCTCTGCCTCCCCCCCGCCTCTCCTCCATCTAGATTTTTTTGTTGTTTTTGGTGTCTCTTTCGACGAAGGGAAAGAAAAAACCTCGGAACCTTCTATACGTCACTTTACGGTGTTGCAGTGCACGGCCGCATCGGCACTACACCCTACAAGCAAATGACGTCTAGGCCCCCTACGCGGCGGCTGGTAGACGTGTTGAAGCAAAACGGCAAACAGACGCTGGAGCGGCACGCCGTCGACCTCGCGGCGGCCGCCTCCTCCCTGCAAGCCGAGGCCATTCAAACACGCTTCTTGCGCAACCAGTTTCTCATCAGCCCGAAGTCCCTTCACCTGCTCGCCAGTGAGGACCTCCTGTCCCGCTGGCACGTATTCGGCGTGTACAAGCCGCCCTTCTGCCCGATGCGGAAGAGCGCCGCGGCGGACAACTTCCACCACGTGTCGGTAGAGTCCTTTGTGGAGGCAGCACTGCGGTCCAAGTCCATCTACCCCGTTCTGCGCCGAGCCCTCACGCCGGCTGAGATGCAGGTGCGGGTGCTGTATAACCTCGATACGTTTGCCTCCGGTCCGGTGCTGGTGGCGCTGTCGAACCACTATCAGTTCGCGGCGTCTCTGGCGACGACGACGATGGAATACGATGTGCTGGTGAGCGGACACTTACCGGTGCACGCCACGGGCAATCACACGAAGATCGACGTGCAGCAGCTCTTCCCCGGCGTGCCTCTTGCCAGAGCCTCGTCGTCCGCCGAGCCTTTCTCTGCAGGTAAGCAAACTGATATCACGGCGGCATCAACGTCCGCTGAAGCCTACTACGAAGTAAAGGAAAACGGCTATTATAGCGTGCACCCTGTTTCACTTATAAACTTGGTGATTGAGGCGCCTCCAACTTCTCAGCCACCAGCGCTGGAGCGCTTTGCGAGGGAGCAGCTGCACACGTGTATTGTTGGCGACCCCCTCGTCATGGGGGAACTCATGCACATTCGAGCGTCTGAGCAGGCGCCTTCGCGTATTGGAAACAGGAAAGAAACAAAGGAGGTGACCAACAGCAGTAGGAGCTCCTCTCAAACGTCTGCAGCGGACTCGAGGGCGTTGTCGAGCGACGGTGCCGCGCACGCAGCGGCGGTGAAGCTGGCCGCTAATCCGCACATCGTCTCCATGCGTGGCGACTGCGACTTCCCGCGCGTTTTCTTGCATCTCCGCACCGCCCGCGTTGACACCAGCGGCGAGCAGCGTCGACCTGCCGTTCTGCAGGACCCCGCTAGCACCAACACCAGCGGTAAGGGTGGCACTCCGCTGGCGTACAATTTCTCCATGAGCGGCTTGTCGTTCCCTGAGAAACAGCAGCAGCAGCAACAGGACGAGTTTGCGCAGAAGCAAGGGATTGAATTGCACTGTCACAAGTGTTTCAATGGGCTCGTCCAGAAGCAGCTGACCTCCTCCTTCAAGTCTCGTCGCCTAAGCTTGTTAGATGGCACGTGGACACCACAAGCTGAGTTCTTGTAACCAAGTGCGAAACAATGTTACAAGAACTCAGTCTACTATGCACTTCTTTCATGACAGCCGGAACAAAAGTTCGTGCTACCGCTGCCCTCTCCACTTCTTGAAGAGTGACCCTGACGCTGAGTTTAGTTGGACATCTTCACATTTTCAGCTGGCAAACAAACAAAAACCGAGAGGGATGAAGTTTTTTGTTTCTGGAATCTGGAAGCCTTTTGGCGCATGGATGTGAGAAGAACGGCGTTACAAAGTGCAGCTTTGTTTTTGTTTTGGTTGCGAAGGTGTTAAAGGTGGTTCGAGAAGTACGACTCCCTGAAACGTTGCTTTGCTTCCTTCTTCTTTGTGCAGGCAAGTGAGACGTTGTAACTGCCCACCCTTTTTGGTCGTCTTTTCCGCCTCGCCTCCAGCACTCTTCAACACCTATTAGCTCTTCTATTCGTTGCTTTCTTCGTCGTGTTTTTCTCTCCCTTTTTTCTCTTGTGGCCGCTGCTTTCCCCGTTCCTGGCTCAGTTTCCAAGCGTGACAGCGCACGGACAACTTCATTCCCTCCCCCCTCCCCCCTCCAAACACAAAACGTACATCCTCACATCAGCCTAAATTGTTCCTGTTCCTTCTCCGTGTGTGTGTGTGTGAGTGGCAAAACAGCAGAGCCACAAACCTTTCGCAAAATGGCCAACGCCGCTAACGCCGCTGCTGGGGCGAGAGAGGGCGACGGAGTCGTCATCCCCGACTCGAGCCAGCTAATGCACTCGAAGAAGCTGCACTCACTTGCCGATCAGCTGCAGGGCTCTCTGGTTGTCCTGCACCGCAAGATGTCTGGTATGGAGAAGCGAATACAGGTAACCGGCGGTGCAGCCCTGCTGCCGTTTCAGCTACGCCGCGCCAAGAAAGAAAAAGAGGAGCTGGCACGCGAAATTGCGGGAACGCAGCGAGCCATCAAACGTCTGCTCCTCATGTCCGAGCAAGTTGCGCAGATCATTGAGATGAAGCGGGTGGTTTTCCGCGATACGCAAGCGAGTTTGCTGAAGGAGATTGAGGATCTACAGAATGAGATCGACTCCAAGCAGGACACGATCCGCCGCGGTTACACCCAACGCATCAACATGCTGCAGCGCTACTGGCCCTGGCGACATCTGAGAGAGTTGGGCGACATCACCGTGGGCAAAACCTTTGAGGAAGAGCTCCGTCGTGGTCCCCGCTTCCGCAACGTGGGCATTCAGAACAACATCAAGTCGGATTACATCCGACAGCAAATTCACTGGCTGCAGCAACTTGGCTGCCAGGAGGGCCTCTTTCGAACTCACCTCCGTCACTTAGATGTCATGGTCGAGGATTTGAACGACGTGACGGAGCTGCTCGAAACCGCGATGACCTGCAGTGTGTGCGGCCTGATCTACGAGGAGCCGGTGCTGTTCTGGCCGTGTGGGCATTCCTTCTGCCTGCAGTGCTTCGCCTCGCTAGAGATTGCGCCGAGCCTGTACCGCTGTCCCACATGCGGGGCCGTCGGCAGCGAAGGCTATGTGCACAATTTGTTGTTGGCGGAGACGGTGTCGAAGTGGATGTTCAAAGATACCGGTTATGGGGACCTGCAGGCCCCACTGAGTGCGATTCGGGTGCACCTCTCTCGCTTTCGGCAGGACGAGATACGGGACCGCATCCTGGAGCTGCAAGAGGAACTGGGGCAATCGCAGGAGGCCGAGTTGACGAAGAAGTCCAACGAGGACACGGTTACCATTTCCTATCGCCTGTACTAAGCAGCAATGCGTCTGTGCTGGCGCGGTATAAATATAGTTGTATTCCTGAATGGGGGCCGTGTCGCCATGTGAGGGAGTGCGTGTGTGTGTGGATGGGTTTTGTGGCGCCACCGAAGTTGCTCGTTTTATCGCGTTTGACAACGCGTCATGTAAAGTAGCCTCTGTTTTATTCTAGAGCGTCTCTGCTGATTACCTTAAAAGGAAAAAGAATGAAACCCGCAAAGTTTGTGACGTTATGCTATTGTTGGTGTTATTGGGGTTGTCGCTCCAGTTTCGCGCAGCGCTGGAGGGACGCGTGCGTTCGTTGTTTCTGTGTGTCTTTGAAGCGGCAAGTATTGGTCGCCCATATCAGCACCTCAAGCTATCTTCTGATCGAAATGCGATGCAGAGGCACGCGTCATCGTGGAGAATAGTGCTCAGCAGAGGAATTGCTGCTCCGCTAGCAAACGGAGAGCAGCAACTTTTTTCTTCCTTTCCCTTGTCTGCTCTGCCAACATCACTCATCCCTCGCCTCCACGAACACACTTGCCAGCCTTTTAAACTCCTTTTTTTTTAAAAGCTGGAAACGAGCTGAGCCAACTTTCGCTTTTTCTGCTTTCCACCTGCAAAGGGTGAAAAAACAAAACACGGAAGTCAATAACATCAGCAGAAACACCAGCAAAAAAGAATGCGTGTAGACCGCGACGACGCAGAGGACATGCGTCGCTGCAAGGCGAAGGCGAAGCAGCGGCACTGGCAGGAGCGCCAAGACCGCTCCAAGGAAAACCGCGACGAAATTGAGCAATTGCAGGTGCGATGCGCTGACATGCGGCGGGAGCTGGAGAGCATCGCCGACTCCACCGAGGCAAACACCTCGACAGCACACGTGTACACCAAATTTGAGGAACTGCCCCTCTCACAGCGCACCATGATGGGTCTGGAGCGCGGTAAGTACACCACGCTCACCCCTATTCAGCGAGAGAGTCTACACCTAGCGCTAGCTGGCTTTGATGTTCTCGGGGCGGCAAAGACGGGCTCTGGCAAGACCCTCTGTTTTGTGATTCCAGTCCTGGAGAGTCTCTACCGCGAGCACTGGTCTGCGGACATGGGTGTTGGCGCGCTGCTGCTCAGCCCGACTCGCGAGCTGGCGCTGCAGATCTTCAAGGTGATGCAGCTCGTTGGACACAAACACGTCCACTCCGCTGCTCTCCTAACCGGCGGTCGCGACGTGCAGGAGGAGCGCAAGCGCCTCCACGCGATTAGCATCATCGTCGGCACCCCTGGCCGCGTGCTGCACCATCTGCAGGACGACGCCGAGCTGGTCTTGGACAACATGCAGCTTTTCTGCATGGATGAGGCCGATCGACTGCTTGATATGGGCTTCCGCGAGGCCATCACGAACATCGTGAAGTACCTGCCCCCGCAGCGGCAGACGCTGCTCTTCTCTGCGACGCAGACGACGGATGTGCAGATGCTTGCGCAGATGTCGCTCAAGAACCCGCGCTACGTCTCCACGCAGGCGATTACGGCGGCGCCGACGCCGACCACGCTGTGCCAGAACTTCCTGGTGGTCGAGCTCCACCGCAAGTTGGACGCGCTGCTGATGTTTTTGAAGCGCCACCCGCACGACAAGATTGTCGTCTTTGTGAGCACGTGCAATCAGGTGAAGTTTATGTACCTCGCCTTCTCGAAGATTCTGAAAAAGATGCGCATTCCCTCCATGTGCCTCACGAGTAAAATGAAGCAGTTTCGCCGCGAGGAGGTCTTTCTCACCTTCTGCCGGTGTAAGGCGGCGGTGCTCTTCTGCACCGATGTCGCCTCGCGTGGGCTGGACTTTCCGCTCGTGCACTGGGTCGTGCAGTACGACTGCCCGGAGAGCGCGCAGACGTACATCCACCGTGCCGGCCGCACGGCGCGTGCCGGGGCTCGCGGTGTCAGCCTGTTGTTTCTCACGCCGCGCGAGACGCCGATGCTCAGCTACCTGCACCACAAAAATGTCCCTCTGCGGGAGATCTCCATCAAGGCCGACTTCATGACGTCCAGCCAGGAAATCTTTGTCGCGTTGGTCGTGCAGGGCCTCAAGTACGAGGCGCAAAAGGCGTTTATTGCCTACCTGCGCTCCGTGTACTTTGCCTCCAATAAGAACGTGTTTGAGGTCGCCGCTATCGATGTTGAGGCGTTTGCGAAGTCGCTCGGTCTGCTGGTCGTACCGGACATGTCGGAGCTGACGAACCTGCAGCGCAGCGCGAAGAATTTGCCGTGGGATGTCGTGAACTTCATCGCAACGCGGTCGAATGACAAAGGTCACCTCACTCGCAAAGAGAAGCACCTGCAGGCCAGCGACATGTTCCGCGTGATGGAGCAGAAGCAGCGTTTTGCCAACAAGCAGGGCGCACTGAAGGGCGGTGAACCCAGTGGCGATTTCGACGGCACTGCGGCAGAGCACGATGACGACGACAACGATGGATTTCTAGTGAAGAAGGCTCCCACGACGCTCTCGTCGAGCTCCGCGGCGGGCAAAGCCAGCACCAGTGGTGCAGCCGACCATTGGAGCAGCAGCGGAACTACCAAGGACTCGATGCACCTTACTGTGGACGAGCGTCTTGCTGGGTTGTCGAAGAACAAGCGGCGAAAGCTGATTGAGAATCCTGACCTGCGGGTCCGCGACCTTGGCCTGAATGAGCACATCTTCTTCAAGGATGAGGATGAGGATGATGGGGATGGAGAGACGGCGGCCCGCGCATCCACGAGGGCGGGCAGGGAAACTGCCAAGTCCGACAGTGACGCAGAGGACGAGGACATGACCCGAGTGACAAATCTCATGCGGGGTGCCGTTGTGCACCGCGAAGACGAAACCGATGAAGAGGACGGGGCGGACTTCACCAGCAAGCTGCAGCACCGCATGCAGGCCATCAAGCCGGACGACTTGGAGCGGGCGAAGAAGATGCGCCGCCTGCGTCGCCTGCAACGGCAGGGCCGCGTCTCGCGCAAGTCGACGATCGATGAAAGCGGTGTGACGACCGAAAGCGGTGGACCACGACCGGCGAGGTTGGACGACGACTACAACGTTGAGGACAGCGACGATGACGCCTCGAGTACTGGCTCCCTTAGTCGTCTGCTGAAAGATTCCCGTGCCGGCGCGGACGATGACAGCGATGCTCTGAATGCCTTTGCTGCGGCGGAGGACGAGGAAGACGAGGCGGAGTTTGACTCGTCGAACGCGACGCGCAAGCGTAACAGCGGCAAGCGCACCTACCACGGCATTGACAGTAGCGACGATAACAACAGCGATGTGGATGACGAGGCGACAGGGGTCGAGGTAGAAACGGTTGTGCGGCCTCCACAAAAGAAGCAGAAGCGCACCCGTTGAGTACTGCGACGACGGACGATCGTGCGGACGCGGTGAGGCCAAAACGGCCTGCTGTTCTCATTATCGCGCACGTATATGTCGCCGCGCAATTCGTGTGGTAAAAGCTCGCTTCTTTCTTGACAGTCTGCGCTGCAGCGTTTTGTGCTGTTGTTTCGCCGGCCGGGTTCGTGTTTTGTGTCTCCTGCGCGCTTCCGCCATTTTGCTCTCCCCGCCGTCTCTAAGCACAGCGTTGATTTGACAGGGAAGTTTGACAAAACGAAAAAAGGACTGCACGACAGCTGCCGCGCGAAGACCCCGATGCAACGGCAGCGCTTTTTTTATATGGTAACATGGTGCGTCCTCTATTTAAACGCGGTTAATATTCTGTTTTTACTCGCTTAAGTTTTTCTTTCTTCAAGTTATTTTTTAATTATAATCTACTAAGTACGATGAAGCAGTTTTTGTGTGTTTTTCTGTTGTTTGAAGTTCAGCCGCTAAAAGTAAAAGAGGTAATGGTAATGATAGAGGTACCACGCTCGATGCAGACCGTACTCTACGAGCAGAAGCGCTCTTTTTTTCTTTTTTCTGCTTTGCGTTGTTCGTGCAGATTCATCACTTCGCATTCGAAGCGCAGTGACAAGTTGGCCTTTTGGCAGGTGCGCGCGCTGCTTTTTGAAACTGCTTCTGTTTAACAGAACCAAAATAGTAAGAATCAATGTAACACGTTTGCAAACGTTCGGTGTGCCGTAAAGCGAATTCAGCGTTAATCAGTTTTTATACTCCTGCCTCTTCGTTGTCTCTCCCTTTTTTCTCTCTTTGAAGTCCCTTTTTCTTCCGGTTTTGCGTGCTTTTCTTCTGTGCGTTTCACGCTTCATGTTTCGCCGGACTCCGTACTGGCCAAAAGTGGCGCGCTCGTGGACCAAGGCATCTATCAGTGCCGCCTCCGCTCACTTCCCGGATGCGGTGCGTGCCGCTGACCCTGCTGCCTCCCGCAGCGGCGCCACCTCTGCGAAGGAAACCCGCAACTGGTCGTTAAACGACAAGACGGTGAAAACGGCAGCTCTGCCGAAACCACTTGCGCTGGTGGTTAAGAAAGCGAAGCTCTACGGCGAACTCGTGCGGTTTACTCGGCCTATGGGGTGGCAGCTGCTGCTCATTCCCTGCTATTGGGGCTCTGCGTTGGCCGTCACGCGGGCCATGGTGTGGGAGGGGGCGGACCCAGCTGCCTTGTTTGCACCGTTTATCCCTCTCCACCTCGCCGTGCAGTTTCTGATCGGTGCGTACCTGATGCGAAGTGCTGGCTGCATTGTCAATGATATGTGGGACCGCAAGTTTGATCGATTGGTCGAGCGAACAGCGGAGCGACCGCTGGCGTCCGGCGCCGTGTCGATGCCCGAAGCCTGGGGTGTTCTCATCTCGCATGTCGCGATGGCGGGTGTCATCGCGATGAACCTGTCGCCCGCTGCGCTGACGGCCGCCGTCGCCATCACACCTGTCTGGGTCATGTACCCCTTCATGAAGCGCATCACCTACGCCCCACAGCTTTTCTTGGGTTTGTGCTTCAACTGGGGTATTTTTGTGGGCTACGCCGCGGTGCTTGGCCGGGTCGATCTAGCGATTTGCCTGCCCATTTACTGCGGGGCGGTGCTGTGGACGATCTTGTACGACACCATCTACGCTTATCAGGACCGCCGCGACGACCTGAAGTGCGGGGTGAAGAGCACCGCCATTTGGATTGGGGATCGCAAGCACATTCTCTCGGCCGCGGTGGCACCGATCGGTGCGTGCATGCTGCTCACGGGCTTCCTCGCCTCGCAGTCTCTGCCCTACTACATTGGTATCCTGATGTGCATGTACCACCTGCACGGCATCGTCGACGACGTGAACATCTACGACAGCTGGTCGTGTGCGCAGGGCTTCAAGCGGAATGTGCGCTTGGGCCTCTACGTGCTGCTTGCGATGTGTGTCGGCAACGTGTGCTGGGCCGCCGCCTCCGAGCACGAGACGGAGCACGACAAGAAATTGGACAGTGTCCCGCAGTCGTCGCTGCTGTCGCGCTTTCTCTTCTTGGACCAACACGCGGAGCGCCGCACGTACAACACGGAGAGCTTTAACTGGGTGGATCGCGCTGTGCACCCGGCCTTTGTGCAGGCGGAGAGTGCGAAGGCCGCTGGATTGACCGAGGCGCCGCCGATCCCGTCGTGGATGCGGCGGGAGTACCTCGGCCAGAACGTGTCCACGGTTCTTACCTTCTGTGGTGTACCGGAAGAGAAGGTGGAGGCGTGGGCGGCGAAGTGGTACGAGTTGTCGGATCACTATAACATGTTCTCCAAGCTCTCCATTTAAATAATTACAGAGGAACTTTTTTAATCCTCCAACGGAAGAGGAATGAAGGAAAGGAAGAGAAACGTGGGAAAGCTGTTCAAAGGTCTTTTTGCCCTTAAGAAGAGGAGGATGTTTCTTCGCGATTACTTTTTCTTCTTTTCGACATTGCGCAGTTAAAACGGGAGGCGCCCCGTCGCACTCGTCTGCTGTGGTGCTGAGTTCGACGAAGCTGCTCTCACGAAGCAGACCTTTTAGCGTCTCGTCTTTCGGTTATATATATATATCTACACACACATGATACTCTTTCGTTTGTTTTTTTGAAGATGATAAAAACTATCGAACTGGCGGAACGTGTGTTTTGTTTTTCTTTTGCGGCAAGCGCTCAGTCCTTTGTGCCCCTGAATTGTCTTCTTCGTTACCGTCGTGATCGCGGCTGGCGGCTCTAACCTTACAATGATTCAAAACATGTTTCTTTTGGCTTCTGGGCAGTGTTCATGGGCGCAGAGTCGGTTGCGTCTCTTCCCTTTGGTTGTCCGTTTTGGTTTTCTTTTCTTTTTACTGCAGAGTTACCGATTTCTGGGCGCAGCGCTTTCAGTTACTGGAGCGGGGGCTCTTTTTCACAGTCAAGAATGCATACACTTTGCACCGGCAGTACCACCACGCAGAACGAAAAAGGGGCTCGAATGTGAAAAGTAGGAAGGAAGGACGAGCTAGATGCTTGTCTTCTCCGTGAAACGCATTCAGTTGAGGACGCTCCCTCTCACCAATGGGCATTTTCTTTGTGCTGTCATCGCACCCATGAAGGGCTTTAGCGTTAGCACCGGAACGCAAATCATTCATGGTGTCTTCATGTGCATGAAGCGATGCAGCCGTGCTCACCGGATCTTCGTATCAACCTTCTCTCCGGGATATGTGCGTCTGTTGTGTCACTTCACTTATCTTCTTGCATCTCTTACTTCTCTTCCGACGTGCACCTTCCCCCCCCCCTCCCATTCTATACCTCTCATTATGCCGCTTACGGGACGTAACGAACGGTAGAATTGCGCTTTTTCGCCTCTCTAATCGAATTATTCTGATTTGCTGTGCGTACACCGTACTCGTTGCGCGCATACCTCGCACCAACAGCTGTTCATTTGTTTATGGTAGTTTGCTCTTTATCGTTGACAAAGGGAAAAAAAGCCAAAAAAAAACATACTCAACGCCCGATTTAGCTTCTTCTCGCTGAACTCACTAGCATTGTTTCCCTGCAAGTATCATTTGTTTTTGTTTTCCTCTAACTGTTGCCGCGACAGTCCTACTGTGGTCACCATCCGCACGTTCTCCATAGCTGATTTTGCTTGCAACGAACGTATCATTCTTTGCCGCCGGTGCTTCACGCCACACCGTCCCTTTCTCCTTTAGTGACCTTACAAAAAGCTTTTCTCTTTTTTGTTGTTGTTCTCCTACACGCGACCTGCGTCACTTTATTTTTCTTCTCCTCGACAATAGTTATTCTTTATCCCAACTATTGTGCTTCTCCTCCTTATGTCTGCTCCGCCGTTTATTGCCGTTGTATCCGACATGGACGGCACGTTTCTGTCGCCGCATCACACCGTGTCGAAGCGCACGCGTGACGTCGTCGAGTTCATGCAAAAGGAACAGGGCATTCCCTTCCTCTTCGCCACCGGTCGCCACCACGTTGACGTTCTGGCCACCGTACGCAAAATTCATCTCGAAGGCTACGTGCTGACCAGCAACGGCGCTCGTGCACACGACCCGGCAGGGAAGGTGGTGATGAGGCAGGACATGGACCCTGCGCTGGCGCGAGAGCTTGCGTGCTTTGCGGTGGACAACAAAGACATCACGACGAGCATCTACCAAGAAGATGCGTGGCGCATGAACCGGGACACGGAGGACATGAAGGAGTACTACGAGGACAACAAGGATGTGTTTTTCCCGGTGATGTTCGACCCTCCCACACACGAGAGCTACGCCGGGGTGTACAAGGTCTACTACACCTCCGACCGCCACGAGACAGCGAAGCTGGGGGAGCTGGAGATGAAGCTGAAGGAGACGTTTGGCTCGCGCGTCTACATCGCCTACTCCGTTCCTCGCTGTATGGAGGTGATGCCAGCCGGTGTGAACAAAGCCTCCGGACTCAGTCTCTTGCTGAAGCAATATATTTTCCCAAGCGACCCACGCAGCGGAGCGGAGCTGCTGAAGGCCTGCATCGCCTTCGGCGACGGCGAGAACGACGCGCCGATGCTGATGGCAGCTGGTCACGGCTGCGTCATGTCGAACGCACAGACTCGCCTGTTGGATCTTATCCCGCTTGGCGCGGACCCGCATCTGGAGAAGATCGGCTCCAACGCCGAGGACGCGGTGGCACAGAAGCTCATTGAGGTGTTCCACTTGGATATGTAGGTTCTGTGTCGTCCGCGGCTGCTTTTGTACGATCATAATTCTATACGAAAGATACGAATGTACTCGATCCACATCAAAACGTACGTGAATTGTGGCATTTCTTGGACAAACAGGAGTGCTCCTTCTCACCTCTCTCTTCAGCTGTTGTTGTTTGCTATGGCACGTTGTGTACTGTCAGCGCGAGCTTCCAGTGCTGTTACCTTTAAGTAAGCAGCTTTTCAAAATTCAAAACTTGTGCGAACTCTCTCAGGAGCGGAGAGCGATGGGAAGATGATGCGATGACGCTCTTTTCAACGTCTCCGCTCCTTCCAGCTGCCTTGGGTATCACCGGGCTTTTTGGTGTTTTCTGTGTTTTCATACTTTTTCTCCCCCCGCTCTTTTTCTTTGCAGACCTCCCTTTGCTTTTCTGGGGAGTGTAATGCTCGTAAGGCTCGTCGCCTCTCCTCGTTCATGTCTTGTCAATCAAGTCTGTGTAAAGTTTTTTTCTTCCGCCGTAACTTTGCGCCACCCGAGCGCCGCATGTGCTCAAGCCAATTAATTGAAGTTCGAATACGGTGTTTCGGCTGAGTATAGCAGCGAACCCAAGTTGTCATCCAACGGAGTATTTCTGTTGGCTAACTGTGCGTGGAGGCGATGCTACCCACGAACTTGCAACGCACTACGTACCGTGGTCCGGTGTGCTGTTCGTGTTTTCACCCCTCTCGCGCGATCCCACGCCCGCTTCTTCTCCTTTTTTGTTGGACCGCAACTACAAAGCCACAGGTTCTCTTTTTGTGTTTCTTCTGCATACAGGCACGCCCCCTCAAAAGGGAAAAACATAGAAGCTTCTTAATGTCCTCTCACTGCATACGCACTGCTGTCGCATAAAGCTGTAGGGCGTGCGCATTTTTGTCTACCTCTCCTGTGGCTTCTCAGCTCCAAAAACATATTCCCTCAAACGGACGGCTTCATTCGGTCGGAAGAGCGGGTTGTTGTTTTTTAGCTCCGCCCGTCTTGAGCGTCGTTTGTGATACGAAGCATTGCGATGTTCTGCTCCGCGTGGCTACGCGCCGCCGCAACAGCTACAGCGGGTGTTGCTGACGCCGCGGCGAACTTCCGCTTTGTCGCGTCCGACATGGACGGCACGATTCTCACGCCGCAGCACACCCTCAGCGAGTTCGCCACCGAGACGCTGCGCCGGCTGACGCAGGATCGTCACGTCCCCTTCGTCTTCGCCACTGGCCGCTTCTACGCGGATGTGGCGGCGATCAACAAAGACATGCAGCGCTTTTTCTACGAGCGTCGCCAGGCCCTGCCGCCTGTCGCTGGCGCGACGTGGGAGGGGACGCCGACCTACATCATCACTTCCAATGGGGCGGTGGTGCACAACGCAGAGACGGGCGAGGTGGTGCTGAAGCGTATGATTGACCCAGCACTTGCACACGAGATCTACCACCTGCTGCCCTCCAGCGAGACACGCATCAACACCGGGATGATTCACGGCGACGCCTGGTGGTATCGCATGGACTGGGAAGAAATGCTGCAGTTTCACAAGCAGTCCGGGTGCCGCTACAAGGTAGTCCCGCGCCTGACTTGGGACGTGACGAGAGGTGTGGACCACGTCTACAAGCTCTTCTTCTCCAGTTGGGACCGTCCCTTGCTGGACAAGTTGGAGCAGCTGCTGCAGGAGCGCTACGGCAAGTTGCTCACGGTGACGTTTTCGTCATCGTACAGTGTGGATATTATGGCGAAGGATGTCACGAAGGCTTCTGCACTGCGACACCTCTTTCAGCGGATGGAACCTCTCCCGAAGGAATCGCCGCAGGAAGCCAGCGAAGCAGCGCGACTGAAGGCTACGATTGCCTTTGGCGACGACCTCAATGATGCGGCCATGCTGACGGAGGTCGGACGCGGCTTTGTGATGGGCAATTGCAACCCGCAGCTGAAGGTGCGCTGTCCGCAGTTAGAGGTCATCCAGACCAACAGCGAGGACGCTGTCACGAAGAAGATCCGCGAAGTCTTCCAACTCGATTGAGTGAATTGAGATGTTTCCTTTGTATTGTAATGCAGTACCTTTTTTTTTTACGATTATTTTGCTGCGCGAGCCTGCGCATTTGTGGCTGTTTGGGGTTGATTGCAGAGGTTTTTGTCGCGATGCATGCGGTGCTGCCGTTCATGCACACGCACAACACACCAAATGCGCACGCTAACTTTTCATATCGGTAGACTTTGCAACGCTTCAATAGTTGTAAAGCTCTTCCGGTGTCGGTGCAAACAGTGACTTCCTATAACAGCGGACACACGGGTATGCTCTTGCTGGAGACGTCCGTTGTGTAGCTCTCTCGCTCTCTCGCTCGTGTGTGCGCTACCGTGTGTGTGATCCTTCGCTGTTGAAACTCCCAGCTTGGATGCTTTCACCCCCTCCCCCCGGTCTTTCCCGCACTGGTGTCGCTGCGACTTTGATTTCTGCAACGGTGATTTATCTCTTCCCTTTTTTCTTTTGAAGAGAAACGATCTGTTCAAAGTCATCTCTGCGTGGGGAAGCGTTCAAGACGAGAGCCATACATTATAAAAACTTATCCGCAAAAGAGGGAAGGTGAAAGTCCCACCGCTGGTTTAGAGGCAGCCTTCTTTGTTTTGTTGTTTCGCAGTGACTTACCGCTGGCGTTCCAAGGAGTACGATATATATAGATACTGACTTCTCCACAGAAACAATGTCGGCTGCGTTCCGCTACGTTGTGTCCGACATGGATGGGACGCTTTTTTCGCCCGACCACGTCATCAGCGACTACACCCGCGATACCCTTAAAGCCCTCGTGCACAAGCACGGCGTCACGCTTATCTTGGCTACCGGTCGCCACTACGCCGATGTGAAAGTTATCGCCGACAACCTGAAGCAGTACATTTGGGGAGACGACAACGCCACTGGCAGGGCACCATCGCCCGCCAACCCGTCTCGGGCACCCATGATGTACCTCCTCACGTCGAACGGCGCCATCGCACACAACGCCGTCACGCACGAGCTGGTCTTCCAGACCTGTGTGGATCCCCTTTTTGTTGAAAAGCTCTATCATCATCTGCCGGACAGCGAAGAGGTGGTGAACACGAACGTGTACCAGCAAGAGGATTGGATCTGCCGCATCGACTGGCCGTGGACGTTACAGATCTACAAGGAAAGTGGTATTAGCTACAGGTGCGTACCGAATGCGCCGCCGCGGTCTGCGGAGCCGGTGCCGAGCACGGCGCCAAGCGGGTGGAACCGCGGCGTGGCCGTGGGCAACTACGACGACATCTCGAAGGTGTTCTTTTTGAGTTACGACACCGACCGTTTGCAGTCGCTAGTGTCGGACGTGGAGGCAATTGCAAAGTCCTGCGGAGGCACTCCCTTCTCCTTGACCTTCTCCTCCTTCATGTGCTTAGACATCATGGCAGAGGGCGTGTGCAAGGGTCAGGCGCTTCGCAAACTGCTTGAGATCGCTGTGTCGCCGAAGGAAGGGAGAGACGTGGTGGCAGAAGCGTTGGAGGCTTCGATTGCGTTTGGCGATGGGCTGAACGATGCAGAAATGCTGACGGAGGTGGGCAAGGGCTGTGTGATGGGTAACGCCACACCGAAGCTAATGGAGCAGCATCCGGAGCTGGAGGTAGTGCTGCCGAACAGTGAAAACGGTGTAGCGGAGAAGCTGCGCACCGTGTTTGGCATTCCTGCTAGCTAATCACTTAAACGGAAAGAAGCGTAGAATCAAAAGCACTCAATGCATATTTTGTTGATGTGCCTTTTCCTGCTGCCTCTCTTTGCTTTTTATTTCCGCCGAAGGCGCTGTTTTCTTTTTTTCTTTTTTTTCTTCTTCGTTCACAACTCATTTTTCGCACTTCACATGGCGTAGGTGACGCGGATGGGTGGACGCTTCACCACCCACACAGCTGACAGTCGAATTTGGTGCATCGTAGGAGGGCACGATTACTATTATTATTATTATTATTATTCATTATTGTTGCTGCATTTGCCTTGACGCAATTCCACAGCAAGACGAGAAAAAGGGCGTGGTGTTGATGCAGCTGCTTAAAAAAAAAAAAGGAATAAACATCTGATGAAGACTGTGTGTGTATGTGAGACGCTTGAGTCCTGTTTTCTATTCTGCCACGGGGTCAGGAATCCTTTCGCTGCCACGCCTTCCATGCTCTTCAACTACGACCGAAAAGAAGCAGTCTTATTTCTGCGCTATCTTTTTGTTGTTTCTCTTCATTCATTCCTTTCTCGTTCTCTGCCGCTTCTTAACATCTTGCAGCATCCGCTCAAACGAACGATTTATCACAGGGACCATTCATTCAGCTGATCTTCAGTGCAGCGGAAGTAAAACAATTATTTGAGGTCTTCTTTTGCTGCTCTCGTCCTTGAAGAAAAATCTCAAGAAACAATACGAAGCACATTGCTAACGTTGATCGTTCATTCACTTTTTTACTTTTCATGAACATGAGTTGCGCGATCAGTTAGTGACGATCATACAACCCCCACCGAAAACTGACAATTCTATTTCCCTCTCCCAAAAAAAAAAAAACACAAAAATGACAACCTCAGTCCGGTACGTCATCGCCGACATGGACGGGACGCTCCTGTCGCCCGACCACGTCATCAGCGACTACACCCGCGATACCCTTAAAGCCCTCGTGCACAAGCACGGCGTCACGCTCATTCTGGCTACGGGCCGCAACGCGGCGGACATCAAAATCGTCTCCAACAATCTGCGAAAATACATTTGGGGAGAAGACATCACTTTGGACCGTCCTTCATCGCCCGCCAGCCCGTCTCGGGCACCCATGATGTACCTCCTCACGTCCAACGGCGCCATCGCACACAACGCCGTCACGCACGAGCTGGTCTTCCAGACCTGTGTGGACCCCGCCATCGCGGAGAAGCTCTACCGACTCTTGCCGGACAGCGAAGAGGTGGTGAATACGAACGTGTACCAGCAAGAGGACTGGATCTGCCGCATCGACTGGCCGGAGATGCTGACGGTGCACAAGGAAAGCGGGATTCAATTTATCCACGTGCCAAATGCGCCGCCGCGGTCTGCGGAGCCGGTGCCGAGCATGGCGCCAAGCGGGTGGAACCGCGGCGTGGCCGTGGGCAACTACGACAACATCTCGAAGGTATTCTTCATCACCGATGACGAGGCACGTCTTCCTTCATTGGCGGAAGAGGTGCAGAAGATTGCGGTGTCGTGCGGCGGCAACCCCGTCTCGCTCACCTTCTCGGCATCCGACTGCATGGACATCATGGCAGAGGGCGTGTGCAAGGGTCAGGCGCTTCGCAAACTATTCAGCGTGCTTTTGTCGCCGAAGGAAGGGAGAGACGTGGTGGCGGAAGCGTTGGAGGCGTCGATTGCGTTTGGCGATGGGCTGAACGACGCAGAAATGCTGACGGAGGTGGGCAAGGGCTGTGTCATGGGCAACGCGAGTCCGAAACTCAAGGCGCTGCATCCGGAACTGGAGGTGGTGTTGCGGAACGGCGAGGATGGTGTGGCAAAGAAACTGCGCAGTGTGTTTGGCATTCCCCTGTAGCCGAAATGCAAGTGCAAACGTCGAAGAGCACAGAGGGAAGAAATGCCAAAAATGAAACGGTGGAGCAACTGAGATGTGGTGGAGACCTCGCCACAATCGTACCTCGCGCAACCGGTAAACAAGTATCGTAGTTCCTACAATCCGGAGATGCAGCGATGAAGCACGAATGGAATACAAATAAAAGAAATGCGTCGTAAAACTTCAACCAAGGAAACGTCTTGCGCCTCAAACGGCCGAGAAGTCGCCGTTGAGCGCTGCAGGTTTGTTTTGATTCTTTTTATGAGTCTATTTGCCTTTTCATTGTGTGTTATTTGGGGTTGGAAGGCATGAATTGATTGCCAGCGTCGCATCGGCAAGAAGAACGCTTTCCGTTTGAAAAAGGAAGAGAGGCTTGAGGAAACGTGTGAAGGGAGGAAAACACCTATCATCCATACGGTATTGTGTTGCTTGTTTGGCTTTGTTCTCTGCGCTGTGGACGCTGTGTGCTGGTGTAGGGAAGAAAGGCGGGGGGGGGGGGGAGGGCGAGGACGTGCGCCAAGATACGCTGGCTTTTTTAAAGTGAACAAGAAAACAGCAATAACAGTGCGAGACGTACTGACGCGAACGGATGCGTTCTCGAAACTTTACCGTGAGGACTCGTCTTATTATTTTTTTTCAAACCAGTTTACCTGTGCTGCATCATGTAGAGTCCCCACAACCTTTTTTTTCCCCTCGGAACTTTTCTCTTCTCATTTGATTAACAGGAAAAGAAAACATTCTTGCTCTTTAATATCGTTTCCGTTCACTTCGCTCAGCGCCAAAACCGAAACTCTATAACGACTACAATCAAAGAAGTATCGTAGGTGGTGTTAATGCTACTCAACGTTGGCGACCGTAGGTAACAGTTGTGTTCACTCACGTTGCTGCATGCCCAGGTCTGGCTTGCTTCTTCGTCTGCTCGCCTATGCTCCATTGTGCGCGTTGACTTTACGTTTTGCTGTTATTATTATTGTCATTATTATTATTCTCTCCGTTTTACTTCCGCCTTCTTCCTTCTCTGTTTTCCGATCTCCTCTTTCCGGCTCTGTGAGGATATCAGTAGTTGTATTTTATCTACAAGCTGCAGCCGTACAGAAGTAGGGCGTAAATGCCGTTGTGCAACCTCTCACGAAGAGAAACGAACCCTCCCCCTCCCCCCCCCACCACACACACAAAGTCCCATTCATGAGAGCTGTGCAACCCGCTGGACCTCTTCTTTAAAAATCTGTTTTCTCTTCCTCCCCCTCCCCCCTTTCCCTATCGATCCCCATGTCAATTCGTATCGTTTTCGCCGACCTGGACGGCACGCTGCTCGACACGCATCGCGTTGTTTCCGCTTTCACTCGCGATGTGCTGCGCCGCCTCCACACGGAGCGCCCATGCGTGAAATTTGTCGTAGCGACGGGGCGGCCCTACCAAGACGTGATGGAGTCCATGAAGCTGCTGCAGCTCCACCCCGATTACATCATCTCCAACAACGGAGCGGTCGTCCATCAAGGTGAGACGGACAAACGCGTCTGCCAGCACACGTTAAGGGCAGACGTGGTGCGGCGAGTCCTTGCCCTTCCGCTGCCCAGCGAACCGGTGCACGACCCCTCCTCCATGGCAGAGGCAACAGGAAGTCCGCCGGTGGCCCCAGTCGTGGCGGCAAACCTTTTCCGTGAGCAGGACTGGGTGTCCACCTGCAAAGTGACGGGCATGGGCCGCACCTATCGGCCGAATTTCCAGCCTCGCGTTGTCGCTGACCTTCCCCTGGCGAACGAGTATCATGAGCAGGTGTACAGCTTGTTTTTCTACGGTCCGCATGAGCATCTGCTGCCGATTGAACGAGCGCTGCGGCGCGACTTTGCAGAGGACGTGACCTTCTCCTTTTCGTTGCCGTACATTCTCGACGTGGCGCCGCGCGCCGTGGACAAGGCCACCGCGCTGCGGGACGTGCTCAAGCTGCTGCAGCTTTCCCCGGAGGATGCAGCGGCCTTCGGCGATGGAATGAACGACCTCCCCATGCTCACCGCCGTCGGGCACGGCTACGTGATGGCGAACTCGCTCCCTGAGCTCTTTGCGGCCGCCCCACACCTGGAAGTGATTGGATCGAACGCCGACGACGGCGTAGCCAAGAAGCTGCTCGCGCTGTTCTTTCCCTGAAAAACGAAGCAGTACTCATGGGAAGAGGCGGTCGCTACCTGCACAGCTCTGGCAGAGGAAGCAAGTATCTACGAAAACGAAAGCGCGTATCTTGTGGTCGACTCTTTCCGTGATGCTGAAGCAATCCGTCGTCTTGCCAAACACACAAACAAAAATGCCTACCAAATCGTGACCTCCACTTCACCGAGTCGCTTTCTTTAAAATACAGAGAATTCCACAGCCCCTGAAGTGCTAGCTTCTGCTTTCTGGAATCCAACTGAATGCGGCCGTAAGACAATTTCGTCTTTCCATCCAAATTGTCTCCCTCCCTCCCTTCCTTCCCCCTCTTCGTTCATGTCGCAACGGGTTCTGCGTTTCTGTTGGAAAAGGCCTTCGTGATCATCCGCGACGTCACAAACGGAGAAGAAAAGAAATAGACCGCTGCACGCTTCAAAAAAGGGAAAAAGAAACACACGCGCTTTCCTATTTCTAACTGCTTACAGGTGTATCTGTGACAGCCATCCCGCTCTTGAACTGTTCTCACCAAACTTTAGCGTGAAGTAGCCTTCTGCCTACCTACACAGACCTCCTTCGATCTCCGCGCAGATGCTGCAGAAAATCAAGGCTGTCTTTACCGATCTCGATGGCACGCTCTACAATTCCGAGCACACACTCTCAGCGCGCACGGTGAAAGCGATCGCCGCACTGAAGGAGCGTGGTATTCCTTTCATTGTGGCCACCGGCCGTCCGTTTCCGGACGTCTTTGCCAACCTGGAAACTACCGGTCTAAAGCCGGACTTCATTATCACCAGCAACGGCTCCCGCGTGCACGATGCGAACCACGAGCTTGTCTTTGCCTGTGATTTGAACCCCGAGAGTGTCTGCCGTATTTTTCAGTTGCCGGCGGAGCTGGACGATGACGGCGTCGTGAACCCCATCTCCCCAACGCGCTGCATTCAGTACAATTTGAACTGTGGCGCACGTTGGCTGACAAATGAGCGCCGTGACGAAATTCGTGCGATGTTCCACCCCTCGCTGAACTATGAGGAGGTGGACCGCATGGCGCAGACGCCCGAGACGATCAAGGGCACTCACAGCATGTACGGCTGGGGCAAACATGAAGATCTTCTGTGCGTTCAGAGGTACATCCAGCGCGAACTCCCGGATGTGTCCTCGGCGTTTCCGCTCCCGCACATCCTTGACTGCTTCCCCAGCGGCAATCACAAAGGTGTTGCCATGCGAAAGGTATGTGAGCAGCTTGGAATTACGCCACGCGAGACCATCGCGTTTGGGGACGGGATGAACGATGTGCAAATGCTCTCGGAAGCGGGTCAGGGCTTCGTCATGGCCAACGCGGCTCCGATGGTGCGGGAAGCGACCAAAGGCCTGCCGGTGATCGGCAGCAACCGCGAAGACGCAGTGGCCGCTAAGATTGAAGAGTTGTTGGAGGCGGATGCATTCGCAGGCTAAACGCACACCCTCAAAGCTATAACCCCCAAAGTAGGCTCTCAAACCGACTCCTTTGCATACGGGATAATTTGGTCCAAGGGACCATCAAATTGCTTTCTTTCCTTTCCTTTTTATTGTTTTAGATAGCAACAGTCTTTATATATATATTGAGCTTGTCTTTTGTGGGCGACGATACACACACACGTACGTACATCTCTCTCTTTCTCAGCACATGTGTGTTTTACATTCGACTTTTGATTTCGTACCTTCTTTTCCCCCGAATCCGTATCAACGTTTTCATTGAAAGATGCGCCTTTCTTCTTTTTGTTTTTCGTCTTTCAATGCTTTGCCTACAGAAGCTATTGTGCGAGTCCGCACTGCCTTATACTCCTGACGGCAGGAAATGTATTCTTTGTTGTCGGCATGCAAGTGTCAACACGCACATCGACACACTAAAGCACTAGCAGGTGTACGCTGCGTTGTTAGTCGATTGCGGTTAAAGCGGTCTAATCTCATGTACTAAGTAATACTTACTAAATCCGATACAACGCAGGTTCGTCATCGAAGAAGCTGATGCGAACTCTCCCTCTCTCGTATTTTAACGTTGACGACGCGGTCGAATGACTAAAGTGACCAGCTACACACACTTCAAAAAACTAGGAAAAGAACAACAGTAGCGACATCGCTTCATTTCCGAAAGGTGGAGACCGCAGAGTGCCTTTTCAGTCGATTTTGACTTTTGCCGGTCGTTCCAATCAAGTTAAAGAATAAAGAGAAAAGCAGCGGCCGCGGTATCGCGAGTGGTGCAAAACCAATATTGATGCTCTGGAAACGATGCGAACGTTTGAATCCTTTATTTCGATTTTCTGCTTTTCCTCCTCTTGCGGACAACTTCTGATGTGTTTTGCTCTTCATATTTTGCTAGTCACGGTAACACTCCTACGTTAGTTTCGAAAAAAACAAAACAGGGGCTACCTTCTCCCCAACGCACCCGCACCACGTTCGTTTTCCACAATGACTATCAAGGCAGTCTTTGTCGACATGGATGGCACCCTCTTCGACAAAAGGCACCGTATAAGCCCCCGTTCCGTTGAGGCGATTCGTGCACTCAAGGCGAAAGGTGCGTTTTTTATCGTCGCCACCGGCCGACCGTTTCCTGACGTTTTCGGCACCCTCGGCAACGCGAACCTTCACCCCGACTTCATCGTCACCAGCAACGGTTCTCGCGTGCACGACGCGCAGCACGAAACGGTCTTCCAGTGCGATTTGGACGCAGAAGCGGTGTGCCGCATCTTTCAGCTGTCCCCGCACCTTACGGCGGAGGGCGTGGTGGACCCCGCTGCCCCAAAGCGGCAAATTTACTACAACGTCAACTGCAAAGATCGCTGGTTGACAAACGAGTGCCTCTCCTCCGTGCGAGCGGCGTTCCACCCGTCGTACTTGTACGAGCAGGTGGACCCCATGGCGTTCACGCCAGCGTCGCTGCAAGGCACCCATGGCATATGGGTCAGCGGAGCGCATGAGGATCTGAACTGCGTGAGGAAGTTTATCGAGCGCGAGTTTGACGGTGTCGTTTCGTGCACTTTTGCGCTGCCGCACATCTTGGACATCTTCCCCGCCGGGATGAACAAGGGAGTGGCGCTGGCGCGTGTGTGTGAGAAGCTGAGTGTTTCGCCCAGCGAGGCGATCGCCTTTGGGGACGGCATGAACGACCTGCAGATGCTGCGGGCCGCCGGCCACGGTTTCGTAATGGCGAACGCGGCACCGATGGTGAAGGAGGCGGCGACGGGCTTGCCTGTAATTGACTCCAATGATAATGATGGCGTCGCGAAGAAAATTGAGGAGCTCCTTGCTGCCGGAGCCTTTCAGTAGAGAAGGGGGCGTCCCCTCGGTTGTGCTTTCGTCTTCTCGCATAACGTACTGTAACGTGGTATCTGCAATTATCCTCTCCATTCTTACGTACGAGTATACGTGTATTTGTGCAGTGTACACAGCTTTCTTTCCCCATCTTTTTGTTGCTGAGTTTACAGGTCATAGTGTGATTTCTCTTGTAACAGAAATGTACGCTCGTCGTTCTCGACGATGAAAACCGAAGAGAAGGATCAAAAATGCTGTGCTGGTGCTTTCACTCCTCCCCCCGCTTTTCTTTCCCCCAAAAAGAAATAGTCCTCTCCCCACCAAAGGCCCCGCTTGCCCTTTTACAAACAACGCCTTTTAGCTTAAGCTATGCCGATTTATTCAGCGGTGCTCATGTCACGAAAGCGGATGGAAGAAGCGTCACGTATGACGTAGCTCTTTTTTTTCTCCTTTTTGATGCTGCACTCGACCATTAACGACTTTGTGCTTCTCTTTATCGGCTTGTCTCTACGCCGGCTCAGCCGCCTTTCACATGAACAGTATTGGTCTTATTACATTCCCTTTTTGCCCCCTATCTGTCTGCTCCCTAGACGCAGGCTTCCCTTTACAAATTGCCGACAACGCTCCAGGAAAAGGAATCGTTTACCACTCATCTCTAAAGAAGCCATTTATTCTTTTTTTTGTGCGCTTCGATTAAGGTCAGTGTTGGTCCAATCTGTGCTCCGCTTACAAGCGTCTTTACCGCGTGTTTTCACCCTGCCTTTTTGGGGGTTTAGGTGTGTGTCTGCTCGTGCTGCGGGCTACATTTGCAGACATGCCCATCAAAGCAGTCTTCACAGACATGGATGGCACGCTGCTGAACCCCAACCATCGAATCAGCGGCTACACCGCGAACATTCTCCGGGGCCTGAAGGACAAAGGCATCCATTTGATCGTCACGACCGGGCGGCCCTACGCAGACGTGTTCGCCACGATCAGCAAGTGCCGGCTCGAGCCGGATTTCATCATCACCAGCAACGGAGGGCGCATTCACGATGGGAGCCTTAACGTTGTGAGGGAGTGTAATATTCGCCCAGAGCTCGTCGCGAAGATTGCGCAACTGCGCGGGGTGTGGAACGAAAAGACCGGCGCAGTGGAGAAGAAGTTCGCCACGAACATCTACCGCGAAGCGGAGTGGCTGACCGACAAGTACGTCCCGCAGGCGAAGGCAGCGTTTAACGATGAATTTCCTTGCAATGCTCTCGGAGAGAAGTTCTACGAGTTGCAGGCGCAGGATTTAAAGGGCGTGCACGAGGCGTGGTTTCTCGGCCACCACCACGACCTCGAACCCCTCTACACGTACCTGAAGACGACCTTCAGCGGTGAGCTTTGCTGCACCTACTCGTTGCCCTACCTCATAGATTGTGTGCCGGTCGGTGTAACCAAAGGCAACAGTATACGAGAGGTGGCCGAAATGTTAAATGTCCAACTGGAAGACGTGGCATGCTTCGGTGATGGTATGAACGACGAATCGATGCTGCAGATCGCTGGCAAGGCGTACATCATGGAAAACGGTCAGCAAGGCTTAAAGGATGCGGTTCCCCACGCCGAGGTGATCGACTCTAACGCAAACGACGGTGTCGCCAGGAAGCTGGAGGAGCTCTTCTTCTCCAACTGAAGCGTAGCTGTTTTGCACGTAGTGTGCATTTGCTTCTTTTTTGTTTGTTTTCTGCCACACAACCATCCGAGATGGAGCAAACAATTAAAAAGCATTCCTAATTTAAAAAAAAAAGGGAGAAAAACATTACCCACAAAGTAGACGACTGCTCACGTGATCGGACGGGGCCGTGCGCGGTACTGGAGGCTCCCAACACTGTGTTGAATCATCAAATGGGAAAAACGCTTCCGCGTTGCTTGCTCCTCTTTTTTCTGTTGTTTTTGTTTTACTTGCTTTCAAAAAGTTGACGGTTTTCTTTCTTTTTTTCTCTCTCTCGCTGTCTTACGTATTAACTCTCGTCTGTTGTACGCTTCTTGCACAAATGTCTTCACACCAACAACAAAAAAAGAAAAACGTTTTTTTTCTTTCTCCTCTTTCCTTCTCTTTATTATGTCTCCTCGGCTGACCGCGTTGTGTTCGAGCACGATCGCATTGCGGTTATGAACTTCTCCCAGTTTTGGGTTTTTTCTTTGGTGTTTGCCTCTTAACGTTTGTTTTTCCACCTTTTTTTGATGAGTCGCTTCGTGCACGTTTTGTTTTTTCTTCTGAAGCGACATGATGCTGTCGCAGCGCGTCGATTCGCAAAGATAACTGAAAAAGAAGAATAATAATTAATAAGAGCGGTGCCACCCGAGGGCTTCTGAAAGTTGTTACTCACACTCACCCATGAAAGGGCAGGCGCCAGGCCGGAGGGGTGAAGGTGCTCCCCATTTATGTTTTCTTACACATGGCTGCGTATCCAATGCCTCCCGGCTTTGGGTCTCACCTACCGAGCGTTGTTTCGGTCTACTGGCAGATGCTTATATTTGCAACAGGACTTCTTCACTCTTCTGACCTCTCGATTCTTCCCAAAACACACCTCAATTAAAGAGGCACACGCGCGCGCCTCGGATCGTCTTGTGCTGAGGGTGTTCTCTTGACGACGCTCAGCTTTACTGCCGTACAGCCGGTGATGTGCGTCTCGCCGCGCCAGCGGTCTTTCTCCACAGATTTTACTATCCTACTCTCCGTGCAGTATTCTCCGGAGTCATGTCCATCAAAGCAGTCGTCACGGACATGGACGGCACGCTGCTGAACCCGGCGCACCAAATCAGCGACTACACCGCCAGTGTTCTAAAGCGGCTGAAAGAGCGGGGCATTCATTTTATCGTTGCCACGGGCCGCCCCTACGGGGAGGTGATCCAGACGATTCGCAAGTGCCAGCTGGAGCCGGATTTCATCCTCACCAGCAACGGAGGCTGGCTCCACGATGGCGGGTTCAACGTGGTGCTGGAACACAACATCCCTTCCAATCTCGCACAGAAACTTGTGCTCCTGCACACCCTCCCGCACCCGGAAGGCGGCAACGCGGCAGCAAAGACATTTGTGACGAATGTGTACCGCAACACGGAGTGGCTGACGGACCGGGATGTGCCGGAGATCAGCGGAGGCCTGCATAAGAACCTTCCGTGCACCGTTCTCGGAGAGGACCTGTACGCCTTGCCGACGGAGGAACTGCAGGGAGTGCATCAGATTTGGTACTACGGCGAAACGGAAGAGTTACGTGCGGTGAGCACCCAACTCAGCGCGACCTTTGGAACTGATCTCTGCTGGACCTTCTCTGCGCCGATGATGATCGACTGTGGTCCTGTCGGGGTGACGAAGGGCAACGGCGTTCGTGAGGTCGCCGAGATCTTGAAGCTGCGCCTCGAGGATGTCGCGTGCTTTGGCGACGCGCTAAACGACGAGTCGATGCTGCAGATTGCCGGCAAGGCGTACATCATGGAGAACGGCCAGCAGGAGCTGAAGGACGTGATCGCCCATGGCGAGGTGATCGGCTCTAACGCAAATGACGGTGTGGCCAGGAAGCTGGAGCAGCTCTTCTTCTCGTCTTAAACGTAAAAAGACGCAATCCACGTCTGGTATTCTTTCTCTCTCTCTCTCTCTCTTTTGGTGCGTGGGGACGCAGTGCGTTGACCCGCAGTAGATTTGCTGGGTGCTACGGGATTGTGTCACAGGCACACTATCGCTGAAACGCAAGTATGAGTGATGTCATTCTGTTGTAGAAACAGTTACATATATATAAGAAACAGTAACGCCGCATCGTTGCGGTAGAATCTCGATGGCTTTCACATCACTTGAAGAATCGATATAATGAGTGACAGTCGTCTTTAGAAAAAAGAAAAACTGTTGTTGAAAATGCAGTGCTTGTAGCGACCGGATTGCTCCACAGCAGGTTTCATTGTGCGTAAGCCTGCCGTCTCCCTTCCCATCTTTTTTGTTCTGTTTTCTTTTCGCGTTGTGCTTCGCGGTTTCCCGCCTTCAATAATAATAATAGTAATAGTAATAACAGTGCCTGGGGTTTTTCCTCTCTTCTTCCGGATTCGTTTGGTGATCGCGTTGTCTACGGAGGCTTTCCCTTCTCGCATTCACATTCGTTCACCGTCCCCATCTTCCTCATGCACGCCAACGTTGCCAGCTACGCGGCCCACCTCGCCAACCGCAAAGCGAAGAGCGTTCACGTCCACCGAGGCGCCAATCCCTACAAGCTGGTCGCCTGCGACTTGGATGGCACGCTGCTCAACAGCGAGCACTCCGTCTCCGATTTTACCCGCACCGTCCTCTCGCAGCTGCTCGCACGCGGCGTGCACCTGATTTTCGCCACAGGTCGCCCCTTCACCGATGTCTACCGCATTAAACGGCGCCTCGACATCTTTGCCGCCGCCAAGGTGATCGCGACGCCCGGTGTGCAAGTGGTGACGCCCACCACGCAGACCCCCGTCGCCCGCATTGGCCCCGACTCCGTCGGCGACGCCAGCAGCAGCAGCAGCAGCCCCACGTATGGGACCATGGTGACCGGGGACCTGCCGTACAGGCCGGAAAGGATCGTTCCCCGATGCTTCGCCGTGACATCGAACGGCGCGTGCATCTACGATGAGGCGAACGAGCGCATTTACGAGCGCGCGATGGACCCGCGTGTGGTGCGGGAGTTGTACAACATGTTCGTCGACGATCCGCAGGTGAACGTGAACGTGTTTCGCGTCGTGGACGCGGCGGAGCGGCAGAAGCAGGGATACACGAACCCAAGTGATCAGCCCGACGACCAGGCGAGTGAGGAGTGGATCTGTCGTTACCCATCAGACCTGGAGGCGGCGCTGTACAAGGAGTCAAAATTTGTGTTTCGCGTGGTGCCGGACATCGAGAAAACCTACCCCGTGGATCACGTGAGCGAGGTGTTTTTCCTCTGCTACGACCCGCCACGCTGCGCACGGGCAGAGGCGGAGATTGTCGAGCACATGAAGGAGTTTGTGGAGAAGATCGGCGCGCCCGAGGCGGCGGTGCGCGTGGCCCCGTCCACGACGTACTGCCTGGATGTGGTGCCCGTGAACGTGAGCAAGGCATCTGCGTTAGAGCAGGTGATCAAGGACCTGCATCTCACGTGGCAGGACGTCATCGCTTTTGGCGATGGGTTGAATGACGTGGAGCTGCTGTCCTCGGTTGGCAAAGGCTGCATAATGGGAAACGCCAGCCCGCGCCTGAAAGCGAAGTTGCCCGACTTGGAAGTAATTGGTATTAACGACGAGGATGGCGTGGCGTGCAAGCTGTGCGAAGTGTTTGGCCTCGATGCTGAAAAGGGAACGTAAAAGACACGAAAACCAAAAAGCCCACACAAGACTCCTAAAGCCAAAATGCGCGTCATTTTTCCGGAGAAACAATACAACTATTCTGCACCTATTATATATTTATTTATTGCCCATTATTTGTCATCACAATCGTACGGAAAGAGAAAACAAAACTTACACGCGCTAGACGTGTATGATGTGTGAGAAACAGTGTATCGTATCGCGTCCCAGTACCTCTAAGCGAAGGTGAAGGACTGCTCTTTTTACTTTGTTTGCACATAACTACCCTTCACCATCAGCTTGTGTTGTTGCTTTCCTTCCTTTTTTATTTCGTACGCACTCCCAAGTTATTCTTTTGAGGTTGAGTTGATTTCCTGCAGATGTCAGTGTCTCATCTGTCGCCTTTACTGCGTAACCCTCTCTTTCAAACAAAGGGAAAAGGTAGAATAATACAACTGGTTGGACTCGCGCTTCTGTTGCTCGGCAGTCTCTCACGCAGTTGATTTCCCATTTTGCGTTGTTTGTTTGCGCTTTTTGCGGGATGAGGTGATCCGCTGTTTTCCACCGAATGATCCTTTTTTTATACTTTTCTACTATTGACAACAAACATATCTATCTCCTTTTCCCCTAGGTATCGACGCGTTATATGTACTGTCGCTTACCCCCAGAAAAAATAAAAGGAGCTACATTACTTAGACATACATCGTTACGGCAGGAATCCATAACAATCATAATTCGTATAGTCCTTCGATGACTCCGACATTTTCGTTTACTGGTGTGCCCATCTTGCTGTGATAGCCGCTTTGAGAACAAAAACATCATTTCTGTTGCCTTCGTTGACGCTGATCGCCGCGGTATCTTCTGTATGGTTGCTCCCCGCGCTTCAATAAATGGTGGCACTGTTAATATTCGACGTTTACGCGTAAGAATGCTCGACAGACCGCAGTGCATCGATCACGCATTGTGCCGTCATGCATTGGCTTTGTCTTTTTCAACTGCGAACTTCTCTTACTTTCTCCATGTATTGTATGAACCACTTTCCACGCGTGCGGCGCCCCGTACTTCTTCAACGCATTCACTGATCACGAAACTTGAACCCTTTTTTTTTCTACTGTTGTGGATGTGCTGGTTGTGAAATCTCTTTCGCCATTTTCAGTTGTTCCTCTATCGTCCTCAGAGACGTCTCTCGTCAAAAGCTTTAAACGACACCTTTGAAGGCTGTCAAAAGATCGTTTCCAGGTCTCTCGCACACAAACAAGGTTAAAAAAAAAATCTGGTCTTCTATTGAAGATGCTACGACGTTTTTGAGCGACTGAGGTAACACGCGACACAACTGATCATTGCGTCTTCAATGCACCTGTACTTTGAAAACGACAGCCTTGTGTTCGTTTAAACAATAGCGGTCGTAACTCGTAATTTTTCTCCCTTCTGATTCTACCACAGCAGCAGACTTTTCTTCCCTTTTCAAGCATTCGGGTTTTCTACGGTTAAGTGTATTCCTCCATCATGTCCACCACAACGCCCCCGTTTCGCATTGTGGCTTCCGACATGGACGGCACGCTGTTGGACAAGGCACACAGTATTACACCGTACACCATGGAGACGCTCTTCCAGCTCTCCGTGCGGTACGGCGTGAAGTTCATCTTCGCCACTGGGCGGCACCACTTGAGTGTGCACGCCGCACGTGAGACCCTCGCGACCTACTTTCACCAGCGCTATCAGGAGTACCATGCGAAGGCGCTGGTAGAGGTGGCAGCACACCCTAGCGCGCAAGCCGCCGTCGATGCCGCGGTGCCCGGCTTCTACCTTGTCACCTCGAACGGTGCCCGCATTCACGATCCGGACGGGCGGCTGATCGTACAGCACAACCTCGACCCCGAAGTAGTGCGGGCCCTCTACACGCAGTACGGCCTGCCTTACATCTCCCGTCACGGTCCTGCGGTCGTAAAGGGGCCCGCCCTCGGCTTCTCTTCTTCCACCCCCCAAATTGTCTCGCAATTGGCGCACAACGGCGAAGCTGGTGCGGCGGGCGTCGATGGCAGCCACGCAGAGGATCACGTCATCGTATCCGCCTACACCACCGATCAGTGGTACACCACAGCGCCTTTTATGTCGTTGGAGGAGGTAGAGAAGAAGTTTGGCGTGCGTCCGTACGTCGTGCCTTTCGATGCGGCGGACCCCGCCAACGCCGCCCGCAGCGTGTTCGACGAGTTTCCGGTAGAGGATGTGGGGAAGCTGTACTTCCGCAGCTCCGACAAACACATCCTGGACTGGATAGAGCAGAGCATCAAGCGACAGTTTGGCGATCGCGTCGCCGTGGCGCTGTCCTCTCCTTGCTGTCTGGATGTGATGACGAGTGGAGTCTCCAAAGCAAGTGCATTGAAGGAAATCGTCGACAGCGTCGATGTGCAGGCAGCACAGCGGCACGCGATGCCCCTCTACACCATGCACGACGTCATCTCCTTCGGCGACAGCATGAACGATGAGGAGATGCTGGCGGCCGCCGGAAAAGGGTGCGTGATGCGCAACGCCCAGGACCGCCTGAAGAAGGCACTGCCGCAATGCGAGGTAATTTTGTCGAACGAAGAAAACGGTGTAGCGGCGAAATTGCGTGAGGTGTTTCACATGCCGGTTGAGGTGTCGATGGGAGGGGCCGAAACGGTGTACAGCGCCGTCATGCTCCCACGGTGATGCGTCGGGATCCCTGCACACCCCTATCAAAATACTAAATCGGAGTGCCAGCATGCAATGATCTGGAAGAGTAGAAAAGCGCAGCTGTAGAAGAGAATAAACTCATTTTTACCACCCGCTTTCCGAAGCCTTACGAGACCTCGCGAGGCGAAGTGGTGATACCCTACTCGAAGTCGGATACGCAAATGGACCAGCAGCGCCTGCGAGAGAGAGCGAGTGATGGTACCCGCTCCCCTTTCTTTTTTGTCTGTTAATGCGCGACAGCATCGACTGGGGGAATAACTGAGAGAAAAAAAAATGTCTTTCCTGTCACCCTTCGTTTTTCATTCGTACTTCTCCTACGACTTTTTTTTGCTCCTTTCGCTTGTTTCCTCCTCACTTGTGTGTCGACAAAAAGGAAACCTTTTTTTTTTCAGGAGGTCGTGACTTTTCTCGTGTAATCCTCTGAGCAGGCGTATATCCACATCTATAGGTTCTGCTACTGGAATGTAAGCAATATACGCGGACGACAGGAGAGTTTCGTTTGATAGAATGAGAAGCTACGCTGCAATGACGGCCGTCTCGTACGTGCGATGGTCCGCCAAACGTGGGTTTAAAGTTAACGTAAGGGTGACTCGAGTGCGGCTTTGGCCCGCAACGGCGTCTAAACTCGCCTCCCTTTCCTTGGGCTACTTCGTCGTAGCCTCCAAAACTATGAAGAAATAACGGTGTAGTTTATGGAGTACTCGTAACCGGCAACATGCGTAAGCAGTGGTGCACAGCTGTGTTTACCGGCTTTGCTGCAGCCGAACAGGCACTAATTCGGTGAAGCGAGTGCCGGAAGTGTTATGCGGGCACTAAGGTGTGCTGACCGTCAGTGATGCCGTGCGTGCAGCTTGCGAGTCGGTGTCTCGATTGGCGACGCGTTCCTTTATGCGAAATCCCTCCTCCTCGTGCAGCTGTTTTCTCTTCCCTATATCGACGGCGACACCACGTCCGACCCCATCGCCTCCACCTTTCCAAAAACGAGTCCTCTAAAGGTCCAATAGACATAACGGTAAGCTTTTTTTCCTAGTGTGGTGGGGCACCGTACTACATTGGAAGTGTATTCATATGCCAGCGGTGTAAACCGCAGCGTTGTACTGGTGCATTCTCACGCAGGTGGTGTCCGCCGCAATGATTCCACAGTGGCTCGCAATTCTTGCGAGTCTGTTTTCGAGTCCCGCTGACGGTCGGGAAACTGCGCCGGACAGAAACGCTGGTGCCGCACCCCGTGCCGTCCCAGATGCAGAGAGGAGAGCCGCTGTGGCGGCAGCGTCTCCGGAGTCACAGCGTCTCAACTACACAGAAGCCAAAAACGAAGCGCCTTCACCGAAGCTCTTGCTGGTACCAAAGTCGCATGCTACCGCGCGGGCGAACGGCAAAGCCGCTCTTCCGTCTCCGTCATCCGCCACACAGCCGCCTGCCACCGCACAGCCGCACAGCAAAGCGCCTTCACCGAAGCTCTTGCTGGTACCAAAGTCGCATGCTACCGCGCGGGCGAGCAACAAAGCGCCTCCACCAGTTCCGTCTTCGGAGCCCAAGCCGCCCGCTACCGCACGGAAGCAGAAGGTCTACTTTCGACCGGCTGACACATTTCTGTCAAGCATTGTCTGTGGCACGGATTTGATCTCTCTGCATCATCCGAGGATCGATGACTTCATTGGCCCTCGCGGCACTCTCCCGCAGCTGCCGGCGATCCCTGACATCTTCGTGTCGAGCGCCGATGTCGGATCAGGCAGTCCAAATAGGTGCGATAACACCCATAAGGACAAGATGGACGACATCGGCATACACAGCACTGAACATGTATCAAAACTGGCCTATGTAGGTTGCTTTGCACCTCACCTCGGCGTAGAGCTGCGTTGCGAAATCACCAGAAGTTTTTTCGAACTGGTGGCTGCGAGCGGTGAGGGTGGCTTCTCGGTTGAAGAGGCAGTGCGCGAATCGGTCCGCCAGCCAAAACGGCGGCGTAAGAAACCGGGCTGTGGGCCGCAGCTTATGGAAGAGGCGTGGCGCGTGAACACACCTTTGAATCCCGAGGTATTACGTTTGTGTGTGCAGGCGAGGGTGGCGCAGCCCGTGCAACGATGGGGGTTGCAAGGGTCTACTGCGCCGAACTCGCAATACATTTCCATTGCTGCGCTGACTCGCCCCCGACCAGACTCAGAAGAAGGAATAAAGGGATGCGGTACCGTCGACCTCGTGGCCTCTCCCGTATGAGGGGAGCCTCCTTGTGGACGCGGACGTCGAGCGGGCGACGTACGAGGGCATCACATCCGTGTTGTACAAGGGCGACATCGTGGTGGTGCTTGTCCCGCTCAGTTCCTTTGCCAGCGAATGGCGTCAGCACTGCGTCACGCACACACAGAATCCTGCGTCTACTGACGATTTTGAAGCGGAGGTGCAGGAGGTGGTGAGGAAGCTGCCCGCGGAGTGGCGGAAACTTGGGTGCGTGCCGCAGCTGGCGCTCGTCGAGGGCGTCTTCTTGAGAGAGAATGTGGCAAAGTTATCGCTGTATCCGCCCATTTTGCCACGCGGCTACCACGGCATGTCTCTGCAGTCCTTCCCCCGCTCCGCCATCGCACTGGAGGGGGATACATTCTACGTGAAGAAGATGTCGCGGATTAGGGGAGCGCAGATGGAGCTGGATGCGGTGAAGGGGATCCACCAAACACGATTTGCCGACACCTTATTCGACCCGCGACGCTCGGCAGAGAGCAGCGCCGCCTATGTGCGGAGTGTGCAACATGCTTCGCCCAACGCCGTACCCGTTCTCTTTGGGAGTTACATGAACCAGTGGCAGCTGAGCGCCGTGAGGGGTGTGCTGCTCGCTGCCCACCCTCCACTGGCCGCGAGGATGGACGCGGTTCGTGTGCCGAGCATAGTGTTGGTGGAGGGACCGCCTGGCACCGGCAAGACGCAGACCATCGCCATCTCTATCCTCAACTCACTGCACAACAGCCGCTGTAGAGGAATGGGTGTCGGAAAAGTACTGGTGTGCACCCCGTCCAACTTCGCCGTAGATGAGGTACTGCTGCGTCTGCACAAGCTTCTGAGCGACACCGACAGCAACGACCTGAATGAGTTGTCGCGAGCGACGATTCAAGGGTGGGAGTTGCTTCGAATTGGTCTGAGGCACAAGGTCGATTGGGCGGTGCTACAACTCCGCCCATGCGTCTTCCTCGATGATCGAGTGTGCGCAAAAATGGAGAAAATGGGAATACCGCGCGAGAAGCAGTCACAGTACTGGCGGCTGCGGAAGAAAATAGAACGTGAACTGGTGAGAGACGCCGCTGTCGTTTTCACGACGTTGGGTTCGCTGCACCGCGTAAAGAAGATCAACCCGTGGGTCACCTTCGACGCCGTCATTGTCGATGAGGCCTCACAGTGCACGGAGCCGGCGGTGCTGCAGGCTCTGCGGGTGGCAGGTGAGCACAGCGCCGTTGTGTTGGTCGGCGACTCGAAGCAGCTGCAGCCCACCATCCTCTCCAGGGAAGCGAGTCGGTGCGGCCTGCGCCGCAGTCTGCTGATGCGCATGCTGGCCTGCGGGCACAAGTCCTTCCTGCTGCGCACGCAGTACCGCATGCACCCCGACATCTGCGCCTTCCCAAATGCGTACTTCTACGACTCGAAGCTGGAGACGCACAGCAGCGTACACCTGCGTGCTCGCGGCAGCGACAACGAAGCCCCCGGCTTGATGAGCGACGACACGGCGTCCGCAGTGGCCCCAGCGCACGATCCGGCCAACTTGACCATCGCGCAGCGCCTCGGCCGGTGTCCGCGCTTCATCGTGAGAGACATCACGCAGGGTGAAATGGAAGTGAACGAATGCCGCTCTTTGTTTAACATGAAAGAGGCGGTTGCCGTGGTGCAGTGCATGCGACAGTTGCGCATCTTTCTGCATCTCTCTGAGAGAGACATGGCGCCGCAGCTCGGCATCATCACCTTCTACAATGCACAGAAGGACCTTATTCTTTCCTTGCTGACGCCTGAGGAGCGGCAGAGTGGGCTGCAGGTTGCGTCGGTGGACAGCTTTCAGGGAAAGGAGAAGCGCATCATTCTGCTGAGCTGCGTGCGGACCGTGACGAACTCCGGCGCTGCTCTTGGGTTCCTCACACACTGGAATCGGCTGAACGTTGCGCTGACGCGCGCGCAGGACTTGTGCGTGTGCTTCTGCCAGTGCAGCTGGATCAAGCGTTTGCGCAGCGGCACGGACACCGCAAGCGTCGCTGCTGCGGCATGTGAGACGTACACGCTGACCACAATCGACAGCACGAAGGAAGAGGTGGTGCGACAGCTGGATGCACATGATCTGGATTCTGGAGCGCTGTGCTCGATGCTCGCACACGCGGAGGAGCATGACGTTGTGCGAGTGCGTCCAGTGCGGTGGTCGCCAAGTCATCTGCCTTGAGCTGCAAAGGTAGTTCACGCAAGTGTCTCTGAGCCGGTGCTGGTGTGAAGGGCTCGTGGTAGTGTACGACCACGAGTATTGTGTGTGTGTGTGTGTTTGTGTGTGTGTCGTAAGCATCAAAGCGCTAAGCAAGCTTGTATGAGCTTGACGACACGCGAGTGCGCCAGACCGTACCCACACTTTCAGATAGGCTGAACGAACAAATGAACAAGCCGCACGTGGGAAGGAGCGCTGCTAAGAGCTGCCCATTCCGTCTACGCACAACAGCGTCGCCTGCGTGTGTGCAGCGGCTCTCGTGTACTTCCTTCCTGGTGATCTTTCGTTTCAACGCTGAAACCTCCAATTCCATTCCCCCTCTCCACATCGCTTTGGTGGCGAGTGAAGGGTTTAGGTGCTTTAGAGGTCACGCAATCGTTGTTTCTCTTTCTTAAATGTTGAGAGAAAACATATCTCCGTGTCAACGGCCTTTTGCTGTTGGAACATAAAAAATCCACGCAATACCCCGGAGATTGCCTCCTGGCCGAATGAGAATTCACGCTGCAATGACGGCCGTCTCGTACGTGCGATGGTCCGCCAAACGTGGGTTTAAAGTTAACGTAAGGGTGACTCGAGTGCGGCTTTGGCCCGCAACGGCGTCTAAACTCGCCTCCCTTTCCTTGGGCTACTTCGTCGTAGCCTCCAAAACTATGAAGAAATAACGGTGTAGTTTATGGAGTACTCGTAACCGGCAACATGCGTAAGCAGTGGTGCACAGCTGTGTTTACCGGCTTTGCTGCAGCCGAACAGGCACTAATTCGGTGAAGCGAGTGCCGGAAGTGTTATGCGGGCACTAAGGTGTGCTGACCGACAGTGATGGGACGCAAGCGTGCTATGACCCTTTTTTATACTTCCGGGAACGAGAATGTGACACTGGCGCTGGCAAACGACCAGGCAAAAACAAGTGTGCCTCTCTCCTGCATGTGTCGAAGGACCGCTTCAGCAAGGAAGGTTGCTTGATCGTAGCAAGCTTTGTCAACGTCCTCATTGGTCTCTCGTAAAAGCGTCAAGTTCGTTTCTACGTGATGAAAGACATTCAGCGGATACTTTTGCAGTATCTTTTTTTTTGTTTTGCTTTTCCGCCTTCATCGCCTCCCCTGCTTTTCCCCTTCGCTCCTCTGTGGCACCCACCAACACATTACCACCACGGAGCACACAAACAAACAGAAATCCATTGCCTGCTTTAGTCTCGGAGCAATTGTTTTCTCTGCACCCCTCTTCTCCAACAGAGATACAGAGAGACCCCCAAACGCTAACGGATTTTCGCAGACAAACAAGTCTTTTACTTACATACACACCTTCTCTGCACCTCTTGTTTTTTGTTGCTGGTTTCGTGCTTCTCATCTTCGTCGTTTTCACACACACACACGCACACCACCTTCTAGCTCCTCCCTCTCTTGTATTCGTCGTTGGTTGATTATCTGGCATTTTTCTTTCTTTTCTTTTACTCCCACAAAGATGTTGCACGAAAACGGAAACTCTGTCCCTCAAGGACAGCCGCCGCATCAGCAGCAGCAGCAGCAGCAGCAGGATGTGAGGAGCGGGAGCGAGAGCTACACCGGCAGCTCCGGCTCCTACACGGAAACCGCAAGCCAGCACCACCCACCGCAGCCGCAACAGCCAGAAGCCACCGTGCCGCGGTCCGCGTCAAGGGCACACCGAAATGATCACTCCCGCGTGGTGCAGCCCACCTCCAGCCCCTCGCCTCAGCGCCAACCACCGGCGGAGCAGTTCAACGAAGGAGGGGAGGACCAGGACAGGGACAAGAAAAGCCGCAGCAAGCAGGGAAAGGGCAAAGCGCGGCACATGGTGAACGCCGCACTGAGCGCACCAGCCGCCCGCATGCGCGCTGTCTCCGCCAGTCTTGCCGGCCGCGACAGCCAACGGGTCACCATCTACGTCTTTTTCGCCGTCGCCCTCATCCACTTGCTCTTTGTGATCTTGTCCTGCACCCTTTCTCAGATCGACATCGAAGGCGGTGGCTGCTTAACCTTCTGGGGCTACAAGCAGAACTGCGACAGTGTGAGCTATACCATCCGCACGGAACTGCTGCGCAACTGCGGAAAGCTCCGCTCTTCGCTACGGGCCGGTGCGGCCTTTTCAATTCTGTCGATTCTCACCTCGACGGCTACGGTGGTCGTGGCTTGGCTGATGTGCAACCGTCTTCGCCACGCGGACAACTCCACACGCCGTCAGAGTCGATACCGTGACGTGGACGCAGGAACGCTCGGCACCAACGCCAGACAGGAGGAAGGCAATCACAGCAGCAGCAACAACAATCCGGAGCCGACCTTTAACCCAGGTCATCTAAAGCTGGCAACCATCATCATCGTCGCAATCAGCCTGGTGTTGGAGCTGATCGCTTGGGCGGTTATTGCCGGTGTCGGACCGCAGAACCACTGTGATGCGTCGTACTACATCTCGAATGCCGGCACCTACGGCGTTGGATTTGGTCTTGGTCTCACCGCGTGGATTATGGAGATCATTGTTTATGTGGTGTACATCGTGGTGGTGTAAGAACGTGAACGAGTTTGATGTCCCTTGGTGGTGATGCACCCTATTCTCGCTGTGCGCCTGACTGTTTCCTAGCAGTCGCCATATTTTCCCTATTCCCCAAGCATTGTAGACCTGACACAGAGCGTTGTTCTCTCCCTTGTCCTCTCAAGACCCGTTTCAATGAGTGTCTTGTCGCACTGTTTTGTAACGCGCTTTAGTTTGTTTTTTTATCGTGTGTCCTGTGTGGAGTCACGCGTGTGTGTACATATATATTTTCTCTTTCATATTTTTGCTGATCATCTTTCGCAATGGTTGAAATAGACTCTCTTCTTTAGTCTCGTGTCAACAGCGCCCCCCTCCCCCTTTTTCGTGGCGACCGCGTATGAACTTTTCTTTTATTGCTGTTGTCGTCGTTACTGTCGAAGACGCCTTGTGTACCTGTACCTATTGTGTGTGTGTGTCTGTGTGTGCATGTGTGTGGTGAAGCTGTGCTTTTTTGTTTAGGAAGTGTTCGAGTGCACCACATTTTGTATTATTTTTCTTCTCCCTTCGCTACCTTTTTCTTTTCTTTTATTAGTGCTGCAGTTGGTGTGAGGGAGTGGCGCTTGCGTGGAGAGCCCTTCTATGAGCCCTCTCCGCATTCAGTGAGCGTCCGACGATTTCCGTTGTTTATTACTATTATGTTTCCCTCCTCCTCGGAATGAGGAGGAATGTACTCAAAAGGCAAAGAAGTGTGGATGTAAGTCGTAGAAGCCAGCGGGCTTCGAGTAGACTCGCGGTACGTGGATGTGAAGTGCTGCGTGATGGGTAGCTATTGTACTTCTGCAAACAAGACAAAAAAAAAAAGCCTCAGGGACATGGAAACAAACAAACAAGAAACGTCACCCGCGTTCAATGAAAAGGGGAAAAGACGGAATGCGGGAGATGGGGTATTGTTCTTTGCACGCTGGGGATCGTATCCCACGGCTGCTCTACCGCTCAGCGCGTAACGTGCGACGGTCGGGTGAGCATTGAGTGATGGTGTTTTCTTCCTCCCATCTTTTGCATTGAACCTCGGAGGGTCAAAACGGCAGTGCGGCGTGCAAGAGGCGGTGTCGAATGGACGGTGGTACACAACGACGCTTTGTGCTGGCGCCGTGCTGTGGCCGCAAGGAGACGAAAACTGCCCGCCGTTTTCCCAACAGCCCACTGCTTTATTTCCGGAGTAAAAAAGGAAAATAATTCCTGCCATCATGTACTATTCTTCTCCCCTTTTCAAACCTTATGCTATTCTCGTTTATTACTGTTATTGCGCTTTGCGGAACCTTCAATCTGAGCATCTCAGCTTTTCTTCGCACCACAAGCGCCATCATTTTTATCATACCGTGGTGGATTCTTTTCTTTCTTCTTCTGTAGATCTGCGCATTCCACCGTACTCGAAGTCGCTGGTTTGTCCCTTCTTTCTTCCCAATTCTAACATCAGCGACCTTGTCCTTGTAGAACGTCGGTCTGTACGACATACCTTTTTGCGGACACCTCGACACACACACACACACTCAAAAGAAAAAGAACACGTAAGTATATATATCGAGGGCACGCGACGGAGCGTCACTGTGCAAATCCATGTCTCAGATAGCACGCGCAAAGAAGATGTTTGACGACATCTCGTCCGACGAGGAGTCCAACGGCAGCGGCGCCGCTGTGCCATCCTCCGGTGTGCCAGCGCAGCACGCCGATCCGCAACCTGCCGGCGCTGGTGCAGCGCGTGCAAACAAGGCGGAGTCTCTCATCACCTCTGAGCGCGCGGAAGCGGACGCGAACGCATTCGTGCCGAAGTCGGCCTCCGCCTCGCAGGCGCGTGAAGCGCAAGAGGTCGATCAAAGTCCGCAACGGGAGAGTCCCGCAACAAACAGCGCGGAGGAAGCGCCGGGGGCCACGATGGTGACGCGGGTGGAGGTCTCTCCCCCGCCGAAGGAGGCACCGACACGACAAGCAGCGCCGTCCGACGTGACCAAAGAATCGGCGACGGCGAAACGACTGAGGGTGACGGCTGATGCAACGCCCGCCAAGTCGGCAGCGGTGGCGGCAGGTGCGTCCTCGTACAGCACACCAGCAACCGTCTCGAAGCGCCCCGCAGAGCGAGAGGAGAGGGAAGCGGCAGGCAAGCCACGTGGCGACTCGAGTGTGCGCAAGGACCGGAAGGGTGGCGGCGGCGGCGCCTCGGCAAAGAAAGAATTTCGCTACAAGGAGCGAGAGGAGGTGCAGGACGCCGCCGCATTCAGCACCACGGCGAACCGCAACGAAAGCCGCATGCACCGCAACGCGCGGCAACGGGAGGAGGAAGAGATGCAACACTCGCCCTACTCCACCACATCGAATCAGAGGGCGACGGCCGCGCAATTAGAGTTTTCACGCGAGGAGGGGCACCCGGACCACGCCGGCCACGCCGCGCTGCTGGGCCAGCCAACCAGCGATGAAGAAAGCGAAGTGGAGGACTTTCCTTTTGCGAGTTACGTGTTTCCCCGTCTTGACCCAGCGCTGGCGGACTACCAGGGCAGCCACACCGCCGTTGGAGCGACGAAGCGCGGCGAGGAATGCCCGCCCAACGCGTGTGAGCGCGGCCTGGCGTATCTGATGGTGACCGACATCCGCATGGCCGTCTATCTGGGTGTCTTGTTTCTCTCCATTGTTTTTTTGATTGTGTCGATCCCGACTTCGCAGCTGGACATGATCGGCAAGTCGTGCTTTACCTACTGGGGCTTCAAGAGTGACTGCGATGTCGCCCGGTACACCTATACTCGGCCGATGTACCCCTGCGGTGCGATTCGCACACGTCTCGGTGCCGGCGCCGCGTTTTCCATCATTACGTTGATGATTTATGTCGTGAACCTCACCGCCACGGTCATCGCGATCTGCTGCCTCAAGCACTCGCCGCACAAAATCTCGCTTACGTCTCGTGTGGTGGTGGGTGCCGTCGGTCTGATTACGGTGGTGACCCAGCTGATCTCGTGGGCGGTGATCGCTGGCATTCACTCCTCGCACTACTGTCTGCCAGCTAGCTTTCTGGCGTATGGTGTGGGGTTTGGCTTGAATGTGACGTCGTGGATTCTCAACTTGCTCGGAGTTGTTTTTGTGATTGCTGTTCCCTCTCGACTGGTAAATCGACACCAACGCTCGTAGCAGGCGTGTACCGAGCGGGGAGATTGCCGTGGCTGCGTATTCGCAGTACTAGAGTTTGAGCTTTGATAAGTTTTAAATGCTATTTGCGCGTCTTCGTTACCTTCACTTCGCTGTGGTTGCTGATCCCTCTCTTTTCGTATCACTTTGACCCCGTCTTTCTCTCTCTTGTTTTACTTGTATGAATGGACGATCATGCAGAGAGCTGTACTACTTTTTTTTTTCTCTCGTTCTGTTTGTTTGTTTCCTCTTTTTCTTTTGGTTTTGGAGCCAACGTTTCGCATGGGAGGGAACTGCTGTATGCGTGGCGCCACGATATGCAGCTGTTGTCGTCAACAGCGAAGTGTCCCACCACCCCTCCCCACCTTGCAACGACGTTGTTGCTCTCTTTCTCTCGTCCTCACCTCCTTTTTTCCCCCATCTTGTATTATTCCTTGTTTCCGTAACACCTGTTTTGATGCCGATGCTATACTCAGCGAAGAAAAATTGGAAACGAAGAAAGAGGTCATCTTCGTGAACTAGTTACTAATTGCGGCCGAAAGAGCCGTTGCAGCGGTGCGTAGGCAGCTGTCCACTGCTGCTTTCCCGTGTGCGTTGCAGACGTTATCCGCTAACTCCTTTTTGAAAAGAAAAAAAGTAGTTTGATGTCCTCAAATATGATATGTAACGAGTGTGCCGTGCGTGCAGCTGGCAGAACCGCCATCGCTTTTCGACAGCACATCTTCCATTCGAAATCCCTCTTCTTTCGCCAACCCTCCTCTTTTCACGATACCGGTAACGTTCTGAGTAGAAGCAAAAAGCTGTTTCCCCCTTCTCATTTTCCCTCCCTGTTGCAGTATATATGTTCATCCTCCACTCTCGATAAATATATATTTATATACTCACACCTTCTAGATTCTGTGCGCTTTTAGGCACCTCTGTGCTGCAACTTCCACTTCGTTGCCATTTGCGTCCCCCTTTTTTTTGCTTGATAGGTGGTTTCGCTCCTCTCCGTCTCCTGTAATTGTCGTAAATCGTTCTGTTCTCCTCTCTTGTATTCCGTAGATTCGACCGACCTTTCAGCTGCCCCGGCTGCGCCGTCGACGGGGTGAAGTTATCAATCGAATTTCAAAGTATATATTTATAAACAAAGTGTGAGGTGTTTTCCACTTAAAAAGGGAAAACGCAGCCAAATTAAGATTTTAAAAAGACACCTGCTTATTCAGAGCATCACTTTTTTCTTATTCTTTCATTTGTTCAGCGAACTTTTCTTATCTCTCTCTCTCTCTCTGCCTTCACGTTTTTAAGGCTCCTCAACATTTTATATGACGCGTGGTCGTTTTCCTTGTTTTGTTTTCTTGTTATTTTTTTCAAATACATATATATATATTTCGTCACAAGACTGTACCCCTCTGCGGTGGCAGCTGTGCCGTGAGAATTTGTAAGAGAGCTGCATTGAAGTGCCGTTTCTCCTGGTGGTTGTTGCCGGCGTGCACCTCGACGGAACGTGAAACCTCGACCCAACTGCGCATCGCTCGAAGCGTATGAAGCTGTATTGTATCGGACGACACCTCTACTCGGTTCTTTTCGCTGTTGTTGCGTTTGTTGCCGCCTGCGAGTGAGCGTGCGGACTCGTGTGTTTTTCGTCGTCCTGTGTTCAGCGTCTCTATCTGCTGAGCATCATAATAAAACGGTTTCTGCCTGTCGTTATCATATGTGCATCCTTCCACCCCGAAAGCCAAAGCAAGAAAACTTCAGGAAACAAAAATGGCAGATTCAGGCAGAAAGATACGACAGACGCCGTCGGTAACGTCGCCCACGTTGCGATCACCGTCATCGCCGACCGCAACCGGGGCTGTAGGATCTCCAAGCTCACCCCTTTCCCGCCAATTCGCGCACGCGCCGTACCTCAGCACGAACAATATCCTCGCCACGGAGGAGCTAAACGCTGCGGAGTACGAAAGCATGATGGCCCGCGGAAAGCGTCGCGACGGGGCGACATCGGGATCGCCGACGTCGAGCGCCAACACTTCGCACAACGCCACCTTCAGCAGCTCCCCAACGAAAAGCAACGCGGTGGCGGGGCTGCCACGGGGGAAGAAGAACGTGTGCCGACACTTTCTCAACGGGAACTGCAATCGAGGCAGCTCCTGCCGCTTCTATCACCCCGGCTCGATTCATCGAGTCATCACGCCAAGCCACCCACGGACGCCGACGCAGCGGCCGTTGACGCCGCTGGCGGATCTGGCCATGCAGAAACAGCAGCAGACGAGCGCCTTCGCCAATGCGTCGCCCATCCACAGCCCGTACCTCGGGCCCTCTGTGGGCATGCTGAACTTGAACGAGGCGTCGCCGGTACTCTCCCGATCCATTCCGCGACAGGTTACCGAGAACGTCGTTACGAGCGACAACAACAGCTCTCACGTGTCGCCGCCGAGTTCGCCGGCCACCTCCCACGCCCAACGCGTCTCGTGCGGCACGGTGAGCGGTCCCATCTCTTCTTTCACCGCGCAGCCCGCGCTGTCCAGCCCTTCGTCTGGGCCGCAGGTGGGTCTGGGCAGCGGCAGCAACGGGGGCGGCAACTCGACCACGCGCAAAACCGCACCTCTCCAAGGACTTCCCTTATTGATGCTGCCCGAGTGCGCGGCGCGTGTGCCGGGCGGCGAGGCAGACGACGGCAACTCTGCCGGTGCGGTGGACTCCACCGGGTTGAGTTTCCCGCACAGTCCCACCACCCCCAGGTCCTATCGGATGCCGGTTTACCGGATTGGCCCTCGTACCGGCGGCGTGGCTTCCAGCCCACCACAGCGCTCCAGCGCTTCGAATACGGTGCCGTCGTCGAACAGCACCAGCGTGCGGCAGGATGGGAGTGACTTCATCGTCGGGTTCGCACCCCAACCGCCGCAAGCGCAAGCACCTGGCTCACAGATTGAGTACTCCCTGACGTCACCACCGTCCGTAACGGTTACGCGCAACAACCCCTACGCCTATCCTGGAAATCAAGGCGGTGTGCTGAGGCAGCCCAAGGCACCGATGAGCCCTTTGAAGCGCTACCCTGCCAGCTTCCAGAATACGTAACGGGAAGTACAAAAGAGCGCGAGAGGGAGAAAAAGACGGAGAGGTAGTCAACAGAGATGACCCTTCGTCCTATTTTTCTCGGTGTAATGACCTGTGCCTCGTGGGGATCAGAAATGCTTTTCCTTGTCACTCGAGGCGGATGCTTTATTTCCATTTTGTTTACCCTTTCCTCCACAGCGAATTCTTCCCTCCCGTCTTCCCCCCCCCGTCGCCTCCTCCCCTCTCTCTCTTTTTTATTCCTGCGCAGCTCCTCCTCTTCGACTTCGTTTCTCCAATGAATCTGCACACGTTGCGGCGAAATGAAAGAGTAACGTTGGTGTTTCGTGCTTTTGTATTTCATTCATCGATTCTCAAGCCACGCTCTTTTGCGTGGAGTGGCGTGTTGATTACCTTCATACGGAACTGTTTCTTTTGGCGCAGTCTGGAACTCTTTGTTGTTGCTATTGTTTCTATTTCGTATCGTGAGAATGCTGCTCTGCGAGATCCTGGTTTTCAGGGAAGCTTGACATCCGAGAATAAAAAAATCTATTTTGGGTACTCCCTGTTGTATCAGTAACATCTCACACACTTTTATTGTCGTTATCACCCACCAACTTTTTCTTTTCTTCTTCTTTTTTCCCGATTTCGGCTCTGGTACTTGTGCTTTCTTCTTTGAGTGACGCGACTCTTCTCTCTTATTATCCCGTCAGATTTTCTGTTGTTGTTGTTATTTTCTGCACATATCGTTGTCTTCCCTTTCGCCATCGTTGTCACGTGTGGGGCACGCACCGCGATGGTGAATTTCTCCGCACACTGCTAAGGTTGTAACGGTTGGTTTTGGGGTTCTTTTCTCTGTTCTTATTTCTCTATTTGCCTTGCTGTTGAGTGGCGAAGAGTACTTCAGCGTTGCCTCTCGTCTAACGCCCTTTCCAACCCGTATTTTCCCCCTTTTCCAGTGCTGATCGGTGGGCTTTTGTGATCGTTTAAAGAGACGCCGCCCCGTTTTTTCTCTCCTCTCCTCAATTTGTATTCCTACCGGCCCGCGAACCCGCAGCCACCTGCTGGAGTTTTTATCCTCCGTCAACCTCCTCGGTGACCATGTTCGCTGCTTTGTCTTTCCAAACTGTTGGTGACACTTCTCTCTCCCTTTTCGTGTTTCTTTGCGTACGCGTCCCTTCTCCTCCTGCTTGTTTGAGTCTTCTTCTTCTTCCTCTGGTTGTTGTCGTCGGCATTCGCTTTTCTTTCCCTCGATTATTTTTCTCCTCTTTATTCGTTTCAATCGACCCTTTTCTCTTCGTTAAACTGTATAATTGAACCTATCAAAATATATATCTCTACTTTTCTTTGTGTTTCTTCTGGTTTGCTTTGAACCGAACGTAAATAAATACAACCGCCGCTTTTGTCTTCTACTGAAGTGCCGTTGATTATCATTGGAGTGTCACACAGTGTCTGGATTTGTTATCCTTTATGAACAGTACTGAACAAATGTCAGCGTACTATCGAAAAACGACGTGCAACAGCTTCACAATTCTAACAATTTTCTTCTTCTTCTTTAAGAATACCTGAACCTATTTTCTCTTCCTTTCAAAGCCAACGGCGAGAGTTGGGGTCGTTGAACCAAGCTGGCAAAAAGAAAAACACGCTAATGTAAAGGTGGTATGTTAGCTGTTTTTCGTTGCTCAGTTGTGCTTATGCGTAAATGGGATCGCTCTCATTGGTGGTTTTTCCTTTTTCCTTTTCTAGTTACTGTTTTTTTTTTCTTCTCTTTTTCTTTCTCGTTTTCACTATTGAAACTCGCGGACCCCACTTCATTTTAATTCTGTGCTTGTGGATGTTATTTTGGCCTCCTCTTCTTGCCTTTTTTTTTATATCTCTTCCTGTTTGTTTTTGGTCGAGGGTGTCCGATGCACCTTTTTTCGAGCGGCGTTGTACTTTTAGGCGTTGAAACCACTTTTAGCTGCCGGTTTGTTTTTGTCTGAAGCTCTGCTCCGACGGGGTCCGTCATGATACGCTGTCCACATTTTCCTCTCCCCCTAAAAAAAAAAACGGGAAAAGAAAAACGATGATCCACTGTTAACTGTATGTGATCCTTTCACGCCTATGCTCATTTTGTCATCGCTCTCTTTTATTGATTCGTATGGATACGCGATCGTCTCTCTTTAAACGGACGGTCGTTTCTTACTTTCTTGAATTTTAATTACGTTTTGTCATTCACCCCCTGCTGCATGTGGAGCTGCCTTTTTGTTTCGTGGCTCGGTAGTCGGAAAGATTTTTACAGTTTTCTCGTTGTGTTGTCGCTCGACTCATTGAACCTACACATGTCAGTTGACGGCGTTATTAGGGCCTTCCTTTGCCTTTTCGCTGAGTGACGAATGATGCACCTGTCGCTTCGTTTACAACAAAGAGAAGTAATTCGTTTTCCCTAAGTCTTTGACCGCAACTCTTTTGCCTATTGGCGAGTAAATGGATGCCAATGAATCGGCCGCGATACGTGCTTCCGTAAATGCTGCGCACAACCTGGGTATTCGATATCGCAGCAGAAAGAAAGGGAAGAAAGGGTTTTGTACTTATCATGTTCCTGTGACGGCCTGTCTGCACAAATAATTTTCCTCATCTCTTTTTTTCTTTTCCCTCTACGATGTGTGCTATCGAGCGAATGTGGCCGGCCCGATGACGATTTCGAGTAACGTCTACCTTTTGTTTATTTTTTCTTTCTTGCTCTCTCCTCACAATTCGCGTGAATGCAATGCAACCAGAAAAAGAAGACAAAGCAAGTGATACCCGCGAATCGATGCCTTACATCGGCTATTACTTTCAAATGCATGTAGGTGTGGCTTCTGTGATGGATATGTATTTCTTCGCTGTCGTGCTAATCGCTGTTGTTTTGTTTTTTTGAGGGGTTTCAGTGTGGGTTCGCATTCTTATTTGGGTGTGTTTTTACCAGCCGCCTCATGAATATCTGTCCGCCACAAATCGCAGAAAATGAAAATGTTATTCCCCACCGTATCTTTTTATTGCTTTTAAATCTTCGTATCTTCTTCCTTCGCAACCCCAAACAACGAGTAAAGCGGCAGCCCAAGCGAATTCGTGTTTCATGGATTTTTTCCTCTTTCTTTCTTCTTTGCCCTAAGCCCATCTTTCTCGGTTCACAGACGTCATTTGGTATGCAAAATTGAGCGATCACCGTCTATTCTCTTTCCCCCTCAAGGCAAGGAAGCGTGAAGGAACATCGGTGACGAAAAGAAAACAAAAACGGCCTGTTCTGCGATTCGCAGCCACGAATCTCAATAATGGCTACGCGCTGACCTTGTCTCTCTATCTCTCACATACACCGAAGAACGGCTCGCAAAACGCTGTGTCTGCCAACAGGCAGATTCCCTTGTACAGCCTTTATGTGTTGTGTTTTATTCTACTTCTTTCTTCTCGTATCTGTCGCGACCTCGCTATCTTTTTTCCGCTACACGTTCAGTTTCTTTCTACGGTGTGCTTACCGAGAGCGCTTGAACGTAAATTAGGAAGAGCAGGAGGATCACAAGGCAGGAGGAAAGAGCCTTGTCGCCTCTCTTCCTCGTGTTCTCTGCTCGTCAGCGTGTAACACGGAAACTTGAATGAGCTCAAATCACTCCACACCCCTTCCTCCTGCAGCCTCATGTGTTCGGTCGGAACCAGGAGATGCCCTGCCGCATCTTGTACTCTGCCAAGCAGCTCAAGAAGCGCTTACTTCGCCGCTGACGCGGTCTGCAGAGCCCGGAACTACTTCTGCCGAACCGCGTAACTCACCCCGCACATCACGCGCAACATTATCATCTCCTTCTTCTCTCTTAGCTCAATCAGTACACCGCGGTGGACGCTCTCCATCACAATCGAGCAGCGCAGAACGCCGCACGGCCGCCACCGTCGCCGGGGCAGGAACGCTGCCCACCTCCGCGAAAACGTCTTCGTCCTCGTCATCCGCCGCGCCACAGGTGATCGTTTTCGACAACACCAAGGCCGGTCTGCAGGCCGTCGACAAGGAAAAGACGGAAGCCCTCATTAGGGAGATCTCCAAGGACTCCAGCTTCTACCAAAACGAGGAGCGGAAGGCGAAGAATCGGCAACGCCACGTAGAGGCGTTGCTCGTCAAGACTCGCCACTACGAGGCGAATGTCGAAGGCAGACCGGATGTCTTTCGCAAAGTACAGCGGGAGGTGGCGGATCTGGAGGCTACGATTGAGTCGCACCGCGAGTTCGACCACGTTTACGTACACATGGACATGGACATGTTCTTCGCGGCGGTGGAAATGAAGAAGAACCCGCACTACGCAAGTTTGCCGCTGGGGATCGGCGGGATGGGCATGCTGAGCACCACTAACTACGTCGCGCGCCAGTACGGTGTGCGGTCGGGCATGCCGGGCTTTATCGGGCTGCGTCTCTGCCCTGAGCTGATCATCGTGCCGTCCGATTTCCCTGCCTACCGGGTGGAGTCGGAGAAGTTCAAAGCCGTTGTGCGCACCTACGACCCGTCCGCGCACGGACTTGGCATGGATGAGATCATGCTGTGCCTCAACGAGTATCTCGCGCTGCACTACATGCACGCCAACTCGCACGACGAGCGCTTCGACGCGGCGGAGCGCATCATCGAAGAGTGTCGGCGACGAGTGACGGAGGCGACGGGGCTGACGGCGAGCGCCGGCATCGCGCCCACGCCTACGCTGGCCAAAATGGCGTCGAATTACAAGAAGCCCAACGGGCAGTCCTCCGTGCGCCTCTTCACCCGAGAGGCGGTGATGGCGTTTCTGTCGCCGGTCGCGGTGCGGCAGGTGCCGGGGATCGGCAAGTCTCAAGAGAGCATCCTTACGGGGTTGGGCATCCACACCTTAGGTGACGTCTACGCGGCGCGACACCGCCTGTACTGCATCTTAACAAAGAAGACGTATGAGTTTTTGCTTTGTTCGGCGTTGGGTGTGGGCGGGATGTACGACAGCCGCGAAGCCACCTCCGCGGAGGAGGCGGGGGACGAGGAGAGCGACGGCGACGGAAATCGCAAGTCGGTCGGACAGGAGCGCACCTTCCGGCAGCTAGCGAAGCGGGATGACCTGCAGAAGATTGCTTACCGCAACCTCAGAGATGCGCACCGCACCCTCACTGAAGAGCGCTTGTTGGCGTCACACGTGGTGTTGAAACTGAAGTTTCGCAGCTTTCAGGTGAAGCAGCACAGCAAGACACTTAACGTATACACGGATGACGTGGCTGTGCTGCAACGCGCCTTGGATGAGGTTTTAATTCCCGTGATGGACCAATTCGCTGACTTTCGTTTGCTTGGTGTTCGGCTGGAGAAGCTGAGGCCGCGGGCAGTGGAGGACGGAGTCGAAGGTGCGACGTGTTTGCCGAAGACGGACAACGAGGACGAGACACGACAGAGGACACTGAGCGACTACTTTAAGCAGCGACAGGACCATATGGAACGACGTCGTGCTGAGATGCAAGATGGTCACAAGCGATGCCGCGACAGCGACGTGGAAAGTGCCGATGACGTGGATTCGGATATTGAGGTGCTGACGCTTCCGTCCGTGAGCCGAGCTGCCGTCAGGAAAGATGTGAAGAAGATGGCTGCGGAGCCTTCAGCAGATGAGAAAGGTGACGCCTTCACGCAAAAGGTGTCCACAACGCTGAAAACAACTGCTGGCAAAAAGCGGGATGCGAGCGTGGTCGACTTAAGCGATGACGAGACCGATAAAGGCGACGACGACGATGGTGATGTGACGTACGTAGAGTGACAAGCCAGTTACCACCAACTGCCTTCTACAGAACGTAGTGCCCAATCCTCCGTTGCCGCACCGTCACGTTTTTGGCTGTTTGTCCGTTTCGTGTTCACCCCTTCGTTCCATTCGTGTGTCTCTTCCCCTTACACCTTTTTATGGATTCCTATTTCCGCTACGTTACCTTATACGTGTTTAAATGTGTTTTATCTGTCGACGAAACAAGTGCGCGATGTGGAACGTGGGGAAGTGCAAAAAGGCAGCGTCTACATCCACAGGTGAGAGCAATCGGCAAGGGCGGCGTAAAAGATGGACTGCATCCGCTCCTGTTGCCCAGCTCGCCTAGTTGTCGTTTATTTCGTATTCCGCTGCATCGCGGGTGTTTCTGCTTTCTCCTGCGCTTTTTCTCCCGCCAGCTTCTACCGCTCCACAATGCATCTCTCGGTTCGCTCTGCCTCCCCCCGCTCTGCCTGCTACGCGATGAAAGGAAAGAAATGTCGTTCAACAGAGGAAACCGCAAACACACGTAGAAATATTGCCTTATAGAAGCGACTGCTGCGGAGGAGAGAAAGAGAAGAAAGACCCGCTAGCTACGTGTAGGACGCTGAGTGGTGCAACGCAACTACACAAAAAACCTTTGTCGATGCGATCTTCATCGCAACGGGGTGCAGCTATTGTTATCAAAAGAGACACTCAAAAGAGAGAAACAAACAATTTGCTTTTCGAATTTGTTTTTAACCTGGTCTTTTTCTCAATTTCACGTAATGCTGTAGAGAGAGATGTTCATTCATCGAAATAATGTGGACCAGTACGTCCACGGAAAGCCGCGACTGCGAAAGTCACAGCCCGTCAGCTCCAGCGGTGTGTCGAATTCCTTCGTGCATCAGAACGACGACGATTTGTTCTTTGCGAGCCGTCGCCGCGTTGCCCTGCGGACAGCGCATAACAGTTATGGAAGCCACCGTCTTGCGCCGATCCGCTACTCCTCACATGCGTCCAGCAGCGACTCGGATGAGATCACGGTGGAGGAGATTTTTCCTCCCTGCCCGTCGCGAGGGGTTGTGTCGACAAGTGAAGAGCCATGCAGTGCTTCTGCACCGCAGCCACCTCCTGCAGTATTCGCAAGTGTGTTCTATTCGAAAGTCGAAACAAACTCGGTACGTGCCCCGACTGGCGCTTCACTCGCAAGCGGAGAGGAGAGAGGAAGAACAAAAAGTGAGTCGGATACCTCCACTCACTTCACTGCATCCCGAAATCTTTTCCAACACGATGGGCTGGCAAGCGTCGGTGGAGTTTCCTTTCTGGTTGCGGCATCGCCTGACGAGTCGCGACTCAGCGACCTGTACGGGCAGCGTGGAGTTCGAAAGCACGATCTGGGGTTGGAGGGCGAAGGTGGTGACGGGGAGGTCAAGTACGATCAGCACTCAGAGAAACGGGATGGGGAGAGAGGTGTGTATCGAGACTTACCAGCCACGTCCGCAACAGCCACCATTCCCGCAACCGGAGAGCCACCACCACCATCGCATCCGCTGGCGCCGTGGCCGCAGCGGCAACCAAGTTCGTTGCACAACGGAGCGTCGGTGGACCCCTCTTCAGCGCCTTTTGAAGCGACCACTGCGACGTTGGAGACAACAGGAGCTCCTGATTTGGTGTCTATAGGAGGTGCAGAGCAGCAAGCATCTCATGTGCGGAGTGTCTCAGTGATTGGACGTACCTTGACGGCGGCTACAAAAGCACTCACCGCTGCGGCTGCGCGAGAGGCTCAGCGGCGAGCGGAAGAGACGTCGCGCGCACAGGCTGCAACGTCCCCCTCCGTCGAAGTGCATCTCGTGCAGGATCTTCTGCTCGGCACCGCGCTAAAAGAAAAGGTTTTGCTTTTTGAAGCGTATTTCGCAGGTCTGCAACAAACGTGGGAAGTCATGGAGATGTGTGGGGCGTTGTACCGCCGCGATGCTGAACGTGCCCGACGTGAGGCAGACGCCGCCGTGCAGGAGCAGGAGCGTGACACTCAGCAGAAGCTCTTCTTCTACCGTCAGCACACGGCTGCGGAGGCGCTGCGTTTCGCCGCGGACAAGAAACACGAAGAGCAGATGCGGGCCGCCGACGCTCGCATAGCGGTGTTAGCAGCCACGGTGCAGAACTTGACAGATAAATTAGCCTCACAAGAGGCCGAGTTTCATGAGCAGCAAAAAGCGCACAACAGCGAGGTGCAGGAGCGTCTGCGTGAAGGTCAGCAAGACGCACATGAGAGCGCGTTGGAGCTCCGCGCGCTGCAACGCGCACACGGCGAGGCTACGGAACGATGGATAGCGCTGCAGGTTGTCTGCCACGAACTGCAAAACCGCTTCGAGACTCTCCGGCGACGACGAAGGGGCCGGCAGACGCCCCACAGTTGTTTTCACAACTCCGTTGAGGCTCCCAGTCAGACCCAGGCAAGGCCACGCGTTCTACCGAAGCCAGTCTTGTTGGCTTCTAAGAGTGAGGGCTTCATGGACACCGAAACACAGGGCCCGTTCGAAAGCCAGCCCCGCAATACACCGTTGTCAAACAGCCTGGACAACGCCGAGGATGCTGCCGCCGGCCCCAAAGGTACATCGGAGAAGCCGACGGCATTAGAGGTGCTATTGGCACGTACGCAAGCGGATAGCGGCGCGATTTCCACTTCTCCCCTCCGCCCCCATGCAGACCTCGTCGGCACGGCGACAGGCAGGCCAGCTCGGACCTTTAGTGACGGGCCGCTTATGCCTGTCGCTCCACCGAAACGCGGCGGATTCTCGTCCCCGCCTGACACGCCGCTGCTCGCCGCTGCTCCCTTGCCAACGACGAGTAGTGCGGCATCGCATCTTGAGGAAAGCGTGCCAAAGCAGGCGGTTCGGTCTCCAGATGCGAAGCCGGCAGCTGCACGTCCGACGTTGCGTGGATCTTCGAGCGGTAGCGCAAGCCAAGCCCACGGCGCCCCCGACTCCGCCCGTTCGACCTCTTCGTTCCGGCCCTCGCGGCTGAATTCCGTCGCCTCCACGCGTCGCGGCTCTTCATCTGCGCTTGCCCACTCGACCGCCACGTCCGCACAAGGGTCCAACCGTTGCAAAGACCCAAGAGATGACGCCAACCACAACGGCGCAGCGGGTGTGGATGTCATTGCAGACCCCATTGAGAGCGAGGAAGAGGACGATATGGAGTGGCAGCAGCGCGTTCAAGAAGTCGCGGCGGCGGCGGTGCAGCGCGAGTTGTCTCGGCTGCTCGTGTTTAATTTAGCCGGTCATGGGAGGCACGATCCGGCTGTCGCAAACGGTACTCTCCACGTGCGGAAGAGCAGCTCCCCGAAACGTAACGGCTCCGTCGCACTCGCTGCGACACGCGTAGAGTCGTGTCTGTCTACGCCACGTGCGGAGAGCGGAGGAGCGGATGGAGAGGAGGCGCTAACGCCGGCGGTGACCTTGTCAGCCTTGCAATGGATGCGCGTGTGTGAAACGGCGCATCTTTCTGCTCATGTGAACAGCGTACTTGTCGATCTGCTACAAAAGCTGGGTGACTCCTTAGCACAGCGCCTTCAGCTGCTAGAGGAGAAGGACTGGAATAAAACGATGGCGAGACAGTTCATTGCCGTGGATCACGCGGCAGCGTTGCGGCGGCTGACGGCCAAGGTGGACAGTGTCGTTCACGGCTCCTTTTCTGCACCTTCAGATGGTATGTCCTCTTCGAAAAAGTCGCAACCAAGGAGAGAGATGCGCTTCGGACTGATGTAAGAAAACGCAGGAGCGCTGTCGTGTCGCGTCTGCTTAAGGCGAGCTTTGTGCAGGAGCGTTGTTCATACACCGTTATTACTATTTTTGTTCTTTACCTCTGTTGGGGAAGGAATAAGGAGACGAGCAGCAGTGGCGTGAGGATGTCTGTGTGTATTGTTCTCCTTCGATAAGTTTCTTCTCCTCGGCCTGTTTGACCTCCTCGGCCTCGTACAAGCAGCATCAAAGCAAGGGTGATCAGGAAAAATCTTCAATTTGTTGTGGTGGTGATGACAATGCGTGCAAATGCGCTGCCATGTAAGGGTTCTTTGAAGGCATAGTACGAGGTTGCTGTTTCACTTTGCTACTCGGCGGAAATAATCGGAAAGTAAAGAAAGAGCCATTACATCTGTATCGTGCGCCACAACTCAACCCACTCCTCATCGGGTTCTTGTTTCTAGTTCATGCGCACAGCCATCTTCGTACCCTCTCGTACGTCAATGCGATGCTATTCCTCTTCCTTTCTACCCCTGATAACGTGTACCGGAACCGTACAACAACGTCTGTTTGTTCTTCACACAGCTGCGTCAACAACGCGCACTTCCATTCGACAGCATAGAACAGCAGCGACGTCACCTGCGACGACGACGAGAAATTGTCTCGACCGCGCCTCGCAAAAAGTTCCCTTCTAATACCACATCGGAACGCTCAGATTTTTGGTGTCCTGAAGCAACGCATTCCGGTAGTAATAAGAGTTATCCAACGTAACAAGTACCATAGAACCCATTGCGTCCCAGGCATCCTTCAGCAACACACCCACACACACACACGTCCTGTTAAAATCGTATAGAATCAGCGGAGGATAACCGGTGATCGGCGACACCTTCATAAGCGTACACGACTGACTCCCTCTCACTTTGCAAGCTTCGTTCTTGTTGCGCACCCCTAGGTCGGCAATCCTTCTCGATAGAGTCATAAAACGAACGGTTACTCTCTGTGTTGGTGTGCTGGTTTGTGTTGCTTGTTCGTGTTCATCCGCCATAACAGCCATGTTCCGCCTGTCCAGGTTTGCGGCCGCTGCTGGTGCCTCGAAGGGCGTGCCGCGCGCAGGAAAGGCCGCGCTGAAGCGTGTCGGTACGGCCGCCGGCGTGGTGAAGAAAGTGGGCGCAACCACCGCCTCGAGTACCAGTGGCACCAACCCCGCCTTCTTACGTCAGTACGCCGTCGCACCGGGCAACGAGGACGATGACATGGAGGAGATGCCGCAGCGGGCGGCCACCCCGGTAGTGCAGCAGCACCAGCACCCGCAGCAACCGCCGCACCACCACGACCAGAGCGACAGTCACCACCGCGGTGGCGGCAAGTTGCACTTCGACGCGACCAAAGCGGGGTTGCAGCACGTGGACAAGGACTACGTAGAGCAAGTGATCCAGGAGGCGTCGAAAGGGTCGGCCTTCTATCAGAAGGAGCAGCGCCTGGAGGAGACGCGCCGTCGCAAGGCGGAGGAGTTGCAAACGAAGGCCAAGGGCTTCAACTCTCTCAGCGCCGCAGAGATGCAGGCGCTGAGGAACAGGGTGAACACGCTCGAGGACGAGCTGGAGGCCACGCGTGACCTGCGCCGTCGCTACATCCACATCGACATGGACATGTTCTACGCCGCCGTCGAGGAGAAGAAGAAGCCCTCACTGCGCGGCAAACCGTTCGGCGTGGGCTCCATGCAGATGCTATCCACCACGAACTACATCGCCCGTCAGTACGGTGTGCGGTCTGGTATGCCGGGCTTCATCGGCAAGCGCCTGTGCCCGGAGCTCACTATTGTGCCGAACGATTTCCCGGCCTACAAGCGAGAAGCGGCCCGCGTGCACAGCATCGCTTCCCGCTACGATGCGCAGTTCGTCAGCGTGGGCTTGGACGAGCTGACGATGGACGTGACGAAGTACCTGGGGGAGTTCCCTGCGGTTTCCGCCTCCGACATCGCACACGACTTCCGCGACGAGGTCTTCTTGAAGACGCAGCTCACCAGCAGCGGCGGCATTGGTCCTACGTCAATCCTGGCGAAGATCGCGAGCAACGTCAACAAACCCAACGGTCAGCACGAGATCACCCTGCTCACGCGCGAGGACGTGATGAACTACGTGAAGGACATCCCCCTCCGTAAAATCCCCGGCATCGGCTACGCGCAGGAGCTCACCTTGGGGGCGTTGAACATTCACACCTGTGGTGACCTGCTGCAGAACAAGTACTTGCTCGCCTACCTCTTTAAGGAGAAGACGTTCATCCACTACCTCAGCGTCGGCCTTGGCGTGGCGGAGACCTTCTCGCAACGTCGGCACCACACCACGCAATCGATTGGGAAGGAAACGTCCTTCGCCGAGCCGCTGCCCTCACCGGAGGCCTTCACGAAGATGTTTCGCACACTAATGGAGGACTGCCACGCTCGCTGCGTACGCGAGCACCTCAAGCCGCGGCTGATGAAACTGGTGCTGAAATACCGCACCTACGACACCCAGCAGTTCAGCGTGCAGCTGCCCACCTACACGAATGATCTAAAACTGTGGATTGAGGCGTCGCAGAAGCTGCTGGAGCCGCACCTGCTGCAGTACGGCGAGCTGCGCCTCGTCGGTGCGCGCATGGAGAAGTTCGAGAACAGCGAAGGCGAGGAGCAGAACGGTAAGGACGGCTACACCGGCATCCTCGGCAACAGCATTGGCCTCCGAATAAACAGTGACCAGTTCAGCGAAGATTCGTACGGGGAGAAGGACCGCGACGGCGATGACGCTCGCACGGCGTCCGAAGGGGAAGATGGAGACGCGGCAGAGGAGAACGATGAGGCGGATGCTGCATCGGAGGCTGCTGCTGCTGCAAGGTCTTCGGAGCCACACAAGAGAAAAACACCGATTCCCGTTTCTAAATTTCTGTCAAAGCCTGGGGCGGCACGATCGTCGTCGACAGCGGAGAAGTCGGCGGCACTCACCAGGTCGGCGAAGTCAGCCGGCAAGCGCCTGAAGGCGTCTACGAGTGCCATGAGGCGGAAGCTGCACAGGAAGAAGTAAACGAGTGGGCACTTTCCGCAAGAACCGGATCGCCTACTGCGCAAGAAAACAAAAGGTGGGGCATGCGTTTCAAAGGATAACAACCACGCAAAGCATCGATGTGATCTGCATTTGTTGTCGTTGCTGGTTGTTGTTGCTGTTATTTTTGGAGGGGAGGCAGCGCTTGGCTTCCAAATGCGTCTGAAATGTGCGGCCGTGCTTCTCCGCAGAGCGCTAATTACGAGGAGAGTGGTTTTAAAGGATGCTGTGAAGATAGAGTTGTGATGTGACGTAGGAATCCATAGAAGTCACGAAGCGGGGGCCGTTGGCTGCCGCCTACCGAGACCTTAAGTCTTGTTTTTCCTCCTTGCTAATGTGTGTTTGTGTGTACGCGGCACCGGGGTTGTTTCATCGATGTTATTGCGTTTTTTTAAATTGCGATAACCGTCTTTGCCCACGATGATGGTGCTTGTGCCTCTTTGTTGCTGTGTTGTTTCTAGCGCTGTTGTGAAGACCATAGATAGAGTGTTCAATACAGGTGTGATGGCGTGCATAGAGTTTAGCGTATGCGTGTTTGAGCAGAGAAGAGTTTGATGTTAGCCTTGTTTTCTGAAACTATGGATTGTGCTGGATTGTTTGTTGTGAGATGAATCAACGGGCTACCACGGTGCGCGTGCTTTTTCCTGGTGGATCCTGTTTTACCTCCCCCAGTAGAGCGGGAATGTGTGTAGATGAAAGACTCCCTCAACAACCAAAAACAAAACCTCTATACACATATAGAAAAGGTTCCAACGTTGCTCCTCTCTCCCCGAAGTGGAACTCCCTCTGTGCGGAACCAGAACAGTTATCGCGGTAGGAAGGAGGTAAATGGGACTGAAGCAATCAGAACTCTGGCTTTCAGGTTTCAGCTCGTCTGGTCCTGTCGAATAACATCGCCGTTCGTTTTTGCCGCTACGCTTCGAAGAGATCAACGTGACGAACAGCTCAAGTTCCTGTAGCCGTCGTTTTTTATTATTCTTTTGCTAGCCCCAAGACCTTATGTCCATGAACGATGTAATACAGTTTTCCTATGCCTTCTTCTTTGTTTGGACGCATATATATTTCTGTTCCGCGTGTGTCAACATGCGTGTTCTCTTCGTCACCGCATTTAGGCACCCACCACTGCATTGCCCGCCGGCGCTGTCCTCCACTGCCGCATTGAAGCCGTGCAGCGAGCGTCCTCCGGGCAGTATTCGCCATTCTCTGTTTTTTCGAACGGACTTGGGGTTTTTACTATCTTTTTTTAAACACGGTCTTCGCGGAGTCGCTGAACTTTCGTTCCTTAGTTTTTATTATTAATTGTGTTGATATGCATTCGCTACCATAGTTGGCACACGCACCCCGCCACCAGCTATGCTCCCACGCTTGCGTCTTCTCCGCGGCGGCGCGCAGGCCATCCGCCGCCTGATCCCAGCAGCAGCAGCCCAACGCACCACTCACCGTTTCACGTCCACTGCCGTCGCGCTGCCAAATGCGAAGTCTCCTGACCGTGCAGCTTCCATTGGTCGCCTCGCTTTCGACGCCTCCAAGGCAGGTCTGGAGAAGGTCGACAAGGCCCACGTCGCGAGCGTCATTCAGGCGGCGACGATGGGGTCCGCGTTTTACGAGAGTGAGCAACGCAAAGAAGCGGAGCGCACTGTCCGACACAACGCCCTCGTCGCCAAGCAGCGCGTCTTCCGTCACCTTCCACGCAGTGAACAGCAGGAGTGGGCGGTGAGGGCGGAAGCGGCGGCGGCGGCGCTCGAGTCCACCCGTGACTTTTCCCGGAGCTTCATCCACATTGACCTGGACATGTTTTACGCCGCTGTGGAGGAGAAGTTCAACCCGTCCCTCCGTGACCGCCCTTTTGCGGTCGGGAGCTTTGCGATGCTGGCCACAAGCAACTACATCGCCCGTCAGTACGGCGTTCGCTCTGGTATGCCGGGCTTCATCGCCAAGAGGCTCTGCCCGACCCTTTGGATTCAGCCCCTCCACTTCGATCTCTACCGTGCCGAGGCCGCCGCGGTGCGGGCGATTGCCGCGACGTACGATCCCTTCTACGTCACCGTAGGCCTCGATGAGCTGACGATGGACGTCACAAGCTACCTCCAACGGCAACGCAGTACGAGCAGCAGCAGCGGCACAGCGGCGATGACGGCAGCGGACGTGTGTGCGGAGTTCCGTGCGCGGGTCGAGTCGGCGACGACGCTGACGTGCAGCGGTGGCATCTCCCACACGGCCGCCTTTGCGAAGCTGGCGAGTAACGTGCACAAGCCGAACGGCCAGCACGAAATCACGCTCCGCACCCGCGCGGAGGTGTTGCAGCGTGTGCGGGACATACCGGTGCGGGACATCCCAGGCATCGGCTACGCCACGGAGCAGCAGCTGAAGTCGCTGGGTATCTTGACCTGCAAAGACTTTCTTTCGCATCAGGCGGAGCTGTGCTACTTATTTCGCGAGAAGACGTTTGCCTTCTACCTTTCTGCCGGCTTGGGACTGGTGCGCACCCACGTCGATCGCGCTATTGCTGAGCGCGCAGCGCAGACGTCGCACATGGGGAGCGCGGGTTCGACGTATGCTGAATGCAAGCCCGCCTCGCAGGAAGTGAAGAAAAGAAGGTCAGCGCCTGATGTGCACATCGAAACAAAAACCACCGCACGGGCAGCTGCTGCTTGTCCTGTAGCAGCTGCTCCCCACGCTTCTCTGCCTCTCCTGCAGAAATCAACAGGGAAGTCCATCACGGTAAGTCGAGGGCTGCCCTCTCCGGCCGCTTTCCGGCTGCAGCTTCGTCAGCTGGTGAGGGGCGCACACGACGTTCTCGTGCAACAAGGTGCCGGCACTCGGCACATTTCCTTCTCCACCATCGACCACAGTTTCAGAGAGCGCCGTTACTCCACCACGTTGCCGATTCTGACGGCAAGCTACGGCAGTCTGTGCAAGGCCGCTGCCTCGTTAGCGGAACCGTTTGTCCCCCGTCACCGTGAGTTTCGTCTGATCGGTGTGAACTTTGGCAAGCTACAACGCATGCCAGCGAGGTCTTCGTCGTCGTCCTGTGCAACACCTCTGAGTGCGTCTAAGGCAGCCAAGTTCGAGACAACCACCACCGCCAGCTCACCACGTCATCCAAAACGCCGGCCCTCCACCCCGAAGGAGACGTTCAAGCTCGTAGCTCCCGCTTTGTCCCTAAAAAGAAAACGGACGAAAGCAAAAGCTTCAGCCGCGTCCTCACAGGCGAAGACAAACGCCAAAGCGTCGTCGAGGCGCGCGACGAAGGTGAACGGGCCCCCGCCGAAAATAAAGCACCGCATTTCCTACGTCCGTCACGTCTAACCAGCGAGCATGCCACAAGCTCTTTACACTGTTTGTGTGCTTTTTTCCCCCGGCAGCAACACATAAGCCTTTCCACTTTCTATATAAACACACCTGTATCTTTACTGTTTCCCTCTCCTTTTTTTTTCACCTGTTCTCCACCTTCACCTTTGTACATTCGCCTTTTTGTTTCTTTGTAAAATCAAGAGAAATCAGAATGAAATGACAACTATTTCCTGACTTGCTCACAATGCACGTGCAGATGCGTTTGATGTGTTTCTGAGTTGTTGTTGTTTATGGTCTGGTTTGTTTTTGCTAGTACTGAAGCGTGGTGGGCCGGCAGATTCACGGAATGCCTCTTGTTGTGTATCGATGTTGGTAGTCCGTGTACGTGACCTGCCGTCTAATGGCAAAGGCTATTATGATCGTCTTCTCTTTTCTTTCCATCTCTGTATCTCACCTCCTGTATTTCTTGTATCGCTGCCTCTCCAATTACTCTCTTTCTTTTGTTTTCGGTAACCACCGTTCGGGTCAGTATAGTGAAGCTAACGGTGGTGTTGGTATTATCAGGCACCGCCAACCGCGGAAAGCAACGGGTTTTTTTTTTTGCGTACTCTCTGCCCTTTAAACAAGACACAACGTGTGGGACAGCACACACCTGTTTTTCGTTGCTGTGTTCGTGTGTACGGGTCTGTGTGTGATGTGGGTTGACGTGCACGCATTGGCGGCACATTAATAGTTGTATTGCATTTTATCTCTTTCCGTCACACACATCCACCTCCGCCACCATCATAGAGACAGCCGGCTATTAATTGTGTTACTAGCAGTTTTCCTGGCGGCTGCGATTGAAAAGGGGAAAAGGAAGAGGTGCTCGGAGCTTTTAAGGCTTTCATTCTTGTAGTGGTGGTGGAGCTTCGCGCAGCGACGGAAAAACTGCAGAAAACAAAACCGGTAGTACCATTAGTCATGTGGGCAACTGCGTCGTTGCTGAAGCCCTGCGCTGCCGGCCTGGCCTTCTACCCCATCGGGAGAAACGTTGTCGCGCCTCATCGCGCAGCAGGCCTGCGATCGCTGCGATCACACTTGTTGACTGTGACAGCAGGGCGTGCCTCGAGCCCTCCACGAACCTTACGGCAGCACCCTCTATGGAGCCCTGAACGCTTCCTTACCACGCGGCGCTGCCTCGCACCCTCGTCTACCAAGTCCTCTGTCGCTCGGTCGAAGAGCGCCGCAAAGCAGTCAAATTCTTCCAAGTCTGCCGCATCGAAGAGCACCTGTAAAAAGAAGTTCGATGCTTTTGCTGATGGTGAAGAAACATCTCAGAGTGCACCGGCGCCTTCGCCAGAAACACACCAGCCGGCTTCTCGTTCGGCCTACGAGGCCTCCATTGCATTGGCAATGGTGCAGCAGCAGTCAACAGTTTTTGACGGTGAGGAGAGACATGAAGGCGTGCCGGCGCCATTTTTCAACCCGATTCCGCTGCGCTATCGGGAGGAGAAAAGGTATCAACTACTGCCCGACGAGGAAAAATTCAGCGATCTTATCACCAGCCCCATCGATGGAGTGTCAACACGGAAGATGGCTGAGACAATGGATTTTAGCATCTTCGATAAAGTGGAGGCGATGATGACGATACCCAACATCAACAGCTACGACCTGCACGCGGTGGACAGTATTACGGATGACATGGTGAGTTCCTTGAAGGGGCGCCGAATGATGTACCGCTTCATCCCGACCGAAGGACGGCACGTCATCCGGCGTGCGATTCTTTTGCAGCAGAATGAGCATAAAAGCCGTGTCTTCGGCGCGTCTCTTTACATGCGTATCGTGCACCCCTTCGACGTGGCGGCCCGCGCATCTTCGACTGTGTCGAGGCCTTCACAAATCACCAATGCGCCGCCGCAGCAGAATTACAAGCAGGAGGTGAAGCAGATACGCGACAAGATCGAGCGGGTTTTGCGCCGCTACGTAAATCGACTCATCGAGCCCTTCCCCAACGAGCTCGCCATCGACCTGACCCACTACCGGACTTTTCTCGCCTTGCTCGTTGTGAGTCGACGCAACGTGGAGCAGTTCAAGAAAGACGCCGCCGACTACATTGCGCAACGCCCAGTGAACCCAGAGGGCATCCCAGCAGGTCCACCGCCGCCGGAGGATCTGGAGCCTGTCTCAGTGGACGTGCTAGCGGCGGAGATTGCGCGGTTGATCCGTCGCGATGTACTGCAACCGCTGTACAGCGGCACCGACCCTGCGAACTCGCAGCTCAACGGCGATCGTGCGGATGTCGCGACAGCATCGTCAAACATCCCGCGCGTGTGCATCGGAGTGGCCTCGTCGCCAGTGCTGGCCAAGATTGCCTGTGATGCGGAGGTGACGGTGATTATGAAAAAACTGGAAGATTTGGCGGCGAGAGAGCAAGGCGCTGCATCTACCACAACCGGGGCGGAGAAAGTCTCGTTGATCTCTGTCCGCTCACTTCATCGTCACACGTCATCTCTGAAGGCGGTACGCAAGCTCCTGGCCGATTTTCCTGTCTCCCAGATCCCGCTGTTCTCACCATCGTTTGTGAAGCTGCTGCGGGAGGCGTTTGACATACGCACGTGTGAAGATCTCTACGTTCAGCAAAACGTACTTTGTTTCTGCCTTTCGCCCAATACGTTTCGTGTCTGTTACTCCGTTGCGTGTGGGTGCATGAGTTTCCCAATTGAAGACACGGTGGCGCTGGTAGCGATGAGCAACCTGTACAACAGCTGCAGTGCGTTGCGTGTCTTGTCCAGTAATGTGATGAGTATTGTGAATGCAGAGCGCACCAAGTTCGCCGTCGCCATCGATAACATCACGCGAGACACCTTCTCGTTCCGAATTCGCCAACCGCGCTTTTCCAACATTGGGTACGGGCGTCTCACCTCGGATGCAGACTTAGTCCAGAGCGTGCTGGACCTTGTCGACAGAAACTACCTGAAGGTGCACCGCAACGGAGAGACGTTCGGCGGACTGCACTGCGCCATCTCGGAAGGCTTAGTGACGAAGTACTCCTTCGACATTACCTTTACACCTTTTCTGCCGTTAGAAGAGGTGCGGAAAGCGGTAAAGGCCCAAATCGGTCCGCTTCTGCAGCACCGCAAACGTGACGGCATCGATGCGGAGGGCCTGTTCTGCACTTTCACTATCGCCTACACACAACTAGTCCCTATCCCGATGGTGCCGCCCGCCATGATGGAGGAGGCCGAGGGCTTGAAGGAGGCTGTGATGCACGTGAAGTATCAGATCTTTCGCTGCAAGTGGGTGAAGGAGGAGCGTAAGCAGGCGAAGAAGGTCATCAATGAGCCACGAGAGGTTCCCGCCCTGCCGGAGACAGGTGCTTCTAAACCACCGAAGAAGTCGCCAAGCGAGCCGAGAGTAGACGATGTCTTTCTTGTCTAGTTCCAGTTGTGAGGTGTGTTAATGAACGTTTAATAATGGACACACTCCGAGGGGGGGGGGGGGTAGGGGAGGGAGGCGGTGCATTGCGGTAACTCGGTTTCTGTCTGTTCTTTTAACGGATCGAAAGCCGTCTGCATTGGTGACAATCCCATAATCACCTCTCTCAGGCTTTGCGAAGCTCGGCTTGTCGAACGCATGGGCAACGGATGCGTTGCCTCTTGAATTTTCTCACCTTGTCGTTGTTTGTTGACATCCCAATTGACGGTCGCCACTGACTCATGAACTACCTTCATCTGCTATCGTAGACGCTATCGATTGTGAAACGGACTTTTTTAAATTATTCTTCACAGACACACACATGTATTCGTCGGATGACCATCGTAGGTTACCTCCTCGTACTCGCATTCTGTTAAGGTCTTTTCCCTTTTCTGTTTCTAACCTCGAGCTACACATTCAGAGAAACTCTACTAGTTGTATTAAAGAAAAAGGTTATGCAACAGAAGTGACGAAGTGCGAAGAATAATGTGGATAGTAACAATAGGGACCGTCATAGAACGACGGCGCAAACTGCGGTGGCTTTGCTTATGCGTGTTCACGTTGATGTAACGCAGCACAAGAATCCCGTAGGTGAGTTTTAGCTTCTTTGAGCTCTGTTAAAAAAGAGACGCTCCTCTTTTGGGGAAATAAAAAGGGTAATTTGTTTTTCCTCCGTTCACCTCTCTTTTCGAAAGCAGTTCTTTCGCTTGAGCTCACGTGCAGCCTCTTGTGCCCCGCGTGCTGCACGTGCTGTACCTTCACAGCGCTTCACAGGTTAAAGCAGTATCAAGAAACTAAATATATATATATATATATATATATAGATCACACGTTGACAGATGCGAGGATGGCTCCGTCCTACTGACCGCGCAGCCGTTTTGGGGCTTCCCGTTGTTGCACAGACGTCGTCCAAGCGCACGAGCACCCGCGAGCCGTTCTCGGCAGCGGTGCTGACCTTTTCAGAGCTCGCGGGTGCTGACGTGGTAGGCGAAATGGGGAGGGTAACGACCTCTCAGAGGGCTGAATTTGAGGTCGATGCGGTGGAGGAGGAGGAGAACTTGCAGTATTCCATCCCGCCTTCCGCCACTGGCGTCGTGGATGTTGACGCAGAAGGCGACAGGGAAACCGGTGCACTTCAAGTGGCATCTTCACATCGCAGTCGATGGACCCACGACGGTACGACGGCAAGTATGTTGACTCCCGCGGTGCATCGCCACCTCGTGCGTGATTCAGTTGTGCTGTCGTACCGCGACAACTGCTGTGATGGCTTGCAGACCGCCGCGTGGGCAACCCTCGAGGGGGTGTTGTCCGCTCCAGAAAAGGCCGATGAGCTGCTCGCGATTGCGGTGGACGAAAGCCATATCTTTCTTCGGCGCGGAGGCCGCGTGGGGACGCAAGCATCGAGCCCACGCAGCACGTACTCGTCCATGCCGAGTCTGTGCGTGTGGAAAACGGAGCTCGCAGAAGGACAAAGCGAGGGCGTCAGGCAGAGCGCTAATCCGCACACGTCAGCTACGCAGCAAGCCGACGAACTGTCCTCCGCCAACCGCAGCAGTGCTCTCCCCGTGTACTCCACACAGTGGAAACAAGAAGCCAGCATCCTCCTGCCCCACGCGCAGAATCAACTTTTTCGTGTTCGTCCACGTAATGGGGCGCAGTCGTCCATCGTCTTCTCTGGCCTTCCAGGCGACGGCGCAAGCACCAGCGATCGATGTCAAGCGGGGTTTGTGGCGCTCTCCTCTGCAGCGGTGTCGCTGGTGCACGCACGGGATGAAGGCGCAGAACTGACACCGCTGGAGCACGTCTCTTTCGACGGCGAAGTGGCGGTGAATGCGACCTGCATGGACGATTGGGGGCCTCACAGCCTCGTGGTTTGTTTCTCTGACGGTACCCTCCGCGTCGTTGACTGGCGAATGCCGTGTGCTAGCGCGTCGCCTTTGTCTTCACCCTCCTACGCAGAGGCACCAGGCAGCAGGGGTGCACAGACGAACTTCTGCATGACGCGAGCACCGCAGCCTCGCTGGCTCGGCACGCGACAGCGCAACAGCCTTGCCTTCACCTCCGTCGCTGGGATACTGTCGTGCTGTGCGCTGGAGGACAGCTTTCGCGTTGTCTGCGGTCTCGGCGACGCGTCAGGCGCGGTGGTGGTCGCCGACCTGCGTAAGCCAGATGCCCCAGTTGCTCAAAAACGGGGTCGTCGCAGCACGGTGGACATGCAGAAGGGCCGTCTCTTTTCCGATGTAGGCGGGCACGCGCCCACGGGTCGCGCGATCACGGAAATTTGCCGCGATGCACAGCACTTTGGCCGCGTTGGCGTAGTCGATTTGGCCGGCACGGCGGTCGTGACGCATATTAGTGTTCTCGAGGACACCGGTGAAGCCCTCATTGCTGACGGCAGACCTCTGCAGGGGCGACAGCGTGTGGACAACGAGTTGTCGCGTTCAAGAGAGTCGGCGAGATCGCTGGGGCCTTCCTTCAACCCATCTCGGCGAGGAGCTCGGCTGCCGTCACCGCCGTCCCCGTGGCAGATCCTCTCCCGCGCGGAGAGGACAGCAACCTCCTCTGCATTGTCGCTGAACAGCACTTCTCCGACCACACGGATGCTTGCCGGACGTACTGATACCCCCGTGCAGCCCCTCTTAGGCCGCAGTGGTTTCTGTCCACGTTGCACATTCACAAGTGATGGAAGCTACTTTGTGCACACTGAAGCAGGCAGCAGAATGAGCGCCACTCTGCGTTGCCTCTCGAGTACAACAGGCAGCCACGGATCACGTCCATCCGGCGCATCGTCACGTACAACGCACCTGCGATTCGCCCCAGCTGTGTCACACAACCCCGCTGCTCTGTCGACCTCTTTTGTAGCGGTGTCGAGTGTGGACCGGCTGGTGTGCTTCGATACAAGCGATGGTAACACCTTATCGATACTGCTGAAGTAACCTTATGTTGTTGTTCTTTTGTATTGCTGCGTCTCCTCTGTACTCCGCTAGTTTTTCTTTCCTTTGAATCGTTATGAAACTTGCCTCCCAATGTATGCTGCAGCAGCGCCAATAAATAGGCACTGAAAGTAGGAGAAGCTCAGCGTAGCCCACGCGTCTCTGGCCGTCAACGTTGGATCGCCATCGATCTTTTCTTCGTCTTTACGTTTAACTGCGTCTCTCCATCTTCCTGTGCTTCCCCCCGCCCTCTTTTTCCTCTTTTTTCAGTAGTGAAATAAAGTAAGAAGCTACTGTTTCACTCTTGCACACACTTGCCAAGTCCACGTGCTTCCCCCTCTCTCCCTTACCATTTCAGCCAAATGACATGCACTAACAGTAGCGTCGATGCTCGCAATCGACCGTCCGCCGCTGTAACCCCTCTCTCGCAGATGCACGATCTCCTCGTGTCGCTCCTCCACTGGTGGCCCTACAGTCCCTCTCAGCAATGCCCCTCGTTTCTTCTCTGCGGCCCGACCGCCAACGGCAAGAGCCACCTGGTGCGCCGTGTTGTCCACGACGCAAACAACACAGCTCAATGCAACGATGGAAAACACGACCTTGCCTCGCATGAAAGTCGCCGCCACGTCGTTTCGGTGACACCGCGCCTCGCACAGGCAGCGGCGGTGCAGGATGCGAAGGACGGCTGCACCGGTCTGCGCCGCTTGCTGCGCCGCACGATTCACGAAGCCTGCACCGACGCGCTGGGCAGAAGGAAAGAAGGAGACGCAGTTCACGCCGAAGAGCCGGTTGAACTTGCTGTGCTAGTTGTCTTCAACCACGTTGAATGCTATTGGACACACGGAGGCGAGTCCTATGTAAACAACGGCGAAGCGACGAGCACCTCCGCTGCGGCTGGTCAACGAAATGGAGAGGACGCCGCCTCAACTTCCGGCGTGAACGATGGCCTCAACACGCTTTACCCCTCTCTGCTAGCGGACTTGTACACCGTCTTCCGCAGCGCTCCGCCGCTCTTCTCGCAAGCGGAGTGCGCTGCTCTGCGACTGTCAACCGTCGTCTACGTGTCGCTCTTTACAGGAGAGCTAGACCAAGTGCAGCCCACAGTCCGCCAGCGCTACGTTGACTACGCCTTATCGTTGCCCACGCCCACGGAGGCGGAACGCACGACCTTCTTTCGGCCCTTTACACAATCCGCACACGGCGCAGCTGAAGCAGATGGTGCCTTGCTCCCTGTACTCCTCGCCGATGCGCTGGTGCTGCGCACTGGTGGCGCGTCGTATGGCGGTCTGCAAGAGATTGTCGCCTTGGCTCTGGAGCACGTCGCAGCTCCGGCGAGTGCTTCCTCCTCACCCGCTAATGCTGGCGCCTTGCCGCACACGCATACAGCGACGCAGTGGGGGCCGCAGACTGCCGGGGCCGCTGCCCAGTGTATTCTCCATGCCTACCAAACTAGCCTCTCTATCACCGCCCTCGAGTACCGCCGCAGCGCTGGCTTCGTAGATGTGCAGGTGACGCTCTGGGACGACATTGCTGGCATGTCGGACGTGAAGGCCACGCTGCGGCGACTCGTGACGGATCCGATCCGCCACCGCGATGCCTACTGCCGTTTCCACGTGCGCCCCTCCACCGGTGTGCTCCTGCACGGTCCGCCTGGGACTGGGAAGACGCTCTTGGCGAAGGCGATGGCGACGGAGCTGAACGCGTCTTTTGTTTACATGGACCTGCCAGAGCTCGTGCAGAGTGAGCTGGGGGAGTCGGAGCGGCGGCTGCAGGCGTACTTCGATGTGGCACGAGAGCGGAGTCCGTCGGTGGTGTTTATGGACGAGGTGCAGGCCGCGTTTGGCGTACGTTACGGCGATACCACCGGAAGGCATGACGGTCGCCCTCCGCGGTCTTCTACGCGCGCCGGCGGCGGCGGTGATGCGGGCAGGCCCGTGTCGACGACATCGCACGATGCGCGCCTCGTTTCGCATTTGCTTCGGCTGCTGGATGCCGCGCAGCAGGATGAGGAACATTTTGTGTTGTTTGTCGGAGCCACCAACGTGGTGCACTTGCTGGACCCGCTGCTGCTGCGCGCCGGTCGACTGGACACCCTTCTCGAGGTGCCCCTGCCCGACACGGCGGCGCGGGAGAGTCTCGTGAAGCGTGTGGTGTACGGCGAGTGGTCGCAATGGTTCAGCGGCGAGCGCGACGCCGCGGAGTCGGTGTCCGTCGCGGAGGACGCGCAGCGGCTCGACCGCATACAAGCGGCCTTGGTGGACGAATTTGTGCGCCTGTCGGATGGCTTTAGCGGGGCGCAGGTGAGGAACTTTCTCTCGGTCTTTGGGCTTCAGCTGGCTCGTACTGTGAGTCGTGGGGACTGGAGTGAGAGGGAACGCAACCAACCAGAGCGAGAGGGTGGTGACATTGGTGCGGCTGCGATGGGTGACGAAGCTGCCCAACGTCAGTGCCGCCTGCAAGACGCCATCACGCGGCTTCTAACTGGCGAAGATTCCAGTGAAGCGCTAAGTCGCGCCGCGTTGGACCTAATTTTAAGCTCTCACGCAAGGTCCCTTTCGTAGCCAGCGGGCGCGCTCTCGACCTCGCTGGTGCCGTGCTAAGCGGTTCCGCTCGTTGAAAGGGAAAATACTCTCCTTTCGATTGTTTTCACCCCAAAGAAGCACCAATACTCACGTATAACACAATACATTGCATGCGAATAGACCGAACACCACCAACAAAAAAGTCGTAACGGGAGAAGTCGTGAACGATGCTGCTTTCGTGTTTTATCATCACCACTGTTGCCTCGTGCTCGCATACTGGTGTGTGCGTTCTCTCTTCCACTAAGCCGGAAAGCAAGGCGTGCTGTAGGGCTTCCCTTGAGTACTTCCTCTCTGTGCACTTTAGAACGAGCTGTTGCGTATTCTCCCTCCTTTTTATTTGCCTTTTCGTTCCTCTTCAAAGTCCCTTACAACGATGGACCGTCTTCCACAGCTTCGTGCGGCCGCCGGCTTGGGACCGCTGCCCGTCTCCGCACTCGTCACCTCGACCCCACCACCCGAGTCGGCCAAAAACTTTAGCCTGCCCGAAGCGCCGGTCACGATTACCTTCAAGGAGCCGCCGAGCGAAATCGACCAGGACACGATGGAAACCCTCGCGGCCTTCTACAAGGACGCGGCGGAGGTGCAGGGCTGCGTCTCGACCATTCGGACCGTCATGCAGGAGTTGCAGCAGAGACACTCGGAGAACATGCAGACGGTGGATGAGGCGCGGTCTAAGGTTCTGCGAGGCGAGATCGATGACCTGTCGCGGCAGACCAGCGATACGGCGAAGGCGGCAAAGGACAAGCTCGACGCGATGTCGAAGAACACCGCGAAGCTGAAGGAGACTCCGGACAGCATCGCCGCCAATAGCGCCATCATCCGCATCGAGGAGAACCAGTACACGCACCTGGTGCTGAAGCTGACGGTGGCCATGGCGGAGTATCAGCGGCACCAGGCGGCGAACGAGGCGTTCTACAAGGCGCAGACGCAGCGGCAGATCAAGATCAAGTACACGAACCCGGACGGCAGCGCCATCGATGACGCGACGGCGGCGCAGCTAGCCGAGCAGGTGCTGGAGAACAACACGACGAGCTACATCTTTCAGCAGAGCAAAGACGTTCTCGCCTCCATCATCGAGACGCGCAACGACATTTACCGCATTGAGCAGTCGATGCGGGACCTGAACCAGCTCTTCAACGATCTCGCCTTCTTAGTAAACGAGCAGGGTGAGCTGATGGATGTAATATTGGCAAACGTTCAACAAAGTACGCGCTACGTAGAGAAAGGTCGCGAGGAGCTGAAGAAAGCTCGAAAGTATCAGAAGAAGAGTCGGAAGAAGTTGATCTGTTTAATCGTGTGTGTGTGCATCGTCATTGCACTGTTTGTTGTTGTTGGTGTGTTAGCCGGTACTCTTAAAGTGCATTAGAGGGCGCACGAATGCGGAAATGGGCGTGGACGTTGGTTGTGTTGGGACTCTTCCCATGTGTCGACGTGGCGAGTAGTGACAGAGCTCCTTATTTAACTTTTTTTTTGCGTTGGAGGTGCAGTATGTGCCCTCTTCCTGCAGCGGAATAATGAGCATTTTTCGCCGTATCTGCATGATGCTTCGTCTTCTTTTTTTTCTTTTGCTGCTGCTGTCATGCGACGTAGGATGATGTGAAAGCATATCCGTGCAGATGAAAACGATCTCCGTAGAGGTCGAAGGCTACCATACGCGTCGCTGTACAACTTGAAAGGAAACCACAGAAGACACTGCGGAGTCTCATTCATTGTGTGCTGATTGCGGTCCGATTATTATTATTTTCCTGTTTGATTGGGGAAGAAAACTTTCGTACGTCTTTGTTGTTATTCTCTTGGGTTTATTATTATTATTGTTTGCTAACTGTATTACTTGGGAAGTGCTGTACCACTTTTCGCGTTTCTTTGTTTCTCTCTTTTTCTATACTTGTGTCTGCTGAGAAATGGCAGAATAAAGTCTCCCTCTTCCCCCATGTGCGCAGATGTGATGCCGGTTGCTGCATTATGCACGTTTTGCTTTTTTCTTGTTTTTGCGGAGAGAACCTCCGTCGGTCATCAGTGCCGCCCCTCCGGAAGTTCTTACGTTTACGAAGCGAATGAAAAGAAGAACGAAATTCATACTCGTGCAAAGTTCTCGCGCTCTGCTGACTACCCACTTTTTCTGTTGCCATTTTATTTCCTCAAACCAATCTAACGACGAACAGCATAGCAGCCTTTTTTTTTTCTACCTGGATGTGACCATTCATTTTCTTCAGTTGTTGCCGGTTCAATGAGTGTGACTCTCCTGAAGTGTTTCTGCGACGATGGAAGCCACGTCAAACGTACGTCATGTGTCGGAGTATTGCCATTTTTCCCCTTTCCGGTTCGCCTCCTTTCTTTCGTTCTCTTTCTTTATTTTTGAGTAATCGACGTTGACCTCGGTGACCTGTCCAAATACATTGAGAACAACAGGGAGTGTGTCTTGGCTTCGGTTGCGTGGTTTTCTCTCCCCCTTGAAGTAGTTCTTTTCTCCTCTTGCGTACAAGTCAAAATGTAACAAATCCCTGTATAGGCGATGGATCGTTTGCAGCAGCTGAGAACGTACGCGGCGACCTGCGTCGGCTCCCAAGCGCCACCTCCGTTAACCTCATACACCTTGACCCCCGTATCAAGCAGCAAAACTGCGGCTGCTGTTGTACACGACAACCACCTCCCCAGCAGAAATATATTACAGCTGTTCTGCCGAGACGCCGATGATGTGCGGCGGGCCATCGATTCCATTTACACGGCAATGAGTGAGCTGGAGAGGCTGCCGGTGGAACGCTCGCTGGGCCACAGAGACCCCCACGCGGAGAAGTTCACCACCACTGCGAAGGAGCTGTCGCGGCAGACCAGCGATACGGCGAAGGCGGCAAAGGACAAGCTCGACGCGATGTCGAAGAACACCGCGAAGCTGAAGGAGACTCCGGACAGCATCGCCGCCAATAGCGCCATCATCCGCATCGAGGAGAACCAGTACACGCACCTGGTGCTGAAGCTGACGGTGGCCATGGCGGAGTATCAGCGGCACCAGGCGGCGAACGAGGCGTTCTACAAGGCGCAGACGCAGCGGCAGATCAAGATCAAGTACACGAACCCGGACGGCAGCGCCATCGATGACGCGACGGCGGCGCAGCTAGCCGAGCAGGTGCTGGAGAACAACACGACGAGCTACATCTTTCAGCAGAGCAAAGACGTTCTCGCCTCCATCATCGAGACGCGCAACGACATTTACCGCATTGAGCAGTCGATGCGGGACCTGAACCAGCTCTTCAACGATCTCGCCTTCTTAGTAAACGAGCAGGGTGAGCTGATGGATGTAATATTGGCAAACGTTCAACAAAGTACGCGCTACGTAGAGAAAGGTCGCGAGGAGCTGAAGAAAGCTCGAAAGTATCAGAAGAAGAGTCGGAAGAAGTTGATCTGTTTAATCGTGTGTGTGTGCATCGTCATTGCACTGTTTGTTGTTGTTGGTGTGTTAGCCGGTACTCTTAAAGTGCATTAGAGGGCGCACGAATGCGGAAATGGGCGTGGACGTTGGTTGTGTTGGGACTCTTCCCATGTGTCGACGTGGCGAGTAGTGACAGAGCTCCTTATTTAACTTTTTTTTTGCGTTGGAGGTGCAGTATGTGCCCTCTTCCTGCAGCGGAATAATGAGCATTTTTCGCCGTATCTGCATGATGCTTCGTCTTCTTTTTTTTCTTTTGCTGCTGCTGTCATGCGACGTAGGATGATGTGAAAGCATATCCGTGCAGATGAAAACGATCTCCGTAGAGGTCGAAGGCTACCATACGCGTCGCTGTACAACTTGAAAGGAAACCACAGAAGACACTGCGGAGTCTCATTCATTGTGTGCTGATTGCGGTCCGATTATTATTATTTTCCTGTTTGATTGGGGAAGAAAACTTTCGTACGTCTTTGTTGTTATTCTCTTGGGTTTATTATTATTATTGTTTGCTAACTGTATTACTTGGGAAGTGCTGTACCACTTTTCGCGTTTCTTTGTTTCTCTCTTTTTCTATACTTGTGTCTGCTGAGAAATGGCAGAATAAAGTCTCCCTCTTCCCCCATGTGCGCAGATGTGATGCCGGTTGCTGCATTATGCACGTTTTGCTTTTTTCTTGTTTTTGCGGAGAGAACCTCCGTCGGTCATCAGTGCCGCCCCTCCGGAAGTTCTTACGTTTACGAAGCGAATGAAAAGAAGAACGAAATTCATACTCGTGCAAAGTTCTCGCGCTCTGCTGACTACCCACTTTTTCTGTTGCCATTTTATTTCCTCAAACCAATCTAACGACGAACAGCATAGCAGCCTTTTTTTTTTCTACCTGGATGTGACCATTCATTTTCTTCAGTTGTTGCCGGTTCAATGAGTGTGACTCTCCTGAAGTGTTTCTGCGACGATGGAAGCCACGTCAAACGTACGTCATGTGTCGGAGTATTGCCATTTTTCCCCTTTCCGGTTCGCCTCCTTTCTTTCGTTCTCTTTCTTTATTTTTGAGTAATCGACGTTGACCTCGGTGACCTGTCCAAATACATTGAGAACAACAGGGAGTGTGTCTTGGCTTCGGTTGCGTGGTTTTCTCTCCCCCTTGAAGTAGTTCTTTTCTCCTCTTGCGTACAAGTCAAAATGTAACAAATCCCTGTATAGGCGATGGATCGTTTGCAGCAGCTGAGAACGTACGCGGCGACCTGCGTCGGCTCCCAAGCGCCACCTCCGTTAACCTCATACACCTTGACCCCCGTATCAAGCAGCAAAACTGCGGCTGCTGTTGTACACGACAACCACCTCCCCAGCAGAAATATATTACAGCTGTTCTGCCGAGACGCCGATGATGTGCGGCGGGCCATCGATTCCATTTACACGGCAATGAGTGAGCTGGAGAGGCTGCCGGTGGAACGCTCGCTGGGCCACAGAGACCCCCACGCGGAGAAGTTCACCACCACTGCGAAGGAGCTGTCGCGGCAGACCAGCGATACGGCGAAGGCGGCAAAGGACAAGCTCGACGCGATGTCGAAGAACACCGCGAAGCTGAAGGAGACTCCGGACAGCATCGCCGCCAATAGCGCCATCATCCGCATCGAGGAGAACCAGTACACGCACCTGGTGCTGAAGCTGACGGTGGCCATGGCGGAGTATCAGCGGCACCAGGCGGCGAACGAGGCGTTCTACAAGGCGCAGACGCAGCGGCAGATCAAGATCAAGTACACGAACCCGGACGGCAGCGCCATCGATGACGCGACGGCGGCGCAGCTAGCCGAGCAGGTGCTGGAGAACAACACGACGAGCTACATCTTTCAGCAGAGCAAAGACGTTCTCGCCTCCATCATCGAGACGCGCAACGACATTTACCGCATTGAGCAGTCGATGCGGGACCTGAACCAGCTCTTCAACGATCTCGCCTTCCTGGTGCGAGAGCAAGATGAAAGCTTAGATGTGATCTTAGTGAACTTTCAGAGGAGCTCGGAAGGAGTGGAAAAGGGTCGCCTGGAGCTGAAGCAGGCGCGCAAGTACAAGCGGAGCATTCGCAATAAAGTGGCCGCCACTTTAGCGGCGACTGGCGTCGTTGCTGGCGGTGCTGCAGCAGCTGCGTTGATACCCTGATCGCTTTAGTGGTTCTGCTTCCGTCTTGCAGCTTTCTCTTGGGATGCTACTTTGATCAGCATGCCGTTTGACGCAAGGAACGTAATTTGGTTATATAGTGTCTCTTGCTCGCGTCTTTTACAACAAAAGATATGTATTCTCTTTCTTTTTTTCTTTCTTTGCTGCTACGTCGTTCCACTATGCATGACGTTCTTTGCCCGCTGACCTTTCCTACCTGTGCGCCGTATAACTTTTTTTTTCTCTTCCTGGCCCGTTCGTTGTTGCCGCTGCTTTGTGACACTCCCTCCTTTATTTCCGCTGTTGTTGTTCGGGCTAAAACAACAAAAATCAACAACGTTGAACTCTCCTCAACGGATAAGTTTGGTGAGTTGTTTCGCCGTATCACGCCCGCTCATCTTGAACGTACGCTCGTACTGCGTTTCGACACCTACCAAAGTGTTGCCGTTTGTTGCTCCACTACTCTCGTTACCACTCCCTTTCCCTCTCGCTCCCTCCTTTGACGACCCGATTCCCTTAGGTCTTCTTTGCTCCTAGTCAGATCTACGTACTACACCGCCGCCATCATTGCTCTTCTTTTGTTTGTTCACGCCTCGATTCACTGCACCGAATTACCTCACGCCGTTGCTCTCTTTTTATTATTTGTATCCTTATCGCGCGCAACATCATGTCCGCGAACATTCGCACCGCGCTCTCCGGCACGAACGTCCCGATGCTGGTGGCTGGCCTCTCCGGCGGGCTCAGCGTGGTGCTCGGAGCGTTGGGCTCGCACGCCTTCTTGGAGATGATGGACACGAACCAGTTCAAGGCCTACAGCGTCGCCAACCAGTACCACATCGTGCACTCTGTCGCGATGCTGGTGGTGGCCGCCATTGCCCCCCGCGTGGCGGAGCCGGCGGCGACGCACTTTCGTCGGGCGTACGCCCTCTTCGCCGCGGGCACCCTCGTCCTTGCCGGCTCGCGCTACATCCACTGCACCGTCCACAAGCCGGACTTCCTGAGCAAGACGCCGCTCATCGGCGGTGCCTTGCTGGCGGCTGGCTGGGTGTGTGTGGCGATTGGCGGGTCGACGATGAGTGCGTAAGACACACCAAGGTTTTTGAGAACAGCGACTAACGTTGGGTTCTTGGAGCTTGTAGCAGGTGAGTGCCAGGAGGTATTGGCCTTTCCACTACCCACCCTTTTGTAAGTACTATCTATGTTCGTCTACCCACATCAAATGCGGAATGAAGGCTCTGACGTCACTGCAACATCTGTGATCATCTGAAAACAGACATGGAGGCATTCATTGCCTTCATAGCTCGCAGAAGAAGTCACTGGAAGAACGTGTGAGAGGGACAAGCGTTTTCTTTTTTGCTATTTCCTTGAGTGCAGCGCGAAAAAGATGGGCGATGGTGTTGACAATGCGGTACTTCTCTTATCGTTGTTTTATCGCCTCTTCTCCGTGGAATTCTCCGCGCACCGCACATCCTTTTATTTCGTTTTTAAAACCACTTCAACAAAATACAACTCAAGTTTTTCAAACCTGTACTTCCTTTAATTCACAAAAAGGACCTTTTTTGTGTCTGTTTTATGCATTGGCTAAGTGCAATGGCAGAGAAGTTCTCGAGCTGAATAGGATTGTTCGAGTGAATGCACTCTCCATTGACGGCTGAAGGTGTCATCTGGATGGGCCGGTAACAGTGTGAGGGGAAATCTGGTTTACTAATCTTTTTTTTCGGCATGGCGACGTGTAAGGAAAAAGGGAAAAGGTGTTGGGATATCGAACACAGCATCCCCTGTTTCGTTGTTGTTCTCTTCCTCCGTCATTGTCCGACATGCAGAGGGACGTACATGAAAAGTCCAAAAACGCAGCTTGGATGCATATAGTAACAACAAATGCTTCCTGTCTTCTAAGATGCCGTGCTAGGGGGAGGGGGGTGGAGGAGGACAGTGAAGGAGCAAACAAGAGCGATGATCTGTAGCAGCTCACTTCTCTACTTCTCTGTTTTCTGTGGCAAACGCAAACGCTGTTTTTAAGGTGATCGATTAGTGTTTTGTCGTTTCTTTGCGGGTGACTTTCAGTTGCTGTTGCTGCTTGCGCTTTCCGTTCTATATTCATTCTCTGCCGTGCGAACTGGGAAGTGTGTTATCATGCTTTACTGCTTCCAGATCATTTCTTTGTACTGCTCTTTCTCCCGCCTTTCGATCTCTTTGGTCACAAACAACAGCCTTTTTGTCCACCACAAAACACACACAGCTCCCCCACCAAAAGAAAAGCCTTCTCTCTTTTTTAAAGAAAGGATGATGTCGTTGAAGTCTGCACATGTTCCGATGATGCTGGTTGGCGCCATTGGTGCGTCCAGTTTCGCAATGGACTACGTCGGCTCCCGCCTCAAGACGAAGCTCAACATGCGGCAGCGCCGTTCATGGCTGATTGCGAACCAGTATCACATGTCGCACACCGTCGCCCTGGCTGCCATCGCGTGGATGATGACGCTGGCGAAGGAGTCGCCGGAGGCCTCTTCTCGTCTTCAGAAAGGCTTCTACCTGGTGATGGCAGGTGCCTTCGGGTTTGCCGGCTCCATCTACTCTCTCTCGCTGCGCTGGTGCCCGAAGTTTATGGGCCCTCTGACCCCGACAAGTGGACTTGTGCTGGTGCTAGGCTGGATCAACGTGGGCCTGGCTGGATTGTACTGGTAGTTTGACAGCGTTCAGCAATCGCAGCAACAAGTCTATCGTTTTAAACTTCTTGGCTGCTGCATTTGAGGGGGCGGTGTTTCTGCGGTTCTGAAAACGAAGAAGCCGACGGAGTCATAGGAATGGGGGGGGGGGGAACGACGAACAAAGGATAGGCGCTGTAGTGCTTCGGTCTGCTTGTACGTACAGCGCAGATCATGGGCAGCGCAACGACAGAGAGATGAAGAGATTTTCTGACTGGGCGCGAGTTCTCTTTGCTCCTTTCCATGTTGTTATTATAATCGCTCGTGCTTCGAGGTCGCTCCTTTGTTCACCGCTTTCGGCCACTGTAATTCAACTCTACGTCAAATTTAACGCACTTAAAAAGAAAACTTGTCACTTCACATTTATCAACAAATATGCCGGGTAACGTTTTCTATTTATTTATTTGTTTATTAGTCGTTTCGCCCGTTATTCGGAGCGGGTTGCGGTAGTGATTCCTTGCCTGTTACGGCTCACTGTTTCTAACTTTAGCGGACTGCTCCAAAGCAAACAAAAAGAGAAAGAAAAAGGCATTGTTTGTTCTTGCGCTCTTTTCAGATCTCTTCTTTTGTTTGTTTCACTCACGAGGTTAGGACCAACGATGAGGGCTCTGCGTGAAGTGCACGCAAAGACGGTGAGGCTTTGTAGTGGCACTTTGCTCACAGAACCGAGCGGCGCAGGGAAGAATTCTGAGCTGGGGTACTCGATGGGTGTGGAGATAATCTCCTGCATGCAAGACGGCGCGTTGAAGCTGCGCAATGAGCGAAACGAAGGCGCGCTTTGAACTCCACACAAGAAGAAAAAGAATTAACGAAAACTTGCCGAGCTTCCGCAGCTACGGAGTAAATCCTCTATCGTTTTTTTTTTCTTGCGGTTGTTGTTTCTCTGTTGTTTTGTTATTACGACTCTTCTGTGACCGTAAAGAAGGAAGAAGGGCGGCTTTTGACTTCTAAAAAGAAAAGATAAGAACGGTATCTGCTGTGGCGAACTCCGCTGTGGTGTGTTGAGGGTAAAAGAAAGAGAAAAATACGCTTTCATGAGTCACCAAAGATGCACGATTTCTTCTGTGGTTTCCTTTCCTGCTGACTTCTCCTTCCCACCTTTCCCGTCTTTTTTTTTCTTCCTTGTGCGCTTCCTTCTCACCACGGCTATGGTTTTCGCTGGTTGACGGTACTTGTGTCTGCCCTTGTTCGACGTGTTGTAGCAATACCTTCTCACTGTACGCTTCTTTTTGATCTATCGCTCCCAGACTTTCCTTCTTTCCTTCTAACCGTTTTCTCCTCAACGGAAACAACTTTCTAGCTTTCTCCTGTTCAACAGCATCAACTGGAAAAAAAAAACACGTCAACTCCACCATGGTCTGCGTCCCTCTCGTCTACAGCGGCATTCTTGGCTGCACCGCCTGCATTGCCGGCGCCGTCGGCTCTCATGGCCTGAAGAGCAAGACCGAGGAGCAGCGCAACGCTTTCTTGATCGGCGCACACTACCAGCTGATGCACAGCATCGCCGCTCTCGGTGCGGTGGCCTTCGGTCAGGTCGTCAAAACGACGAGCCCGGTCGCGGCGAAGCGCTTCACCATCGCGGCGTGGTTGTTCCTGGCCGGCACCACTCTCTTTTCGGGCACGATTTACGCGCGCACCTTCGGCGCCCCGAAGGAAATGGGTCGGTTGGCTCCCACGGGCGGCTACGTTATGATGGGCGGTTGGGCGTGCCTCGCCGCGGCCGCTTTCGCACTTTAGCAGGTGCTGTTGTTTCTCTCCTGTACCCCGACACCCGCGAAACAAACCAACAAATAAATAAATAAAAACGGCGAACTGAAAATGCCTTTTTCCTCGCACGAGACACCGCACAACGGTTTATATATGTACATGTATTAGAGAAAAGTAGCACTGAAAGATACTCGGCCCCAGTTCATCTGGTGAAGCACCGCTCTTTCTGAGAACAGCACAAGCACGGTCTCGCGTTATACACCCACCTCAAAATGGACAAGTTTTATTCCCCAAGTTAATACTTTTGATTTTTGTTTTTTGGAGTTTTCTGATTGAAGGAAACCCGCACACTCAAAAAATAATAATTAAAAACCGATTGACGCCGCTGAGCAGCTCGCGTTGTTTACTTCACCTTTAACGTTACTGGTTGCCTTCCGTGGCTGGGGCTCGCCAAAGAAAAAAGGAAGCCGGGTCAAAGCAAACAAAGAGCACATGTGTATGGGTGTGAGTGGTGTTCTGGACGGGCAGCGTAGATTTTATCACGGCAGCCGCTCTCTCGAGACCCGTTTTGTGTCGTGGTGTCCTTTTATCCTATCTTCTGTCTTGACTGCGATCCTCAGTGCCTCACCGAGTGTTACTTTTTCTGATCCCTTATATCGTGTGTTCACCGTCTTCTGTGTTCTTTTTCTGGTCTTTACTCAGTGAAAGCTCTTCGCCTATCGTTATCCAGCTCTTTATATTTATACCGTAAAAACTAAAAAACTCCTTCAAAAAAAAAAATGGTCCACACTCCTCTTGTCTTCTTCACCGCCTTCCTTGGCCTTACGAGCATGGTTGCCGCCGCCATCGGTGCGCACGGCCTCCACAGTTACCCCGAAAGCGCACGTCAGATGTTCCAGTCAGCCGCCCACTACCAGATGTTGCATGACCTCGCCGCTATCGCGACCCTTGCTCTGGCGGAAGCTATACGCCCCACGAATCCGAAGGCCGCGAAGTGGATGGACATTGCGGCGTGGCTCTTCGCGGTGGGCACGACGTTCTTCTCCTTCACAATCTACGCCACCACCTTGGGTGCTCCGCAGGCACTGGCTCCGCTGACACCGTCTGGTGGGCTGATGATGATGACGGGGTGGTGCCTTGTCATGGTGGCGGCCTTCTTCCTGTACCACACAGGAGCGCCAGAGTAAGTAGTCACTGTCCTCGCCGCACTGGATCGATTCGTAGGCGTTTTCTCCGTTCTTTTCTTTCGATAGCTAATTTTTGTTCTGTTGAGGTGACGAATTCCCGGCCCTTACTGGTGCCACGTAACTGAAAACCCTGTTGAAGCCTTCGGACTTCGAGCTGTACCGCTCTTTTCGTTGTTTGTAAAGTGCTCGCCGCATGTCTGGTACGTTCTGTCTCCTCATTTTTTCTTCTTTTTTCTTCTCCTTCTGTTGCGGGCTCGTGGCATTGATATCATCGCCGTCAACACACAAAATACTAAATTCTCCGTTTTCTTCTCTTTTCTTGTCTTTGTTTTTTCATCGTTCTATTGTTTCCAACTGTCTCATTTAACTGTTCAAAATGGTTCTTTATTTTTGGTGCCTTGACCTACAAGAGAATGGAAGGTGGGAGAAGCGGCAACGAGAAAAACGGGCAACGTCAAGGAGCAACACCTTTTCCTTGGCTCTCGCTAGGTGTACGTGAGCGTGCGTCTCTGATCCTTCACAACAACAGAAAAAGTTCTGTAGGGAGCACGACGGCTGTGTCCTGCCTGCGGAGCTTCGGGATCGTATGCATGTACTCCTCTCCTCTCTCGACGCTATTCCTTCGCTTTTTTCGTTTTCTTTGTTGAGTCCTTGTGCTTCTCTTTGGTCTGCCCCCGTCATTCCACGCATTCTCAACGTACACCATTCCACAGACGTACGTACTTCGGACGTCCTACTAAGAGTTTTTATTCAACAAAACCCGTAGAGCCACAAAAAGGGATTAATATCAGAAGAAAAAACAATAAGGAAAACTAAACGTGCAAGCAATCTTAACCTTATGGAATCGGTTGTTGCAGCAAGCACGCTGCCGTAAAGACCCTCTCCCCCGCCATCTTTCTTTGTAGGTGAGAGTTTTGACATTCCAAAGAAAGTTTCGACTCGGTGTAGTGCTTCCTGAGAGGTCGTGTTTCTACTTTATTCAGAGACAGTTCGCCTCGTCTGTCGAGTTGCCTTTCCCCACTTCTCTTCTGTGCGATCTGCACCTTCTTCTTTTTTTTTTCTGCAGGGCATTTCATTCATACTCGGATCTCTGCCTTCTTTTTTTCTCTCAAACACACGCACATATACGAAACGGTTGACCATTCCTCGTATCTCCTCTCAACAAAGCAACAACATTCTCAAAGAAGAAAAGAGGAAAAATGCCACCGAAAGCCAGTCCAACCACCTCGAAGGAAGCGGCAGACCCCATGCTACAGGATACGTACCTCCAGGACGACACGAAGGACTTCGAACCATCAACAAACGAAATCGCAGCGTTTGAAGACCGCTTGCAACACGGCGGAGCAGCGACCACCTCTCACGGGGGACACCCTCGTCGTCACACCGCACCAGTGGCCGAACCCGCTCGACCTGCAAACCACGTTGCTCCTGCGGCGAGCCACCAACACTCGGTGCCGTCTTCCTCTACTGCGGGAGCTGCATCAGCGGCGCAGCGCGGGAACGGGCAACGCCGCTTGTCCGAAGCGGAGCAGGAGGAGGACATTCAACGCAAAGAAGACGTGGATGATGTGCGCCACCTCGACAACAACTTCGGCGGCGTAGAGGATGATAGCGACTAGATACGAAGATCACAGTGCGATTTCTTGGTTGTTTTACCTTGTTTTTCCCCCCGTGATGTGTGTGTATGTGTGTGCCGCTCTAATCGCTTCCTTTAGTGGATCTTGATGTACATATTCGATTTGAAGCTCGCAGCCTCTTCGTAGGCCACGCGGACCGCTGCACGCACTATGGCTAGCTGCTGCAGTTGCAGAAGATTTCGCTGCCATTCTGGCTCTGTAGACATGGATGCATTTTTTTTTCTTGCTTTCATCAATGCTGAGTTTTATTCGTGACGCGTGTCGTTTCACTCTGCACAATGGCGTACTTGAACCTACCAAGGATCATCTATGGAAAATGAGGAAGATGGGAAAAAAAAATCTAGCAGATGCTGACTGTCAATGGCGGAAGGCTGGCTTGCTGTCAAGTCTTCGTGCGCTTCTGATAGCTGCGCTATGGCTACGATTTTTGCTACAACGAATGTAACTAATACGTGACCAAGCCTTTTCGTTTTTTGCTGATGTCAGCATTTTAAAATCGTGACGAAGCTCTCCATCCTGCATAACGAAGTCTCCTCGAGCTGTCCAACCCTTCTCAGCATTTTCCACCCATCTCTTTTTTTTTTTTTGACCTGCGTAGGAACGTGGATGACGCAGTGACGTCAATAGAAGACCCCAAAAAGTTCACAATGATCGACAGCAACGTATTCGATAGAAACACTCAACCGCTACCTCTTCAAAAGGGAAAGAAAAACAAGATCATAGAGCGGTAGAACACCGCACGGTTTTGCTTCGCGATGGCGGACAACGACGTCGATGAAATTTTGCAGAAGTTCTTCGTCACCATCGCTGAAAAGGACGCCGATGCCTTCAAGTTGTACGAGGACAACAAGCGGATGCGCGATTTGGTGGAGCAGACGTTGCGCGCCCGTGAGGAGCTCGAGAGCCGCCACCACACAACGATTGTACTCGTGAAGAGCTTGCAGACCGCGTTGGACGAAAAGGAACGCCTGATTGCGGCGCAAGACAGCGAGAACGCGGCGTGGCGGGAGCACATCGCGGAGCTCCGCGCGCTGCTGGACCGCCCATCCGAACTCCAGCACGGCCTGGGGGATGTCGTGGAAGATGTGCGGAACATGTCGGCCGAGCTGCGCAGCTTGCGGCACGCTTTCCAGTACGCGCAGTGGTGCTGTGATGGATGGGAGCAGTACGCGGCCGAGGCGGTTGTGCAGCAGGAAGTTCGAGAGCGAGCCGCGCTGGAAGAAACCGCAATGACGCTGCTGGACACTCTGCGGCAACACACAATGCAGCTGTATTTTGTTATGCGCGATGCCAAGGCGCAAAACACGACGTCTTCCGGGGCTGTGAAGCAATGGGAGGCATGGTATGCCACGGTCGAAGACGAACGTGCGAAGCTCGTGGAGATGCATGAAAAGGCCTTGCGTTTCGCAGAGCTGGAGGCGAAGGAGCAGCAAGACCGTGCGGAAGCCCTTCGACATGAACTGAACACGACAAAAGAGACCTTGGAGTTGCAGGCACGCGACGAGGACCATCAGTTGCAGCTGCGCAACGTAGAACAAGAGAGCTCAGCACAGTTGATGACACTGATGGAGGGCCGCTGCCGGTCTGCGGAAACGAATTGGGCTGCTACAGTTCATCAGCTGCGTTGTGTCGTTCATCTGCTTGCCGCGGCTCAAAGAGAGAAAGACGACTACACAGCGAAGCACGAGCTGGTGCTTCTCACCCTCGAGCACACCCGGCAGCGTCTCTTCAAGCTCACCAAGCAACTCGACCAGCTGAAGCAGCAGCAGAGCGAACTGGAAGACCTGCAGCAACGTTGTAGTGGGCAGCAGGAAGACCTGCGCACTCTCCGTGAGAAATACCTGGCTGTCACGGACAAGGAACGAAGCCTGCGGCAGCAGCTACATAGTTCAACAGAAACTGCCGCCACGAAACTGCAAGCGGCTGAAGAAGCGGTCTCGACCAGCCAACGCCACCGCTTCTCCCTGGAGGAGCGGCTGCGCGCAACGCAAGACGAGCTGAAAGTGCTGCTGAAGGAAGTCGCAAATCTGCGCCGGCAGAGCGAGGAGCATCGCGCAACGCAGGCGGTGCTGCAGGCAACGCAAGAGCAGCTCCGCGAAACGGAGAAGCACTCCTTCAACTTTCAAGTCGCGTTGGACAGGCTGAAGGAGGAGCAGGAAACACAACTGCGTGCGGTAGAGGCACGGCATTCAGACGAGCTGGCCGCGTTGAAATCGGCGCACAGCGAAGAGCTTGACCGCGAGGCGCGAGTGGCGCGCTCGGCAGTCGAAGAAGCGGAGACGACGCTGAAACGCGCGCGGGACGCACATGCGAAAGACAAAGATGAACTCCAACGCGAGTTGCAGGAGTGGATACACGAGGTAGAGGCGCAACGGCGCGAGAAGGCCGCTCAACAGGACCGACTTGACGCGGAACGATCAGCGAGGCAGCTGCTGGAGCGTCAGTATCGCCAAGAGACGAGTGTGGTGCGCAGCGTGATGATGGAGCACAGCCGCGAAGAAGCTCAGCGTGGCCCGCAACTGGCAGAATTGGAGGTGCAGGTGCGTTCCATGACACAACGCAACGAGCTGCTGGAAGAGGCATGCCGTCGCAGTGCGAGCGTCATCGCTCAGCTGCGTGAGACGCTGCATCGCGAGCAGATGGTGTGCCGCACCCTTCGACAGCGTGCCGCTGCGTTGACCCCATGACTAGGTTCAAATAGCGGCTCCTTTTCGTCCGTCAATGAGCATGGCGGCCTTCAAGTTTAGCTTTGTTTCCTCCGTTCTTTGTACAGTTTTCTTCGTGGCGGGGTTCTCTCCGCGTCGTACACGTATAAGAAGAAAAAAGGCGACTAGTTGTAAATGAAAATGCCGTGGAACACTTCAGCGGCATTCTCGCTGCTCTTGAAGTGGACGCCGCGACAAACGGAAATCAAATGTCATGCGCCGCTTTATTTCACGACTCCGAATGCATTCTTGCTTCTTCTTTTCTTCTTCTTCCCTGCCGGGGCCCCAGAACAAAAATAAAACTTGTCTACCTGTGGTATTTCCCTTTGCGACGCAGCTCATACACTCCCACACACCTTTTGTATCTCCTGCTTGCCGTGGGTTTGCTGAAAAGGTGCACTTCGAATCTTTCTCTTCCTGCAAGTTTTTTTTTTCTTGATTACAAGGTGGAGCAAACGTTTGATTAGATACATAAAATGGCAGCGGAGGAAGTCGATGATATCCAGGCCAACGTGCTGGCCATCCCCACCTTCGAGGCGATGGGGCTCAAGGAGGACCTGCTGAAGGGCATGTACAGCTTTGGCTACAAGAAGCCCACCGCCATTCAGAAGCGCTTCATTGTGCCGTTCCTGAACGGGCGCGATGTGATTGCGCAGGCGTCGTCGGGTACAGGCAAGACCTCCGCCTTTTGCGTGTGTCTGCTACAGGCATGCAATCCGCAGATCCGCGAGACGCAAGCCCTCATCCTGTCTCCGACGCGCGAGCTGGCCGTGCAGACGCAGGACTTGTGCAACAACATTGGTCATCACATGGGGCTCACCGCGTACGCGTGCATTGGCGGCAAGAGCACCGAGGAGGACGTCCGTCGCCTCGAGAGCGGCATCCACATCATCTCCGGCACCCCAGGTCGGGTGTTCGACATGATGCGACGCAAAAGCCTGCGCGTGAACGGGCTCAAGACGCTCGTTCTGGATGAAGCGGACGAGATGCTCGGCAAAGGCTTCAAGGCGCAGATTCACGACATCTATCGCATGGTGCCGCCGCTGCAGGTCATTCTCGTGTCCGCCACGCTGCCGGCGGATGTGTTGGAGATGACGGAGAAGTTCATGACAGAGCCGGCGAGCATCCTCGTGAAGCGAGATGAGATTACGGTGGACAGCATTAAGCAGTACTTCGTCTCCGTCGACGAGGAGCGAAACAAGTTTGACGTTCTGCTGGAGCTTTACGACAGCCTGACGATCGCCCACGCCGTTGTGTTCTGCAACACACGCAAGAAGGTGGAGCAGCTCGCGAAGAAGATGACGCGCGAGAAGTTCACCGTGAGCGCGATGCACGGGGACATGCCACAGGCCGAGCGAGACGAGATTATGCGTCAGTTCCGCGACGGGCACAGCCGCGTGCTCATCACAACCGATCTGTGGGCACGCGGCATTGACGTGGAGCAGGTCTCGCTCGTACTGAACTACGATCTGCCGCTGTCGCGTGAGCAGTATATCCACCGCGTGGGCCGGACCGGTCGCATGGGCCGCACGGGGCTCGCCATCACTTTCGTGCGCCGCGACGAGCTGCGCCTGCTGCGCGACATCGAGCAGTTTTACGCCACGCAGATCGAGGAGCTGCCGGCGAACATTGGCGAGCAGGTGTGAGAGAAGGCACTGATCGGCGCACTTGCGTACGCGCGTGTGTGTAGAGGTGCGACGTACAGGTGCTACGTACGGGCTCTTTTTCGTGTGTGTATTCTTGTTTTTCGCTTAACATGACTTTTGTGATGGGCGTGCGTGCGCTCATGCGTTGGTGTGCGGGCGGCGGCCACCCTCGAGTGATAAAGGTAACCGTAGTGGAAGGCAACGGATGATGAAAGAAGAAAAAGGGAGAACGGGAGAGCGAGTGGCGCTGTGTCATTCCCGTTCTATGGCACCCTCTGGTCCCTGACTAGAATCGTTGTGTGTGTCCGTGTGGCTCAATGGAAGAGCATCTGACTACGGATCAGAGGGTTGCAGGTTCGAATCCTGTCACGGATGTTTTTTTTTTTCATGAATCCTCAAACCCCAATTCCACCTCTCCAGCCCCTCCCCGTCGCCTTTCTCTGCCCTTAGCATTGCTGCAAAAGCCTTGCTTTTGTCACTCAACACCACGAGTGCGCTGCCAGCTGTCTCTCACACGGTTCGCCGTAAAAGAAGACAAAAAAACGCCTAACGATAAACAGTAACGCGGCGATCCACAAGCGTTGGAGCCGTCACAAATCATCATAAAAGGAAAAACTATAGCGAAGGGCCATCACTCCGCGGCTCTGATTTCCGTTGGGTTTCTTTGTGTGTGTGTTTGTGTGTGTGTGTCTTTTGTTTTTTCCCCCTTGTGCTTCTTGTACAGAACACGTCACCTCGTTTTCTGTTCCAGCGGAAGCGTTATTGGTGCTTGTTTTTGGTGCTTGTGCGTCGGTTGGCGTCAGATCGTCTACCCAACGGTCCATCCAGAAGCTCTTTGTTCCAACATTCAGAGCAAGCCTCCTTTCTTGTTTGTGTGTTTGCTCTGAAAACATTAGCGCCACTCGCTAATACCGTTTGCTTCCTCCCTTTTTTGTTGTTATTTCCTCTTGATCAGCTAACCATAACAGTTCCGTTTCGTTTTTTTCTTGGTTTGCTTTTTCCTTGTTCCTCTTCCGTACGATTCCTGCGTTTACGTGTCTAACGCACTATTTTCCATTCTTTTCTTTCTTAACACGAGTGTCCAATACTCTTTGCTTTTTTTTTCTGTTCTGCTTTTTTAGTAATTATTTTCATCACTGATTTCCTTCTCTGGCGTGATTGGCTGCTTCATGAAAAACTGCATCGGTTCTCTCTGCCTATCCTTTTCCTGTGCAGCAGAATCTGACTAGTTCTGTGTGTGCGTGCGCGTTCGTGTGAGTTCAAGTAAGCAGCTACACCTTTCTTCAGACATGATGGTCCCTCCGTCTAGGGCGTCCTCGAACTCGCTGTTCCAAGATGTTCCGCGCGGCAATAAGTTAGACATGACGAGTCCGGGAAACGGGCTATTTGGAACCAGCGCAGCCGCCGCACCGCGTGCGGGGCGTTACTCAAACGTCAGCTGCGCCTTCGTCAGTTACCGTGGCAGTGCGTGTTCGTTAGCGGATTACGTGGAAGACGACGACCCGAGCGCTGCTGTGCTGCGTGGTGACAGCGATTTTAGCGGCATGACACCGTCCGCCTCGTCGAACGCGTTCGGCCGCAGCGGCCGCAACGGCGAGGCACAAACGACGATACCAAAGCGGAAACCTCCCCATCTGTTTAAGCGGCTGGCGAATGAGCTTCGATGGATGCACAACAACTTCAAGTACGGTTACCACTCTGGCTACACCCCGAAGCACCACCAGCAGGACAGTCCCGGCTTTCTCACTACTCCTCAGACGACGCGCGACGATTTCGGAGTGCCGGAGGACGAGGAGGAGCTGCTGACAATGAGCGTGCGCAGTTCCCTTCGCCGGTCCTCACGCAGCCAGAGTGCTGTGACATCTGCGCGCGAGAGCGGCAAGAGGACCACGGCGGCAGCTTCAGCGGAGAGCGGCGCCAGACACGGACTGCAGAAGACGCGCTGGCACACCATGGAAAACGGAGAAGTGGAAGCAATACGGATGCCGCGGGTGCCGCGGACCACGCCGGACCCATACGCACCGCCAGACTGCTGTTACGTGGTGCGCCACTGTAAGCGGGAAACCGACGCAGCAGGAGAGGCGAGCCGCAGCGCGAGCTGCTCGAGCGCCGCGAGAAGGAAGCTTGGCCCTTCCGTGGATTCGGCCGAGGAGGTGACGCTGCCTGATGCGTACTTTTCCGGCAGCATGATGTCCTACACGGACAGCGATGGCGATGACCACGACTCGTTAAACTCTTCTTCTTCTGAGCGGGTGCGTGAAGACGACAGCAGCGACTTGGAAGAGGGGGCCACGATGGGCGCCTGTCTCTCGGATCGTCAGCGGGCCTCCGACGACACTCTGAACGACCTCGCCGCAAAAAGCGGAAGGAGGCGCTCCGACGCAGCGTTTAATGACGGTTATGATGAGTTCTTATGCGGTGTAGCTCAGTTGCAACGTCAAGTCCACAAGCTGGAGCAGCACACGAGCCAGCTGCGCGAACTGTACGCGCGAGAGCAGAAGGCACGGCTGCACTGCAAAAGCAAAGGGCAGCACCTTTCATGGACGCGCACGATGGAGGCGGCGAACACGATCCAATTTTGGCGTGTGAAGGTGACGCTTCTGCGTCACTTTGAGTCGCAGTACGTCAACGCGGTACGGCGGCTGCAGCAGGAGCTTCCCTTGGTCGATCCCGCGAGTGAGACGGCGTTTTTGTCAACACTGTACAAGAAGGTGGAGGATGTCTCTTCCCCCCTCATGCAGTCTCGTCGTAGATTCGTGCAATCGTCGCGCGTCATTGCCGCGCAGCGGAAACACCTACGGGCTCTCGGGGAGCAGCTACAGAGCTGCTGGCAGACGAACGCCAACCTGCGCGAGGAGCTGCGTCAGTTCGAGCAGTGGGAGATGCGCAACCCGCACGACACCTTCGCCGTGGCGGGAATGGACGCGGAGCACTTTATTGCCTCCCTCCCACCCCGCATCTCCGCCTACGCGCTGTGCAGCGACTTTGCCAGGACATCTCCGCCGTCACCGCACGACACGGATGACGCGTCGACGCCGCGGCTGCTGCTGACTGCCCAAAACCTATCGCCTTCGTCCGACGACGACAACGCACACGTCGCTCCGCAGGCCACCGAGGCCACCGACGCGATAAGTAAATCCACCCTCCTCGGCCGTGCCACTGGCGACGCCGCACCGCTCGCGTCCTGCATTAAAACTACCGCCGCGGATGTGGCGTCTTCCGAAGCCGCGCGGCCCGTATCGCCGCTGTCGTCGAAGCGGCTCAAGTACGTCATTCAATCCGCTACATTCGACACGGACGACACAGCGGCTACAGCAGACGCCCACGCCAACAGCACGAGCGGGCGTCAGTCCCACCGGTGCAGCAGCGCCAGCCGCACCACCACCCCAATGGCCGGTGCGGTGTCCTCCTTCGAGTCCCAGCAGCGACGCCGGCGTGAGCGTCACGTCACCTTCGCGTTGGAGCCGGAGGTGCTGGATGCCCGCCCGCGCTTCAGTGCACACGGGCGCACCATCGAGCTCTTGGAGCACATTTGCAGAGATAAGCAAGTGCAGTGGAGCGGGCTGACGCTGCTGCAGGCGGCGCTGGACGAGCGGAATGGCGAGCTGGCCGCGATGCAGGCGAGCTGCAAGGAGCAGCCGGAGGAGGAAGAGGAGCAGCCGGAGTTGCTCGCGCGCGCGGTCACTGCTACTCCGATTTGCGCCAACATGCAGAACTTCCACTGCGCGAGTGAGCCGCACGAGACAGACCCCGATTCCGTTTTCAAGCCCCCGTCTGATTCTGCCTCCCTTGAGAAGACAAAGTCGACTGGAAAATGTTGCAAAGTGAAGCCGAATGAGTGTGCGCAATGCGTTGTCATGTGAATCTGCATCCTCTTCACGGTTTACAGCCTTCCCCGTACTTCTGTTGTGTGTCATGCCCCTAACATTTTTTCTTTCCTTTTCCCGTAAACGGGAAAAACAAAACACCTTCGATTGTTTTTGTTTGATGAAGCCTGAAATTGTCTTGTTATATGCGCCTTCTCTTTTTTGTACTCTCCGGTTCTCTTCTCCTTTTTTTCCCGACCACATCTTTGATTGTTTCTCGTTTTATACTGTGTTTTGGTCTCTTTGCAATGCGTTATTGAGTATAGGTAACTCGAAACAAAACTTCGCACATATGTAAGATGTGCTTCTACGATAGAAAATAAAGGAAAGAGAGAGAAGGTGCGAATCTCTCGTTTCCCTTTTCGTTGCGAAGTCCCATCAAGCCCGTGCTGGGCCTCCTCCATTCCCGACGGAATGCTGCTGCATTGTTTAACAATAATATATGAGCCTGGGTGTTTTTCTGCTGTTAACCGTGTCATGACGCGTTCATTTTTTTCCCCCTTTTTTCTGCACGAGTGCGTAAAACGACCACCAAGAAACTTCTACAGAACTTTTCCCCCCTTTCAAAAAAAAGGTCGCTCATTATTTTTAGTTTTTAACTCTCACTAACATCTATTATCTCTGTGTCACGTGACTTCTTGTTCTCGCTCCTCCGCTGTTGACATCTTCACCTCCAACGGTTGGCCTGCGCTCATTTTCTTTTCTTTTTTGTACTTCAGTGTTCCCCTGTTTGAGTACTGATGCAATGCACCACCTGCAGCTCTCTATTTTCCTCTCTCGCACTCCCTCTCCCTCAAAAAAAAAAAAGGAATCAACCAAACTATACATGAAACTCTCCCTTTTTGATTTCATGTTTTTCCCTCTTGTCGCACCGTGGCCTTCTGTACCTGTTTCCATTGTAAATCAAACCCCAGCGTTTGCAGTCCACTACCGTAGAAAGTGGCTGTTAAAGGTAAAGGAAACATAGAATGACTGTAATGCTCCTCATTTGCCTCACGTGTAGGCCGCATTGTATGTCTTTCGTGGAGGTCCTGGTCTGACACTTTTGTTTTTGGCTGTTTTTTCTTTGAATAAAAATAACAGATACGTCTCCTTTTTCACAAACAACGAGTTGGTGAGGACCCATCTCTTTCTTTTCTTCTTGTTCTTTCTCTTTTTTGTACTGGGTCGAATTGTGCTGCTCTCTTGCCTGACCATTCGCTTCTATGATGTGTGCATGTCTGTGTGTTTCCCTTTCTGAAGCTTACAGTGCCTGATGGTCTTGCTTGAAGGCGAGCAAGTGATGAGCCTGCTCTTAGCACTATGCCTCTTCTGTCGTATACGATGTTTATATAATTATACTTCTCCATTTTTTTTTGTTTTGACGGCTTTAAATATTTTTTTTTCTTACCTGGGTATGCTGCGGTGTGTGTCTCGTTGTCTCTCGTTGTTTTCTTGTGTCCTTTGCCTTGTGCTCTCTCTCTCTTCCGATGCTTGAGTGCAGAACGAAGTTTTTTTATTGTTCCGGTGTGTTTTAGGTTTTCGTCTTGGCGTGTGCGAGTCTGTTTCTACTTATGAACTGCTTTTGTTGTCGTTGTTTCTCCGTTGTTACTTTAATAGCCTTATTCTGTTTCTGACTTCTCTTAGATATCTTTCTCGTGCCCGTTCGGTGTGCGATGGCCTTCTGCGTTGAAGTAGACCGAACATTACTCTCCTTCTTTTTGAAACCCGTTTGCCGAGCTTCCCGCTTCTCGTTGATCTCTGCGAGGTTTCCTGCAACGTAATGTGTTTTCCCCGACTTTGTCTACGGCTTGGTTTTGCTGGTATCGAGAGAAGGGTGCCTCCTTCTTTTCACCCAAACGTTGAGGAATTAAAATATAAAAGTAACGGCGCTAATAAGCAAAGCCCTAAGATTTCTTTAAGTTTGGTGTTCTGTTCTTCTGTTGCCACGTCACAAGCGTTGGAGATGCAGGGACAGAAACATGATACCGACATGATTTGTGAGTTCCGTAATTTCTCACGTCAAGCTAAAGGAGGCAAAAGTAGCTCCTCTACGTTCTATAGAAATGGTTTTAATGAAGCGATATTATGAGGGGGAAAAAAACACGCGTGACTGCAATCCTCGCTCATCTTTCTTTCCTCGCAGACCTCGCAGGATGCGTTCACTGCAGTCAATATAATGATAGTTCGGTACGCATCCAATCTCCGAGGAGAATTGGAAAATGTCCCCTTTTTAAACGCAATTTTTTTTCTGCTACTGCACTCTGACGAAGCTGCCACGTGGTGCTCTGTCTGCAACGCCGCGCATATGCATACCTCTGTGTCACTTCTGGACGTCTTATTAGTTTTATTTTTGTATTGTATTGTTTTATGTTGAAGCTCTGCTGAAGTAGTTTTCTTTTCCCTAAAACCGTGGACTACGTTGTCTTGTAGGGTCAAGCTGCAGCACCACTACACGTGTCAGGTGAACCTTAGCTCTCAGTTCTGTTTTGCTTTAAGGCAGCATCACTGGAGAAAGACGTACGCGCCTACAGCTGTTGACACTCCTTCCACGATAACAGAAAGAAAACCCTTTTGCTTTCCATTGTAGTAGAGCCGCCGAGGCTTCACGTTGATTTCATTGTCGTTATGCTCTTCACCTTATCAAAGAAAGAGACAAGGAAAGTCTTTCCCACTCCCCTTCCCCTGTCCTCCCTTTTTTTTTTGCACTGATGAAGCGCATAATCGATAGCGTGCGGTGCATGTGATCTTACACAATTATCTCCTTTCTTGCTTCGCTGCTCTTTTAGCTCTTGCTTTTATGCACTCCGATTTTGATTTTGTATGTTTTGTTTGTTTGTTTGTTTGTTCTCCTTTCCACTCAGTTGTGTGTGTGCATAACCTCTATCGCTCTTGGCTTTAAGAACCTGCGGTGACTCGCTGCGAATCGGAGGATTGGAGGCTCTCACGTGGGACTGCGGAATACCTCTACGGTGCATGACCCCCCGGCCCTTCGCTTTCACGCTGATCCACCTTTCCCACATCTTTCGCTAGGCAACATCGGTTTTTTTTTTATCGCTGTTTTGTGCCTCTCTTTGATCGACGGGATGGCTTACCGTTTTTGCACCTCTCCCCACGCGGAGAAACACACACATATGGATACAAGAAGAGAAGAACTGATGCGTCTAATTTCGCCTTCGATGGCGGACAGAGCAAATCAACCTTAACGGATGCGCCGCAGTAAGGGATCAGCTTCCCCCCCCCCCTCCTCTTTGATATGCGTTTACATAGCTCTGTGAATGGGGGGAAGGGAAGGCTCAGAGCTCTCTATCACTGCCGCGCGGTTTCCATATTGGTCGCCCGTCTCCGACGTTCATCCGCGCTCCCATGCGAATTTTAGCGCTCGCTGACGTCCCACCCTTCCTCTTTTTTTTTCCGGGTAATCTCGCCTCCCTTTTTTTCTTTCACCTGTAGTACTTCCCATCGTCCAATCACGAAACGTGCGGATCTTCTTTGAGTTGTCGCTGTTCTGTTAACTATTTTGTTGCGCTCTGGAGGCAATTTGATTTTGTTTTCAGTTTGTAGGATTCGGTTTTCGAGGCGGTTCTGCACACACACACACACACACCACTTTTTGAAGCAATCGTGGCTGGTATATACATATATATATTCACAAGAAATCCACAGCAACGACAATTTTCGCTGTTCTGATCATTTCGGCTTCATTTTCTTTCTCACACGTTATCTCCCTCTTTTTTTTTTAACTGCCTAATTATGCTCCGTCGGTTGCAGGCTCCTTACGCAGCGGCGGGAGTCGCGCTAGTGGCGAACACGGCGCGTCGCTTTCCGCCGCAGCACTGTGTTGTGTCGTCCTCCACTTCTTTTCCCTCCTCGATGTCCTGCAGTGCGATGCGGGCACCGCGCCGCGCCTTTCTGGACTCCGTCTTCGGTCGCCATCAGAGGAAGGTAAAGCTTGACGACATCGCATACGATCGGACTACGACGCGGTACAGTGGAACCATCTTCGGCCTTTCCGCGGACAACGTGATGTTCTACGCGAAGGTGGCCGGTGGTGCCTTCACGATGCTGATTGTCGTGTACATCTTCTTTAAGAGCTACATCATTCTCTCGCGCTTCAGCCTGCAGACGGTGGCGCGCCTGGGCTTCATGGGCGGCTTCTTGACGTGTCTCATTTGCTACACCACGGTCATCTCCTTCGTGCGCCGCTCTCGCATTAACACGACCACCGTCTACAACCAATCCATTGCGCTGGTGATGCGCAACGAGAAGGTGATCAACCACCTCGGCACGCACCCGCGCACCGGTGAGTTTCGCGCTTACCACTCCACCGGCGGCTTCAAGCTGCCGCTGCTGCGTCGCATTCGGAGCGGCTCGTACGAACTGTCGGACCTGCTAGGACTGAAGCAGCGCCGGTTGCAGATGCTGTTTACCCTGAAGAATCCGTCCAGCGGTAACGAGGGATTAGTGTCCTGTGACATACGGAGGGAGAGCACGGGGTTTATGTCGTCAACGAACGTGTACAAGTCACTGTCCATTACGATGTACACCAAGAACAAGAAGGCGGAGCCCGAGACAATTATCCTCATTGGAAAGCCGGAGGACGTGGTGTATCAATCTCTCATTTTCCCGTAGAGCAAGTATCTCTCTCTCGATTATGGTGGCTGGTACGTAGGCCCGATTCGAACTGTCCGCACCCGCTTTTTTGTTGTTGTTGTTTTCTAGTAGCAAATGTAGAATGATGGGCAGAGGTTAGTTGCCTCCTTTGTTTTGTATTATTTTCGGAGTGTAGTCCGGCTGCTTACGGGGAGTTTGGGTTATGTTTTTTTTTTTGCCGTACGTCGCGGTTTCAATTCACAACATCGCCACCTCCGATCATATTCTCTTTCTCTTTCTCTTTTTCGATGGCGCGTGAATTCACGTTACGTGTCGGATTTGTCTTATTAGCTCTATCGATATTAGCGGTATCGTTGTTTGATTGCTCGTCGCTGTTTCTATGAACTCCTGCGCTGCAGGGGTGTGCTCTGAGAAAGAAACGAATATTACTCGTATTATATATTGGCAACGTAAGCGTGCCAAACCGGAGATGTCTAAGCAGTATAGACTGATATGGCCTAACAATGTGCTTCTTCGTGTGACACTGTCGTAGCGTGCCAAGAACCGGAAGGGGGGGGGGGGGGGTAGGGACAAGATCCATAACGATGGTTGAGGTGGAAACGCAAATATGCAGACGCACGATTTTGTTTTTCCTAAAGAAAAGTGTTTCTTCCGATTTACTGGGGGTATTCTGTTGCTTCTATCCTTCCTTTCTGTTGTCCCTTGGCTTTCTCGCGGTGATCAGGCCAACACGCACATGATTGACCAACGTGTTTCGCACGTGTGAACAAAGTGTTTTGGGTCATTAAGATATTCAAGTGCCTTTTAACTTTATAGATTCATATATATATATATATATCCATAAAAGAGAAGATGGACATCCCTCTTCATCTACGACTGGCGTATGCAGGCCGATTTTCCGACCCCTACGCTGACGGACGGCCGACATTCCCCAACGCGCCGGTTGTCGGACATAACTCATCACCAGCATTGCAAGGCGTTTCCTGGCTCAGCAGCCTTGTACAAAACTTGGAGTCCAACCGCAGACAGGATAACGAAGCGTTTCTTATCAGAAAACGCAACGTTGCCGATGATGATGTTGGTGCAAGGTCCGTGGAGCGTGCTGCATCGCCGCGAGAAGAGAACAAAAACGGAACACAGACAAAGGATGACTCACCTACAACTACCTCTTTGCCTTCGCCCATTCCTTTGCGGTCGATCACCGCACATGAAGCGTGTCCTCCATTTACAGGGTCGTCGGCAGTACTTTCGTTGGAACCCCTTGATGCGGAAGGGGCTCGCTCCCCTCTCCAAGTGGAAATCAGGTCACCGTCGAGCACAGCACACGTACATATCGCAGAATCCTCGACAAAAGCAGATGACCACGCACACGAGGAACCGAATAAAGGAACAGATGCCACTGTTCAGGCGGACGTTGTCGTTGATAACGCGACGAGGCAGCACAACGTTGTGATTCAGGCGCAACTTGTTGGCACACACGAAGCCCTCCTTGCAGGCGTCGTCACATCACTTGAGCGTCGCCTGCAAGAGTGCGTGCTCAAGACGCTCGCGTTAGACGACGCGAATCAACAGCTCATTTGTGCTTTTCAGCTGCCGACCGACACTTCAACTGGCATCGACGTGCCCTCACGTCCTCCTGTTGTTCATCCAATACCTTTGCAAGGGTTTCCCGAGAAGCTGCTCAACGCATCTGCTCCCATAGCAACACCTCTTCTCAGCCGTGATGGTGCACAGTCCTCACCAGCAGCCGCTGCGAATTCCAATCCCGCCCTTGTCGCCAACCGCAGCGAAAGAAGTTTCTCCGACGAGGCGAAGAAGGAGCTCGCCCTACATCTCTACGCGCTGCGGCACCAAGTCGTGCAGATGCGCGAGCAGCTCGACGTCCATGAAGCGACGCACGCTCGGCGGCTAAACGCAATGAAAGCGGCGCCAAAAGACGCGTCGAATCGAGACACGGTCCGGGTGGAAATCGTCAAGGCCTATCCGGACGAGCCGATGCCCTATCGCAGGGGTCCGTGGAGGCCGGCCAACTTTGCCGCTGCGTCGGCGAACCGCCGTGGAGGCAGAAAGGAAGGAAGAGAGAGGGGCACGAGGGACGAAACGTACTCCTCTGACGACTTCACAGGCGGCTCCTCGTCCGCGGCGGACTCGTCTGGCATATCAACGGAGACGGACAGCAGCGGCAACACATCTGCGGAATCGGGCGTGCAGGTGAAGGAAGCGTTTGGTAGTGCAGGGAAGCGTGGTCCTGTTGCCGTCGTTGGAGCAAAGGCTGAGATACCAAGAGCGGACAGCGACAGCAGTCTCAGCAGCACCGAGGGTCTCTTCCGGAGGCGTCAAGCGGCAGCGCTGCAGGCTCGACTGCAGCGCACGGCTGCTGCTACCCGTCCAAAAAATAGCTACAACGCGACCACTTCCTCTACTTCTTATTCTTCTTCCGACGATTCTTACAGCAGCCGATCAGAAACCTCCACAATACCCAGGTGAGATGCCAATGTTTCATGACCAGCACACATACAAAAAATGAATCGAGCAAAGTTACTTTGAATGATACTGTATGCACCCGCGGCACGTGGACGGGAGAGCGCATAGCTTATCCCCACTGATGATATACAGGAAGGATCGTTCTCCTTGCACACGTGGACGGGGCCGCCGAATATATATGACGCAGTTTCCTTTTGCCGTAGTCCTGCCTATAGAAAGCTCTGTTTTCCCTTTCTGCGAGAAAGCCTTTCTCATTCACTTCTTTCCTCCCTTCGCTTCTCTGCCCACCTCTTCTCCTTTATCGTCCCGTCAGAAAAAAGAAAACCACAATCGACACGCGAAAACATTTCAGGTCTCGTAAAGGTTGGCGTTGTGCTTTTCTTTAACGTTGTTTCCTCCTATTCTTTGTGTTATTCCTCTCCTTGATCATTGTCTCTCCTCCACTCCTCCTCTCCTGTTTTCTGTTGTACTCTTTCCGGCCAAAGCTTTTTCTTTGTGTTTTCCTGTCCAAGGATCTAGTATTGTTTTCGAGTGGGCTGAAGGTGACATTTTTTTTTGTTTTGTTTCCTCTTGGCTTTATCTGAGCGGCTGGTCTAGGTGCACCGCTATTCGTGTTCATCTATAACAGTAGAGATTCATTTTTCATTAGACCAAGGAAACGCCTTATACCGTTAGTTACGTCCAGCATGTTTTCGCAGAGTAAAAGCAGCCGCCTGTGTGGGATTGCAGTGACTCTATGCGTTCTCGTGCTCTTCTCTAGCATCTCCGCTGCACTCGCCAAGTCCATTGCATCCTACAAACTTCGACTCGATCATGTAGATCTCGTGAGGGTGGGGGTGGCAGTCGCGGACATGCCGCTGCCTTCTCCTCCTCTGCCTCCTCGTCTACGCGACAGGGCGCTCATGAACATGTTGGCCGCGTCTACCGATGAGGGTCACGCTACGAGCGATGCGGCACACACCGCTGCCGCTTCCTCTGTTTCCCACTCGCACAGCAGTTCGGCAGCTTACGCATCTTCAGAGGCCGCAACGCCAACGCCAACGCCTTTTTTTTTGAGTTCTTCCTCCTCCGAAACGGCTGTCCACCCCGGGTCTTCGGCGCACGCCTCGTCCAGTAACTCATCTGACAGCTCTGTTACCATCCACAGCAGCAGCAGTAATAGCAGCGGCAGCAGGAGCGCCAGCGACAGCTCCAATTCCTCCTCCTCTGGGAGTGGATGGAGCTCAAGCAGCAGCAGCAGCAGCAGCAGGAGCGCCAGCGACAGCTCCAATTCCTCCTCCTCTGGGAGTGGATGGAGCTCAAGCAGCAGCAGCAGCAGCAGGAGCGCCAGCGACAGCTCCAATTCCTCCTCCTCTGGGAGTGGATGGAGCTCAAGCAGCAGCAGCAGCAGCAGCAGGAGCGCCAGCGACAGCTCCAAATCTTCCTCCTCTGGGAGTGGATGGAGCTCAAGCAGCAGCAGCAGCTCC